CACTAGGCTCGGGCAAGACGGGCGAAACGAGAGCTAGGATCAGGCTCGGGTGGTACGATCGGAGAACGGAGAAACGGGATCCCACAGGATCCTAACCTAACTGATACCATGTCAGAATGAGGAATGAATGATGCATTGATGTTGGTTGGGGTACATATAGCTAACCCTAAGTTTTGTACCCCCTAAGACAAACCTCACTATAGGCTACAACATTTGACATCAACATCTACCCAGTCCACTGCTCTATGATTTGGTACGTGCCAGTACCAGATAAAAACCACTTACGGTAGTTTTCTATGGCTCCTCAAATCGAAGCTAACCCAACTTGGCAGTATTTCGAGACGACTCAGAACCAGATAAAAACCGCGTAGGGTAGTTTTTTATGGCTTTTCGAAGCTAATCCAATAGGCAGTCTGTGCCAACTTCCCTTCACCTTTTCCCCCCTTCCTCCACTCCCCATCCCTCCTGTTTGTTTAACCTTGAGTGTCCTGCGATCCCGGCTGGCTGGCAATGCCCACCACCAGCATGTAGATAGATGACCCAATGCTGGTCACACAGATGATGGCCGCCCACACAATCATGGCCCATGACGTCTTGCGCTCCCATCCATGCACCACTCCCGACCGATCCCTGTTGTGGAAAAGAGGGCAGGGCGGGATGGGGGTGGGATGGGGGTGGGATGGGGGTAGGTGGGGGTGCGGGAGAAAAGAGGTGAGGGGAGAGGTGAGGGGAGAGGTGAGGGGAGAGGTGAGGGGAAACGCGATGGGAGAGGTGAGGGGAAACGCGATGGGAGAGGTGAGGGGAAACGCGATGGGAGAGGTGAGGGGAAACGCGATGGGAGAGGTGCAGGGATAGATAAGAGGAGGCCAGGAGTTCGATTGGGAACACACCTGAGAGCAATGACAGCAGGGAAGACCATCCCAATGACCATGGTAGAAGTCGCCCCGGTCAAGTCAAACGCGACCCAGATGTTGGGCACGAGCGTGGTGATCAGTGTGGGAAGGTCAGGAGGCAGCATTAGGAGGCAGCATTGGGCCGCTCACCTGAGAGCAATGACAGCCGGGAAGACCATTCCAATCACCATTGTCGAGGTCGCCCCGGTCAAGTCAAAGGCCACCCAGATGTTGGGCACGAGCGTGGCAACCAGGCAGATCCCCACCAGCTGCACGCCCGTGATAATCCAAAACCTCCTGTCATCCTCCGCAAGCGACTTCTCCGCATTGTAGCAAAACAGATCGTCCGTAACATTCCTCAGCGAGTAGTAGATGACGGGGAAGACGAGCACGACGTGGAGAGCGTACGAGACGCGGACGACGTCGTTGAGCCACTGCTGCCCCGTGAGGATGGGCGTGGAGAAGTTGGCGAGGACGTCGGGCGCGGTGGCGTCGCCGAAGAGCAGGTAGCCGCAGAGCGAGGTGAGCGTGTAGATGGCGAAGCACGTAGCCATGGAGAAGCGCGTTACAGCTGTCATGTTCTGCTCGGTTCTGTCCTTCAACTCCACGTAGATCGGGTGGACTGGAGGGGTGGGGGAATAATTGGAGGAAGGGGTGGTGGAGGGTGGGGTGGGGTGGGGTGGGGTTGCGTGGGGACAGAAGGAGCGTCGGTGAGGGAGCAGGGGGGGGAGGGAGGGGCAATCAGAGGAAGGGAGAGAGCGAGTAGGACTTGGTGAGGCTGGCACCTGGTGTGGGTGGCACCTGGTGTGGGTGGCACCTGGTGTGGGTGGCACCTGGTGTGGGTAGTACCCACTAGGAGCCGTACTGTGTTGGAGTGGCAGGTGTAAGCAGTGGCCGTGTTTATTATACTTAGTGAATGCGGCACCTGATTTGGGTGGCACCTGATTTGGGTGGGACCTGATTTGGGTGGCACCTGATTTGGGTGGCACCTGATTTGGGTGGCATCTGGGGTGATACCTGGTGGGAGCGTCACTCACTGTTGAAGTGGCAGATGTAAGCAGTGGCCATGACCTGGACACACTCAGACAGGCACGACACAATAAGCGAAAGGGGAGAGGAGCGCGACGGTGAGGGGGCGATAGCAGGTGAGGACAGGATGAGGTGGAATATTGTTTCCAAGCGAATAAAGGACGATAGCAGACGGGACACAGGCTGAGGTGGAATGTTGGCAGCTTTTCAAGCAACGAGGGGGCGGTGGCGAGGGGGATGTGGTGAGGGGGATGTGGTGAGGGGGATGTGGTGAGGGGGATGTGGTGAGGGGGATGTGGTGAGGGGGATGTGGCGAGCGGGATGTGGCGAAGCAGAGGCAGGCACAGACGGAGGCAGGAAGGGGGAGGGGGGGGTAAGGTGATGGGGAAAGAAGGGAAGAGGAAGAAAGGAGGGGAAGGGAACGGAAGCGAAGGAAAGGGAAGGGCTTGGAAGAAAAGGGTTGGGAAGAGGGAGCGTACCGGGAAGACGGAGCAGAGAGAAGCGAAGAAATTAGGCGCGCTGACGAAGGGTAACCAGCGCGGCGAAGGGAGAGTGCCTTCGACCAGCTTGATGATGGTGATTATGAGAGTGATTACAACGAAGATGACCGCCAGAATGACGGCGATTGCTGACGTGTAATGCAGCGAATCTGACCTCGAGGGGGGTGGGGAAGAGCGACGGCGGGAAGGAGAGAGGAGCCATTTGCGAGAGTGTTGTTCCATGGCGAATGAGATCTGGTGTATGCGATGTGGCGAATGAGATCTGGTGTATGCGATGTGGCGAATGAGATCTGGTGTATGCGATGTGGCGAATGAGATGTGGCGAATGCGATGTGGCGAATGCGATGTGGCGAATGCGAAGTGGCGAATGCGATGTGGTGAATGCGATGTGGTGATGTGGCCAATGTGAGGCGGAACGTGACGTATGCATGTGATGCGCGATGCATCAAACGCGGAGTTCTAATTTGGAAGTGGTGGGTGTCGAGAGGTACATTTGATTCCGTTTCATGTGGTGAATGCTGCACTGCGGTGTGGCGCATGGGCAAGCATCCTATCCATCGTCCTTGGGTTGAATGTTGAGGCGCCTCAAAATTCAACTCAATGGGCAAGCATCCTATCCATCATCCTTGGGAACTCATTTCCATCCAGGCTGTGCGAATCCACGCCGTATGGATCTTATCGTAACCCAAATCGTTTCATGCGACTCACCGACGTGACGGAAGGAGGCCAGCGGGATGAGCACAACGAGCGTGACAATAACGAGTACGAAGAACCGCGTGTTCCACCACGCGGCCTCCCCGCCGTTCCACTCTTTCAGCAGGCCCGGATGCGCCGACCCTATACTGGACCACGTCCCCGCTAGCACATCCGCGATAATAATCAAATACACGACGCACAACCCGATGTTGTTAATGAGGACGGCAATATCGAGTACGAGCCTCCACTTGGGCCCGCATTCCTGCAGCACCAGATCGCCGTACGACCACACCTGCTGCACCGTTGTCGTTTTAATCAGTAATTCCAGGGATACTTGCGTTAATATTCCCATGGCGACCAGCGCAATGATCCCGAGGGGGATCCCCAATATGCGCATGGTTCCGGGGAGGCCCATGATTCCCGCGCCGACCACGGTCGTCACGAGGTTAAAAACGGCGGAGGAGAACGAGGCGCCTTTGAAACCGTGGCGGCCTGCGCCCATGTCGAGGAAGCGGTCCTGGCTGTGCAGCATCGGGTGCGGAGAGGCGGAACCGGCGGAGCCGGCGGAATCTGTGGCGCGGAGGGAGGAGTCCTTTCCGCCGTCCGCGGACAGGGATGAGCCATAGTCGGAGAATGCTGGGCCCTGGACAAGCTCTATGGCCGACATTGTAACGAGCGTGTGACGACTGACGAGCGACGACTATCCTTGTGCGACGCCAGACGTGCGACTCCTTGTTATTGAACAGGAGAAAAAGCACGTCTACTTCTATTACACGCACGCCAAATCTGCAATTTCGTGGAATGATGACCGTTTGAAGGAGTTCGTTCACTAGAGGTCTCAAGCCACAGCCACTGAAGAGCTGAACGATTTCTCCCTCTTGAAGCCTGACACTAGAATTCTTGGTAGATTCAAGTTGCCGACCAAGCAGAAAGCAGCGGCTTTCAAGGAAGCGCCACTGGGAAGTGACCGAAAAGAGCGGTTCAGCGGAATGACTTCACTGACCGACTGACTCGCTGGCTGACTGACCGCGCAAACTGAAGGGGGGGGTGCTTCGGGATCGGGGGAGCGGAAACTCCTAGGCAAGGAGGAGGGGAGAAGGAGGGGGGTAGCGGAGGAAGACCCGCAGAAGCTCGCCAACGCGGGGAGAATGGGAAGAGGCATGGAGGAATCTGGGAGTGGGGATTTTCCCCGCGCTGAGGAGATCCCAAGGGGAAGCCTTGCCCCGCGCTGGCGGGTACAAACGCGGAGAGACTTGGTGCTGGGCTGATCCCAAGGGTGTGGAAACCTGCGCTTCGGTGACTGAACGAGCTTCTTATTGGCTGGCTATTCCCTGTGATGGCTCGGCCCGAACCACAGGGTGCTTGCAGGACGGCCAGGGGTGAAGGTCTGATTTTCGGGCACGAGCGCTTCGAGTCGAGGTTCTGACGCGAAGGTCTGACCGGAAATATCCTGGTAAAAAACCGCGAGTTGGGATCGACGACTGTCAGCGGGTCAAGCACCCAACACGATAAGCATCCTGTCCGTTGAACTCGGCACAAATGAAAATCAGTGGGGCTGTTACGCTTGTCAGAGCCAGGCACCTGACCTGACAAGAAGGTGAGGACTAGGAAAAACTCGTACTCTATACAGAGTATTATAATCGACATCATCACAATGACACACTGGAAGCTGAACTTTTCGTTCACTGCTTACGCCCGATTTCTTTTCCAAACCACCTCACGTTTGAGAATCCCATACCCCTTGAAAACCCTTTCCTTATCTTCACATCACAGGAAGCACACAGCATGTACTTCAGCCGTTTCTAATTTCCGTCTTTCCAGCCAAGCTACCCGCTACTGTACTATCAGTGAATCTGTCTAGCTGTCGTCTGCAATTTGCACCATGGCCGCGGCTCCAGATGACGACTTCCCTCCGCTAGTTGCGCAAGAAGCTGTAGCGCCATCCGAGCTCCCGAACCCGAAACCCGCTTGGGGAGCGCCTCGCGCGGTGTCCCTGCGTGAATCCCTCCGCGAATCCGCGAAAGCGGATCAAGGCGGATCCGGGAGCTCCGCCGCTTTCTCTCACGGATCCAATGCGGTCTCGAGCGGAGCTGACGTGGCATCAGGCGGGAAACCCGCCAGCGGGTCTAGCGCGGACCCTGCCCCGCGCGGGCAGATACCCTTCGCGTCCGGCACCGCCGCTTCCGGAGCGGTTCAGTGTCTTGTAGTGGACGCGAATGTTCTTATATTGGGGACGGCCTCGTTGCAGAAATTTGCCAGCGAGGCAGAGATTGTGACTGTACGCGAGGTGCTGGCGGAGGTTCGGGATCGCACCGCGCGGCAGCAGCTGTCCGTTCTCCCCTTCGATATCAAATGTCGAGAGCCCAGTGATGAGGCGATTAAGGAGGGTACGTCAAGGAGTAGAAGGGGTTTAACCATGGTAGGGGATCCAAGAGCATTAAGTTATAAAATGATCGAGTAACCCTTCAAAGGTGCCGTTCGTACTTTACACCAACTGAAATTCTATCTCCTCCCCCTCCTCCCCCCTCCACCTTTCCCCCCCCCCCCCCCCATCTCCTCCCTCAGTCCTCCGCTTCGCGCGCGCCACGGGTGACGTGGGCACTCTCTCCGCCGTCGATTCCAAGCTGCTGGCGCTCGCAGTGACGGAGGAGATTCGATTTCACGGCCGTGCGAATCTCCGCGCCGCCCCCGCCCGCCCGGTGTTTCAGAAGAGGACAAACGTCGCGATGCGCCAGGCGCTGCCCGGTTGGGGCGCGGAAAACGTGGCGAATCCGGACGAGTGGGCGGGGATCGACGCGGTGGCGGACGATGGGGGGAGGGGGAAGGGAGTAGGTGGATCGCGGATTTTAGGGGTGAGGGCTTTGGGGGAGGTGGATGAGAACGCGGAAGGGGAAGAAGAGGGGGAGGAGGCGGGGGAGGGGAAGGCGGGAGAGGAGGCGGGTAAGGGGGAGGCGGGGACTGGGGGGAACGGGGGCGCGGAGAGTGTGGAGGCGGGGCTTCAGCAGATGAGCTTGGGCGGAAATGGGGAAGCAGGGGAAGCGGGGGAAGGGGGAGGAGATGGTGCGCGGAAGGGCGGAGAGGGCAGGGAAACGGAGCAGGCGGTTGAAATGCCTGGGTGGGGGACATTTGGGGGGGGGGGGGGAGAGGCGGGGGGAGAGGGCGGGGGGGACGCAGATGGGCGCCTCGGGAAATAAAGCCAGTAGTAGCTGAAGAGCGGTACGAGGGGAAATTAGTAGTGGCTGGGGTAGACGCCTCTAAGCGAGGAGAGCCTGCTGACGTGACGGGAGGGCATGCTGAGTCAGCAGGAGAGGTGGGAGAGGGAGAGGGGGGAGCGGGTGAGGAGGAGGAGGAGGGGGAGTGGGAGGCAGCGAGGGGGAAGAGCGGGCGCCGGAAGTGGAAGCGGAGGGCGGGGAAGCGCGCAGCCATGGAGGAGCTGGCGCGCATTGCGCAGGAGCAGGCGCAGCGCGCAGCCGCGCTGGCGGGGGAAGCAGCCGCGCTGGGGGGAAAGGCGTCTGCGCTGGCGGGGGGGACGGCCGCGATGGGGGGTGATGGTGGCGGGGAGGAGGGGAAGGGCGGGGAAGAGGAGAGAAAGGGTAGCGAGGAAAGCGGGAATGTTGGGGATGAGGAGAAGCAAAGCGGCGGTGCAGGTGATATGGGTGTGGGGGGAGAGGAGGAGGAGGAGGGGCAAGGGCAAGGTGGGGAAGTGAATGAGGGAGAAGGGAAAGGGGAGGAAGAGGAGGGAAGTGGAGAAGAGGAGGAGGACGAGGAAGGAGAGGAGGAGGAGGGAGAGGGGGAGGGCGAGGAGGAGGGAGAGGAAGAGGAAGGAGAGGAGGAGGGTAGTTTGGATGATGGCAGTGAAGCAGCGTCCACGTCATCGTCATCGCTATCCACGTCAGCAGTGGCCCTGATGACATCAGACTACGCCATGCAGAACGTGGCACTGCAGATGGGCCTGCGCCTCCTCTCCGCCCAATCAGGGATGCGCATCGCCCATGTGCACAGGTGAGCCTTCAGGTGAAAATTCAGGTGCACAGGTGAGCGTTCAGCTGGAAATTCAGGTGCACAGGTGAGCGCTCAGCTGAAAATTCAGGTGCACAGGTAGCCTTCAGGTGAGATTCAGGTGTTCAAGTCAGCGTTCAGGTAAAAACTCAGGAGGACAGGTGCCTTCAGGTAGCTTTCAGGTGTCTTCAGGATGAGCCTACAGCTGAGAAGGTCTAATCTATCCATCATCCCTCCTTTTCTCCCCTCACTTTCTCCCCTCCCTTTGCTCCCTTGCCTCCTTCTCACCCCTGCTATCCCTTGCCCCGTGTCCCTTGCCCCGTGTCCCTTGCCCCGTGTCCCTTGCCCTATCCCCATTCCCCGTTGCCTCGCCGCTCCCTCCCATCCAGGTGGGTGCAGCGCTGCTCTGCCTGCTCTGCCGTAACGCCTGACATGACGCGGGTCTTCTGTCCTGACTGCGGCAACGGCACCACACTCAACAAGGTAAACGGTCAACAAGGTGAGGTGTGCGTTCGCTACTCCGAGTCTCCAACTGCGTCGCTTGAACAAGGCGAACGCTCAACACGGTGACTTCACCTTTGCCTCACATGTACTCAGAAGTTTTTTAATCACATGTATTTTTTAGTCTACTCGGAACTTGACTTCACCTTTGCCGCATATGTAATTGTGCACTCTCGTCCAATGGAACCCCACTTAGGAGGCATATCGTCCTCTTCTGTCTCTCACACACACTCTCGTCCTCTTCTGTCTCTCACACACACTCTCGTCCTCTTCTGTCTCTCACACACACTCTCGTCCTCTTCTGTCTCTCACACACACTCTCTCCCACCACCTCTGCCTGCTCGCGCTATGCAGGTGACAGTGACGGTGGGCTTGGATGGCGTGGTGCGTGCAGGCATGGCCCTGGAAGGTCACGCTCTCTCTCTCTCTCCCTTCGCTCGCACACACCCTCGCTTTTCAACCTCCCCCACCTCCCATTCCCTGTGTTCCACATGCGTGCAGGTGACAGTGACGGTGGGCGTGGATGGCGTGGTGCATGCAGGCGTGCGCAAGAGACACAACATACGAGGCAGCAAGGTGAGAGAAACGAGGGGCACAGCACAGCACAGCACAGCACAGCACAGCACAGCACAGCACAGCACAGCACAGCACAGCACAGCACTGGGTGAGGCATGGACTCATGGATGCATGCAGGCGTGCGCAAGCAGATGGAATCCGACATCCTTACTCACTCTTTTACCCGCGTGTGCCTGACTCTTGGTGAGGGAACAAGGTGAGGGAAATGACCATCTTGGTGACTTTTGAGAGAAGGTTCGCCCATTGATGTGCTGACACCTGACTCTTCTACTCATACTCATTGGTTTTTGAGAATTCTCAAAAGCCATCTGACTCTTCTACTCATACTCATTGGTTTTTGAGAATTCTCAAAAGCCATCTGACTCTTCTACTCGTACTCATTGGTTTTTGAGAATTCTCAAAAGCCATCTGACTCTTCTACTCATACTCATTGGTTTTTGAGAATTCTCAAAAGCCATCTGACTCTTCTACTCATACTCATTGGTTTTTGAGAATTCTCAAAAGCCATCTGACTCTTCTACTCATACTCATTGGTTTCTGAGAATTCTCAAAAGCCATCTGACTCTTCTACTCATACTCATTGGTTTTTGAGAATTCTCAAAAGCCATCTGACTCTTCTACCCATACTCATTGGTGCCCCTTTCTCCAGCTGCAGTTCTCCCCGCCCATGCCCAAGCGAGGAAGGACAGGAGCAGCCAAGGACCCTGTCCTAAGAGAAGACTGCATAGAAGAGCAGCGTCTAACACACAGAGAACCTTCTGCGCTGGCTCCTCATCCTCTCACCCCTTTGCTTTCTTCCCCATCCCTTCCCCCCAGTTCTCCCTGCCCATGCCCAAGGGAGGAAGGACAGGAGCAGCCAAGGACCCTGTCCTAAGAGAAGACCAGCTCCTGCCCAAAAACGGCCGGCGGCGATTCACCCAGAAGAAAGGCAAACCCACCGACGTGCTGGCGCCTGACTTTGTGACGTTCTTTGATGAGGTGGGGGAGGGGAAGGGGGGGGGAGGCGGGGCGGTGAACAGCAGAGCCGTGGTGGCGACGATTGCGGCGGGAGGGGATACGAGAAGAATGGCTGTTGCGCTGGGGATGAAGGTTAATCCAAACAGGGTGAAGAGGGGCGGGAAGAAGTGAGGGATGCTTTAGCGGTTGCGTTCCTGTAGTGTCTTGATGCTGACTAGTCACAGGCTGGCTGCGGTGGTGCCAGTGGTCGTGGCGGTGGCTGCGGTGCGCTGGTGGCCGTATGAGGAGGATGGCTGGTGCGCTGCGGCTGAAGGGGGGCCTTTGAGATGACTCAAAAGGCTTCTGAGACGTCTTAAAAGGCAGCGGTGGTGGCCGAGGGTCGGTACCGTATGAGGAGGATGGCTGGTGCGCTGGAGCTGAACCGGGGCTGAGAAATAGTGAGGGAAGTGAAGTGATTGTGCTTTCTGGCAGCTTCTCAGGGGCGCGGTTTTGGGAGTCTGGATTCTAGAAACGATGAGAATGGATTGTGAAGGAAGTGGATTGTGGGCAGGGCCATTATGATTTCGATCTGCATTTCTTGATGTTTTCTATCAATATTATGGGGTACCATAACCTGAAATGAAATTTTCATGTCAAGGAAAACGCCGGTACAGTATGCTTGTACATTATGACTGCAAGTATACATTATTCATCAGCCCACTTGTGCCACTCACACAACGATTTGTCCAACATTCCCTATCCTGATTGACAACAGCACTTCGCATGTGTAGTTGCTATAACGGGACGAGCAGCAGCAGCAGCAGCAGCTGGAGCACCAAGAGCGTCAGGAGAAGCACCAGGAGGAGAGGAGGAAACGGCTGCTACTCTGTGTCCCACTTGATCCCCATATGGTGAGATAAAATCGACTACACACAGACAGACTCAGAGCCAGGCCGTACACGTGTAACATGCCCTGGTTATTAAATTAAGCACAGGCTCGATTAGACGGGGGGAGGCGGGGACGCCACCCCGCCAGTGGGGGGCGGGGGAGAGGCGGTAGTAGCGGGGGGAGGCGACGCGGTAACAGCGGGGGGAGGCGACGGTGTAACTACAGGAGGCGGGGGAGAGGTGGTAACTGGCGTGGGCGGAGGCGGAGAGCTGACCACAGGAGGCGGAAGGCTGGGGGAAGCTGGGGGGGTCGGAGGCGGAGACTTGGGCGGAGACTTGGGGGAAGGCGGGGGCGGGGACGCGTCACCGTCATCGCCGTCGTCGCCGCCGTCGTTGCCGCCGCCATTCGCGGGCGGGGCGCGGTACACGTCATCGGGGATGAGGAGCGAGTCGACAAGGTGCAGTTGGAACGACGTGGTGTTGGCGAGGTTGGGCGCGATCATTGTCGATTTCGACCGCCCGCTGCCCGACCGAAACACAACTGTGAAAAACGCGCTCTCGTCCGACTTGAAGACAGGACGCTTGGCGAGCGTCGCGAACTGTTGTTCGCATGGGATTGGCGAAGGGGGGGAAAGAGGGGAACGCAGGGGAATAACATGCATGAGGACAGGGAAGGGCAGAGGGAGGGGAAAGGGGGTGTTACAACAAGTCGATCTCAGCAGAACAGAGGCTTCAAGAATGTGAATTCGGAAAGGAAATACAATGACGATTCGCCACTAGCTCATTATTGTTAGCATTATGCCCGTCACAATGCCTTTCTGTTCGGCATGTGACCCGCTACAAGCATACCTTTCTATTAGCCGTGAACTCGACAAGCTTCGTGTAGTCGAACTTGTTTCCGAGGATCATGTGGTATCGGAGCGTGGCGCGCGCGAGCAACGGGTTGTTGATGTAAGGCGACGCGGGCGGCAGCGACTGCAGCGCGTCGGGTGACGGCACGAGAAACGTTGCGCCGTTGGTGCCGGCCTTGACCGTCGCCTCGAGGAGCGTCGGCAGCAGACCTGCTTTTTGGAAAAACTCTACGAACTGCTTCTGCTTGCTCAGCGACATCACCAGCGTGAACACCTTCTGCGCGTCAGCGAGGTTCACCATAGCGGGTCCGCTGTTCCCGGCTTCCGCCTTCTTCTTTCGCTTCGGAATAAGCCGTTTAATCAGCCCCTTCTTTTTTTCCGGCGGCGGTGAGCTTGTCTTGGGTGGCGAGGAGCTCTTTGGCGGGGATGGGGACTTCGTGGGCGATTTTTTAGGCGGCGATTTCTCGCTCGACGTCGCCAGCGTCGTCACGGTAGATCCCGCTGGATTCAGCTTCGATAAAAGCTCTCTGCCTTTCAACTCGCTAATTGCGTCGAGCTGAGTGGGTAGAAGCGACGCGGCCATAGAATGCCGACCCAGCGCACATGGCGCGGCGCCTAAAGCTATGAAGGCCAGAAGGAAAAAACATGCGGGGAAGGCTTGGAGCCGAAGACGCGCCATGGGCCGTGAATGGTGTTAGAGCAAAGTGCTGGAATATGCGAATGGCTTTAATCGGGGTTCCGGACTAGCAGTGAAGGTCGTTGCTGTAGGGTTCTTGTTTTGTATGACAAAGGCTCTGGTAGTTAACGCAGATGCACTTACTAATCCAACCTAAGTGGCGTGGTCTGGTTCATTTGACGAGCTTCTCACTCGAGCGCAGGAATTTCGGCGTTGGCAAATGGTGTAAATACTAGAAGAAGGGAAGTGGCTGGAGGCTCGAGATCTTCGTAGTGTCCGACCAGCCCGCGCGCCGGTTACGAAGAGCAGGCTCTTCCTATCGTGATGTGCAGCGTTCAGGTTTTTCTAAGGCCTCTGTGTGTCGGCTATCTGCGCTCCGATGTGGATGTGGAATTCGCTTTCTGATGGTGTTAGCTGTTGGAGAAAAAATTCCTAGAAGCTAGGTGCAATGAAACGGCTAGCGCTGTGGATGTGATGTGAGCTCCTTGGAATGGGATGGGATGTCGTGTGCCAGTGGGGCGGTGCCTTTCCTTGGTCAGGAAGTTGGAAGGAGAAGTGATGAGCAACTGAGTAGCCACGATAGCGATCAGCAGATCTGCGGGACAGATGGAACGCCCGAGTCGCACAAATTTCATTGTGATAGCCGAGACGCGACATTGGGCGCCATGTCACGGAAAGGTGATATGAGAGGCTCCGCATCTCACGCAACCAATATGGGGTCTGGAAGGTGATGTGGGTTCTCCCTGTCGGTGCCCTCGTGGCACAAAAACGAGTTTTCTGAGGTGTCGGCAGGGGAAGTGTCGGAAAATCTGACAGCCGTCAGGCATTATCGAAGTTATGTAATGTACGTGATAACAAGGCCCCTCCTACATTCAACATGGTTATTTACACCAGTAATACTCATCATGTGTTATGCTAGGCCCTATTATCTTTGTTCAATTCGTGGTAATTACGAACATACATTCGTCTGTGAAATCCCAATTCAACCGCAAGATTATTCGTACTATATGGCTGAAAGTAGTGCTTATTTCAAATGTATTTTTTGCCAAACAAGGCTCATCCAGTAGGTGGAGAGACATCGCATAGGAACCATATGGTTCTAAGGAGCAGTGCTGTACACTCACTAGGTGCTGTGAAGTACAACACTCAGGTTTCCTTACAGTAATACCACAACACCACACAGCTGGAGATGGAGAGGATGTGAGGGGGGGCGGGTGAGGGGGTGGAAACGATACGTGGGTGGTGACGGGCATGATCTTCCATTCCTAGGGCAGAGTGTTGGGCCGTTGTTGGGGGCCACTCGTCAATTCAGGTTTTTTAGGGGGTATTGATGCTCCATGTTTCTATATCTCTTGCACCCTTCATTATATCGTAAGTTCAGATAGTCACACAGCTGGACATTGATCAGTTCGAGACAAGCTCGAACAAGCAAGCTCATAATGGTGTGTGCTGCTTCCATTTCGAGCTTTGTGTCCATGCTGAATGCAACAGTATATGCACGTATTCTTGATGTACACTCGCAACAATATGCCACTATGAAACATCCTAATTTACGTGACAGCATGCCATTCTGGCCAGCCAGCCGTTGGCATTATCCTAAAGAGTATACGTCGAATCTCCCGGTATTGGGGAGCAAGAGGGGATGGGAGTAAGAGGGGGGCGAGAGGAAGGGGTTGTGGCTGGAGTGGCCTCAGTAGCGGAAGGGAAGGAGGATTCAAGGGAGCACGGCAATGAGACAGCAAGAGGAGAGGTGGGAAATGGGGGGAAGGGGTGGGGGGGGGGGGGGGGGGGGGGGGGGGGGGGTGGGGGGGAGTAGATTCAGGGCGGTGGCGGTGTTGTGGATGAGGTTGACTCGTTGGTAGGCGGGGGAGGGGAGGGAGAGGGCGGGGGTGGTGTGGCTGGAGTGGATTCAGTAGGAGAGGTTGGTGTGGAGGAGTCAGGGGTGACAGGCGACGAGACAGGAAGAAGGGGGGAAGATTCCGGGGGAGGTGGGGAAGGGCTAGGAGGAGGAGGTGAGGGGTTGAGGGGAGGAGGCGAGGGGACAGTGGTAGGAGGTGAGGGGTTGAGGGGAGGCGGTGAAGGAACGGAAGGAGAAGGAACAGAAGGAGAAGGAATGGAAGGAGAGGGAACTGACGGAGTAGCAGGAGGAGGAGAGGGACTGCGAGGACCAGATGAGCCGCCATCACTGCTGCTCCCAGTACTGCCACTACCACTACCACCACTTGCATCACTCCCATCACTCCCAGTGCCATCACTCCCAGTGCCATCACTCCCAGTGCCATCACTCCCACCGCTACCACCCGCACCATCACCGGGCAAGGAGTGCAGAATGGCGTCAGGCACAAGGAGTGAGTCGACCAGGTGCACCTGGAAACACACACGAGTGGAGAGGACAAGAACAGATGGTTTTTAGCCGACTCAAAAACCCCACCCGCAAAATCACGGCCTCCGGGCATGGAGTGCAGGATGACGTCAGGCACAAGGAGTGAGTCGACCAGGTGCACCTTGAAACACAAGGGGAGAGCACAGGCGGTGGATGGTTCACGCGGAGAGTACAGTGGTCAGTCGGCCATGTAATGAAGATATGACAACATGGATGGGGGCGAGGCGACGAGGCGCACAACGAGGTGACTTTTGAGTCGACTCAAGAGTCAAATCGAGAGCACAGGCGGTGGACGGTTTAGGTGGAGAGTACCGTGGTCAGTCGGCGGCCATGTAATGAAGATATGACAATATGGATGGGGCGAGGCGACGAGGCGCACGCTTGGAAAATCTATGTCTTGGCGAGGTTGGGCGCGAGCAAGGTGGACTTGGAACGGCCGCTGCCGGAGCAGTTGCAATGAAGCTGTATTTGAGTCGACCCAGAACTCACCTGGAAAAACTCAGTTTTGGCGAGGTTGGGTGCGAGCAGAGTGGATGTGGAGCGACCGCTACCGGAGCGGAAGACCACCGTGAAGAATGCGCTTTCATCTGACTTGAAAACCGACTCCTTGGCGAGCGTGGGGAACTGATTGGGAGGAGAATTAGGGAGTTGGACGTGGAAAGAAGGGTTGATCTGAGTGGTGCGAGAGGGTGCATGTGAGCAACGGAAGCTACACTAACAGGGAGCAGCATCTGCACCCTAACCCCCCTGAGCCAGGACACACCCTAAGCAGCCCGTGTAGACAATCGCTCCCCGCTCCCCCTGCCCAAACTTAATGTGAACACTCCCTCCCCCCCAACTGTTTCCCCAGGAGCATGCAGTGCCCCGCTTTTCTTTTCCCCTACGTATCCCCTCCCACCCACCCAGACACACCCTCAGCCCGTTCTATAAACTCACGCCGGTGTCTGCGGGGCGTTCAACGAGCGCCGTGTAGTCCATCTGCTTTTCCAGAATCAAATGGTACCGCAACGTCATTTCCCCTTCCGTGTCCCCCACCTCCGCCCACCCACCCGCACACACCCGCACACACCCACAGCCCGCTCATAATACTCACGCCGGTGTCCGCGGGTCGTTCCACGAGCGCCGTGTAGTCCATCTGCTTCCCCAGAATCATGTGGTACCGCAGCGTCGTTCGCGCGAGCGCGGGGTTGTTAAAATACGGCGACGCGGGCGGCAGCGACTGCAGCGCGTCGGGGGACGGCACGAGGAACGTCGCGCCGGCGCCATTCCCCTTCGTGATCGACTCGAGCAACACGGAGAGAAGACCCGCGTTGCTGATATATTTCACGAACTGCTGCTGCTTGCTCAGGCCCTGCACGAGGTTGAACACCTTCTGAGCCTCCGCGAGATTGACCATGAGCTTGGGCTTGGGAGTGGTGGTAGAGGAGGTCGAAGTGGTGTTTTTCTTCTTTCCAAACAGCTTCTCTCGGAGCTTCCCCTTTTTCTTCGTTTCGGTGGTGGCTGGCGATTTTGACGGTGATTTCGACGGTGATTCAGATGGAGATTTCGACGGCGATTTTGACGGCTTTTTTGGAGGTGAAACTGACGGTGAAGGAGACGGCGTTTGCTCCTTCGCTGGTGGTTTTGTCGCCGGCGAGTTTTTCTTGGTCGGCGACGGGTTTACTTTCGGTGGCGACGGGCTTACTTTCGGTGGCGACGGGCTTTTCTTAGGTGGCGACACATTTTCCTTCGCCGGCGATTTCGCGGGCGATTTTACTGGCGTTTTTGTCGTCTTTGGCGACGATGGATGCTTCGTTGACGGAGAGGTAGTTTTCTTCGTCGGAGTTTTCGGGGACTTGGGCAGAGACTTGGTCGCCGGCGGCAACGATTTCGGATTCGTCACTTTCGTTACAGTCTTCTTCGCGGATTGGCTAGATTGCGCCGTAGTCGACTTCACTTGCTTCGTCGCAGCCGAATTCGCTGATTTCGCAGAAGATTTCACCGACGTCGCAGCCTTCTTTCCAGCGGATTTCACTGATGAAGACGACGATGACGACTTCGCTGCGACTGTTTTCGCCCCCGCGACTGCCTCACCCGCAGATTCTCCTCTTACTAATCGCGGTTTCTTTGCTGGAGATGCGTTGGGCCGGGTGGCAGGATTCGTCGTGGTCTTAGTCGAAGGTTTCGCTGTCGCTTTACCTAGTGCGGGAGCTGGCGTGCAGATAGCGAGAAATATTACTATGCAGAGGACGGCGGCCAGAACCACCGCCCGTCGGCGGGCCATGGTCAGATGGACAACGGAGATCTATTAGCGATTCTGATAACTATTCGTAGTTGGGAGTATAAGAGTTTTAAGCTCGAAACTGTGAATGAAATGGCGTTGTTATGAAGGAATCGAGGAATAAAGAACTAGTTGAGAGGACATTGGCAAGGTAAGGGAGCGAGTGAGCGGAAGTGTTATACGCTGGAAGGATCTAAAACAGTGGAGTCGGGTGGCACATCCGTATAGACAGAGATGCGCGGTGAGTGCACGCCAATGTCGGTCGGCGAGGCGATGCGTGAGCAGGGTGATACTGAATTTGACGGGTCAACTATGGCGAGGAGGCTGAGCGGTGAAGGGTTTTTGCAAGACACAGGCGGTTACATCGGGAACGCGGGGTGAGCGAGTGAGAGGTGCGAAAACGAGGGAGGGTGAGAGTTGCGCGAGCTAGGAAATTCATGCCGTCGAGAGCAAAATTTGTGACATGTCGGCTGTTGGTTTGACAAGGGGATTCGAGGTGGAGGGGAATGTTGAATTTGTTGTGCCCCGCTTTCGACCCCGAAACGCATCTGGACATCAATGTGTGACCGACTCGCAAACGCCGAGGCGCTTTGAGCTTGCTTGGGAAGCAAAATTGAAGGCGCGGGAGGTGGTGCTGGAGGACGCACGAGGACGGATTCTGAAGTGGGCGACGGATATGAACGGCTGAGATTAGTGGAAAGCTCGGAATTCTTCCCGTTTCTTTCGCAAACCAGGCCTGGATTCGTTTAACAAATTAGCGCCATAACTTGTGTTCTGTACCACTATGAGAGTAGGGGGTGGTGTATTGCTATTGTTATAAACTACTACCAAAAAACCCAGCCAGCCACCTTCAAGTGCCATGCTTCACAGCGTTCGCACACACAGCACTTTCAGCCATATGTCCTTGACATCTTGTCCTAGCGAAGGCCAATATGACCTTCATTAAATTTTGTTAAGCCCGTTTAACAGTTTGTGTAGTACGACGCACCCAAACCTGTTATGAACAATGCATGATGTAAATAGTGGATCATTGACGATGTCACAGCAGGCCAACTTGTGTGAGTACCGGTAATACGGTAGAATGATAATAAATATTTCGGGTACAAGTTTGACATCTCTACAACAGTACGGTACATATTGCCAGTGAGATGTTTATTGCATCTGTTAACAATGAAGCACTATACATTGTACCAGGCCACAACGTGCTACAAGGAAAGTGGCACGCCCAGTGACTAGAGGAGAACTTGCACTTGGTTATGAAGCCATGGCAGTGCAGTGACCAAGGGCCAAAGCAGCTCCATCGAAAAGGAAGCCGAGGAATGGGAAGGAAATGTGTTCAGAGGAGAAGAAAATTGTATCGTGCTGTGGGCACGGGTGGGAGCTGCCTCACTGCTGCCTTATGAGTCGACTCAAGAGTCACCATGCAGAGGAGGCCTTTCGAGACGTCTCACGAGTCACTGCGCAGGTGGTGGTGGCACCGTGGTGTTGGGATCTGTACGGAGGAGAAGTTGGTGGTGCCACGGCTGGGGTCTGCTTCTCTGTTGCCCTTAGCAGCACCTCGTGAGTCACCGGGCAGGTGGTGGCGGCACCGTGGTGTTGGAATCTGAACTGGACGGAGGAGGGGTTGCTGCTGTTGCCACTGTGGGGGTCTGCTTCTCTGCTGCCCTTAGCAGCACCTCATGAGTCACTATTGGGGAGGTGGTGGTGGCGGCACCGTGGTGTTAAGATCTGAACTGGACGGAGGAGGGGTTGCTGCTGTTGCCACTGTAGCGTTCTGCTTCTCTGCTGCCACTGGTGGCGGCGACTGGGTTGCTGTGGGAGGGGCTGGTGGTGGCGTGGATGGTGGGGGAGGCGTTGTTGAAGGGGATGGCGAGGGAGGGTTTGGAGGGCGGGGTGATGGAGGGGATGGTGCTGGGGGGGCGAAGTAGACAGAGTCTGGGATGAGCAGCGAGTCCAGTACGTGCACCTGGTGGAGTGAGGAGGGGTGGGGTGGGGTGGGGTGGAGCAGGGTGAGACGGGGTTTGGTGGGCCGCGGCCAGGTGGGGCAGGGTGGGGTTGGTGGGGTGCGGTGGAGGGGGGGAAGTGCACGGATGTGGATGGGGGAGTACGGCAGCAAGGACGAGTGGGGATTGCTAGACCTACATGCACTCACGTGTGCCTGACCTGACATCCCTCAACCCATAGTCCTCACCTGCATGTTCTCGTCCGTGTTGACTTTTGAGTCGACTCAAAATCTTACATGCACTCACACGTGCCTGACATCCCTCAACCCATAGCGCTCACCTGCATGCTCTCGTCCGTGTACGCGTTCGGCATGGTGATGGTGGCACGTGAAGGCACTAGACCTGCATGCACTCACATCTGCCCGAGAGCCCTCCCCTCCCCCCATGGCACTCACCTGCATGATCTCGTCCGTGTATGCATTGGGCATGGTGATGGTGGCACGGGAGGGCCCTCGGCTTGGCCGCAGCACCACGCTGAAGAGAAAGCTCGCTGCGTCCTTCACTAGTGGCTCGTGCTGATCAGTCATGTACTGCAGGGGAGCAGAGGGGCAATGGGTGAGGTGCGATACGAGAAACAAGGAAGAGGTGTGCAAAGGGCCTCTGCTTGGCCGCAGCACCATGCTGAAGAGAAAAGCTCTCTGCGTCCTTCACTCGTGGCTCGTGCTGATCGGCCATGTACTGCAGGGGTGGGGGAGAGGGGAGATGGGAGATGGGAGAGGGGAGAGGGGAGAGGGGAGAGGGGAGAAGGGGAGAGGAAGAGGCGGAGGAAGAGCAAGGCACCATGCTGAAGAGCAAGGCACCATGCTGAAGAGCAAGGCACCATGCTGAAGAGCAAGGCACCATGCTGAAGAGCAAGGCACCATGCTGAAGAGCAAGGCACCATGCTGAAGAGAAAGCTCGCTGCGTCTTTCACTCACCATGGTCTCCGTGGCCACTTGCATGAGATCGGTGTAAGTGATTTGTCGCGCCCGCACCACATGGAAGTTGACCACTGCCGTGGTGATGGCTGGGTTGTTGATGAGGCTGGGTTGTTGATGAGCGGCGATGAGGCTGTACCACCTCCCCCCCCCACCCTCCCTCCCTTGCCCCCAGCCACCCACCCCACTCACCGTGGTCCCAGTCGCGGCTTGAGTCAACTCCGTGTAAGTGACCTGCCTGCCCCGCACCACGTGGAAGTTGACGACTGCCGTGGCGATGGCTGGGTCGTTGATGAGCGGCGAATCATCCGGCAAGTTCTTGATTATGTCGGGGTCCGGCACGAAGAACGTCACTTTCTCCGTTGAGTTTAGGGCTCTTCCCATGAGAGTGAGCAGGCCTGGTGGTGTGTGGGGATGACAGGGGCAGGGCGATAGCAGGATCGGGATGAGCGGAGAATCGGCAGGCAGGTTCTTGAGTATGTCGGGATCCGGCACGAAGAATGTTACTCTCTCCGTTGAGTTTAAGGCTCTTCCCATGAGGGTCAGGAGACCTGGAAAAGGGGTTGGATTGTTGAATGGGCGGGGATGAGAGGGGGCAGTGGAAGGGAGGTGGCGGCGGCAGGTCCTTGATTATGTCACTTTCTCCATTGAGTTTAGGGCTTTTTCCATAAGAGTGAGGAGACCTGGTGATGTGTGGGGATGTCAGAGGGGAGCGGGAAGGGAATGGGGAAAAGGCGGGCAGGTCCTTGATGGTGTCGGGATCGGGCAAGAAGAGTTGAGTTGAGTTACTTTCTCCGTTGAGTTGAGTGCTGCTTTACTCATGAGGGTAAGGAGACCTGCGAAAGGGATTGGAGTGTTGAATGGGCGGGGGGATGGGCGGGGGATGGGAGGGGACAGTGGAAGGGAGGGGACGGCAGCAGGTCCAAAGAAGAAGGTTACTTTCTCCGTTGAGTTTAGTGCCTTGCCTGTGAGAAAAAGAGGACCTCAGTAGGGGGATGCAAGGGTGATGGTGTGTGGGTTGAGACGAGGCGGGCAGGTCGGTCAGGAAATGGGGGGAAATTGTTGAGAGGGGGGGATGGGATATATCCCTCGACCATGGCAGTCGAGGATGGGCAAGTCGAGGATATATCCCTCGATCGACCTCTACAAAAGGCCTCACCTCCGTTGATCGCGAACATCATGAATTGCGGGTCGTCGAAATACGGCTGTAGCATCTTCAACACCTTCTGCGCGTAGCATGTCAAGCGCCGTACAAGATTTTCCGAAATCTCTGAAAAAACTCCTGAAAAGATCCGTGAACCTTCAAAGCCCCGGAAGCCTCACCTCCGTTGATCGCGAACATCATGAACTGCGGGTCGTCGAAATACGGCTGTAGCGTCGTCAACACCTTCTGCGCGTTCCCCAGGTCCACTCCGCCGCTCCCCGTGGGCGGAGACGGCGGAGGGGGACTCGGCGGAGGCGGGGACTTCTGCGCTGAAGAAGGCTTGCGCCGCTTGGGGGGAGAAACAGGCGGAGGGGACTTCGGGGGGGACCGCTTAGGGGGGGATTTTTTAGCGGGGGGCGGGTGCTTGGGGGATTTGCGCTTAGGCGGGGAGGAGGAGTGCGGCGGAGGGGGGCGCCTCTTGGGGAGGATCGGCGAGCGCTTTTTTGGGGGGGAAGTCCCCCGCTTCGGCGGGGAAACCCCGCGCTTGGGCGGAGAAACGCCGTGCTTGGACGGAGAAACGCCGCGCTTGGGCGGGGACGAATTCGAGGCGCTGGCAGAACTTTTCGTGGGGGTCTTCCGCGGATCATTCGCCGGTTTCTTCGGCGGCGCGGGCGACTTCTTCTTAGGTGGAGGGGACGTCTTGGTCATAACGCTGATTAATCTGCTGCCGAGCTTAGGACTCTTCTTGGTCGGACCGGGCCGCGGAACCTCCAGCGACGGCCTCGGCGGCGGCGGCCGCGCGCGTTTCAGCATCTCGGTGTAGAGCAGCGATATGGTCTCCCTGGACCGCGCGGCGCTCGCCGCCGTGGGTAACGGCGGCTCTGGCGGCGGTTTTTCCGCGAAGTTCTCCTCGGCGTTCCGGGGCTTGAAGAATTTCGGTGCGTTTGACGGCGAACTCGACGCCGATTTCGACTGCGAGCTTATGGGATTTCCGCTGCTGCTCTTGAAACTGCTCCGCTTCTCGGAGCTAGTACGGATGCTATCGTGTGAGGCTGTTAACACGCGCGCATTTCCTCGCCCATTGTGGGCGCCATTCACAACGGATCGAACGCTCATGGCAGCGGCATCTGCGCCTGCTACGGCGGCGGCAGTTACGGCGGTAGTTACGGCGGTGAAGGAGCTTCCGCCGGTGGACGGAGCTGTTGCGGGAAGGGCGGAGAGAGCGATCAAGGCTAACACGAAAGCGAGAGAAAACGCTAATCGAGACAACGCCGATGGTGATGACGATGCCGACGGCGCAAGCGACGGAGAACGACTCCGCACTTGATTCCTCTGCCACCACGCCACCATGGCGATCGTCCTGATGGCTTAATCTACGGTGAGTAGGTCGCTTGGATCGTACGGGTTAGCTCAGAAAGCAACCAAGGCTTATCCAGCAATCAAGATCGTAAGGTAGCTAGGAGTGAAACGAGGGTAGCGAGTTGCGGGTGCGTGATTCTAATGACTTTTCGGACAAACGATGATAATTATTTCAAGGGGTGGACATACTTAAACTGTGGGGTGACTACGAAACGAGTGCGAGCTCGCTCTAGTATCGCTACTCGATGTCGGTTGGTCTCTTCTAGGACAAAGTGCTGGGGTTCAAGTTATACACATAGTTGACTATATTGGGCCGTATACAGTAGCCGTCCACTCCAACTGTACCACCGCGTTTCGGCTTGATCGGTATTGTGAAATCGGCGTAAGCATATCGTGGAGGTAGCGAAGGGGACGTGCCAAATCTGTTGCCGGCACCCTGTTTCGCTCTTTTTCTTTTCGTGGTTCGCTTGTGGCTCTGACGGGCAAAGACGGTGCTGGTCGGTTGGTAGGAGGATCAGTGCATCTGGGGGCGCTTGCTCTTCCTTGATTCAGCAGCATCCCACATTCCGACGGCACAAGAAAGACGGGTCAACTTGAGGACCTCCTGGAAATGGAAATGAACGATTTAGATGGTTAGCTGTGCGAGCGGGAACCGCGGCCAGCCAGGCATGACACCAAAAAATGGAGATTGCGGAAGTTGAAGAAACGGGAGGGGAAATAGCGACAGGCTAGGGAAGTGGAGGAAAAATGCGGGAAGAATTTGGGAGGGGGGGGTTTTTTGCGGGACAAAGCTGTGAGGATTGAGAGGAATTGGATTGGACTGAAGACATTTCGACAAGGACGACTCGGTTGGCGCTTTGTGCGATGCCGACGCGATCGCTGACAGAAATTGGTTCCGCCTGGTTGATGTTAGTGGTACACTACGGTGGTGTGAATTTTCGAAGTGTTACAGTATTCACGTTGCCAAACAATTTATTCATAAGCAGTCCGAGTGTACTGGTGAGGAAAACATCTCCGTGAATCAGTCAACAAGGAGTTCTTTCGTTTTGGCCAAACCTCCAGCGACCAAATCAACCAATCGATGTGGCATGGGCAGCATCCAGCGTGTCAGGGATCATCAATGAGCACCCACGAACCTGGTCGTGAGCCATTCATTGGCTGGCTCCACTTGTCCAGGCTCCATACTGTACACCTCGGCAAAAGGCCGAAACAGTTTGCTTGCCACTTGTGTCGTTGCTCCTTGTGTCCGCCGAACAGAAACCATGAGGGTGCTATTTTGTTTGGCATCTCGATCAAGGGCCGTTGGATAAGCGATTTCTTGTATCCAACGATGAAGATGGAGCAAGTGGCAATATTTTCTGCCGAGATTTTCTCCTATCCAAGCCAATGGGTACGTACTATTCTTCCAATGATCATCCTCGATAGAATAACCAGAGCGCCCGTCGTTTCCCTAAGAGATACTCTCTGAACTGGACAACTCGGGAATGAAGGGCTTGGGACTTTGACTGGAGATTGAAGAGAGTTTAGGAGATTCGAAGCAGCAGCAGAGCAGAAGCAGCACCACCACTCTTCTGACAACGAAGATAGCTAACTTAGGGAGTGACGAAGGAAGCTTAAATTACAGCAACAGCACACACATTCTGTTCATTTGCAACAGAAGCAGCGTTTAAAGAGTTCACGCGGGAACTCATCTTGGATTAGCAGCTTCTAATTATTGGCGTCATAGACTGGTTTGATGATCTCCACATACGATCTCCATCGTCGCGGCTGTAGCAATAACATCTACCGATGAAGCAGGCGTTTCACCAGCCTCCGTTTCACCCTGATTCGAATCCGTTTTCGTCAGCACGCCAAGGATATTGGGGAGGAATGGACAATGCAGCCTATCAGTCAAGCTACACGGTAATTTTCATTAGCCAACCAGGAATAGAAACGTCTTTCTTGCTCGAATGAAGTTATCGCGAGTGTAAAACTCCTGGTTTAGCTTACACTGAATCCTCCACCCACCGGATCTCTCTTGACAGCGAAGGCTTGCAATGCAGGCTGTATCTGATTCTTCTCGATTCAAAATGCTCGTTTGCCCTTTTTCTTCGCAATGCAGCGTGACACGCATTGGAGGAGCGGTACCACTATCCCTAATGGAAGGACGGGGAGCGTGGTCGGATTGGGTGACGCTGCGATTGGAGCAGCTTGTATAAACGCAACGGCCGTGCTGGCAACGGCAACGCAGCATTCCGCAGCCATCCCTTACCACGTCCAGGACAGAACTGCAGGTGAATCCGATGCCTCACTCGCTTCGTGATTCAACTCAGTGAGCTATGCAGCAGTCTGCACCCATTCGTTACCACGACCAGGACGGTACAGCAGGTGGGTCCGATATCTGAGTCCCTTCTTTGCTCATTCAGTGAGCAATGCAGCATTCTGCATGCATCCCTTACCGCGTCCAGGACAGGACAGCAGGTGAATCCGATGTCTGAGTCGCTTCTTTACTTCACTCAGAGAGCAATGCAGCACTTCGCAGCCATCCCTCTTACCGCGTCCAGCACAGTAAAGCATGTGAATCCGATGTCTGGGTCGCTTTTTAAGTCGGTTCAAGTAACAATGCAGCATTATGCAAGCATTTCTTATGACGACCGGCGCAGAATAGCAGATGAATTCGCGACTTCAATAAACCAGGCTGCGGATCTGGAGGTCCGAGATCGTTCTGACCCTTGCGGCGTCACTTTTGAAAATTCTCAACACTGGAGGTCCGGATCGTTAGGAACGTTTGAGTTCGTTCCAAGACGTGACACTGAATCTTGAAAATGATATTGGCGTGTCTTCCTGCAGAGGATTCAGTGCTACTAGCGGATCACAAATTCCCGCATGTCACCTTATGTGATCATGTGATTTTTTTTTTTTTTTTTTTTTTTTTTTTTTTGGCGTGCTTTGGCTCCACGCAGGTGGGTGGACTCAGGCGGAAATATCCGTCCCTTATTCCCAGGCCTATCCCGCTTCCACTGTCAATGCAGCTGCGTCGTCAAGAATGCACCACCAGCTAGCAGCGTACCAACAACCGCCACAGAAAGGTCACCACCATTTGCCGTCACACCAGCAGCACGTGCAGTTTCAACCGCAGCACCAGCACCACCAGCAGAATCTGCACCGGCAGCAACACCAACAACACCAACAGCAACAGCAGCAGCAACATTTTCCGTTTCAGCAGGAAATTCACCTGCAGCAACAGCAGCCAGTGCAGCCGTACCAGCAGCAGCAGCAGCAGCCGCTTGAGTATCATCATCAGCAACAGCAGCAACCACTGCAACTGCAACATGAGCAACAAGAGCTACCTCATCATAAGACGAACACAAGATTTCTGCAGCCACATCAGAAGCAGCAGCCTTCATGCAGATTCGACAATTCTCTCGGTAAGGAGTAGGGGGGGAAGGAGGGCCAGAGGTCAGTCAGAAAGTTGAGTGTGTGTGTGAATCGAGATCTGGTGCCCTCCCTTTGCATTCAACCCAGACTTCGTCTCGTTCTATCCCGCCTCTCTCCTCTCGCATCACACCATTTCCACCAACCTCATGGTTCTTGAGTCTTCACGTCTACAACTCATTTATACTCAGCGCTCAGTCATATGCTGCCGTCCTTTCCACCCTGCTGTTGCCACCGTTTTTGCTCGTCTCCAGGGCTGTTGACGCGGAAGTTCATTGATCTCATCAAGGCCAGTCCCGACTGCTCTGTGGATCTCAACGTCGCTGCTGCCTCCCTCAGCGTGCGTCTCCTGACACCCATTGTGCCATTGTGCCATTGTGCCATTGTGCCATTGTGCCATTGTGCCATTGTGCCATTGTGCCAAACGTTTGCTCCAAACGTTCTGTGCTCTCTCTACCTGGCGAGTTCTTGTAACGGTCAGTCCGGACTGCTCCCCGTGCCCCTCCACTTGCCCTTTACCCCAACCCCAACCATCCTGCTTTCTTGTCTGCAGGTACAAAAGCAGCAAACTTATGACATTACCAACGAGCCCGTGGGCATAGGGTTGATTCAATGTGCTCCCTGCATGACCCTCCTGAGGCGCCTCAAAAGTCATTACCAACGTGCCCGTGGGCATAGGGTTGATCCAATGTGCTCCCTGCATGACCCTCCCCTGCTCCCATCCCCTACCACCCATCCCCCCACCCCTGCCCCCACCCCTACCTCCACTCTGTCATCACTGCAGGTGCAGAAGCGGCGGATCTACGACATCACCAACGTGCTGGAGGGCATCGGGCTGATTGAGCGTGTTGGGGGCATGACCCTCCCCTGCTACCAACCCCATGCCGACCCTCTATTCGCGTCTGCAGGTGCAGAAGCGGCGGATCTACGACATCACCAACGTGCTTGAGGGCATCAGGCTGATTGAGAAGAAGGGCAAGAACATTGTGCGATGGGCGTGAGTGCCTGGGAAGAGGAGGAACGGATGGGGACGGGGGGTGGTGGGTTGAGTGCCTGGGGAGGAAGGTGCAGTCAGATGGGGGTAAAGGGCTGATCGAGAAGGAGGGTAAGAACATGGTGCGATGGGCGTGAGTGTTGGGAAGGGGGGCGAGTGATTGCAGGGGGGCGGGCGGGTGAGTGCATGGGAATGGGGGGTGTGGGTGAGGGCATGGGGGGGTGTGGGTGAGTGCATGGGGGGGTGGGGGTGAGGGCATGGGGGGTTGGGGCTGAGGGCATGCGAGGAGAGGGGAATGAGTGGTAGGGCCGGGATGGGAATGGTGAGCTTGTGAGGGGAGGGGAGGATTCAGTAGTGTGTGAGCCAGAGCTCTGAGACAGTATGAAAACTGTGTGCTCCGACCGACCCCCCTTTTGAGACGTCTCAAAAACTGTGTGCTCTGACCGACCCCCCTCCTTGTACTCTGGTAGACCGAGACAGAGGTTTCTTTATACTATTTCTCCGAACCCCCTCTCTGTGCTGTGCGTGTGTGAAACAGGGGGATGAACCTGCAAGGGGAGGGAGCGACACGCATGCAACACGACGTGAGCAGTGCCCAGGTGCGGTGCTGTGCTGTGCGGTGCTGTGCTGTGCAGTGCTCTGCTGTGCACCGGTGTGGTTGGGGGCATGGGGGATGGGGGAAAGGAGGGATGCGGGGGGGGATTTGGCTGGGGCCTGTGGGAGGAAAGGTGGGGGAGGAGTATGGAAGGGTGGGTCATGGTTGGAGGCGTTTGGATGTTGGTCTTGCATTGTAAATGAGCCCGTCGTGGCACCTATTTCTCCTCCTCCTCCTTCCCCTCCCTCCCTTTCCCCCTTTTTTTTCCGTCTCCCCGCCTTTCCCCCATTCCTCCATTTCTCCCTCCCCCTTCGTCGTTTCCCCCCCCTTCCCCTCCTCCCCGTCCCCCTACCCCCTCCACGCACCCTGCATCTTCCCATCACCCTTTCCAATCACTTCCTGCCATGGCATTGCGTTTCCAATAGCTACCACGCCCATTGCGCTTGTTGTTCGGTCCATCGTCCATCGTCCATCGTCCATCGTCCATCATGCATCGTCCATCGTCCACTATCCATTTTGAGTCGACTCAAAATCTTCCACTATCCATTTCTCACATTGCCAAACGGCTATTTTCCCTCCCCCCCTCCACTTTTTTTTCTCCCTCTTTCCCTTTCCCTGGTCCAATCAGGCTCAGCTAGACGAGTTGAGGCAGCAAGACGGACAGCTAGACAGAGACATCAGGTACGCACTCTATCTCTCTCTCCCCTCCTTGCCTCTCCTCTTCCTCTCTTTTCCTCTTCCTCTGTTCGTATGGAGCGGAGGTGACGTTCATAAAAGTTGAGTTTTGAGACGTCTCAAAGCTCAACTTTTATCACGAGGCGTCAACTTTGACATGCAGGAGCCGCTGCAGGTATATCATGGCACACTTCCTGAGCGATTCAAGGGAATCCTCTTTCCCCCCTCTGTTACCTCCAACCCCCTGCACACAGGGCCATGCAGGAGCGGCTGCGGTTGTCGGGCACAGATGGGGAGAAGAAGCAGTGGATGTTTGTGACAGAAGATGACATCAAGAGCCTGCCGTGCTTCCAGGTAGTGAGCAATGCGCCTTGTAAATGGTGGTGTCTTTTCTACCTTATCTGTGCATACCCTTGGCCTGAAAGTTGCATTTTCCTCATTCCCATGATGCCGAAACCTACCATGCGCGCATCTTTTCACAACCACACCTCCATGTCCCAACCTTTCTCCTTTCTCCAATTCCCCGCCCCAATCCCGCCGCCCTTCCCCCACTCCCCCCTCCCTTGGCCCACTTCCCCCTCCCTTACCCCAATTCCCCCTTCCTTGCCCCATCCTCCCTCCCTTACCCCGTCCTCCCTCCCTTGCCCCGCCCTCCCTCCCTTGCCCCGCCCTCCCTCCCTTGCCCCGCCCTCCCTCCTTTGCCCCATCCTCCCTCCTTGGCCCAATTCCCCTCTCCCTTCTATTCCAGAATGAGACGCTCATCGCCATCCGCGCTCCGCATGGCACCATGTTGGAAGTTCCTGATCCTGACGAGGTGAGACCTGATAGGGTGAATGCTGACGTGGTCAGTGCTGACGTGGTGATTCCTGATGGGGTGAGTCCTGCTGCTGGTGCTCTCAGCTGCCCTATCAAAGTATGGGGACCGTTCACATCAGGTGCTCCCATCCACATCATCATACCTAGCGACCCCTCATCACTCAATCTGCACCGTTCCTTTCTCACGACCCGATCACCTTTTCAAACCCACTTCCCATGCTCGCACCTCCCATGCCCCCTCTCCCCTCTCCCCTCTCCCCACCTCAACCCACCTCCTCCCCCTTCCCGTGCCCAATCCCCCCCTCCACCCTTCCATGTGTGGCACAGGCGGGCAGGGCACACAGCGGCCCATCGCCATGCAACACGCGGTATCAGTTCCTACTGCACGCCTCAACCCTCCCCTCTCCTTTCTTCCTCCACCCTCCGTCCTCCACCCACTTCCCCACCCGTCCCACGCCCTGCCCTCTCCCCTTATACCGGTCCTCGTGTGTGTCACGCAGGCAGGCAGAGCACACAGCGGCCCATCACCATGCAGCAAGCGGTATCAGATCCTGCTGCGCAGCGCCAATGGCCCCATCGACGTCTACCTCGTTAGGTTTGACCATGCCGTGCACCCCCATTGACGTGTACCAATGCCATGTACCCCCGTTGACGTCCTCCCAATGCCTTGTACCCCAACTCCCCCACTCTTCCCCCCTTCCCCCCCCCCCCCGTTTCCCGTCCACTTTCCCCCACCCCTTTCCCCTCCTCCCACCTCTTCCTACCCCCCCCCTTTTAACAAACCCCTCTTACATTCATTTCTTACCTCTATCGTTCTCGTCCCCCCAAGAATCCAACTTTCCTGCCTTCCCCCTTCCCCGGGCTCCCAACCTCCCAAGTTCTCGCGCGGTATCCATTCAGATGCATAGGACTTGTAATCCCTCATTATTGAGGTCCTCGTACTGAATTCTCAGAGATATATTCCACTGCTTTTGTCTTGTAATCTCTCTTACTCTACAGCCTTTTCTTGGAGTTGAAAAAATTGCATGCAGCTGCAGTGATTTTGTAAGACCTCTCTCATTACTGTGGCGCCTCTTAGTCACTCTCTCTTATGCGTCTCCCTGCTCGTCCCTCCAGCCGGTTTGAGGAGAAGTTTGATGGTGCCACGGACCACACCACTTCTCCTGCTGCGCCTGCCACTGAAAATGTGACCGAGGGAACAGAGAGTGCTGTGGTGGAAACGAGATCAGCAGCAGCAACAGCAGTGACTGCTGGAGAAGTAGCAGCAGCAGCAGCAGCAGCAGCAGCACCAACAGCAGCAGCAGCAGCAGCAGCAGCAGCAGCAGCAGCAGCAGCAGCAGCAGCAGCAGCAGGAGGAGGACAGGAGGGAGCAGTTACGGGAGCGGGGGTGGGAATAGACTCAAGCCCTGGGACTTGGGGGTGTGGAGGGGGGAGGGGGCCAGAAGGAGGAAGTATGGGTATGGGGGATGGGGAGGGGGACATGTGGATGCCAGTGCCAGGAATGCAAGGGGATGTGGCCGGACCAATGAGAGTTGTTCCCGCCGAGCCAGTGGTGAGTGTGGCGAAGCCGGAAAGAATATTTAGTATCAAAAACCTTTTTGCAGCACTTCCCCGTGTTTGTTGCCCGAGACTTTTCTTTCCGTTCATCCTTCTTTTCCTTGAGTCAGTCGGTTCACTCAGCGCAATGATTGTTTTGTTACGTGGTATCTTGCCTGCATCTCATTGCTCTAAGTGCTCCCTACATATACCCCCAATGCAGGACTACTGGCTTTTGTCCGACAACCACTTGGGCTTGACTGATATTTGGCGTACCGATCCTCCGTAAATGCATTGCATATGTACCACTTCATAAGAACTACATACAATGTAGAACGATAGATGTGTGAAAGTGTTTGTGGGTGTCAGCATAGATGTGGAAAGTCAACAGCGAAGCATTTCAGTTTGGCTGGTTAGTCATTTCGGCAACGGGCAGCTTCCGTCAAATCCGCAACATCGCCGCGGTTGTTGCAATTGTCCCACAGAATCGTTGCGATCGAGGCAACATGGAAGATCTTCCAAAATCAATTCAGCACCAGCAATACAGCTGTATGGGCTGGCTGGGGGGAGAATGTTTCAGGTGTACCGCAGCAAATTGCCCATAGAGTTTTGATCAACGGCCTGAGGTTTCCTTATGCATGTGATTTTGTCATATTCCTCTCTCACCTGCCCCAACAGAAAACGTCACAGCTGTCATTCGTTTGGACAGGTTCCGCGTTTGTGAAGTGCTACAACACGGTAGGTTTCAGGTCGGTCATCCTGGAAGTAGTGGAGTAGCAGGGAACACGAGTTTCTCGAGGGAAATGATATTTCTAGAAACTTGTTGTGTGATGCCCGTGTTTCCATCGCAGTTGTACAGTTCAGTACTCGCCAAGCGCGCAAGCAAACGGGCAGGGCAGGTGTTGATGTTTGCTATTGGTTTCTGGTCAGGACCTGGACGTGTCGTTCGGTGGAGTCCAGGGAAAAGCTGACAAAACAGCGGCTCCGCGTGCAAGTCTACTGTAACATTAACTCGTCCTTGCCACCACCATCATTCCTCCATGCCAGCTTTCTCTCACACCTCCCTGTCATCTCTATCACACCTCCCATCCCATCCCATCCCATACACGGACACATCTCCCTCTCACATCACCTTCACACTTCCCTCCCACATCACCACACTCCCTCCTCTTCCCCCCCCTTGCTCCTCTCGGCATCGGGTTTCGTTTCAAGGTTTGACTTCCGAACCTGATCCCCAGCCTGATTCTCTTCTTGAGTCTCCCTTATAGCCCTTCAGCTCTTGATGGTTCTGTTTGACCAAGCAAGTCCTTGAGCGCATTCTCCGCTGTACTTAATTTCCCATGTAGTTTTCAGAATCTCGACTTGTTCCCCTCGACCTTTCATGTGAACATTCTTGATCAACTGCTCTCTCTCTCCAGCCACTTCTTAGCAGGCATTCACACTCGTTCCTGACTTCCAGCATTCGTCTACCTAATCCGAAACCTGATTTCGCAGATGTCGATAGCTACTGCCCATAGTCCTCCCCAGTCGATTATTAACGAGCAGCTTTCCACTTCCAGATTCACCTCGACACCACGTCGTCCGGCTGTCAAACGTCACAATTCCATGCGCAAGTCCTTGGAACCGTCGATTTCTCTGAGTCGCAACCCCGCCATTCCATCCAACGGCCCAGGTGGCGAGTCTGTTCAACGCTCGCCTGTGGAGGAAGAGTGGCCTTTCTCAGGGCCTCCCCTGTCTGACTCAAACCCGTCGCCATCTACGGCTGCTCCATTCAGCCGTCACAGCTGGTCGTCGGGATGTGACAGCCGACCGTCAACTGCTGACGGCCGCAGTTCGCCGTCAATGACGGCGTCACCAGTTCGTTTTTTCCGTCGGCATGCTTTCACGGGAACGCATCTCCAGAGAGCTTGCAGTACTCCACCGCGAGGTCGGTTAGGAGCAGTCGGACCGTTTGCACGAGCTGGTGACATTCTCAAGGAGGAGATGGCTCAGGAAATTTAGCACATAAGATGCGGTTGGGGGAGTTGTTGTGGAAGGAGGTGATGAGAGCACCCGACGTGCCTATATCGGCATGACAACTGGTTGCAATGCACTTTTTTTTTTCATTCTTTTAGTCTCTGTAAACCAATAATGTGCATAACTTGTTCACAATGCGACCAGAAAGCCCGCTGTAGCCTCATATATCGTGCCAGAAACAGTCTTTATGTCTGCGCTATTGAATTGATGCCAAGTGACGTGCTTCACATAGCAAATCAAGCTGAACCTGCCTTTCTCCCTTCTCTTGGAGTGGAAGTGGGTGGTAATTGACTCTACGTTACACCTTAGTACTTCAAATTTGTGTTGCTATCTAGCAATATTTAGAAGCTATAAATGTACCTACACTGTACCTACACTGAGCATCCTCGCTGCTCAAGATCCAAGTTGCAGCGCCACGCCTTCACCCCAGAAAGCATCTTCCGCCCTGGAAATGAGCAAGATTCCTCAAAATCATGCACGTGGCAGCCAAGTCAGCGTACGGCGCTAGCTCTCATTGGGCAGCGGCCTTCCCCACGGAGAATTTCCTTCAGATCGGTCACAGGTTCCCTCGTTGTAACGTCACACACCAGGCGCTACCCTGGCCCCTCGCACCCTTCCCGTCGCGACCTTCCTGTGGCTGCGTCTCCAGGGGCCCTTCCGCTCATCGTCCAGTTCGGTTCAGTACTTTTCAACACGGTAAAAAAATTCACCAGTTTGAACCGCATGGACCGAAAGAAATCGTGGTTCGGGAATTTACAACGCATGCTCTCGAGACTGGTGAATGACCAGGATTGCGAGACTGGCCATTGCGGTCCGTCCGGACAGATCAAAGTGACTATTGATTGATCACTAGGTAGAGTGACCATTCGAGAAGTTAGGAGTTTCCCAGGCGATCTTAGTGCTTTGCTGTTCAATCACAAAGTGGTGAAGAATATTCTATCCAGCAGAGCGTCTTCGGAAGGGCATCTAAGCCAAATCGCATGAACTGATCTGGCCTCACGCCTGTGAAAGCCCGTGGTACTGTAGGACTTGCTTCTGGCTGTTGTAGCCCAGTCATCTCTCAGCTAACCGCGTGTTTGCAACGTAAATTGATCAGTAGTCAGATAAACTTCATACCGACTGTGTTATAGACCAGACTTCTGATTTCTTACCAAGCTGTATTTCATAGGGAGAGGAAAATAAAAATCAATTTGCTGAAAAAAAGTAAGTGTTTTCGCCATGGACCCTGCAGCTTCATCTCAAGGCTTAGCGATCAGCTCGAAGCCTCAGGAGTCTCGCAAAGTGTCGTTCTCCGAACGCCAGCAGCAGCGACGGCGCGGCTCGCGGAGATCCCTTGCCGCATCCTCCAATGGGGATGCATCCGGATCGCCGACCGCTCAATCCGAAAATGGTCCGAATGGAGGCTCGTTCGGTTTCCGTGGACATCGCATGAAACCGGATAAAGTTACCTTCTCGGAGCGTCAGCGGTTGAGAAAAGCAGGCGAGCTCGAAGAAGAGGATGCGAAGCCAATCTTTGGGAATCGAATGAAGTCCAAGGTGACGTTTTCAGAGCGGCAACGGCAGAAGCACAGGAGGAGAAAAACTCTGAACGAGATGGAAACGCTTGAGTGTGTGGATGGAGAATTCGGATTCAGCTGGTCGGAATACGCGTCGGATTCGTCGTCCGAGGCGCCGACGCCGGCAGGTGGTTTGGAGAAGGTCGAGTTTGGCGAAGAGCTGCGAGACGAAACTGGCGAAGCTGGCGAAGGGACGGTGGTGGGAACGGCGTGGAAGGCGAATCGTGGTTTCCGAGTGCAGATTCGCCTGGGAGGAGCGGCGAAGAAGCTTGTCAGCGGAGCCATTGCCGGAGGAGTATCACGCACAGGTGCGTGCCGTTTCATAGGTCCTCTCTCATTTTCATTCTTTTTTTTTTTTCATTTAATCCTTCGCTTCGCTCGCCAAAGCCCCGTTTGCGGCACCTCCGTCTTCTTCCCGCAAGCTGCAATGCATTTGCTCGGAACTGTTCGATAGGAAGTAGCACATTGATAATCAGGACGCGTTTCTGGCAAATGAAGTACCACCTTCATCATGGAAATGCGCAATGTGGCTATGCTGGCTCTGCTGGAGAAGATCCGCACGCATCTGATGGTGGGGAGCTCGGGCAACTGATTTTAACAATTATAGTATATTCTAAATTTGGTAATATAAACTCGCAATGTTGCAGTGGTGGCGCCGCTGGAGACGATTCGCACGCACCTGATGGTGGGGAGCTCGGGGCACCGCACGATCGTGGGCGTGTTCCGCTGGATCATGCAGAAGGAGGGGTGGCGCGGGCTGTTCCGCGGCAACGCCATCAACGTCATCCGCGTGGCGCCGGGGAAGGCCGTGGAGGTGAGATGTGCTCATGCGAGGAGATCTCTTGTGCTTTTGAGTCGACTCAAAAGTCGTTTTGCTCATGCGAGGAGATCCCTTGTGCACTTACCTCATGTTTACATGCCTCGAGGTGGGCTTTCAACTGATCTTTTAGTCTACTCGAAAAGCGGCAAGCCGTCAACGACATTCGCGCGGCTCCTGGAAAGGCTGTCGAGGTGAGATGTGCACCCGTGAGGAGACCAGGCCGATGGGCCCTTGCCTCACAGGGTGAAGTGAAGTTAACAATTCTGTAGTTTTGAGTCGACTCAAAATGTGCACCCGTGAGGAGACCAGACCGATGGGCCCTTGCCTCACAGGTTGAATTTAACAATTCTGGACATGCCTTGCAATCTCAGCTGCTGCATTCATCGCATTGAGCACTCAGATGCTGCATTGATCACGTGCATCGTGCATCGTGCTGCTGAGTGACACATGCCTATGTTCCCATGCTTAATGCCTGCTCAGACTACGCTCAGCCTATCTTAACGCTAGGCAAGGAAATCCGAGCGATTAAGGGACGAGACAAGGAAACGCCATTGTATTACGTTTCCCACGTACTCTTCTCTTCGATGGTGCTTTGCATGCAGTGCCGTGGACGTCCAGAAGCCACGTGTAAAGAGTGAAGTTTTGAGACGTCTCAAAACTTCGACGGTGCTTTGCATGCAGTGCTGTGCCGTGGACGTCCAGAAGCCACGTGTAAAGAGTGAAGTTTTGAGACGTCTCAAAACTTCGACGATGCTTTGCACGCAGTGCTGTGCCGTGGACGTCCAGAAGCCACGTGTAAAGAGTGAAGTTTTGAGACGTCTCAAAACTTCGACGGTGCTTTGCATGCAGTGCCGTGCCGTGGACGTCCAGAAGCCACGTGTTAAGAGTGAAGTTTTGAGACGTCTCAAAACTTCGACGGTGCTTTGCATGCAGTGCTGTGGACGTCCAGAAGCCACGTGTATGTCCAGTGCCGTATACTCTTCTCTTCGACGGTGCTTTGCATGCAGTGCCGTGCTGTGGACGTCCAGAACATCACAGTCCCATCAGTTTCTTTCTTATTCCTCCGTTGCCCTTTCCCCCTCCGATGCCTCGTGAGATGCGCCTTTGTGCGGAAGCTGCTCGCACCAACCAGGGAAAGAACGTGCCCAACATGTGTTGCTCATGCGCCCATACGCCCATACCTCCTTCCTCCTTCCCCCACTTCCCTCACCACCCAGCTAGCCACGTACGACACAATCAAAAAGCTGCTCACGCCGCCGGACGGTGGCAAGCCCATGATTCCCATCCCACCCTCCTCCATCGCCGGCTCTTCTGCTGGCGTGGCCGTCCAACATGTGTTTGCCCATGCGCTCATACCCCCGTTCCTCCTTCCTCTGTTGCTCTTCTCCTCCTCCTCCCTCTCCCCCCCTCCCCCCCCCGCACCAGCTAGCTACGTACGACACAGTCAAGAAGCTGCTTACACCTGCGGACGGTGGCAAGCCCATCATCCCCATCCCGCCCTCCTCCATCGCTGGGTCCGCTGCTGGCGTGGCCGCCTGCTGTCTCATGTACCCCCTCGAGCTCGTGAAGACTCGGCTCACCATTCAGGTGAGCTTTTTAGGGTTGGGTGGGTGGGTGGGTGCTTGAGTGGGTGGTTGGGTGGGTTGTGTGGGTGCTTGACTGGGTTGTTGGGTGGGTGGGTGGGTGATTGAGTGGGTTGGGTGTGTGGGTGGGTTGTTTAGGGTTGGGTGGTTGGGTGGGAAATAAAGTGCATTGATGGGATCTGCTGCTGGCGTGGCCGCCTGCTGCCTCATATACCCTCTCGAGCGCGTTCTGACAATTACAAGACAAGGCTCACCATCAAGCCTGGATGTTAAGCTCAGTAGTTTCAGGTTGTTAAGCCTCTCCCACTACATTCCAGCCGCACATCAAGCCCCCCCCCCCTCCTCCCCCCCCAACCCCCACCCCCACCCACTACATCCCAACCGTACATCAAGGCCCCCCCAACTACATCCCAGCCTTCTGTCTTCTGTCTCTCTTCCCCTCCCCCGTTCCCCCTTCCCCCCCCCCCTCTCCCCTCCCCCGTCCCCCCTCCCCTCCCCACCTCCCCTCCTTCCCCCCCCTTTTTCCGAGCAGCTGGGCGAGTACCGCTCTTTTGAGGCGCTTCAAAAGTCCCCACCTCCCCTCCTCCCCCCCCCTTTAATCCGAGCAGCCGGGCGAGTACCGCTCCATTCTGCATGCGTTCTACCGCATCATCACAGAGGAGGGCGCTCACGAGCTCTACCGCGGACTGGGACCCAGCCTGATAGGCATCGTGCCGTATGCCGGCTCCAACTACTTTGCATATGACACGCTGCGCACGCTCTACAAGAAGATAACCAAGAAAGACAAGATCGAGCCGCTTGCGACGCTTGTGATCGGGTCGCTTGCGGGTGCTGCTGCTGCATCTGCCACGTTCCCCTTGGAAGTGGCTCGCAAACAGGTATGTGTGTGTGTGTGTGTGTGTGTGTGTGTGTGTGTGTGTGTGTGTGTGTGTGTGTGTGTGTGTGTGTGTGTTGGGGGGTTGTGCTATCTGGGTTGTTATGCCGGCTCCAACTACTTGGCATATGACACACTGCACACACTCTACAAGAGGCTCTCAAAGGAGAAGATCGAGCCGCTTGCGACGCTCATCATCGGGTCGCTTGTCGGTGCTGCGACTGCCTCGGCCACGTTTACGTTGGAAGTGGCTCGGAAACAGGTGTGTGTGTCTAGTGCTCTGTGGGGGGAATGACTTTGAGTCGATTCAAAGGTCGCTCGCGGGTGCTTCTGCTGCCTCTGCCACGTCCCCCTTGGATGTAGCTCGTGAACAGGTGTGTGTGGTCTGGGTGCTTTGTGAAGGGGGTGTGTTTCATTCCGCCTCTTGCTGCTGCTATTGCTGAGGCAACTGCTGGTGCTGCTCGATCTGCTGGCGCTGCTGCTGCTGCCTCCTCACCCATATTTCCACTAAGACCATGTGCAAGCAGCTTCCTAGGCCAAGCTTTACATGAGTTGATATCAGCAGAACGTGTCGTGCATTATCAGGCTTTGCCTGTATCAATCTGGCTCAATGTTCGCATCATGTCAACCCTTATCTCTTGCAATCTATGTTGCCCCTTTCTGTTTACTCTTGCAGATGCAAGTCGGTGCACTCAAAGGCCGTGTTGTGTACAAGGGAACACTGGACTGCATTCAGAGGATCGTGCAGGAGCAGGGAATTCAAGGGCTCTACAGGGGACTCGTGCCGTCGTGCGTCAAGCTAATGCCTGCTGCAGGGATCTCGTTCATGTGCTATGAAGCACTCAAGCATGTTTTTGTTGACGACGATGATAAGGTTACGGTAGCAAAACCAGGAGGTGCTTGACAATGCAAGGCTAGGCATCGATGCTGTTGGGGGAATACAATGCGTAACATATGATTCTATATATTTTTGTCCCTTAGAGGTGATCTCTATTTGTGAGTTGAAAAAACATTCATATACTCTTCAAAACCAGAACATTCCGTCAACACATTTACCGTAGCTGATTGGACGAGAAGTCTGTCCTTTTTTTGAATAAGGGGCAAAACATAAATTGCACAATTGAGCCTTCAGAGGTCTTGCCCACTTTAGCAACAAAAAAAAAAAGAGGTTTATTTACCCACTTGAACAGTTGAATAATGCTTCTTGACAGCCTAACAACCCCTCTTGACACCCTGCAATCTCCACTTTTGTCTTATACTAAATCCGCCGGCATGCCATCATTTATTCCGAACCTGAACCGTACAGTCTACTCAGAGGCTCATACGAGCAGTAACAGTAAAACACGGGCGAATCCGCAACCGTCTGCGCGTGCTCGCGGAAGCGATCTGCCCGCGGGCAGGAAAAAAACTAAACCCCATCGCGACCGGCATGCGGCTCGGGAGCCTCAACCCTAAAATCTTAGGGTTGAGGCTCCCGAAGGCATGCCGGTCGCCTTGGGGTTTATTTGTTTTGCCCGGGGCAGATCGCTTCCGCCGGCTCCGCGTCCTGGTGGAAACGAGTTTCCACCAGGGGGGCACCTGGTGGAAATGCGCCCACCAGGGCTCGTAGGACCCCTTACGTCGTTCTAGCTTTGGGATACGCTTGGTTAGGCTTGAAAGTGGCTCGGGTAAAGTAGTCCCTCCTCAAGAACCGTCGTATAAAACGTGTGTATCGTTCAAAAACCTCTAGTACCGTACTAGCGCTAACCACAGCTCATGGCTTCAAGCACATCTCCCCAGCATCTCACCTTCTTGGCCAGACCTTCAGGGAAGAAATGACACGTCAGTGTAACCTGTGTTCCTGCTGTCACCGGTGATGTACAACCATCAAGCCGTCAGTCAGGAGCCGACCGAAGGGTAACTGCCAGCATGCCGGTAGCCAGGAATGCCGAGGCTGGACGGCTGTGGTCCAACCACACTTTCTTTCCTCGGCGCCAGCTGGTTTGAATTTAGCTGTGGCTTCGGCCGCGCGTTTATGATGACGGGCTGAGCTGAGCCTGCTCTTCCCAACTCAATTCGTGTACAGTACATGACACGTAAATGCGGCTCGTCTTGAGGGGCGAATTGCGATCGATTTCGTACAATCCTTCCTTTCCTTATCAATGTTGGCATTTCCATTTCGTACGCCGTGAGACTTCCGTCGGCAACATCGAGCTGGTTCAACGACAAAGCACAAGATCTGTACTTTCTCGGAAGAGGGGCGACACGCCCGAACCGCGCACCACTGGTCACTGCAAAAAACACGAGTGCTGCCGCAAATGACACGTGAGCAGAGCGTGATTGTCCGTCAGTTCCCTGCTGCTCCTGCAGTAAGCCCGTCACGTTTACCACTGTTAGGTTTACAAAAACTGTTAGTAATCGCTATCAGGTTCGTGATAGGTACTCGTTACCGTCACCTCAATCGCAACGCTCACCGCGCCGGCAATATCTTCTTTCTCAAGAAAGCTCAGCTTTACTCATTGCGGCAGGCCCGATTTGGACCAGTTAGCTAGTATAGAAGTCTGACCTACCCTTTGAGGTTTGTCAGCATTCGCATCTCGAATACATAAACGCTATCATAGCATGTCTCTGATTAGTAGCATCGTGTAAAGTGACGCTGAGTACTGCGATAAATCTACCTGCAACAAATACCCTAAAATTAGCGGATTCTACTCGCTGCGATAAATCTCTATAGCGAGCCTTGTGCTCATCCAGAAGTGTGACGTGACGAGCCTCCATGAGCTCGCGCCGGGTATCGCGGAGCGGCACGGCCTGCGTGTTAGTCGCTGAGGCTGATGTGGCGGCGCCGCGGCGCAAGTGCGTCGCGAAGGGTGCGAAGATTCGAAGCCTCCGGAAAAAAGCGCACAACTACATGAATTTCGTAACGGGTACGCCATGGCTTGACCCGGCCGGGGGCATGAACCACAACGAAATTTTTATTTCTTTCACAATAACCCAGAGTTTGGAGACCCTGTCCCAAAAATACAATGACGAGTTTTGCGAAGTCCGGCAAATTTATCCGTTGGTCTGTGGAAATCCAATCTTTTTCCTTATCCCTTCTTCGCTGCTCTTCCAGGCCTCGTCCAATGGGCATCAACCACGTGGCATGATCGCAAACGCTCCTCAACCGAAGACCTTCCGATGATTGTCCTCGAGTCGCTCTCCTGCCGGCAGCAGCACCGGCGCCACCAGCAACGCCACCACCAGCGGCATCACCATCCCACAGCCGACTCGGACTCCATGGCTGCCGGAACCAACACGCGCTCGTCCCGCGAGTTCTCCCTGCGCGAATCGCCCACTCAGCACAACGAATCCCCCGTTGATGCCCCCTTATCCGCTCCAGCCTCCTCGTCCACAGCAGCCCTCGATGAGGCTGAGACCGTGAGTCCCCCATCTGATGGGGAGTCCCCGCCACAGCCTCTCAAGTTCCCCCTGCCGGCCGTCGAGTTCTCCCTGCGTGAGCTGGCGGCCTGCACACGTGGCTTCGGCCCAGATGCCATGCTAGCAATGGACTGGGCGGGCGCCGTGTACCGCGGGTGCTGCCACGTGGGCAAGGGCCACGTGGGGGGGCGGCCCGGTTACGGTTTGCACTCAGACGCGCCTGCTGCCACGGAGGCTCCACGTGGTTCCTCTGCAGTGGCACAGCCTGTGACGAAGCGCGCCGAATCTCCAGCCGACCTGTGCTGCTGTGCCACGTGTCAAGAGCTCACTGCCACCGACTGTGTGACTCTAAGGGGCGGCTGCGCGCGGGTGAAGCGCTGGCGATACCTGCCTTCCTCGTTGCCTCCTCCCCCGCCGTCCACGTCAGCAGCTGCCAACGCGACAGGCAGCACGAGCAACGACCAGGGAGCAGCAGCGTCAGAAAGCATGACGTCTCATACGCCCGAGGAGGCGCAGAGCTTTGGAGAGGTGCAGAGCGGTGAAGAGGTGCATTCTTCTGTCTCTGCGGGGAGGGAGATGATGGGGCGGCTGGCAGAAGCAGCAGCGTCGCACCCGAGGCTGCTGCCGATCGTAGGATTCAGCTGCACTGAGGAGCTGCTGCTGGTCTTCCGCTCCCACCCCTCTGCGCTCTCCCTCGAATCCGCCCTCGCAAGAGGTAAATTCCGTTTGTTTTGTGTTTTCCTGCTAGTTTCAGCCATGGCAGCACTGTGCTAGACTTATTCTGTCACCCCGTTCAACCGCACTAAACTGTCCCTCACTCTCCTCTCCTCTCCTCTCCTCTCCTCTCCTCTCCTCTCCTCTCCTCTCCTCCCATCCCTTTCTCCACAGACGCAATGCTGTGTGGAGCCGGGTCTCCCTCTGCTCTCTCCTCCTGGTCCTCCCGTCTCTCCGTCGCTCGCCAAATAGCAGGAGGGCTAGCCCACCTGCACGCCCACAGCTTTCTGCACGCCTCGCTCCGTCCCGCCAACGTGCTTCTGCTTCCTACCGGGTCTACCGGGTCTACCGGTACTACACAGCGTTGCACCCCCCAGCCGCCGAACCACCTTTCGGAGCAAGAGCAGCGGTGGTGGCGCCACATGCTTCGGCGAAAGGCTCGTGCCGAGGCTGCTGCCCAGGTCCGGGTGCAGCTGGCGGATTACGGCCTGCCCTGCCAGGCTCGGGACGGGCCAGGTTCGGCAGGGAAGAGCCGTGGATGTGTTGTGTTCGGTGATGCTAAATACCTGGATCCTGCATTTATGGGATCGGGCCGGTACGGCACTGATAGCGACGTGTACGCTCTCGGCGTTATAATGAAGGAGCTTATATTGAGAGCAGGATCTGCTGGAAAGGAAACCAGCCGGCCAATCACAAGACTCCCTCGGAACACATCAGCAAGAGCGTCAGATAGCTCATCTGCAACAGCCGCCGCCGCCGCTGCCGCCGCCGCTACTGCCGCTGCTGCAAGGGCCTTCCCAGTGTCTCGCTCCTTTCCCGGACCACATGCCTCTCCAGCCGAACCACAACCCGGCACTGAAACGCGAGGAGTGTCGGCAGCACCAGCAGAGGCAGCACCAGCAACACCAGCAGCGCCAGCAGGGGCAGTACCAGCAGAGACAGCAGAAGCAGCAGGCTCAGGTGGGGGGTCAAGCAGGACACGCCCTCTGCAGAGCTCCTCCCCTGCAGAGACTTCATCCTCTGAAGACCCCTCTTTTGGTCATCTAGCGGCTCGGTTTGGACCAGTGAGGTATCACCAGGCGTCAACGCTGGTGCAGTGGTGTACTGAGCGCAATCCTGCCCACAGGCCGTCCAGCCATGAAGTGGAGCAGCTTGTAAAGGGGATGGAGGGGATGAATGTGGTGGGCGAGTTGAGGTGGAGGGAGATGAACGGGAGGAGGCTGAGAGGGCACCAGTGGGCCTTGCTGCAATAGATTTTATAATGATTGTATAGTTTGTACGGTAGTAGGATGGCAAGTCCCACTGAAATGAAATGCCTGGCAAAGGTTGAATTGATAAGTTGCTGGTCAGCTGAGATCATGCCTCGTAGAAGCTGCTGGAGAATAAATTCCTCACGAAAACTGCATAAAAAAACAAATACTGCACAAAAATCACAAAAGAAAACCTTTCATAACAAGGCACAAGCAAGCTCTGACCACTCCATTTCTGTGGGCAATTGCTCTACAAAGTCTACACCAAAACTGCGTTACACTGTCTACCGTTAAGAATACCGCTGCAGTATTCCCTGATCCTCGTTCTATTTGCCTATTTTTCAGCTAGCTCTGTTCACATCAGACCTTCTATTGGTGGCCGCATTAAGAAAAGCGAGGCCCGTTAGGCTCTGAAGTCTGCGCGCACATTAAAAATCTGCTTGTAACGAATTGCAGAAAGTCCGAGGTGTAGAAAGTCTCACTACCTTCTGTAGTGAGACGGGACAGCAGGGGAGACGCGGGTGTGGCAGAATGAACGGGGGTAAGGGACGGGAGAGGCAGAGGAAGAGGGTAGAAGGATCAAATGAAGAAGGCAGGAAACGAGGACGAGAAGAGGAAACGAGGACGAGTGCCACGTGGAGTTACGAGATGAGTGGGAGGAGACGAGGGGCAAAGAAGAACGGGAAAACGGAGAGAACGCGCGGGAGGAAAGGGGCCGGGGCTGGGGTTGGGGCTGGGGATGGGGCAGGGGTAGGGGCAGGGAGCGGGTCGAGGCGGGGCGGGGGAGGGATGAGAATCTGGCGGGCGTGGGGGTAGGGGGCGGGAATAAAGAGTGGGCAGCCAGCTAGCGGTGACTTGCGAAGCTCCACGAGAATGGACGAGAGACAGAACAGGGTTACTTCTGAGTCGATTGCGCATAGCGCTCACGTTGCCCTTCAGAGAGCAACACGCTCACGATCGAGATCACGCTCACGCTCACGATCGAGATCACGCTCACGCTCACGATCGAGATCACGCTCACGCTCACGATCGAGATCACGCTCACCGTCACGATCGAGATACGGCAATGGCAGACAAGGCTGATGAGCGAGGAACGAGAAGAGTGCGTGGAGTGTTGTGGGGAGGGCGAAGGGGGGGGGGAGGGAGGGAGAGGAAGGGAGGAGGGGAGGAAGAAGGGGAGAGGGGAGGGGGGGGCGGATGGATGGAGGGGGGATTGGGGGGGTGATTGTATGGGGGGAAAGGAGGGAGATTTACTCAACGGAAAGGGGTGAATGGCGGCAACGGAAAGACGTACTCATGGTGTGCGGGGCGTCATGCCCGTGAACGCGGGCGGCGGGGGAGCGGGGGGAGTAGACGCAGCGCCCGCGCTGCCCGTTTCCCCCGGCGGCGAGCCATCGACCGGATCGTCTTCCTCCGGCGGGGGTGACGGGGAGCCGAAAAACCCATCCGGTATAAGCACATCTGATACAAGGTGCACCTGGAGGAACTTCCCCTCGAACAGGTTGGGTGCTACTAGCGTGCTGTTCTCTTTTCCCGAGGGCGTTCGGAAGTACACCGTGAAAAAAGAGCTTTCTGCGGATTTGACCTGCGGCTGCCCGTACATTGTCGGATACTGGATGGAGTTTCAGCGGGGACAAAACCGAAAGGAAACAAAGAGCCGCGCAAATTTGGAAACAGCGAAAAGCGACAAACCGCAGTGAAGAAATGACTGCGGAACCAATCATGTGCCCCAGCTTCACGAGACGTTATCTTGTTACGCACGAAAGCAGCTGAGCGATACAGCACGCAAAAGGGTTAACAAACAACCACTTGGTCCCGACGGGATCTTCGACAAGAAGGCGGTTACCGGACACCCAGAGTTTTCGCAAAACGGTACCTTGGTTCCAGCGGGATCTTCGACGAGGTTGGTGTAGGTGACGAGGCGGCCGAGGACGAGGCAGTAGCGCAGGAGGCGGCGCATGGTCTTCTTGCTCTTCACCAATGGCGAGTCGTCTGGCAGCTCCGCCTTCGCCGCGTCGGGCGACGGTGCCAGCAGCGTCACCTCGTTCGACCGCCGCAGCGCGCGCAGCAGCAAATCCGCGACGTCTTGAGTTCGAATAGATTGGAGGAATGGGGTCGCGGGGAGGAAGGGGGTTGCGGGGGAGATAGGAGAACGGGGGAAAAAGGGGTGCGGGGAGGAAGAGGGACGGAGAGAAGGAGGGGAAGGCGAAAGGGGAGGGAGCAGTGAGAAGGAGAAGGGGTGGCCTGTTGGGTTGCTGTTCCTGCGCCATCCAATAACCACTTTATGAAACGCCACAGGCGTTAACGGAAGATTAATTAATCCCAAGGCTTACTAGCGGGTAGCTGCTAATACAGAGGAAAAAACATCTCGCTCCTATCAGAGCGCCTACCGTGCCTATCGCTCCTATCTCACCTCCTTTCCAGAACAGTCGCACGAACTCCTTGTTTTGCGCGAGTAACTTGACGACTTTCGCGACTTCCTTGACTTTGTCCATCGAGATTGGCCCCGATTTGCTCGAAGGCCCGCCGGGAGGGGCGGGAGACCCCCTCCCAATCCACTTGCGGATTCTGTCGCGTAGCTTCGCTGACGCGGGCTGTGGACATGCCGACGCGAGCACGAGTAGCAGCAGCACCGACAGTACGAGTCGCTTCGGCGCCGCCATTTCGGAGTGCAGCCTAGTTGAAAGAGTAATGGCTAATGTCCAACTTTATTATCGAGCCTACGTGTGTTTGGCCAACGAAGACACACTTGTGTTTGTCGGCCAATTAGGGAACAGGCGCTAGCAATGCGACCCTGCGGAGATTAACAAACAGACTATGTTCTACTGGAACGTCATCAAACGCACAAGGCCTCTAGCAGTATTCCTGTCTGTCAGTGTCCCCTATTGTTACAATGCTAGTCGGCTTACGGGTCGAGATAAGGTGAGTCGACTCAAGATACTAGCGACTGGTCACCGACAGAAACACTGGCCCCTGCCGACACGACGCGATTGCCGAGACGAAACCATTAGTGTCTAGTCAAGAGGAAGAACACTCAATTTCACTCTGCCTCCGACCAGCGAATCTGGAAGTTAAGGAAGACGTTACTTAGGCCTTACTCCTGGTCCGCCTTCGAAACTGCTGGGCTACGGCAACTAACGACTAACGGCCACCCAAGGCGTGACATTCACATGAAGAGACTGGCGCCCTTGGTTTGCCTGGACTTTCATCCTATGTGCATTGCACATGCCACTTATTCATTCCCGAATCCCTCTCAACCGTCCAGCACCGCTGTGCCGTAGTGCAGGGGCAGGGCTACCTGTTTCCCTCCCCCCTGGCCCTACCCGCGAGCCGTGCAGACCATTCCTGCCCTGGTTCTCCTAATCGAGTGTTCTCTTACGCCGCGGAGAAGGCGCTCCGTTATTGTGACTAGTCTGAAGAGGAACCGAACCGACTGTGTGTTAGTGTTGGCTCCCGAAGGGGGAGGTGATGTGATGTGACGACGAGCGCTGCTGAAGCGAAGGACGGGAAGCGTCCATGCGGATATGACAAAGCCGCTTCGTACTGTTTGCCTCGCTCAATGCGACGAGAGCCGTCTCCTTCATTCCGGCGGAAGGGTGCTGGCTGCGCCGTGCTGTGTGGTCTTTGTCTCGTCACTGGGTGGTTGGTTCTCTGTCCTTCGCCCCATAGTTGGATGATTGTTGAGTTGATGACGGGTACATTTCAAGAGAGCAGGTGGGTTCGGCGACAAGAGTCGCCTCGCCGCGAATCAAGGTCTTCTGCGTGTCGTGAGTGATCGAACGCAGGGACCAAAAAGATGGTGCGAGGGGAAGCATGAAATGCGCGATTCGTTTCGTGATTACGAGTCGCGCATTTCGGATGGACTCAGACGTGTACGCTTCGACACCAAAGCGAGGCCCTTGAGACAAAAATGTCGTAAATGTGGCTAGATCCAGGGGCGCGCGATATAGTCACAGCAACACTTTTCGTAACAGAACCTCTGCAATCGGGGGCTTCCCTATCCAACGGCTACGACAATTTCAAGGTGTGTTGGGCTCGTGCGATACACCTGTGGTTTCATCCTCGACATCACACATTCTCGATATATCGGGTTTGTGGGTTCAGCTTCCACAGAAAGCCCGCTTTTAATAGGAATCGTCCTAGACATTTGAAATTTATGTTTTAAATAGGTCGCTCAATCTATGTATCGCTCTTCATTTAGTAAATGTTTAATTCATATCTATGTATATATACACAGGGAGTGGTGACTATCTTTCTAAACATCACTACATTATCAAGTGAAGAGAGCTCTTCACGAAGTTCACAATAGCTCCACGAAGAGATTCAGAAGGCCGAATAACATGTCCCCCCAATGGCTCCAACGTTTGTGAGTCCTCATCAATATCCTCTTCCACAAACGCTGGCATTGAGTAGTCTTCGTTCTCCATGCTCCACACAGGCTCAGTCCAGCGCGGCTCGGGGCCGTCCAACAGCATGTGGTCGTCCACAATAGAAGCGAGGTGCTGAGACTGCTGCTGCGTCTCCAGCACCGCCAATGCCGCTTGCCGTATTCTCGAGCGCGCGTCGTCGATCCAAACAGGGCTGCACGCCTTCTGTGCCTCTAAACAAGCGAGCCTCGCAGACGGCGCTTCGTCGCAACGAGTGGGAGTCGTCGCCATTGCGACTGATGAGCCCATGAGCATCATGATGTTTGACGCCTGCGCGCAATCGAGCTCTGCCGTTGGAGCAAAGCCGCCGCCGCCATGACTCATAACGCAGCTTCCCGAGGTTTTGAGATCACCCATTGTCCGCGAAACTAAAGCCGCTGGGACAGTATTATTACTAACATCAGAAGAAGGAAGACTACATCGCGAAGACGAAGTTCCTCGGCGGGTGTGTTTCGCAGCATCACCAAGTTGTGTCGCGGCCATGGATAGAGTGAAAGAAAGAGGTAGTAGACGCGGCCAGGAAGGGAAAGGTTTGGAGTCAGATACAGCAGCCGCGGGGAAAAACAAAATCTTATCGATTCTAAGAAGCATATCTACGAGCACGTCGCTGCACAAATCCGGGAAACACGAGCGAGTGTTGTGGTTGGACCAAGATGGGTGGGACGGATGCATTCGGGCCGGGTTGAACAGCTGACTTGCTATGGTGGCGGGAAATGTTTGGTTTGGGTGGTACTGGCCCACCCACCGAGAAGACGGGCAGGGCAGGAAGGATACAACTGAAATGCGGTTTGATGAGGTTTTAGGCGTTGTGGAATGGTTGTTTTGAAATTAGTGCAATTACGGGGTTCTAAGCCTTTTTTTCTTCAAAACCAAACCCTTGGTTCAAGTCCTTCCGCTGTGTGTCCTCGGGCTCCGCCCCGCTCGGGAAGAACCACTCTGATCTGATGCGAATTCAAGCCATCAAACAACCGCGGAAGAGGTCCAAAAAAACGATGCGCTGTCTGCGCATGCTAGGGGAAGCAACGGCGCAGCCAAATGGCACGGTTCGTCGTGGTGCGCGACCACGTGGAGTGCAATCATCCCGATCTTAGCATGCGCTGCAGACCAATCCGTCCTGTGTTGTTGCATTCGAATGCTGAAACATTCCTTTTCTGAATTGCACTGACAAGCATAAGACGTTTTCGGAAATTTGACTTTGTTTACCAGTACACCTGTTCTTATTTAAAGTCCGACGGAGAAACACGCCGCGCGCGGACTATATGTCAAAATGTCCGAAACCCCGGGCAAACGGGACCCTATACTCTCAAATTCGAGAAAATTGCATGAAAAGCGGTTTTTTGTCTCTACTGGTTGTTGTTTTTTGTCATATACGTACGTATCAGGGCCTATGTTATCAGGGCAATTACCCTGTTTTGACTGAAATTAAAGGGTGTTCTATAGAGGAACCCTGATTTTGACTAGGTGATTTTCGGACCAGCCCGTAAAACTTAAGGGGGATTTTTGAGTCAGCTCGGATTCCTCCGGGATGTTGTCAAGGGGACCCGTATAGTTTTAGCAGCACAGTCCTCCTCGACCTGCCTTGCATTCCTCTCCGTCTCCCTCTGAACACATGTTTGGGCCACTTTTAGTTGATCTCCTTACCACTCTCTCCTGGTCCTCCTCTAAGTGTCTGTTCGCCCTGTATGTCGACATGGCTTATAATACTCCTCCTCATCGTATTTTTTCTAAGTCTACAAAAAGTCTCTCGCCTACCCCTCTAGAGCCACTCCTTTCACCCCTCGTGCAACCCACTGTGAGTTTCTCGATCTCCACCATCCCGCGATTTTCTGGTAATGCATGTTTTCAGGCCTTTTCTGGCTCGAACCCGGATTCGTCAAGGTTTTTTTTCCGCTGGCTCGGATTTTACAGGGTCTTTTTCACAGGGGCCCGGATCGTCCGAGCTAGCAAAAATCCTAGCAATAGCCCTGGTACGTATGGACCGCGCTTGCTTCAACTTCTCGTCGAACGGTTTTACGCGTTATCAGTGATGCGTGAAAAACGGGCAGAAATAAACAACATCGATTATGTTTGATGCCATAATAAGTTTGTCTTTTTGTTTTTCCTTCCTGACAGCAAGATTACTGAGATGTCATCGTGGAGCGCGCTAGGAATCGCGCGACGGGAATAAGAAACAAGCGCGGTCAAGAGAAACAAAAAATATCAGTTGTAGATATTTACTTCAAAACAAAACTGCCCTTTTTAGCATTCTCCGTAAATGTTCAAGGCACTTATACGTGCAATGAACCTGGTCAAAAAAGGGACTGTAGAGGAGGGGCCACACCTAGGAATTAAAGGAAAAAGCTCCTCATTCTGAATATGGGCCTTTGTGAGCGCGGGACTTTATAGCGGAACCATTTGTATACTTGCCATGAAATCTTTACTAGATGTTTTGCCATATAGAAATCCTTCAACGACAGACCGACCAAACTTGGCTCAAGCGAGTGAGACTGTTCATCACATGGGACCATCGGCATCCGCGTGAGCTACATGGCAGGGGCAATGGAATGTAACCGGCACTGTAGTACTGTACTGAACATGCAGCCCAGTAAATACGTGTAACCGGCACTGGAATGAATACGACTGGCTGTCCTAGTTCACGCCGATTGGATGGGGTGCGGTTGGTCCCCTCGTGTAAATTGGAGCTTCGATTGGTTAATATCTGCTGAAGGGGCTGGATTTTGGGACCGCGTCATCAGACCAATGGCGCCAAGTCCCTATGAAGTCAGCCAAAAAGGCTAAGAAAGTCTGTTCTTGATGTAAGAAGGGTTACTGTATGTTAGAAGCTAGAGACATTTATTAATCATGGGTGAAATTACATATTCAGGATTTGCACATGGAACTGCAGGAATTCCCAGCAGCTCTTGGTGCACCATTTTTCCACATTAGCGCGTAAGTGATTAGACATAAGCGCCGCCTGTGCCGCCATTCCTGCCCACCATCTTTGCCCCTGCCGTCCCTGCCCACCGTGCTTGCCCTGTGTGCCTCCTTGCATTCCTTGTTTCTACCTCACACCAGTGTCAGTGATAAATTCCTCGTGAAGTCTGTTTTCTAGGCACCTAAGTGCGTATTCCTACGGCCTCATATCAGGCCACCTTGTATCAAGATTGCACTTTCCGCCTGGTAAAACTAGCGAGAGGTTTTGGGTTCAGGGGATTTTCAGTGAAAGCCTGATATGAGGTTAGCTTGATACGAGGTGTAGGAATACGCTCTACGAAAACATGCCCATGCACACCAAAGAATTGGAGTAAATGCAGGTTTCTCGTGGCCCCTGGAGTTCTGATAGCGAAAAGCAGACCTCTGCACGAGATGCGGTTGGCTGGAGCAGCTTTCGAGGCGCCAGAAAGACAATGAGCAGTAGAGCTTGGCACAAGATGGGGTTGACGCAAGCACCACCCATGGCTGCTTTGACGCTGGCTTGCTCCCTCGCAGGTGTGCTTCCTTATTACCATGCGCCTCCTCCGTGCCTGTAATGAGTTAGTCAATTGCTGATGCCTGAAAAGGGGTCAGTTCATAGCAGCACAGCACAACCCCTGCACATTGAATGGATCACGTCAGTGCAACCCCGGCTGCTTTGATGGCGGAGAGCAGCTCTTTGTGTGCGATGGGCTTGGAGAGAGTGCCGTCCCGTCCATGCCCGCCTTTTGAGGCGCCTCAAAAGTTGGAGAGAGTGCAACGTCCATGCCCGCTTCCTTGCACGCCTGCCGAACCTGATGTTTGAGGCGCCTCAAATTGCTTTCAAGGATCAAAGCAGAGTGACTCCAGCTGCTTTGATCGCCGAAAGCAGCTCTTGATGTGCGATGGGCTTGGAGAGAGTACCGTCCATGCCCGCCTCCTTGCACGCCTGCCGAACCCGCGTGTCCACGTCTGCTGTCAGTGCAAAGATCAGTTGCCTACGTGCCGGGCTTGGTGCCTCTGCTACCGCTGGTGGTACTGCAGCTCCTGCTGCTGTTGTTGCTGCTTGTGGTGCCGCTGTTGCTGCAGTTTCATGCGCTGTAGTTGAGGCATCAGCTTCTCCTGGAGCGTCTAGATCCAGCAATGGCAGGCTGCCAGGGTGGAACGCAAACGACGGCTGCGATTGCAGCTTCGGAAGAGAGGAAAGAGTGGAAGAGGAGGAGGTGACAGTGGTGCTGCCACTGCCACCGCTGCTGCTGCTGCTAGTGCTCGTGTTGTTGGTGGTGGTTGCAGCAGCAGGTACTGCAGTCCCTGCAGGGAACTGAGCGCGAATGCGCCGAGCCGTCTCGTACCTGTGGGACACAGGGGCATAGGAGGGTGGGGGGATACATTTTTTAGTTGTCCCAAAACTCGTATCACAGGACCTTCTTTCCTCTCTCTACAAGCTCCACCTTCGCCCCCAGCCCCTGCAGGGTCTTCCTCGCAACCACGCGGTTCACCGCATTACCATCCACCACCATCACCTCCCACCGATTCCATACAGAGAGAATTCTGAGGCGCCTAAGAGAGAAACTTACCCGTCAATGCCAGGCGGCATGTGCAGATCAATCAGAAGTACTGCGAACGCATTCGAGGAGCTTAGTCTTTCCAATGCCTTCTCTCCGCTCTCTACAAGCTCCACCTTCGCCCCCAGCCCCTGCAGCGTCTTCCTCGCCACCATGCGGTTCACCGCGTTGTCATCCACCACCATCACCTCCCGCCCGCTAAGCATTTCTTTTAGCAAAGCGGCGGCGTCCTCAGGCTTGGCGAGGGCGAGCGCGGCTTTGGAGCGGAATTGCGGGGATTTGGGGTGGAATTGAGGGGACTTGGGGCGTGGAGGCGTGGAGGGGGCGAGGGAGGAGACGGAGGAGGGGTCGACTGGCGCGACGTGATTGGTGGAGGTGTCTGAGAGGTCGTCTGATTGGTTGATGGGAGCGAAGAGCTGAGAGAGGGATACGTGGAGAGGAGGGAAGAGGAGAGGAGAGGAGAGGGGGCAACCGCACAGAGAAAAGGCAGCCACAGGAGGATTGGTGAGAAAAATATTTGAACTGCAGGCTGACGGTAAAAGGTTTGTTGAAAAATGCTTGTGGCTGGTGATTCGATAACAGAGAGACGGACAGCCGCTCTAGAAACCTTCTTTTTTTTTTTTTTTTTTTCTCCGTCTCTTTTGCAGACCACAGGGCCACGTCTCTTTTCAAGAAACACAACACACTGCATGCAGGCAGGCACTGAGCAAGGTTGGTCGGCGACCAGACATGGTTGGGGGAGAGTGTCGGCAAAGCCTGCTGCAAAAGCCCTGGCGTAGCTCACACCCGCACAGCCCGGCCCTGTGAGCACGAGCGGGGGCAGACTGCATGGGCGGTGGCACAGGCGGTGGCACTGGAAGGGCATCAAGGACTGGGAGACTCGCCGCATGGAGACACGAGGTCCTTGCGGGCGAGGTCGGCCACGAGGCACGGCTGGGGGAGCGTGTCGGCAAAGCCTGCCGAAAGCGCTCTGGCGTAGCTCACACTCGCACAGCATGGCGTAGCGTTGGCTACTTACCAGTGAAAGCACTGACTGCGTGAATGCACCCTGTGAATGAACTCACCGCGTGCAGGCACTGGACAAGGTCGGCCACGAGGCACGGCTGGGGCAGCGTGTCGGCAAAGCCTGGGCTTGTGAGCACCAGCAGGGGGGAACTGCACGGCACTGGCGGTGGCAGTCAAGGAATCAAGGGACTCACCGCGTGCAGGCACTGGGCGTGGTCGCCCACGAGGCACGGCTGGGGGAGTGTGTCGGCAAAGCCTGCAGCGAGCGCCCTGGCATAGCTCACATCGGCAAAGCCCGGCCCTGTGAGCACCAGCGGGGGGAGACTGCACGGCACAGGCGGTGGCACTCGGTGCATCAAGGACTGGGAGACTCACCGCGTGCAGGCACTGAGCAAGGTCGGCCACAAGGCATGGTTGGGGGAGAGTGTTGGCAAAGCCTGCTGCCAGTGCTCTGGCGTAGCTCACATTGGCACAGCCCGGCCCTGTGAGCACCAGCGGGGGGAGACTGCACGGCACAGGCGGTGGCACTCGGTGCATCAAGGACTGGGAGACTCACCGCGTGCAGGCACTGAGCAAGGTCGGCCACAAGGCATGGTTGGGGGAGAGTATCGGCAAAGCCTGCTGCCAGTGCTCTGGCGTAGCTGACATCGGCACAGCCCGGCCCTGTGAGCACGAGCGGGGGCAGACTGCATGGCACAGGCGGTGGCCGCAGGGGTGATAGTGGCGGCGATGGTAACGGTGATGCTGATGGTGATGGTGGTGGTGGTGCTGCTGCTGCTGCTGCGGATGATACTGCTGCTGCGGATGATACTGCTGCTGCGGGTGATGCTGATGATGTGATAACACTGTCTGGTGCATGAGGTATACCCGTGGCGGTGTGAGGGAGTAAGGCAGGGGAGGGTGGGGAGTTGGGAGCACGAGCAGCGGCGCTGGCGGAGTGAAAGAGAACAAGGCTGCGGTGGTCAAACTTGATCCGACGGCCGAAACCGATCCCCGACTTGCTCGTCGCAGCATCTGAGCCGTTCCCGGGCTTGTCCTGAGCCCCCACATCTGTGCTGCTAATTCGTGGCTTGGGGTTTCCGCCACTGCTGAAAGCATCTGCTTCTACAAACACTATGTCCCATGGGCCCTCTGTCTCATCCTCCTCTTCCTCTTCTTCTACCTGTTCCTTCTGCTCTGCCTGCTCTTCCTGTCCCTCCTGCTCGTCCTCATTCTTCCTGCTCTGCCCCGCCTCCTCCCCCTTCGCCTCCCCTTCACCTCTGCCCTCCCCCACTCCCTCCCCTCTTCCCTCCCTCTCCCCCTCCCCTCTCCCCTCCCCCGCTCCCTCCCCCATCCCCTCCCCCTTCCCCTTCCCCCTCCTCGCCCTCCTCCTCGCCTCGCCCATCCTCTTCTCTGCAAACCGCCACGCAGCTTCCGGCTGCCTTCCCAGAATCTTCCTCGTGGCTTCCTCTTGTGTGCCTGCAACAGCAGCGTGCATGCCCAGGTACCAAAGGGCTGTGACAGTGGCCTCTGCCCTCACAGCATCCCCATCCACCACAAGCGCCCTCTTCCCCTCCACCACTTCCCTTGTGCCCCACTTCATCTCAACCCAAGCCATTGCCTCCTCCATCCCCTCCTCCTCCCACTCCCCCTCCCCCTCCCTTTCCTCCTCTCCCTCCTCTCGGTCCTCGTCCTCCCCGTCCCCTGCTGCTGCTGCTGCTGTGGGTGGTGCCACGTGGCGCGTTTTCATAGGCAGGGCGACCATGATGTTTGAGCCCACGTGCTCCTGTGTGGCCACGCCCATGCACCCGCGCATCAGACTCACCTGGGGAGAAAGAGAGATCGGAAAGAGAAAGGAAAAGTGGGGGTGAGTGAGCCGAGGGGGGAGTGAGGGAATTAGACGCCTGCCTTGCTACACCCATGCACCCATGCACCCATGCACCCATGCACCCATGCACCCATGCACCCATGCACCCATGCACCCATGCACCCATGCACCCATGCACCCATGCACCCATGCACCCATGCACCCATGCACCCATGCACCCATGCACCCATGCACCCATGCACCCATGCACCCATGCACCCATGCACCCATGCACCCATGCACCCATGCACCCGTGCACCCATGCACCCGTGCACCCATGCACCCATGCACCCGTGCACCCATGCACCCATGCACCTGTGCACCCATGCACCCATGCACCCGTGCACCCATGCACCCATGCACCCGTGCACTAGGCTCACCTGCGATGATACGAGAGCAGCGGAAAGGGTAGGAGGAGCAAGAGGAGGCAGAAAATGGGGAATGCAGAGCAGAAAGAGGGGGGGAGCTAAGCTGAGCTGAGCTGAGCTGAGCGGCAGATTTGAGAGAGTTCTTTGCGTAAAGAAGACCCAAGCTTCAAAGCGTCACTGCTGCACACTTCCGACCCGTCCCTAAAGCTAGCCCCGGTCGTCCCTCGCCCGCCCTTCCCGCTCGTCCATTGCTCACCAGGCTAGCAGACTGCAAGCAGACTTCAACAAGTACATGCGGTACAGCGTCCACACGTGTTGAAACCCGTTCTCTTAAGGTCAGCCCTAACCACTCCCAACCCCTGCTTATCTCCCTGCTTTCCCTCCTCCTACCTTCCATCGCTCCATTCCCATCACTCACCAGACTCGCAGACAGCAAGAACCGCACGGGATACGGCGTCCACGCGTCCTGAAACCCCTTCCCGCCGTGCGATTTCCCTGACCCACTGTCAGACCCTCCTCTTATCACACTCTTCAGCAGCCTCCCAGGCAGCGAGGTCAGGAGAGCGAGCGCGGTGGAGGGGGGAGCGTGCTCGTTGGGCGCATGTGTGTTGGCGCTGGCGCTGCTGCTGCCGGCACCGGCTGACTGGATGTAAGCGCTCATCTAGCGCAGAGACAACGGAGGAAGGGGAAACGGGGGGAGGGGAATCAAGGGTGGGGAGTGCCTGATTCTGGATTCATGCAACAGGGGGAAAGGTGAAGCCGGGGAGGAGAGAAGCAGGAAATGGAAAGAATGGTTATGGAGAGACATTATGGGTGGTTATAGAGTTGTGGATGAGACAGTATGGGCTCTTGTGACGTTTCAAGAGCCAATTCTGCCACTCACCTCCTCCTCTTGAACAAACTCCCCATGGCCTTCAGGGTCCAGCACCCACCGCATCTCCTCCCACGGAATGCCGCACCCCGTATCCTCACACGCCATCACCAGCTGCACCCGCCCCACGCCCCTCCTCCTCCCCCTCCTCCTTCTCCCCTGGCCCCCCTCGCTTCTCCGCCCTGTCCCCCCCGTTCCCCCCGTTCCCCCTCCTCCCCCACCTCCCCCACCTCCCCCACTCCCTCTCCCTTCCTCCTCCTCCTCTTCCCCATCCGACTCAGCCACTGCCGAAGCAAAGATCATGGTTTGGCGGAACCGAGCCACCGACCGCCGAACCTCGCGGCAAGCCTCGGCAGTGAGGGGGTGAGGAATGGGCGGGTGAAGCATCCAGGGCTCAGGCTCGGGAAACGAGTCAGGCTCGTTCCTGGAGTCAAGGTCTGCTGGCTTAGCTCCTGTGGCACGTGTGGATCGACTGGGTTGACCGGGTTGACCAGGTTGACCGAGTTGACCGGGTTGTCCTGATTGACTCGGTTGACCGGGTTGAATGGGTTGACTTGGTTGACTCGATTCACTGGTTTGACCAGAGTGCGGCTGGGTACAGGAGCACATGACTCCTGCTACTGGTGAGCCGGAAAAGCGCGGCTCATCCTGTATGGGGGAGAGAGAGAGAGAGTGGGAGACGGGTTGGGTTGGGTCGGGGGGGAAAAGGGTAAGCGAAAGGCACAACTAGTTAGCATGAAGTACCTGGGGAGGGCTGTATCTGCTTCGGACAGGCTGTATAGTGGGAGAGGCTGTATTGGAGGTACCTGGGACAGGCTGTATCTGAAGCTCGCTTCGCAGAAGTTGTCTAAAGGTCCACTTTTGCCACCCATCTCCCGCCCGCTGCTCTGCCCCGAGCCAAAACAGCCAATGCCACCAGCAGTAGAAACCCCACCATTAGCAGCATCCTCACTACTAGAACCATCGCTACCACCAGCATCCTTAGCAGCAGCACCACAGCATTCCACACAGCCACTCCTCTTCATCCGAGCCAGTAGTTCCTCCCTTTGCTGTTCATCCCCAATATAAGCATCCTCGTTTGCAGCAGCAGCCACTTTACCACCATTCACGCCCCCCGCAACGCCTCCTTCATTTTCCTTGTCCTCTCCCCTAACCTCCAAGCCTTGGATCCAGGCCTCCAGGTCAGATTCGGTAGACTCGGCAACGGCTTGGACAGGCACGGGAGCGGGCACACACCAGAGGTGGAGGATTACCCGGCCTGACACTGTGTTGCGAATGGCGTGGCCTGGATGGCGGAAGGAGTGGGGTGGGATGGGGTGGGGTGGAGTGGGGTGGAGTGGGGTGGAGTGGGGTGGAGTGGGGTGGAGTGGGGTGAAGTGGGGTGGAGTGGGAGTGGGGAGAAAGTGGTCGAGAGGGAAGGGTGGTGGAGGGGAAAGGGGCAGTGAGCAACCAGAGCCAGAGGTGGAGGATTACCCGGCCTGACACGGTGTTGTGAATGGCGTGGCCTGGATGGGTTGATGTGAGGGAGCGAGGTGTGGGTGGAGGGGGGAAGGGGCACGGAGAGGGGAGGAGGAAAGGGAGGAATGGGGGAAGGGGGAGGAGGAATCAGAAGGATGAGAGCATGGACAAGTGAATGGACCAACCACAAGGCACTCACGCAGGCAGGCAGAAGAGCCAGAGGAGGCACAAAAAAGGCGGCGCTGGTGCAGTAACGTAGCAGAGATACAAACAGAAAGCTCACTGATGATAAGCACACTGACATGAGAGGTATGAGAGGGTATGAGAGGGATGGGAGGGAAGGGATGGGAGGGATGGGATGGGAGGGATGGGAGAGCATTAGGGATGCACTCACTGATAAGCTCGCGCATGACTTGTCCCACTCGAGTGGGATCGCCTATGAGAACGTCGGGCACACTGGCATGCATCCGCACCATGACTGCACAGGGGGGGGAGGGGGGGGGGGGAGGGGGGGGGGAAAGGTTGTGGGGTGGGAGAAGGAGAGGGGAGAAGAGAAAAAAGCGTAAGGAATGCGTTGTGCTCAAATGTGGCATGACTTGCCCCACGCGGGTGGGGTCGCGTATGAGTACATCGGGCACACTGGCATGCATCGTCACGTCACCATGACTGCACCAAGGGGGAAGGGGAGAGGGAGGGAAGGTTGAGGGGAGGGAGACCTTCCCTCCCTTGGAGGGAGGGAGGGAGAAGTGCAGGTTGAGGGGAGGGAGAAGTGCAGGTTGAGGGGAGGGAGAAGTGCAGGTTGAGGGGAGGGAGAAGTGCAGGTTGAGGGGAGGGAGAAGTGCAGGTTGAGGGGAGGGATGCAGAAGGGATGCAACTTGGGTGGGACGGGACCCACACTCGAGGCACTTAAAAAAGCTGATGATTCCAGAGCCTTTTCTTTTCAACAGAGTTTGAACGATTTTATAGGTGCTTATAATCAATGCACGTTCTTGAAAAGCTCACACTGCAGGTTTTTGAAAAGCTCACACTGCAGGTTTTTGAAAAGCTCACACTGCAGGTTTTTGAAAAGCTCACACTGCAGGTTTTTGAAAAGCTCACACTGCAGGTTTATGAAAAGCTCACACTGCAGGTTTTTGAAAAGCTCACACTGCAGGTTTTTGAAAAGCTCACACTGCAGGTTTTTGTTGTGCGCATCAAGCATGAGGGCGCGCACTGCCAGATCGGCACACTGGTGCAGAAAAGACTGACTGAAATCAGGTACTTTTTCAAGCGCTGCCTGGGAATCAGAAAAACTCAGTTGGCGTGGCACTCACACTGGAGCTTCTTCTTGTGCGCGTCGGGCATGAGGGCGCGCACTGCCAGATCGGCACACTGGTGCGGACTGAATGGGAAGGCCTCCAGCATCAACCGGTTCGCCTGGCACACAGTGGGGAGTTGTGGGGGAGGGGAGAGTAGTGGGGCAGGGAAGAGTAGTGAGGGAGGGGAGAGTAGTGAGGGAGGGGAGAGTAGTGAGGGAGGGGAGAGTAGTGAGGGAGGGGAGAGTAGTGAGGGAGGGGAGAGTAGTGAGGGAGGGGAGAGTAGTGAGGGAGGGGAGAGTAGTGAGGGAGGGGAGAGTAGTGAGGGAGGGGAGAGTAGTGAGGGAGGGGAGAGTAGTGAGGGAGGGGAGAGTAGTGAGGGAGGGAAGAGTGGTGAGGGAGGGGAGAGTGGTGGGGCAAGGGAGAGCAACAGTTGAGACCACGCAGGAATGACCTTCGCACAGCACAGCACCGCACAGAACAGCACCGCACAGCAAAGCTCCCCATCCCCACCTGCAGCTTGGCGAGGTCCAAGACGCTATTCAGCAGCCCAATAGCCTCCACAGCACACGTCTTGGCGTCCAGCAGGTCCCGGTGCTGCCACTCCGACAGGCTCGACTCCAACAACCACACAGACCCACAGGCCAACCTTGCAGATGCACGGTGCGCAGCCCACACCCCCACCTTGTTGCCCACAGACCCACCTGCAGCTTGGCCAGATCCAAAACGCTGTTGAGCAGTCCTATAGCCTCCACGGCACATGTCTTGGCGTCCAGCAGGTCCTGGTGCTGCCACTCCGACAGACTCGACTCCAGCAGCCAGTCCATCATCCCCAGCATCCCCGTTATAGGCGTCCTCAGCTCATGCGACAGGTTCGCAACGAATTCACTCTTAGACCTCTCAGCCTGCTCCAGCGCGAGAGTATACTCCTCCACCTCCGCCATCTGCTGCCGAATCTTCGCCTTCTTCCTCGCGAGAGACACTATTATAAACGTCAGAAGCACGGCCACCAGCAGCACCAGCAGGCCTAGCAGCATCGGCGCGAGCAGGGTTCCCCAGACCGGGGGCGGGTGGCGGTAGCGGCATTGGCCCTCGTAGCGGCGGCCGATGAAGTCGTCTGGGAAGGGCTCCACAACCTTGTCGCCCGGGGGGATGGGCGCGGGTAGCACCATGGGGAAGATGGGGTTGGTGCCCGTGGTGGGCTGTGTGTCGCCATCGCTGAACACCATGAGCGGGTTGGATACATTGGTGACATCGTACATGGTGAAGGAGATGGCGGAGGCGTTGCCTGGGGGAAAGCCAGGGGAAGGGAGGTTAGGGGAGGGGGAAGGGGAATTGGAGGGGGAAGGGGGAGGAAGAGGGGAAGGACAGGGGTGAAAGAGGGGAGGGGAATAGGGCAGGGGAAGGTGAGCAGAGAGGCAGCACCATGGGGTAGATGGGGTTGGTGCCTGTGACGGGCTGTGTGTCGCCATCGCTGATCACCATGAGGGGATTGGATGTGTTGGTGACGTTGTACATTGTGAAGGAGATGGCTGACGCGTTGCCTGGAGAAGGGGGGAGGAGGAGGGGAGGGGAGGGATAAGGCAGGGGGAGGGAGAGCAGAGGGGCAGCAGCACCATGGGGTAGATGGGGTTGGTGCCCGTGGCCGGCTGTGTGTCCCCGAACACCATTAGCGGATAGGAGGTGTTGGTGACGTCATACATTGTGAATGAGATGGCGGACGCGTTGCCTAAGGGGGGGGAGGGGGGGGGGGGGGGGGGGGGAGAGGGAGAAGGGGCCCCTTAGGAGAAGTTCCCTTCAAGGGGGGGAGAGAGAAGGGGAGGGGGATGGGGAAGTTGAGGGGGAGATTGAGGGGGAGGGGGAGGGGAAGGAGAGGGGAGAAGGACGAGTGGGATAAGGAAGGGGATGGGCGCGGGAAGGACCATGGGGTGGATGGGGTTGGTGCCTGTAGCGGGCTGTGAGAGGGGAGGGGAAGACGAGCATAGGGTATCAGCGCATCATTGGTTGGCATTCAAAAGGCGGCATCAATCCGCACAAAACATCATAACTGTTTAAAATTCAAAACAATTTTCTGTCTGTTTTGAGCACAGACAATGTACCGGTATCGAGTACAGAGTAGAGTGTGTGCTTTATGAGCGCCTCGACGTTGATGCCAGGCGCGAGAAAACCCGCCAGCGCTGCCAGAACCTCCTCTGACGTGGCGTTATCGTTTATTGGGTGACGCAGCACTGGAATCCCAAAACCTGTTTACATGCACACAGACAGACACAGACACAGACACACACACACACACACACACACACACACACACACACACACACACACACACACACACACACACACACACAAAAGGCAGATATATCTCTCAAACAATCAAGCAGAACCCCAGGAGCTCATGGCCACAACCACAACCGCAACCCCTCCCCTCCCTACTCCTTCACCGCTTCTCGCACCCTCCCCTCCTCCAATCACCATTCTCCTTTCACCGACCCGATCCTCCACCCACCAAACCTAACCAGCCAAGCCACAAAACGCAATTTCCGCAGACCAAACCCCACGCCCCAAGTCACACAACCCCATCCCAGTCCCAACCACCTACTCACTGAATCCGATGTGGCCGTTTCGGAACCGGTACGGGGGACTGCCGCGGCTCTTCCACTTGGTGTTGAGGTTGCTGCAGCCCTCGCCGAAGCGATCCGAGTAGTCGGTGCACTGCGGCCAGTTGTAGAAGGGGCTGAACTGGAACAGGTTCACCACGTAGCAGTCCTTGCGCGCGCTCACTCTCGCCTCTAAGCTGTTTAGGCTCTGAAACTCGCACCCCAGCGACTTCTCTATCATCGGCCTGGGGGTAGGGGATGGGGATTGGGGATGGATAAGGGAGGAGAGAGGAGGGAGGGCGGAGGGGAGGAAGTGCGGAGGGGGACGGGAGGGATTGGCGCAGGCAGACGTCACTGTTGTGGCTCCAAAACTCCATCTTTACATGCATACACATACGAATATAAACATATCATATGCATATGCATACACATACGAATAAAAACATATCATATGCAAATAAAAGTGTATATAAAGCCCACTGAGACGCACCTGTCAGGGCCGTCGACGAAGGCGAGCCAGGCGTTGGTCATCCAGGGTTTGGCGTACTGCAATCTTTATACATACACACATTTTTAAACATACAGATATACCAACTTAATACAAACACAAAGCCCACTGAGACGCACGCACGTACCTGTCAGGGCCGTCGACAAAGGCGAGCCAGGCGTTGGTCATCCAGGGCTTAGCGTACTGCGTTTCTTCGGCGTATCTGATCCACGACCGGTTGTTGAGGCACCCCGTGTACCCCCAGTACGCCAGGTCCGGGCCCTTGGGGCCGAACCCGTTGAACACCTTGATCAGCCCCACGTTCACCTGCACAACCCGGGGAGAGGGGAAAGGGGGGGGAAGGGGGGGGGAGGATAGGGAGTGTGGGAACGCGGACGCGCGGGATACGGAGGATGCGGGTTTGAGATCAACACAGTGGTCACCTCTTCGGGCGGAAGTTAATAAAACCCCTGATGAGCTGCACAAGGTCAGGGGGGCATGGGGGGTATGCGGGGATGAGGGGAACACGGGGAGCACGGGGAATGCGGGGAATGCGGGGAATGCGGGGAATGAGATGACATGCGGGGAATGCGGAGAATGCGGGGAATGCGGGGAACGCGCGGGAAGGACGAATGCTTAGGGGTCAACCCGGATAAACATTCGAAGACACGGGATGGAGACGAGGAGAAACCGTCGATGACGCGAACGACGCGAACGACGCGAAAGGGATGACGATTGCGCGTGATGTAGCTTACGGGTCATGCTCCCGACCTAAAACACGGAAGGACGCTTAGGACAAGAATCTCATGGTGATATAGCGAGAAAGGAAAGGCGAAAAAACAAAAGACACGGCAACATGGGCCTGTTAGGTTTACGAGAGACGGCGCGCGCGCGCCGCGTACGCCGAGGCGAATGAGCTGACCTAACGAGAGATCCGTCACACGCACCTCAGCGTGGTTTAAGTTTGACGCGATTTCTTGATCCAGGTATCGCACGCGCGCGAGGCACCACGACGAGAGGTCCGCGTTTAGCGGATCGAGCGCCGCCTTTCGCGTGGACCATATCACGAAGATGGAGAGAGCTAACCACCCAAGAGTCCAGGCTATCAACGCAGGCATCCACCACGATACTGCGATGCGTTTCGCCATGGCTGAATCGGATGGTTATTGGATAATTGGAAGGTTTATTGCTGAAGCGGAGGGACACGAGTAACGTCAAATGTAGGGTACTCGACCGCAAAGAATACGGGGCATAAGGTCGTGGAAAGGAGTTCACCTAAGGTTTCACGTAGTACACGTAAGTATTGCGGCTGAATGCGGTACCGCGAAGGACCTTACTGAGTTAGTGGTGAGAAAAAACCGCTCTCGGGACCTCACAGGTTGGTCTAGAGCGGTAATGCCCGCTTGCGTGTAAGAACTGAGGCGTATGTGAAGGAGATTCACGCAAAGACGTCGTTTCGTTCGACTAAAAGGTTTATCTGCGAAAGAAGCTTCACAGGAAAGGAGTCTCACGGCTCGTACAGTATCAAAACTCCAAAGCGGAACCGACTTTATATACCTTGGGATTCCCGAGGGGAATCTCGAGCATCACTTCTGCAAAGACAGAATGTCGTTCGTATAACACCAAAAACTGCACCCATCACATACGCTGCTTCACACGCGTGCTCCGCCCCGGCCAAACCAAGCCAAGCCCAGACCGGAAGGCTGGTTTGTCATAGGGGCAGCCATCTCAGCTTTCCTGGTGCGGTGGGGGGGCCTGCTTGTTTTGAACGGCTTCGGCCCGCCCTAAATGACATCGTATCAGATTGCATCACTGGGATTGCCCCGCATGTGTAGGTGGTTGTGTGTGGGGGCTTGTTGGAGGGATCATGGAATGGAACCCCGGAATGGGTACTGTACTGCACTGGGTTGGGGGAATCCAAGACCATGAGACTTCGAATTCTGGTGCCATTTGAGTTTATGTACGCTGCTGAGACAAACCCAAAGCCGAACACTGATCGTTCAAGAAAGATGCTCCTGCTCCTCGAATCTCACGGACATTTGCTAAGTTACCAAAACCGTCCTATTCTATTCAAACGCATGCATCTCCAGTTTGCAAAGCATGCTATGGGGATGCGCTGGGAATGTACTGTTAAAATGTATAGAAAGAAACTGACAAACCTCCCCTCAATCTAATTGGTGTCAATTCGGGTGTCAGAGGCTGTCAGGGCTCAACACGGATCTTCTATTGGTGCGGCTCGGTCTCGATGTGACGTGAACTGGACGAGTATGGAAGAGCACTTTTAGAGGGGAGGGAACGGAAAAGACGTGATGGTGGGGGGGGGGGGGAGTGGGGAGGGGGGGACTAGGGAGCGGGTAGTGGGGATGGAAACATTTCCAAATGCCCCAAGTAGTTGTATGTTCCCAGAGAACACTTGAAAACAATACCTGCTCTCTTGCTTCCCACCTCGAGATCGAGCCATTCCCACCGCCTTCGCCATTTCCTAGGCAGTTGTCCATTTGTCAGGCGTAGCACAACCATGGATCTCAGGTGGCAATAGCAACGATTCAATCTACACCATGTTAGCTAAACCAGGGCTCTCGTTATCAGACAGAGTTTGCTTGGTTTTCTGAGTTATGGGCGATTGTAAATTCTTGAGTACCCTGACCTAGACACAGGGTATCACAAAGCTTACAGTCATCAGTCTTAAGGAGGGGTACACTTTCTATGTGCATATCATTGGTGATTAGTGGCTGGCCAAGTAAGGTTGCTTCAGTTTGGCCTAAGGGTGAGGGTGATGGGGCAATGGTCACTTCCAAGAAACCCTGGAGTTGGGGAAAGAAGGCACATGAGGGACAAAGAGCCTTAGCGAGTGATCAAATCCCTTGTTTGTTATGTACGGTCATCTACAATACCGCTACTACATAATACATATTCACCCCCCCCACACGCCCCATCCCTCCCTGCCAGCTCCCTTCCCTACCCCCCCTCAACCACCCCAACCCTACATCCATACCCACCCTCGCCCTCGAATCCTCGCCCATGTATGTCACATGCCGCCACCCGTGGTAGAAGGTCGTTAGACACACAGAAGTAGTCAACCCGCATGCGCTTGCCTTCCGAGTGACATCAACGATCAGCCCAATCCCCTCCACCCATACCCACCCTCGCCCTCGAATCCTTGCCCGTGTATGTCACATGCCGCCACCCGTGGTAGAAGGTCGTTAGACACACAGAAGTAGTCAACCCGCATGCGCTTGCCTCGGTATCTGCCATGGCACGGCACGACAGGAACCAGCATAGCAGCCAGCCTTGGCGAAATAAGCCCACAGTGGGTGGAACATAAGTAACCAATCCGCATGCACTTGCCTCGGTACTGACACAGCGGAGAATTGGAAACAAACCAGCATGGGAGGATTGTATCTGGAAGTGAGTTCCAACCCGAGCCTGCTCTCTTCTGTACACACGCGGGCCAGGCCACACATACCTCCCCACGGGGTTGCCACTCCACGTGAAGCCTGCCTGCATGTCCTTTCTGGGATGCATACGGCGATACACGTCTGTCAAACCGGTTCTGGCCAGGTGAGAAGGAGAGGAGGAGGAGGAGGAGGAGGAGGAGGAGGAGGAGGAGGAGGAGGAGGAGGAGGAGGGAGAGCAAGGGAAATAAAATACGAGGAAGTGAAAATCGAGACAAAGGGAGAAGCAGAGTGGATATCAGGAAGCAGTCCAAACAAGGACCCACCCAGAACCCCCGATTTCCCCCCTTCCTCGCTTTCTGCCTTCTCCCCCCCGGCCACCCCCCCCGAACTCCGCCCCCACCCGCAGCACCTTGAGTACTTCTCCTCTCTACCTTTTTAGAGTCTCAGCGAATCTCATCCGTTCGTTGAGAGAGAACCCCGGCTGGCCCCGATCCTGCGGTCCACATGCATTGAGAGACAGGTCGGGAGACACAACGGGTTGGTAACAATGGGCTCACAAGAAATCGTTCTCGAAAACTTCCGAACCATCTCTCATCCGCGTGTGATGAGTCGATTTTTGAGTCTACTAAAAAATCAAACCATCGTCATCAAACTAAACGGGGCCCACAGAACAGGCAGTAAATGCTTGCGGCCTCAAACCTCGATGAAAATGGTCCGTAAAAATGTTTGGAGCATACCGAATCTCACCCCAAGATCAACAGCCGGCTCGCCATTGGTCGCCGTACGGAAGAACTCCGGGTCGCTGATGTCATCGTCTGTGGGACTGGCGTTGGGGAAGAGGAGGAGGACGGATGAGATGCAATTGGGAGTACAGTGAAGTCCTTCTCCAGAATATATGTATGTATATATATATATATATATATATATATATATATATAAAGAGAGATAGACAAGGGAGAGAGGCTGAGAGAACTGAAGAAAAAAGGAAATGACGTTAATGGACGTTGAAAAGATTGTTATGTTTTCAGAAGAAAGGAGGAAACAGGGCTGAGTTGAAACAAACCCTTAAGATCACACCGCCAAATCCATACCTCACGTTGAGATCGCCCAGCCAGATCAACGGCTTGGATTGCACGGCATCGCTGGTGAGAAACCGACAGATGCGATCGTCCCACTCGGCACGGCGGGAAAAACTGGGAGAGTCTTTGGAGAACCCGTTATTTGGCACGTAGGTGTTGACGAGACGGATGGATGGAAACTCCAGAATAATCGCCCTCCCGTCTGCCTCGTGCTGCTGCCTGCGCTGCTTTCCCTGCTCTGCTGCTCCCACCTGCAGGCAGGGCGGCAAGGAGGAGAACAGGGGAACGGCAAGGAAAGCTGCGAAGGTCTTTTTAGAAGCCATTGTTTGGCACGTAGGTGTTGAGAAGACGGATGGATGGAAACTCCGAAATGATTGCCCTCCCGTCTGCCTCGTGCTGCTGCCTCTGGTGCTCCCTTCTCTCCATGGCTCCTACCTGCAGTGCAGGCCGGAAGGTGGGAAGGAGAGGAAGGGGACGAATGGTGGGCGAGTCATTGGAGAACCCATTGTTTGGCACGTAGGTGCTGAGAAGACGGAGGGATGGAATAAGGAGAAGGAACGTCCACCTCACCTGCTTCCACCGCACTGCACCGCAGTGCCATCACTCACATCCAAGGAGAAGGAGGCGGAGAGGAGGTGGGGCAGCAGGGAGCGTTTGAGCAGCACGGCTGTGCCGGCATACTTCGTGGGGGCGAGGGACCACCACACCCGGTACAGGGAGAATGGCGGTGATGCTCTCCACCTGCTTACACCGCACTACACCGCACTGAACTCACTCACGTCAAGGGAGAAGGAGGCGGAGAGGAGGTGAGGAAGCAGGGCGCGTTTGAGCAGCACGGCTGTGCCGGCATACTTGGTGGGGGCGAGGGACCACCACACCCGGTACAGGGAGAATGGCGGCGATGCCAGTGCATGCTGCATGAACTGACATGGGGAGAGAGGGATAGGGGGAGACAGGGATAGGGGGAGAGAGGGATAGGGGGAGAGAGGGATAGGGGGAGAGAGGACCTTATTCAGCATGTGCATAAAGAACCAAGGAAGATAAATAAAGGTTTCAAAGTAATAAGCCTTTCATTTTCATTCCTTCTCTCTTCGTTCCATCCCCCCAAAACCTCTGCTCCATCTTTTCGCTTTTGAGAATTCTCAAAAACCTCTGCTCCATCTTTTCCGTTTCCCATCCTTCCCCGCTCATCACTCTTCCTCCTCTCCCCCCCCCCCCTCTCCTCCCCCGTCCCCTTTCCCCCCTCTCTCCTACTCAACCCACCTGTCTCTCCTCCCGGGCTTGCTTTGTGTCATCCTTGAGCTCTGATTGGTTGAGAGGTCCGCCCTTCCGCCCTGCTGCTGGCATGCGCACCTCCTGCGCCCCAGGTGGGGGAAGGGGAAGGAGTGAAAGGGGAAAGGGGGAAGGGGAAGGAGTGAAAGGGGGAAGGGGAAAGGGGGGAGTAGGGAAGGAGAGGGGGAGAGGGGAAGGGGGCAACGGGAGAAGGGGGAAGGGGTAAGGGGGGAAGGATAGGGGAAGAGGGAAAAGGGGGAAGATTAGGCAGAGGGGAATGGGCGGGAAGGATTCAAGAGAAAGACGCTTTGAGAATTCTCAAAAGTCACTCCCAAATGGGCGGGAAGAATTCAAAGAGAAAGTTAAGTGTGACCGGTGACCGAACCAGAACAGTTCAGTCATGATGGGGTGCAGTGCAGGTTGACGAGCGCAGAAAGTCATTTTCATGCCCACTTGATCAGCAAGCACTAGGATTGCTTTTGAGAATTCTCAAAAGTGATTCCCACTAGGATTGCTTTTGAGAATTCTCAAAAGTGATTCCCACTAGGATTGCTTTTGAGAATTCTCAAAAGTGATTCCCACTAGGATTGCTGAGAACTTTTGAGCCTCAAAAGCCCACTTGATCAGCAAGCACTGGGATTGCTGAGAACTTTTGAGTAGACTGCAAGTCCATGCACAAGGGGTCATCAGTCAGTATTGATGATTCTTGGCCCTTGATTGACCATGCAAGTCCACAGTGACAAGGACTTGGCTCAAATTCAAACATCTCATTTGCTCTGCTGCAATCACCTGACGCGCTCTGCTGCAATTACCCGTCACTCTGTTGGAATCACCTGGATGGCAATGACATCAGGCGACTGCTTGTTAATGAAGCCAACCAACTCCGCCCGGTTGTGTCTCAATCGAAGCAGGAAACTGTTGGCGTTCCAGGACATTATTCTGGGGGGTAGGTGGGGGGGGGAGAGGTGGAGGGGGGAGTGTTGGGAGTGAGTGGGCTTATGCTGAGTCGACTCAGAAAAAGCCCGGTTGTGTCTCAGCCGGGAGCAGGAAACTGTTGGCGTTCCAGGACATTATTCTGAAAAGGAGGGTAGGGGAGCGGGGAGAGGCGGGGGGGAGGAGGGGGAGGAAGAGGGGGGTTGGGAGAGGGAGGGGGGAACGAGTGGGGGAAGAAGCGGGGAAGGGGGAAGCTTTGAGAAGCCTCAAAACTAAGACAGATCAAAAAGCATTTCAGGACACTAATGAAATGAGGGTGGTGGGGAGGAAGGGGGAAAGGGGGAAAAGAAGCGGAACGGGAGAAATGAGAGTGGTGTCTGTGAGCGGAGGAGTTTTAGAATGCTTCGCACATGTGAGCATCATAGGAGTGTTAGATTGCCAAGACGTTAACGCAAGCAGGTCTGGACCCCGCACCTCAACGGCTCTTGATGGGCAATGGATTTTTCTTGTTCTGGCTCGTCGCCCTTCGCTGATGACCGTTGCTCGCCCTGATTCCCAGATGACCGTTGCTCGCCCTGATTCCCAGATTCCTGTTGCTCCCTTGGTTGCTCGCTTCGTTGCTCGCATCCGTGCTCTCCTTCTTTCTCCCTCGATTCCTCTCGATAGAAGCAGCCTCGCTTAGGTTATTGTTATTCTCCGCACGTCCAATCGCTGCTACTCCTCCGACGGCAGGCGTATGCTCACAGCCAGTGCCTCTCTGTACCCTCATTCCATTCGAAGTCGCGTCGCGACTAGTATCGTGACTGGTTCTCGACGACATTCTATCACGAACAGATTCGCGACAGTACTCCGCTGGGGGTTCCTCCGCAGGACGTTTGACTCCCCCGGATATTCCCCTTTCCTCTACACTTTCTCCGCCAGCTCTGCGACCGTCTGTCATTCCCCCACCTCTCTCCGCCGTTCCCCCGTCCCTCTCCGCCATTCCGCCATCTTTCACCGCTTCGATTCCTTTTTGTGCATCTGAAACGGTTGAGGTTGTTTGAGGAGCTGTTGCTTTCGCGACGGGCTTGAAGTAGCGTTTCATAGCGGGAACGGAAATAACACGAATCGCAGAACCTTTAGGTGAAATCGATAAATGAAGGCAGAAATGGAATCTGAGAGTGCTCTTTATTGTAGTCACCCGTTACGCGCCAAAGTGGGAAATGGAAATTGGATTTTGTACACAAGCGTTTGCGACATTGAAGTTGTCACGAAGGTGGATGATTGAAGCTCTCGTATCACACCCGTCACTGGAGTGGCGCGCATTCCTGTCGCATCTTCGCTATAATGGCTCCGCACTTGATGCTGAGTGGTTGGGTCAGATTTCTCGGCTGACCGAACGGTAACATCTCGGCTGATGCAGACTAACTCTGAGGTTTGATTCGTTGTGCGAAATGTGGTTGCCATGTCGGGCCAGCCGTTACAGAAACTCCGGTATGATTGGAACGAAACGATGCACCTGATTGGAGCTGGTGTTTCGCTGACCTGATTCCACCACCGTATTGGCCAAGCAAACCTGTTGCTGATCTGGCGTATTGAACTGACACCACGAAACAGCGCGATTGCCAGAGCGCGTGAAACCTGGTACGTGCGTGTCACGTTGAGCGCCAGCACATCCCTTTCTTCCCCAACCTGTTCTGTACCTCCTCGTGTAGCCGTGGATGCCAGGACATCCCGCCTAGCGCACCTTCGCCTCATTCCGCGGGGGGCGCATAACTGAGGGGGCGCAGCACTCCCCCTATCTGCCAGCCACCTGCCAGTGCCTGAACACCTCACCTGGCCCTTGCCCTGTCTCTCGGCCTCGAGGCTGCGTTTGGGTGCCCGAGCCAGCAGATCGCCACCGTCCATCTCCTGATAGGGGCTGGCTAGTTTGTTCGGGCCGTCCGTCTGTATCAGCGTCTGTAGGTTCGGAACCAAACCACATACGCCTTCCCGCGTTTCCGCTGCATTTTTTGTGGGTTTGTGGCTACAAACCACATTCTACGTGGTGGAGTGCGTTACCAACAACATTTAAACGGTTTCCAGGCGTTTCGACAAGGTGCTACGGTGTCTGTGGAACACCGACCAGCAGCGAGCAGCGTACCTTGGCGCGTCTCCTCTTCAACCTTCGCCATACGCATGGCGAGCAAACTGATTAGGGGCGGCTGATTAGCCTCGAAATACGACACGTTACTTCCATGCGTTCATGAGCACACTGCTTCGATTCCATGTGTTGAAACACGCTGCTCTCACCTCCACCAGGCGACGCGACCAACGCGACGCTTACTTGAGACCTAGTTCTTTCCGAAGTTGCGTCGATGGCTAATGCATGGGCGTTTTTTTAGTTGTGAGTTCTCTAAATAAATAAATAATCGACCTCGCGGCGATCACTTGCTCCTCATTGCTCGCTCCTTATTCGCTCGCAACAACGAAGCTGTGTTACTCTCAGCGAGCCCGTCTGTGTTACGATCTCGTCAGCGTCTCTCCTATCAGTAAAGCGTCTCGTTGAAGCTGTACTATCGCCGGCTGACCTAGAGGCGTTGGATCAACGTGGCTCTATTGTTAGGCTGCTGACCGTTGAACCAGAAGGGCGACTCGGCTGTAGCCAGAGCTCTTCCCCGAAGTGAAGATTAAGGTTAAATAGCTCTCGCATGGGCGGAGACTTATAACGCGTACAGACCTACAAGCAGGAGTAAAGGCTGATGGACGAAGGTTCCGCGAGGCTCGCGGAGGAGATGAATAGGCAGAAGGGTGCAGAGCAGCAGTCGAAGGAGTCTGGTGTCAGTCTGACGTGGCTCAAGGTGGAGCGGAGATGCGGGAAGGACGGCGGAACCGGGGAGGCGGGAGGGGAAGGGGACGAGGATGGGTATGACCGGGAAATGGAGCAGAGGGGGCATAATGAGGAGCAGAAGGAGGAAGGGGAAGAGAATGAGATAGAGGACGGAGAAGCAGACGATGGGGATGAGGGGGAGAAGGGAGAGGACGGAGAGAAAGGGGAGGAGTGGGAGAGGGAGGAAGGGGAAGAGCGTGATGAGGGGGAGGAGGGGGAAAGGGGGGAGGTGAGTGTGGTGGAAGCGCTGCGGGAGGAGGTGGAGATGGAGCGCATCTTGCGCGCATTGGCGGAAGATGGCATGAAGGTGCGACCGCGCGGGAGATGGGGAATGGCGGAGTGCGGGAGGGAGTATGGCGGCGTGCGGGAGGGGATATGGCGGAGTCGTGGGGGGGAAGAGGAATGGCGGGGTATGGCAAGGTATGGGGGTACATAGCAAAGTGTTTCCTCCCTTTCCCCCGTCCATCCTCATCCTATCTCCTACCTCTCACTTTCTCCCTCTCTTTTTTCCCGTCTCTCGCTCTCTTTCTCTCCCTCGCCGTGCACAGGCGGTGCAGCAGCAGATGGAGAGGCTAAGGGACGAGGTCAGCAGTTGAGCCGCCTTATGTGAATGCTGTCTGATCGCCTCTCCCCCCTCCCGCCCTCCCTCGTCGTCTCTCCCTTTCCTCGTCTTTCCTTGCACAGGCGGTGGAGCAGCAGATGGAGAGGCTAAGGGACGAGGTCAGCAGGTACAAGGGGCAGCACCAGCGAGACACAGAGACGGTCAGTCGCCCGCATCATCTCTCCCCTTGTGGCTCTCAGTCGCCTCTGCCTACACTGTCGGTGTGTGTCGCTCCCCCACAATGGGCTAAGGGACGCTCAGTCGCGCTCACCGTCCCTCCCCTTGTGACTTTCCATTCGCTCTGCTTAACTCTCCTATGGGACGCGCAGTCGCCTCTGCCTTCACTCCTCTGTGTGACGTGACGGTCAGTCAATGCAGTGTTGCTCGGTCGCACACACTCCAGGTGTCAATGCGTCAGTCAACGTGCAGACAGTCACTCACTCTCCCTCTCTCCCCTTTCCCCCCTGTCCCTTTGTCCTTCTCCCCCCCTCCCCCGCGTCCCCAACTCCAGGTTTTTCAGCTGCAATCGCTGCAGCAGCAAGCACAGCACTGCGGGAGGAGCGCGAGTGCCTCTTGTTTTCCTCTTGCTCCCTTCTCCCCCTGCTCCTCTCTGGCAACACTGTCCCCCACACATCCGCCCCTTTTCTCCTCCTCCCCTTCGCCCTCTTCTTGCCTACCCCAGGTGTTTCAGCTGCAGTCATCAGAGTGGCAAGCGCTGCAGGAGGTGCAGGAGGAGCGGGAGCAGCGGAGGGAGTTAGAGACGTCCCTAATCTACCTCCACCACACGCTCTTGGAACTGCTGCCCCCAGACCTCCTAACCGAACCGCCTGTCTTCCACACCTACTCACACCCTCCTATGATCCCCCCCGACCTCCTTTCAAATCTCTCGGAAACGCCTTCACAGCTTCTCGCCTCGGACGGCCACGCAGACCCCTCAGAACCCCCTAGGATTCCTCCGGACCTGCTCTCTAATCTCTCAGAAACGCCCTCGCAGGCCCTCCCATCAGACGTGTACGCAGACCCTGCTGACCCTTCCGACCCTTCCGACCCTTCCGACCCTTCCCCTGATACCAACCCTCCCCCCTGCACAAACGCTTCTGAACCTTCCGACCCTCCCGATCCTTCTAAACGTCTCGATCCTTCAAACCCTTCTGAACCTGAACCGTCCGATCCATCCGAACCTTTTCGTTTCTCTCAATGCGCATCGAGACCGCACGACCATCATGATCCTCATCCGTGCATCCCTACTAACGAAGATGATATAAACGAGGGATATACCAACGGGGCTACTGACAGCAGCACTCCTTCCGAGTGCGGGTGTGGAGTAACGGAGAGTGGCGCCCTCGTGGTGCAGTTGGAAGGGAGCACCCTTGCTGCTGGTGCTGCTGGTGCTGCTGGTGCTGGTGGTGCTGGTGGTGCTGGTGGTGCTGGTGGTGCTGGTGGTGCTGGTGGTGCTGGCAAATTGGCTGGTGATGCGTGTGAAACAGTTGAAACTGGTGCCGCGGTTGCAGAGAACATTGCCTCTCCTCCGCCTCTACCCGCCACCCTCTCTCTTCCTCTCTTCGCATCTCGCCTTCAACAGCTGCATATCGATTCGCCCGCCACCCTCTCTCCCTCTCCTCCTTCTCCTTCGTCTTCTGCTGATGCTGCTCCTCCTGCTGCTCCTCCTGCTGCTCCTCCTCTCCCTCCTGCTGCGTCTGAATCTGTGCCTGCATCCGCGTCTGAGCCTGCTTCTCCGTCCACCCCAAGGGCTCCTGTCGACGTTCCTGCTTCGGCTCTACCGACTGCTGCATCGCCTGTCACCTCTCAGTCAACCACAGCTACTGCTATGACGCCTCTTCACTCTCCCGTGCTCAACCCAACACCCCTACCTGCTTCTCCTGCTGCTTCCTCTTCTCCTGCTGCTTCCTCTTCTGCTGCTGCTGCTGAAGCTGCTTGTTCTCCCCGCCTCAACACCTCGCCATCCACCCAGCATCCCTGCCACCACTATCCCCCGCCCTGCCTGCCATGCCTACCCCTCAAGGCTCTCCTCCTATCCCGCTTACTCCACCAGCCGTCCCCCCTCCCACTTGCTGCTTCTTCTGCTTCTGCTGCCCCTTCGTCTGCTGCTTCTTCTGCTACTGCTGCCCCTTCGTCTGCTGCTTCTTCTGCTTCTGCTGCTGTTTCTGCATCTGATTCTGCTGCGGCAGCGGCGGTGGCGGCATTGCTTGCCCCTGGGCTGACAGGCAGGCTGGTGCGCTGCGGATGCACTCCAGCCTCGTGCTGCTGCTGCTGCTGCTGCTGCTGCCCCTGCCTCTCCTCTTGACCCTGCTGCCCCTGCTCCTGCCTCTCCCGCTGCTGCTCCAGCTACTCTTGCTGCTCCTCATCGTGCTGCTCCAGCTAATCATGTGGCTGCAGCCATTGCGGCACTTGCACTGAGGAGGCGGGAACGCGAAGGCGAACTGGAAGGGGAAGGGGAGGAGGTGCATTGGATGAGAGAGGGCTGGTTGAAATGGAAGGTTGGCGAGGAGGAGAGGGCAGGAGATGGGGTCGATAGGATGGGACGGGGAATTGGGAGGAGGATGGGAGCGAGGACGGTAGAAGAAGTGAGGCTACGGTTGGAGGGAGGAAAAGAGGTGGCAAGTGGGACGGGAGGGGGCGGTAGGAGGAGGAGCGAGCAGCAGAGGATGCGATGTGGCCGATGTGAGGCACTGGAGGGGGCAGGGGCTGGGGGAGAGAGAGGGATGGATGAGGGGATGAGGGGGAGAAGACTGCAGTGCGGAGTGATGCTTCTAGTTGCGTGCTGGGAAATGGTGCCATCCCGCAGCCTGCCCTTCCCAGGTCTACCTCCCCAAATCTACCTTCCCCCAGTCTGCCCTATCCGAATCTTCCCTTTCCAAATCTCCCCTCCCTGAAACCTCCGTCCGTGAATCCGCTGTCGCCCCGTCGCTGTCCCCGCTGGTGCCGGTGCTGTTGCTGGCTCGCGTGGCGTGCCCGTGCTGCCAGGTTGAAGGGTTGCAGTGGTGGTGCGAGGGGTGCGGGGCCAAGGGTCGGTGGGATGGTGCGAGGGACGTGGGAGCTGGGTATCAGGTGAAAGGGGGAGTGGAAGCGAGTGAGGAAAAGAGAGTGGAGGAGAGAGCGGAGAAGAGGGAGAAGGAGAGAGGAAGGGACGGAGAAAAGGAGAGAGTGGAGGAGAATATGGGGCAGGCGAAGGAGGTGAGAGGGCAGGAGTCAGGGGAGGAGTCAGGGGAAGAGAGCAACAAGGAGATTGATAGGAAGGGGGAGAGAGGTGGGTTAGGCTCGAAGAGAGGGGGGTTGGGCTCGAATACCAAGAAACCCCTGTACGGGATAGTTGCGGGAATCAGAGGAAAGAGCAGGCAGATTATCCCAGAGAAGCTTCCTTTGAAAGAAGGGAAGTGGGGGATGAGTAGGAAAGGGGTAAGAGGGTTAAGGGAGCGAAGGGAGGGAAGGGAGGGGAGGATGCGGAGGATGAGGAGAGAGAAAAGGGAGGGAGAGAGGGTGGTTCTTGCTGCCGCTGTGATGACTGTGCTGGATTGGACCAGGCGTGGTGTGAGCAAGAGCACTGGCAGTGGCAGGTGCAGGCGCATGCGCATGGGCATGCGCACAGGCATGGGAGTGAGCATGGGATGGAGCATGAGAGTGATGATGCAAATATAAAGCAGCAGCGCCATCTGCATCAGTATCAGTATCGGCATCAGCAGCAAAACCAGCATCATCACCAGCAGCAGCACCAGCACCACCACCAGCAGCAGCAGCAGCAGCAGCAGCACCAGCAGCATCAGCACCCACCCGATCAGTTTTGCTGCTGCAACCACAACCGACCACTGTCATCTTACAGCCATGGCCTCCCAAGCCACTCTGACCATCCACACCCACATGCTGACCATGCCGCATTCCATATTGCCAGAGGCCCCCACCCATGGCACAGTGCATACCATCCATCTACACCAAACCCACCTCTGTCGTACGTCCCTTCACCGAACCATTATCCTGGCAACCAACCTGTTGTCAACCAATCTGCTGCCCCGCAGCCTGTCGGATTTCTTCCCTTGGTGTACCAAGCAGGTCTGCACCATCTGTTTCACCCGGCATCGCAACAAGCAACTGTGCATGTTCCCTTTGGGTACAATCTGATGCCGTCCCACGCTCCATCACCCCAGCCGCTTGCTTACCCAGATGCAGCATCCTCGCCCCACTACCAGCAGCAGCAGCACCACCACCACCACCATCAGCAGCAGCAGCAGCACCACCATCATCAGCAGCAGCACCAGCCGCATGACCATGAGCAGCAGTATCAGCAGCACCACGAGCAGCATCATCATCAACACCTGCACTGCTGTCACCAGAACCAGCAGCAGTCCCAGTATCCAGCTCAACCCACTGGCAGCACGCACCCACAGCACACACAACCGCTTGCGAAGGGCTCGGTCAAGAAGCCTGAGATGCATGGTCGGCAGCATGAGATGCATGGTCGGCAGCATGAGATGCATGGTCGGCAGCATGAGATGCATGGTCGGCAGCATGAGATGCATGGTCGGCAGCATGAGATGCATGGTCGGCAGCATGAGATGCATGGTCGGCAGCCTGAGATGCATGGTCGGCAGCATGAGATGCATGGTCGGCAGCATGAGATGCATGGTCGGCAGCACGAGATGCATGGTCGACAGCATGAGATGTGTGATGACCATCACCATGGGGAGCGTGTGATGTATCCTAGTGAGATGCGTAGTAGCCATCAGCATCACCATGGGGAGCATGTGATGTATGGTAACCATGAGGATCGGCAGCATGTGGCTGCGCACGAATGGGATGGTAGAGGAGGCTTGAATCCGCGCTATGCTTCGTCTCCTGTCCTCCCGCATCTTCTCCCAGCATCTCCGTCGTTTGATTATTGGAGCAGAGGTGGTGGGAGCAGCAGCAGCAGCAGCAGTAGCAACTTGGGAAGGCGGCGACCCACTAGTAGCAGCAGCAGCAGCAGGTACAGCAGGCATTTGAGGAGGCCAAGTGAATTTTCAGAAGGTGTTTCTGTGTTGGAGGAGGAAGAAGAGTATGAGGAAGAAGAGGAAGAGGAGGGAGAGACAGTGGTTACTGGGGAAGAGGAAGAGACTATTGCTGGTGCTGGTGCTGGCGGTGGTGCTGGATCCTCATTGGCTGGTATGAAGCTGGACAGGTGGTGGAGCTGTGTCAGCAGCAGCAGTGAGTTTCATTGTGGTGCTGCATGTGTTGCTGATGACACATCTCCTGCTGGTGCTAGAACCACTGACCGCATGTGATTGCCTGCCAGGCGGAGTCGGGTCAGGACAGGGCCTGTGGGAAGTCCTTGAGTATGCGCTTCTCATTGCTCAAATATTTGTACTACCGTGGTTGGTTGGTAGGAACATATATGTATCCGAATATCTGTAGGTATATGGGTGGGAACATAAACCATATCATGGCTAGTTACATGTAGGAATATTAATGGTTTATTGTGATTTGGCTTGTTCTATTTGTGGGTAATGATGTGCCACAACATGTCGTGTGGCCACTGATTTCTGCTGACCAGCGAATTACTCAAGCAGTTAGCTCGGAAGGACGTTTGTCACTTACGGTGACGTTGATTTGCTAGTGAGTTTTTAAGCCTGAGCTATTACCTTCAGGTTCTTGCTTATGCGAATAAGATTAGTATGCTTGAGCAATGCCTAAGAATAGTGTGCCTCATGCCTCATCCTAAGATTACTTGTATGCTGTAGCAATGCGTAAGATTAGTGTGCTTGATGCACACCAATTTGAACCGGAGCTTAGTGGGCATGCTATGCTGGCATGATGTCAGATATTAGCATGCACGAGGGCGTCGGAATGAAGATTGTTGTTAAATATTTAGACCCGAGAGCAGGGACGGTAGTCTGCACAATGTACTATAGTTTCACAAAATTTGGACAAGCGGTGCATCCACCATTTACTTTCTCTTGACGGGGTCGAAGGTAGACACGCCAATGATAGCTACGGCAATGCCACCCAGGACAACACCGCCAGCAATCACGCTGTTGATCAGGTTCTGCAGTGAAGGGGACACGCCGGGCTGGGCAGCCTCAGCAATCTCCGGGATGATGGCGGCAGCGAGCAGAGCAGCGGTGGCGGGGAGAGCAACGTTCTGCTCCTTCTTCGCGCTGTAATACAAGGGAAAACGAAGGAAAGCAAGGTTAGACTGCGGAGTCAGCCTTGAATCACGCCTGGCTCTTGCTAACAGTCGTTATGACGATACAGGGCGAAAGCGAAGAATGGTCGGCTTGAACCGCTGGAGTAAGAATACGAGAGTAATGACGGGGGACCTACCTCATCACAACGCGGCTCTTGTTGCTGACGAGCATGGGGGTAGCAACGACCTTGCTCGACACAGCGCTCTTGTTAGCCAAGAGGCTGGTGGGAGCCACCACGGAGGCAGAGCAGACAGCGAAGGCAGCCATGGCTGAGAGTAGGCTTTGGCTGGATGAGCTGACTGCGGAAAAGAATCTGGTGTGGAGGCTGGAATACGCGGTGACCAGACAACAGATTGTCTTGAGAGGTGTAGGCAGGGAATCAAATTGGAGTTCACATCCGTGCCTGCACCACGAAGCGGAAGCGGGTGTGTGGTGGGGAGATCAGCGAGGCTTACTGGGAGGCCAGCGATTTCCAGATTCCCGAAGAGGATAAGGCACGCTTGGCGTGATCTCATTCGTCCGTTGATTGGCTCGGCGTTACCTTTGCGATGGGCCTCGGGGTTCTCGGAGCCTGAAGTGGCGAATGGTGGTGACGAAATCTTGGGTTTTATGAGGTGATCGCGAGCGAAACAATCTGCTGTAACTGACAGGTGGACAAATGTTACGGATCAAAATATGCATTCGGAACTATTCGCACCTGTATATACCGTAATCTCTCACAAATCCTGTGCAAATACGACAACACAGTGTATTCAGATATTTATCTAACAAATTAGCTTCTGGATATACGAGTTGTATTTTCAAAACAATCTGCGATAATGAGTTTGCGACAGACCTTTCGAGGCACTACCAATGCTCTCCCCCATAACTTACATTTACTGTAACATATTATTTGGATTGTACTGCGCAAATAACTATCCAGCAACTGAATCAATCATCCATGTGCCACTCATCGGACGGTCCCTCTATCATATTCACACGCTGTTTGTATGCCCACAACCATCAGTGCACCTTGTTGGTTTCAGCTGAACTGCTGAAAGAAATAATGTATTTCCATTCTCTGGTTAAACGGCATGAATCATGATCCTGGCTTGCTAATTGACAAAGCAAACACCCCTGAACCTAGGGGCGATGGCATCGCCTCTACATAATGTGCTCCTTACGTCAAAACAAAATCACAACTTGTCGCAAGCTTCCTTGAATCCAGCTTGTAAGTCTTCAGCTGCCTTCACCGACGCAAGCTTGAACGTCACAGGCCTCGGGGATTTGTCAAGCGTGGTACCGGCCGGAGCAGTGTCATCTTGCTGCAACGAAGCCCAAGAGTGAACACAAGCCACACAGAGGATACAAGAAGCATGTTCACTTGGACTTTTCAAAGAGTAGAAAAGTCAGTGTGGTGACAGCAGGAGCAGTGTCATATTGCTGCAACCAAGCACAGAGTGAACACGATACACAAGCCATGAGATGACACTAGAAGCATGAGCAGTATGACGTGGCAGCTTCCCATGCATGCACAAGCGAAGCGTGCACATGAGATAATGTGTTGAGTTTGGTGCATGCTCAAGATTACTAGCAGGAGTAGTGGAACAGACACACGCGAGTGGGGGACATACACATGACTGCAGAACAGCAGTTATGTTGTTCTTCTTGAGCATGATGGTGATGCCCTTGTAGAGAGGTGCGTTCAGCATCACCTTGCCCACCTGGCCAAGGGGACACGTGCATGCCAATGATGGGAAGGAGAAGGGGGCGGAGGGGGAGGTAGAGAGGGGGCGAGAGGCACATGATCTGCTCGTTCTGCCCTTGTACGGTGGCGCGTTCAGCATCATCTTGCCCACCTAGTTTTGAGGCGCCTCAAAATCAGCATCATCTTGCTCGCCTGCTCGTGGGCAATGGTGGGGAGGAGGAGGAGGGAGACAAAGAGAACAAAGCGGCACGGGATGATTGATATCCCCCTGCACAGCGCTGCTACTTTGCACACCCGCATGCGTCACATCGACTTGCCTCGCCTCCCATCCCATCCCATCCCATCCCATCCCATCCCAAACTAATAACAAATGACCAAGCAATCCCAGCACACCCAGGGGAATCCCGCTCACATCGTTGCGGAACAGCACTGACGCGCGCAGGGACGCCCCTCCCTTGTGCATCTTCACAATCACTGTGCCGCTGCCCTTGTCCTTCCACGCTGGGCCCTCCTCGCCCTTGGCCTTCTGTGCTCATGAGGGGAACACGAGAGTGAAGGAGGGGAGGAGATGGAGGACTGAAGAGAAGAGAGGAACGCGAAGGGGAGACGAGGCTCATCGTTCTCAAAACGCACAAAGCACATGGCACATGGCACATGGCATATGGCACATGGCATACGGCACATGGCATACCGCACATGGCACATGGCACATGGCATATGGCACATGGCATGTGGCACATGGCATATGGCACATGGCATATGGCACAAGGCATAAGGCACATGGCACATGGCACATGGCACATGGCACATGGCACATGGCACATGGCACATGGCACATGGCACATGGCACATGGCACATGGCACATGGCACATGGCATATGGCACATGGCACATGGCATGTGGCACAGGGCACATGGCACATGACATATGGCACATGGCACATGGCATATGGCACATGGCATATGGCATATGGCGCATGACATGTTTGCAGCTTCTCAAAACAGATGAAGCACCTACCTGCACATATATCTTGGTGCGTGCCTCATGCACTCTATCCACCCCACTCTCCTCCGCTCCGCTCTCTCTCATACACTCTCTGTCTCAACCACACCTTCTTCCATTCCATCCTACCTGCACGTAGATCTTGGCCCGGGCCTCATGCACTATATCCACCCCACTCTCCTCCGCTCGCTTCACTGACGGACTCGCAGGTCCCTGATCTTCCTCCTCCTCCTCTTCTTCTGGCAGACGACAAGGAAAGAGAGGGGTTGGGTTGGGTTAGGTTCGGCTATTGAGGGTTAAGGGCAGCACCCCTCACTCCTCCACTGCCGGACTCACAAGTCCTTGGTCTTCCTCCTCCTCCTCTTCCTCTGACAGACACACAAGCGGGGGAGGGGTGGAGGGGAACGGAATTGGGTTGCGTTAGGCTTGGTTACTGAGGGTAAGGCCAGCACCTATCGCTCCTCTTGAGGCGCCTCAAAAGAATTGGGTTGCGTTAGGTTTGGTTACTGAGGGTAAGGCCAGCACCTATCGCTCCTCGAGGCGCCTCAAAAGAATTGGGTTGCGTTAGGTTCGGTTACTGAGGGTAAGGCCAGCACCTATCGCTCCTCTTGAGGCGCCTCAAAAGAATTGGGTTGCGTTAGGTTTGGTTACTGAGGGTAAGGCCAGCACCTATCGCTCCTCTTGAGGCGCCTCAAAAGAATTGGGTTGCGTTAGGTTTGGTTACTGAGGGTAAGGCCAGCACCTATCGCTCCTCTTGAGGCGCCTCAAAAGAATTGGGTTGCGTTAGGTTTGGTTACTGAGGGTAAGGCCAGCACCTATCGCTCCTCTTGAGGCGCCTCAAAAGAATTGGGTTGCGTTAGGTTTGGTTACTGAGGGTAAGGCCAGCACCTATCGCTCCTCTTGAGGCGCCTCAAAAGAATTGGGTTGCGTTAGGTTTGGTTACTGAGGGTAAGGCCAGCACCTATCGCTCCTCTTGAGGCGCCTCAAAAGAATTGGGTTGCGTTAGGTTTGGTTACTGAGGGTAAGGCCAGCACCTATCGCTCCTCTTGAGGCGCCTCAAAAGAATTGGGTTGCGTTAGGCTTGGTTACTGAGGGTAAGGCCAGCACCTATCGCTCCTCTTGAGGCGCCTCAAAAGAATTGGGTTGCGTTAGGCTTGGTTACTGAGGGTAAGGCCAGCACCTATCGCTCCTCTTGAGGCGCCTCAAAAGAATTGGGTTGCGTTAGGCTTGGTTACTGAGGGTAAGGCCAGCACCTATCGCTCCTCTTGAGGCGCCTCAAAAGAATTGGGTTGCGTTAGGCTTGGTTACTGAGGGTAAGGCCAGCACCTATCGCTCCTCTTGAGGCGCCTCAAAAGAATTGGGTTGCGTTAGGTTTGGTTACTGAGGGTAAGGCCAGCACCTATCGCTCCTCTTGAGGCGCCTCAAAAGAATTGGGTTGCGTTAGGTTTGGTTACTGAGGGTAAGGCCAGCACCTATCGCTCCTCTTGAGGCGCCTCAAAAGAATTGGGTTGCGTTAGGCTTGGTTACTGAGGGTAAGGCCAGCACCTATCGCTCCTCTTGAGGCGCCTCAAAAGAATTGGGTTGCGTTAGGTTTGGTTACTGAGGGTAAGGCCAGCACCTATTGCTCCTCTTGAGGCGCCTCAAAAGAATTGGGTTGCGTTAGGCTTGGTTACTGAGGGTAAGGCCAGCACCTATCGCTCCTCTTGAGGCGCCTCAAAAGAATTGGGTTGCGTTAGGTTTGGTTACTGAGGGTAAGGCCAGCACCTATCGCTCCTCTTGAGGCGCCTCAAAAGAATTGGGTTGCGTTAGGCTTGGTTACTGAGGGTAAGGCCAGCACCTATCGCTCCTCTTGAGGCGCCTCAAAAGAATTGGGTTGCGTTAGGTTTGGTTACTGAGGGTAAGGCCAGCACCTATCGCTCCTCTTGAGGCGCCTCAAAAGAATTGGGTTGCGTTAGGTTCGGTTACTGAGGGTAAGGCCAGCACCTATCGCTCCTCTTGAGGCGCCTCAAAAGAATTGGGTTGCGTTAGGTTTGGTTACTGAGGGTAAGGCCAGCACCTATCGCTCCTCTTGAGGCGCCTCAAAAGAATTGGGTTGCGTTAGGTTTGGTTACTGAGGGTAAGGCCAGCACCTATCGCTCCTCTTGAGGCGCCTCAAAAGAATTGGGTTGCGTTAGGCTTGGTTACTGAGGGTAAGGCCAGCACCTATCGCTCCTCTTGAGGCGCCTCAAAAGAATTGGGTTGCGTTAGGTTTGGTTACTGAGGGTAAGGCCAGCACCTATCGCTCCTCTTGAGGCGCCTCAAAAGAATTGGGTTGCGTTAGGTTTGGTTACTGAGGGTAAGGCCAGCACCTATCGCTCCTCTTGAGGCGCCTCAAAAGAATTGGGTTGCGTTAGGCTTGGTTACTGAGGGTAAGGCCAGCACCTATCGCTCCTCTTGAGGCGCCTCAAAAGAATTGGGTTGCGTTAGGCTTGGTTACTGAGGGTAAGGCCAGCACCTATCGCTCCTCTTGAGGCGCCTCAAAAGAATTGGGTTGCGTTAGGCTTGGTTACTGAGGGTAAGGCCAGCACCTATCGCTCCTCTTGAGGCGCCTCAAAAGAATTGGGTTGCGTTAGGTTTGGTTACTGAGGGTAAGGCCAGCACCTATCGCTCCTCTTGAGGCGCCTCAAAAGAATTGGGTTGCGTTAGGTTTGGTTACTGAGGGTAAGGCCAGCACCTATCGCTCCTCTTGAGGCGCCTCAAAAGAATTGGGTTGCGTTAGGCTTGGTTACTGAGGGTAAGGCCAGCACCTATCGCTCCTCTTGAGGCGCCTCAAAAGAATTGGGTTGCGTTAGGCTTGGTTACTGAGGGTAAGGCCAGCACCTATCGCTCCTCTTGAGGCGCCTCAAAAGAATTGGGTTGCGTTAGGTTTGGTTACTGAGGGTAAGGCCAGCACCTATCGCTCCTCTTGAGGCGCCTCAAAAGAATTGGGTTGCGTTAGGCTTGGTTACTGAGGGTAAGGCCAGCACCTATCGCTCCTCTTGAGGCGCCTCAAAAGAATTGGGTTGCGTTAGGTTTGGTTACTGAGGGTAAGGCCAGCACCTATCGCTCCTCTTGAGGCGCCTCAAAAGAATTGGGTTGCGTTAGGTTTGGTTACTGAGGGTAAGGCCAGCACCTATCGCTCCTCTTGAGGCGCCTCAAAAGAATTGGGTTGCGTTAGGTTTGGTTACTGAGGGTAAGGCCAGCACCTATCGCTCCTCTTGAGGCGCCTCAAAAGAATTGGGTTGCGTTAGGCTTGGTTACTGAGGGTAAGGCCAGCACCTATCGCTCCTCTTGAGGCGCCTCAAAAGAATTGGGTTGCGTTAGGCTTGGTTACTGAGGGTAAGGCCAGCACCTATCGCTCCTCTTGAGGCGCCTCAAAAGAATTGGGTTGCGTTAGGTTTGGTTACTGAGGGTAAGGCCAGCACCTATCGCTCCTCTTGAGGCGCCTCAAAAGAATTGGGTTGCGTTAGGTTTGGTTACTGAGGGTAAGGCCAGCACCTATCGCTCCTCTTGAGGCGCCTCAAAAGAATTGGGTTGCGTTAGGCTTGGTTACTGAGGGTAAGGCCAGCACCTATCGCTCCTCTTGAGGCGCCTCAAAAGAATTGGGTTGCGTTAGGCTTGGTTACTGAGGGTAAGGCCAGCACCTATCGCTCCTCTTGAGGCGCCTCAAAAGAATTGGGTTGCGTTAGGCTTGGTTACTGAGGGTAAGGCCAGCACCTATCGCTCCTCTTGAGGCGCCTCAAAAGAATTGGGTTGCGTTAGGTTTGGTTACTGAGGGTAAGGCCAGCACCTATCGCTCCTCTTGAGGCGCCTCAAAAGAATTGGGTTGCGTTAGGCTTGGTTACTGAGGGTAAGGCCAGCACCTATCGCTCCTCTTGAGGCGCCTCAAAAGAATTGGGTTGCGTTAGGCTTGGTTACTGAGGGTAAGGCCAGCACCTATCGCTCCTCTTGAGGCGCCTCAAAAGAATTGGGTTGCGTTAGGCTTGGTTACTGAGGGTAAGGCCAGCACCTATCGCTCCTCTTGAGGCGCCTCAAAAGAATTGGGTTGCGTTAGGCTTGGTTACTGAGGGTAAGGCCAGCACCTATCGCTCCTCTTGAGGCGCCTCAAAAGAATTGGGTTGCGTTAGGCTTGGTTACTGAGGGTAAGGCCAGCACCTATCGCTCCTCTTGAGGCGCCTCAAAAGAATTGGGTTGCGTTAGGCTTGGTTACTGAGGGTAAGGCCAGCACCTATCGCTCCTCTTGAGGCGCCTCAAAAGAATTGGGTTGCGTTAGGCTTGGTTACTGAGGGTAAGGCCAGCACCTATCGCTCCTCTTGAGGCGCCTCAAAAGAATTGGGTTGCGTTAGGTTTGGTTACTGAGGGTAAGGCCAGCACCTATCGCTCCTCTTGAGGCGCCTCAAAAGAATTGGGTTGCGTTAGGTTTGGTTACTGAGGGTAAGGCCAGCACCTATCGCTCCTCTTGAGGCGCCTCAAAAGAATTGGGTTGCGTTAGGTTTGGTTACTGAGGGTAAGGCCAGCACCTATCGCTCCTCTTGAGGCGCCTCAAAAGAATTGGGTTGCGTTAGGTTTGGTTACTGAGGGTAAGGCCAGCACCTATCGCTCCTCTTGAGGCGCCTCAAAAGAATTGGGTTGCGTTAGGCTTGGTTACTGAGGGTAAGGCCAGCACCTATCGCTCCTCTTGAGGCGCCTCAAAAGAATTGGGTTGCGTTAGGCTTGGTTACTGAGGGTAAGGCCAGCACCTATCGCTCCTCTTGAGGCGCCTCAAAAGAATTGGGTTGCGTTAGGCTTGGTTACTGAGGGTAAGGCCAGCACCTATCGCTCCTCTTGAGGCGCCTCAAAAGAATTGGGTTGCGTTAGGCTTGGTTACTGAGGGTAAGGCCAGCACCTATCGCTCCTCTTGAGGCGCCTCAAAAGAATTGGGTTGCGTTAGGCTTGGTTACTGAGGGTAAGGCCAGCACCTATCGCTCCTCTTGAGGCGCCTCAAAAGAATTGGGTTGCGTTAGGCTTGGTTACTGAGGGTAAGGCCAGCACCTATCGCTCCTCTTGAGGCGCCTCAAAAGAATTGGGTTGCGTTAGGCTTGGTTACTGAGGGTAAGGCCAGCACCTATCGCTCCTCTTGAGGCGCCTCAAAAGAATTGGGTTGCGTTAGGCTTGGTTACTGAGGGTAAGGCCAGCACCTATCGCTCCTCTTGAGGCGCCTCAAAAGAATTGGGTTGCGTTAGGCTTGGTTACTGAGGGTAAGGCCAGCACCTATCGCTCCTCTTGAGGCGCCTCAAAAGAATTGGGTTGCATTAGGCTTGGTTACTGAGGGTAAGGCCAGCACCTATCGCTCCTCTTGAGGCGCCTCAAAAGAATTGGGTTGCGTTAGGCTTGGTTACTGAGGGTAAGGCCAGCACCTATCGCTCCTCTTGAGGCGCCTCAAAAGAATTGGGTTGCGTTAGGCTTGGTTACTGAGGGTAAGGCCAGCACCTATCGCTCCTCTTGAGGCGCCTCAAAAGAATTGGGTTGCGTTAGGTTTGGTTACTGAGGGTAAGGCCAGCACCTATCGCTCCTCTTGAGGCGCCTCAAAAGAATTGGGTTGCGTTAGGTTTGGTTACTGAGGGTAAGGCCAGCACCTATCGCTCCTCTTGAGGCGCCTCAAAAGAATTGGGTTGCGTTAGGTTTGGTTACTGAGGGTAAGGCCAGCACCTATCGCTCCTCTTGAGGCGCCTCAAAAGAATTGGGTTGCGTTAGGTTTGGTTACTGAGGGTAAGGCCAGCACCTATCGCTCCTCTTGAGGCGCCTCAAAAGAATTGGGTTGCGTTAGGTTTGGTTACTGAGGGTAAGGCCAGCACCTATCGCTCCTCTTGAGGCGCCTCAAAAGAATTGGGTTGCGTTAGGTTTGGTTACTGAGGGTAAGGCCAGCACCTATCGCTCCTCTTGAGGCGCCTCAAAAGAATTGGGTTGCGTTAGGTTTGGTTACTGAGGGTAAGGCCAGCACCTATCGCTCCTCTTGAGGCGCCTCAAAAGAATTGGGTTGCGTTAGGTTTGGTTACTGAGGGTAAGGCCAGCACCTATCGCTCCTCTTGAGGCGCCTCAAAAGAATTGGGTTGCGTTAGGTTTGGTTACTGAGGGTAAGGCCAGCACCTATCGCTCCTCTTGAGGCGCCTCAAAAGAATTGGGTTGCGTTAGGTTTGGTTACTGAGGGTAAGGCCAGCACCTATCGCTCCTCTTGAGGCGCCTCAAAAGAATTGGGTTGCGTTAGGTTTGGTTACTGAGGGTAAGGCCAGCACCTATCGCTCCTCTTGAGGCGCCTCAAAAGAATTGGGTTGCGTTAGGTTTGGTTACTGAGGGTAAGGCCAGCACCTATCGCTCCTCTTGAGGCGCCTCAAAAGAATTGGGTTGCGTTAGGCTTGGTTACTGAGGGTAAGGCCAGCACCTATCGCTCCTCTTGAGGCGCCTCAAAAGAATTGGGTTGCGTTAGGCTTGGTTACTGAGGGTAAGGCCAGCACCTATCGCTCCTCTTGAGGCGCCTCAAAAGAATTGGGTTGCGTTAGGCTTGGTTACTGAGGGTAAGGCCAGCACCTATCGCTCCTCTTGAGGCGCCTCAAAAGAATTGGGTTGCGTTAGGTTTGGTTACTGAGGGTAAGGCCAGCACCTATCGCTCCTCTTGAGGCGCCTCAAAAGAATTGGGTTGCGTTAGGTTTGGTTACTGAGGGTAAGGCCAGCACCTATCGCTCCTCTTGAGGCGCCTCAAAAGAATTGGGTTGCGTTAGGCTTGGTTACTGAGGGTAAGGCCAGCACCTATCGCTCCTCTTGAGGCGCCTCAAAAGAATTGGGTTGCGTTAGGTTTGGTTACTGAGGGTAAGGCCAGCACCTATCGCTCCTCTTGAGGCGCCTCAAAAGAATTGGGTTGCGTTAGGTTTGGTTACTGAGGGTAAGGCCAGCACCTATCGCTCCTCTTGAGGCGCCTCAAAAGAATTGGGTTGCGTTAGGCTTGGTTACTGAGGGTAAGGCCAGCACCTATCGCTCCTCTTGAGGCGCCTCAAAAGAATTGGGTTGCGTTAGGTTTGGTTACTGAGGGTAAGGCCAGCACCTATCGCTCCTCTTGAGGCGCCTCAAAAGAATTGGGTTGCGTTAGGTTTGGTTACTGAGGGTAAGGCCAGCACCTATCGCTCCTCTTGAGGCGCCTCAAAAGAATTGGGTTGCGTTAGGCTTGGTTACTGAGGGTAAGGCCAGCACCTATCGCTCCTCTTGAGGCGCCTCAAAAGAATTGGGTTGCGTTAGGTTTGGTTACTGAGGGTAAGGCCAGCACCTATCGCTCCTCTTGAGGCGCCTCAAAAGAATTGGGTTGCGTTAGGCTTGGTTACTGAGGGTAAGGCCAGCACCTATCGCTCCTCTTGAGGCGCCTCAAAAGAATTGGGTTGCGTTAGGTTTGGTTACTGAGGGTAAGGCCAGCACCTATCGCTCCTCTTGAGGCGCCTCAAAAGAATTGGGTTGCGTTAGGTTTGGTTACTGAGGGTAAGGCCAGCACCTATCGCTCCTCTTGAGGCGCCTCAAAAGAATTGGGTTGCGTTAGGCTTGGTTACTGAGGGTAAGGCCAGCACCTATCGCTCCTCCACACTCTTCGCTAACGGACTCGAAGGTCTCTGATCTTCCTCCTCCTCCTCTTCCTCTGACAGATGTGAAGGAGGGAGTGGGGGAAGAGATAACGGGGTTGATTTTGAACGGGTTGTTAGGGGAAATGGGCAACACTTCTCACTCTCCTCCTCCTCCCCTCCTCCTCCTCCTCCTCCTCCTCCTCCTCCTCCTCCTCCTCCTCCTCCTCCTCCTCCTCCTCCTCCCTGAACCGGGAAACCGGGAAACCGGGAAACCGGGAAACCGGGAAACCGGGAAACCGGGAAACTGCTCACCTTTTGCAGCGCCACCGACAGCAATGGGCGCGAGCGGTGCTGCTGCAGGGAAGCCAAAGTTGGGTGCCGCGGATGGTGCAGGTGAGAACGCGAAGGGGCTGGCTGCCACTGAGAAGGGCGCAGAGAAGGACACTGGCGTAGGGGGTGCTGCAGCTGTAGCAGGCTTGGAGGCTGTAGCAGCTGTAGCAGGCTTAGAGGCTGTAGCAGCTGTAGCAGGCTTGGAGGCTGTAGCAGCTGTAGCAGGCTTGGAGGCTGTAGCAGCTGTAGCAGCTGTAGCAGGCTTAAAGGCTGTAGCAGCTGCTGCAGCTGTAGCAGGCTTGGAGGCTGTAGCAGCTGTAGCAGCTGTAGCAGCAGGAGGAGATGAGCCGGCGCCAGGGGAGGACGAAGCAGCAGCAGTGGCAGCAGCAGGGGAAGAGCTAGCAGCAGCAGCAGCAGGGGAAGAAGCAGCAGGAGCGGTAGGAGAGGAGGTGAGTCCAAAGCTGACAGTGCCAGTGGCGGGAGAGGAAGACGAGGCAAGCCCGAAACTGGCAGTGCCGACAGGAGCAGCAGGGGCACCAGGAGGTTTGGAGGAGGACGGGGAAAGGAAGCTGCTAGGGGGAGGGAAAGGGGGAGGGGCGCCGGGTCTGGGAGACCACATGTTGACACCTACAGGGCCGAACATGGGGATGGTGGGAGCGGTGGTGGTGGTAGTAGTGCCAGGGGTGGTGCCAGTGGTGGTAGTGGTGTTGGTGGTGGCGTTGGCAATGGTAGTGGTGGCTGCTGCTGTTGTTGCTGGAGAGAAGGCGAACGGGGATGTGGTGAAGGCAGGGGCGGCGGTTGTGAATGCAGGGGCGTTGAATGCGGTTGCAGGTGCAGTTGGTGCGGTGGAAGGCGGTGGAGAGGCGGATTTGGACTTGATCCAGTCAACGACGTCCTTGTAGGTGGCCTGGGGTAGGCAGTGGGTGTGAGAACAGGGGTGTGGGGATGTGTGTGAGGGTGTGCGAGGGTGTGCAAGGGTGTGCGAGAGTGTGCGAGAGTGTGTGAGGGTGTGTGTGAGGGTGTGTGTGAGTGAGCATGTGTGTGACAAGTTATGTGAGTGCTTCTTGAGGTGCCTAAAGAATCAACGAGTGTCGTAAGGGTAGGTGGGTGTGTGTGTGTGTGTGTGTGTGTGTGTGTGTGTGTGTGTGTGTGTGAGGGTGTGTTCGTGCAAAAGAGATCAGGAACGGAAGATCAGGGATCAATACCTCGTGCAGGCAGTACTACTGTCAATGCAGTCATGGCTTACCATGGGGTTGGTGGCGTGGTCAATATTGTCGACGTTAACATAAAACTCCATCAAATACCACCACGGCAATGCATGTGTTACAGTGTTACCATGAGGGTAGTGGCATGGTCGATATAGTCATGCAACCCATCACTCCACAGCTCGTCACCATGCTCCTTCTGCTGCTGCTGCACCCAACTGCATGCATGTGCACATGCACATACATCCATGTGTACAAATGCACATGCACATGCGACCACACACACACATGCAAACATGCATACACATGCATATGTGTGCACACACACGAGCACACATGTACACACGCGTGCGTGCACACTCAAACGCACTCACACCAGAGACGTGCGCAATGCAACATGAGGAGGGACAGAACATTTAGCAGTGAGCCTGCTGCAGTAACCTATTATGCGTGTTACCACATCCCAGTGTAACCCAGCGAAACGACCAATGCGGGTTACCACTTGGCGAATTGCATGTTGAGTGCACGAACAGTGTTCAAACACTCCTGTGCTAGGTCTCAGCCAGGCTATACCCAACGAATTGGCGAATGCGGGTTACCAACCTGGCGAACTGCATGTTGAGAGCGCGGACAGTCTTCAGACACTCCTGTGCCCGGGCCTGGTCTGGAAAAGCAGCTGCTGAATCTGATGCTGGCGCTGATGCTGCATTGTTGGTTGCAGCAGGGAACGGAGCGGTGGTGAAGGATGGGAAGCCGTTGAATCCGGTTGCTGGTGGTGTGTCTGTTGCTGCTCCTCTCTTCTGCTGGTGGTTCTGCAAAAGATACCAATCAAAAGGTAAGTTGGAGGTGGGACGAGGAGTGACGAGGGGGATGGGGAGGAGGAGGAGGATGAGGATGACGAGGAGGGCGAGGGGGGGGGGGGGGGGGGGGGGGGGGGGGGGACGAGGGACGATGCAATGATAATTCAATGTGGTGTAGGATGGGTTGTGGAGACGAGTATCTGAAAGAGGTCTTTCCACCCGAGGCCAGAGATCCCCTTGTAACAAAATAATTGCTTTTCAATCGCTAAGTGCGACCTAACGGGAAGCATTCAGGGACACTTAAGCGGAAAAGAATTCACGCGGATTGCGAAACATTCAGTCGGAAAACCTACAGAAGCGTGTCGCCGGCTGAACGGAGCCGCTTCTTCCTCCTCCTCCTCTTCCACATATCGTCGTTTCCCACCCGCCATGAACCCCCTTCCGCTCACAAAGCCCCTCAAATCAAGTAAAACCTGCTTTCCGAAAGTCCTCAGAAAATGCTGTGCGTCGTAACGAAGTAAACAGGTCTTGTACCGCGCAGCTTCGACAGTCACAAAACCTTGTCGCCGTTTCGAACAAACCCCCACTCTAAAAATTAGAAAAAGTTTTCGTCGTTTAGAACAAGTTGCAGCTGCAGTTGAAGCGAAACTAAAATCGGTCTCGTGGAGGCAGCTGCATACACCGCCGTGTCTAGGCGGAGGCGAATGAGCCGCCGAATTCAGAAACGCTGTTGCGATGCGAAGCTGATCCGATAGGGATGGGGAGGAGGGTAGGGTGCTGCAAGGGAGGGAGATTCACGGCAGTCCACCACCCTGCTAATGGCGAGATGCGAAACAGCACGGGAGCATGTACTGTATTTTGTTAGAAGAGCATTTCCAAATATCTGATCCGACTATAACGAGTTATGCTGCACTTCTTGCAATATTACCCATACACATTCATACGCCATATCTTTCGGTATTCTTCTAGTCAGTTGTCCTTGTTTTGCGTCCCAGCCCCAGCTCTAAGACTTTCTGAATGAAACCATGGTCTTTGATCGTATCGTATCGAATGTCACTCCAACAAGCACGCAGGAGCTGCAAAACTGATGCATTAGAGAGATCAAATCGGCATGCTTAGCCCGTCCACAACAAGCCAACCACATGAAATACAAGGCAGCTCCCCCCTACCAGACAGCTTCTCAGCAGCTTCCCAAAACCTAACTACACAATCAGGCACTGAATGACCCTCACGAGACATACAGTAACCCTCTTGTGACCAATGCTATACGACCTGTGTGAGTGACCTGTCCCCTCTAGCAAAACTCCACCCCACGGCTGCACGCTTAGAAATTTGAAGACCGCAAGGCTTTCACAAGTGTGTGAAGGGCGGGCTTGAATAATGCATCACACACGCGTGTGACATCACAAGGATGGGATGAAGGGCGGCCAGAATGAATGGGGGGTACACTTGTGCAGGAGGAATCAAGGGCAGTACACTGTACTTGTGACGTCAGAAGGGCGGGATGAAGGGCAGTATACAGACGTCAAACTCTGGAAGATACCTCGGGCTCGCCCACACCACTCTCTCACTCTTCTCCCCCTCCTCCCTGTCCCCCTCCTCCTCATCCTCATCTCCAGCACCTTCCTTCATCTCCACATCCCGCATTCCACTGTCTCTCACCCCCGTGTCGTCCATATCTTTGTCCGCCAACCTCCCATCTTTCAACCTCCCATCGTTCACCCCCTCACCTTTCGCCCCCACCTCTCTCATCCCTCCCTCCCCCCGCTCACCAACCCCCGGCTCTGGCATGAGCCAGTCAGCAAAGCTCACTTCAGCTTCCATCTCAGCCAGTGCTTCTGCAAGCCCATGAGTGGCGTCGTCGAATGCAAGGAATGTCTGATCCACCACTGGCGGCTCTGCCTTCCTCTTCTCCCGCCCTTCCCTCTGCTTCTCCCTTCCCTCCCGCCCCTCCCTTCCTTCCTTCCCTTCCTTCCCCTCCCTCCCCTCCCGACCCTCTCGCCCCTCCTTCCCTTCCCTTCCCTCCTTCACTCCTCTCCGATCGCCCTGTTTATGCAACCCGTTTTCCCCTGGTGTGCCAGGCACAGATTCCCCTACAGCGACAGTTCCACCAGCAGCCACTGCAACCGCAGGAGCAGCAGCAGCAGCAGCAGCAGCAGCAGCTGCAGCGGCGGAAGCTGGACTAGAGGAGGATTTCAGCCGGGAATCGCTTTCAAGCTTATTTCCGAAGTCATTTCGGGGATCATTTCCGGAGTCGATTCGGGTGTCGTTTCGTGGCTCGCCTGTGGGTCTAAGAGGGGACAACACCTCAGCTGCTGACGTGTCACTAACATCCGGCCCCCCACTCAGCCCTGCCCCTCCACTCGCCGTGCTTCTGCTGTGGTGGTGCCGGCGTTTGCTGCTGCGGGATTTACCGGATACAGCCCCAGACACGCCCCCGCTTCTGCTGCTGTCTGCGGCGGGTGACGCCGCTGCTGCCCCTGCTGCCCCTGCTGCCCCTGCTGCTGCTGCTGCTGCTGCTGCTGCTGCCCCTGCTGCTCCTTCCCCCCCTGCCCCTAGACTAGCAGAACGCCCCACCCCTTTCAGAGCAGCTGCAGCAGCGGCAGCAGAGGCGCTCGGACCTGCACCGGGTTCCGACACACAGGAGGACGAGGCGAGGCGGGAAGGATGATGATGATGGTGCCGACGGTCCGAACCCTCACGATTCCCATGCCCTGCCTTATCCCCATCCGCTATTCTCTGCCCTGCTCCCTGCCCCTCCTGCCCGGCCCGCTGACTGCCGTGACTGGGTTGACTGCCTTGACTTCCCAAGCTACCCTGGCTGCTCTGGCTGCCGTGGCTGCGCTTGTGGCTCTGCAAGATGTCTCCCACCCGCCCGTTCTGCCTTGCTGCCCCGTGCACAGGAGGTTTATCGCTCGGCGACACTCCCGCTCGCTTCTCTCCACCTCCACCCACGCCCGGTGCGGAAGCGGTTGCAGCTGCTGCTGTGGTTGCGACGTTTCCACCTAATGGAGACACTGCAGCAGTGGCAGCAGCAGCAGCAGCAGCAGGAGCCCCTCGCGCTCCCGTTCCTCTCAGATCCATGACAGATTGGACATCTCTCATCTCCTCTAACCCCGGCTTTCCCCCAGGTTTAGAAAGTTCTGATGCTGCTCTCACAGGAGCACCAGAGGAAACCTGCCCTCCTTCTCCCTGCCGTCCCTTACCCTCTCTCCTCTCCTGCCTATCCCTATCAGTCCCCTCAATCTCTCTCCGCACCTCTCCCCTCCCGTTCCCCAATCTCACGTCCTCTGATTTTGAATCGTGATGCCCCCGGCTGTCGGACGATCGCAGCCGTTGATCTTGACCTGTCCGGAGATCAGGGGTTGAGATGGACCCGTGCAGCGGTTTGGGCGCGCCTGGTGCCGAGCTGAGGTCCCGAGCGCTACCGTCCGTTGATTTGGAAATCCGTTCGTTTAGGGTTGCAGAGGGACGTGTGTCCTGCTGCTGGGACGCATGTGTATCTTGCTTTTCCTGCTTGCTGGAAACGCGAGCGTCGGCTGTGCTGGTGCCACGTGTGTCCACCGCATTGACGCCACGTGTATCTGGGGGGGCAGGAGGGCGTGGAACGCCGTTCTCCCCGTTGGGCATGCCTTGCGGCACCGCCTTCCGGTCCTGCTTCTTGTCTGTGGCAGTGGGAGCAGGAGGGGAACAGGGAGGAAGCAGGAGGGGAACAGGGAGGAAGCAGGAGGGGAACAGGGAGGAAGCAGGAGGGGAACAGGGAGGAAGCAGGAGGGGAACAGGGAGGAAGCAGGAGGGGAACAGGGAGGAAGCAGGACGGGAACAGGGAGGAAGCAGGAGGGGAGCAGGAGGGGAACAGTGAGGAAGCAGGAGGGGAACAGGGAGGAAGCAGGAGGGGAACAGGGAGGAAGCAGGAGGGGAACAGGGAGGAAGCAGGAGGGGAACAGGGAGGAAGCAGGAGGGGAACAGGGAGGAAGCAGGAGGGGAGCAGGAGGGGAACAGGGAGGAAGCAGGAGGGGAACAGGGAGGAAGCAGGAGGGGAACAGGGAGGAAGCAGGAGGGGAACAGGGAGGAAGCAGGAGGGGAACAGGGAGGAAGCAGGAGGGGAACAGGGAGGAAGCAGGAGGGGAACAGGGAGGAAGCAGGAGGGGAACAGGGAGGAAGCAGGAGGGGAACAGGGAGGAGTGGCACAATGGAACAGAGGCAGCTTGAAACCTGAACGAAACCATGGGATAGAAGAAAGCAGTCACACGGGAACGAAAAAACTGGAATGAAATATCATAAGCTGTGGATGCGAGATGGAGCATAGAAAAAAGGCTGACCTTTGTGCTTGTCTCTGTGTTTCTCTTCTCGTCGCTTCTCCTCCCTCCGCTTCTCCTTCTCCTTGTGTCTCTCCTCCTTCCTCTTCCCATCCTCATGCCTGTCCTCCTTTCTCTTCTCCTCTTTCTTTCTCTCCTCCTTATTCCCCCCCTCCTTCTTCTCCTCCTTCCTCTTCTCGTCCTTTCCCTTCCCTTCCTTCCCCTCCTTCCCCTCTCCACTAGCCTCCTCCACGTACCCGCCCTCCTTCCCAACCTCTTTCCGCAATTCATTCTTCTGCTTCCCACCCTCATCCTTTTCTTCCCCCAAACCCTTACTCTCACCCCCCTTGCTTTTAATCTTCTCTTCCTTTTGAGACGCCTCAAGACCCAAACCCTCACCCTTCTCTCCCTTGCTCTTCTCCTCTTTTCGAGACGTCTCCAAACGCAAACCCTCCCCTTTCTCGCCCTTCTCTTTCTCCCCGACCTTCGCCCTGTCCGTGTCCCCACCCTTCCCCTTATCCGTGTTCCCATCCTTCTCCTTGCGCGCCGAGTCCTCCGACAACAGCTTCTGGTGCTCCTTAGATTCTCTATCCTTAGATTCCTTATCCTTAGAGTCCTTATCCTTATGTTCCTTGTCCTTCGGCTCCTTAGAATCCTTGGACTCTTTTAACTCCTTGGCCCGTTTCTTCTCCTCCTTGCGCCGCTTCCGCTCCTCCTTGTCTTCCCCCTCGCCCCCTTCCCTATGCCGCTTCTTCTTCTTCTTTTTCTTATCCTTGTCTCGATCCTTATCCTTACCCTCCGACCTCGTTTCCTGGCCGGCAGCAATGGGCGGGAATGAAGGGTGGACGAATAAGGAGATATTTTAACGATTTTTCCGGATTTTACATCGGGAAGAACGGGCCACAGGAACGCATTCCGATCCGTGGCGAAATACCGCAGTCGCCAAACGGAGATCGACGACGAGAACCCTAAACGCAATAATGAAAGATGCTCGGACGACGGAGCAACTGGGAGTTAGAGCAATCGAAATAATGTTCGAAACGGCATTCCGAAAAAGGGGAATGCGGCATTACCCATCTCGAAAAAGATAATAGAAAATTCTGGAAACTCGGAACCACCTCTCAAGAAAAGAACCTCAACAGCCGCCCCTCGCCTTGAACACGTCACCGCACCAGACCGTTCCAAACAGCCCAGTTCCCTGAGCCATTCCATCCGACAACGAACACGCTTTTCCCCATACGTTCCTTGGGATTACCTTAGGGACGCTAAGAGTCCGACTCAGTATTCACCTCGCTTTTCCCCTTGGGATTACCTTAGGAACGCTTAGAGACGGATCCCGAGGCTTCTTCTGGAACCCCGGCGGGGGATACGGCCAGCAGCGAGACATGGCGATCGCAATCACCCAATCGGCGCCTGCTGGACGCTCGAAAGGTCACTGGCAGGCGGAACTCATCGGACGCGACGCGACGACCTGGAGGGCTGTTATGACAGGAGCTGCGATAGTAGAAGATGCGATAGTAGGAGCTTCGGCTGCCGTTGACTGGCGCTGCGGCGATCAGTGGCGGTACCCGTTGCGGCTGCACTCGTAGCGGCTGCGACCCGCCCCTTCCCGAGTGAGCTTCAGAGGCGATGCGCTTCGGCTTTCGCCTGTTGCGGCTGCTGCGGTGCCGACGCCAAAACGGCTGCGACGTATAATCGCTTCAGGGCGCAGAATATCACCGCTTCGCCGAACGGCTAGCCGAGGATTATAGCACAATGCTGAATTAGGGCATTGCAGAAGCGATGACCAGAAAGCGCGATGATCGGAAAACGCGCTCGCTCCCGAGTCCCGTAGCAGGAGCGTGACGCGACGCGATGAAGCAGCGACCAATGCGGAGAGCGACGCGTCGCCTAAAGGCCGAATTCCAGGACCGCTTCCGAGTGGACCTCGCGCATCAGAATCAAATCAGCAAATCAGCATCGAAGCAGAATCGAATCTGCATTGAATCTAATTACTAACCAAGTCAGAACTGTCGCTAATGGCGAGATCCGCGAGATAACTTTCTACTCGCTCTAAGTACCGCGCTTGAGTGCTGATTACGTTTTCTCCCAGACGGAAAAATTAGGGCAAGGAATCTAGCTTGACCAAGATAGACCAGCCTATCCTTAGAGAATTAGGTCAACCACTGTCAGCCTTTCTTTCCAGATCAGCTCAGCTCGCGATGCCGTAGCGACCGTTTTTAAACGATGTTTTTATTTCTTCCGCTGCCGCCGCCGCGCCGCCGCTGCGCCGCCGCCTCCGCCGCTCCTGTAGGAACACGGCGTGACGTGACGTAGCGCGTGGTTAATCGGAGGCCGTCTCGTCCTTAGCAGGCAGCTGAGCTGAAGCTCTTAGCCGTCTCTTGCTGGGAGAGATCAAACCCTACCAAAAGAAACGGCTGGCTCGTCCTATTTATACTCCTGGCGTCACTTCGCCAGGCATGCCTGCCAGGCCCAACGCCTCCCCTGATAGGGGTTTAGTGCGTTACAAATGGATATAAAATGTTGGAAAAAAGTTGCGGACCAACCAGTCGTCGTCCTGTTCCCAAAGTTCCGTCCGCATCCTCATCAGCGGAGTCCCCCAACCATCCAACCAACCAACTGGCGGTCCTTCCCCAACTCCCCCACTTTCTCTCCCCCCTTCCCCCGTCCTTCGCCCAATCTCTTCTTGAACTTGGAGAATCCCAAACCATCACATCATCATGGGGACAACACGAGCGGGAACTGGATGGGTATGGTATGGCGAGGAAACCCTCCCGCCAATTCTGTGCTCGTGCAGGAAGCGGCGGTCCGATACGCATGCCCCTGCTCCAGCAAGCTCCCACAAATCGGCATGGTCTTGAAAATTCTGGTGGCGTCTGGCTCGACTGGGGGAACCCTTGCAGAGCCAACGCCCAATCGGGAACAGCGCACTGGGGAACAGCTCCGCCAAGCGCCGGTGGAACGTGGCGAGGGGAGGGGAGCCAGGGACAGAAGAGGGCCGAATCGAAGGGAGTTTCTGGAAGTCAGCACGGTTTCGATATTGATGTCTGGCATTCGGCACTGTTACAATCGTTTAGACAAGTTTTTGGAGACTTAGACTTCGGTTCAAATGGAATAGTCAGCCACCGTTGAGTTTTGGCTTCATCGGGGTTCGTTCCCCGACATGAATCGGAGAGGTTCAAACAAAAGCACCAGGCCAGCTCTGGCGCAGGGTGCTTGCTTGCTAGCCTTCGCGAACCTCGAATCAGGGACCAATCGTGCGACACTAGTCGCCAGCCTTCGTCACTCCCTTCGCGCGACACTATCCCCCTCCGCCCTACCGAGGGAAAACGCCAGAAAAGCCCACATCCCAAATCACAAATCCCCTGCCAAGCTCGCAGACTTCCCCTGCCACAAATTTGCAAAACACATTCCATATTCGACTGCGAGGACGACTTTCGGAGTGTAAACAAATCCCGCCCGACAAACAATTGTAAAGAATATCGAAGCAATCAGTTTTGAACCCAATGGCTCAGAAGAAACACACCTTCCACCCGACCATCTTTTCCTTTCTCGCCAGCTTTTCTGGCACCCACCTTACTGCTCATTGGCTTTCCGCGCTGCGGGCGGGTGCATTAAAGAATCTAAACTCTTTTATCGGTTGCCTTGTCAAGCTTCTGCATCTCGAATTTGGCCCATTTGGATTGCCGACTGCTTCTTCGGTTGGTTCCAGGCCCGTCGCGGAAGTCGGATGTACGGAGCCGTTGCATTGTCAGCAACTGCCCAATCCGCGAGGCTGCTGATCTCCGCGAATCCCGCAAATGATTCCGCAGGATACCTGATTAACTTACGAGCCGAAACCACCGCGTTGGTGGGCGAATTCGCGGGAAGCTGTCAAGTGGTAACCCGATCGCCCAGAAGTCGTCAGACATTTCGCTTATCATCGCATAGCTTTTCGTCCACGAGTCGACGATCCTCGTGTGGTCACCTTGGGAGAAGAAGCCAACGGCGCGAAACACTCACTTCTGCGCTTGGTTGCCACGTGTCAGCCATGGCGGAGTTGGGAGGTCCACGTGTAGCGGATGCTGACGTGGACATGGTAGACAATGTCCAGGTGGATCAGCCAAACCTGCAGGGCGACGCGGACTTGTCGCTATCCAACGGTCATGATCCCGAGATTGTGAAATCCGAGGAGGATAAGAAGGCGTACCGCATGGTGACGCTCCCAAATGGGTTAATTACCCTGTTAATTTACGACCCCGAGATTGCCGCGTCAGGGGATGACGATGAGGATGATGATGAGGAGGAGGATGAAGAGGATGAAATAGAGAGTGAGGAGAGTGATGAGGAGATGAGTGTGGCTGAGGTTGGGGGAAGCGGAGATGAGGGAAAAAGCAGCGGAAAGGGGAAGGGGGGGAAGGGGGAGAAGGCGGGTAAGGGTGGGAAGTCCAAGGGACGAAAAGGTGCGAGTAAAGGGGGGAAGGGAGGTGACGATAACGAGGGTGAGGATAGCGATTGGGAGACAGCGAGTGAGGAGGAGGAAGTTGAGGGGGAGGACGCAGGAACTGGCGGAACAGAGGAGAAAAAGGCAAAGGTGGTCGGAGGAAAGGGGGATGGTCAGGGAAAGGGAGGCAAGGTGGCGGCAGTAGGGAGTGAGACGACAGGCGGGGAGGGGAAGGTGGGGGGGAAGAGGAAGAAAGTGGGGGGGATCCGGCTGGGTGGTGGTGGTTTGGGGCGGAAGGGGAAGGCTGGGGAGAGGAGTGCAGGGAAAGGGAAGGTGGGAGGAGGGGTTGAGGGGGATGCGGAGGATGAGGAGTGTGAGGATGATGACGAGGAAGACGAGGATGATTCTGATGAGGAGGAGGATGAGGAAGATGAGGAGGACGATGATGACCAGCCAGGAGCAGCAAAGAAGGTGCCGATTCTTCCTGTTCCCCCTCTCCTCCCCCCCCCCCTTTTCCTTCCCCCCCCACACACTTCTTCCCTCCCACCGTCCCTCCCCTCGTCCGTCTCTGCCTCTCTGCCTCTTCCTCTCTGCCTGCGCCTTTCTTTTGTCCTCCTTTCTAGCGCACCTGCCTTCTGCACCAACCAACCCACCCCTTCCTCGCCTCTCCCCACACCTGTCTCTCCCCACCCCTCCCCACCCCTCCCCACCCAACCTCTTCCAGCTGGCGGCGGCTGCCATGTGTGTGGGCGTGGGAAGCTTCCTGGATCCTCTCGATGCTCTCGGCCTCGCGCATTTCCTTGGTCAGTAGACGCACACTCGGCCAGAGTTTAGGGTTTGGACAAGGGTTCTTTCGGTTGCCCTGCCTTGCCCTCAGTTGCCCTGCCTTGACCTCGGTTGCCCTGCCTTGCCCTCGGTTGCCCTGCCTTGACCTCGGTTGCCCTGCCTTGCCTTCGATTGCCCTGCACAAGCGTTTCACGGGCATTCTCAAATTCTCGAGTAAAGCCGGTGGAATTTCTAAGGCGTATTACACTTTCTCCTCTTCATCCCGCCTTCCCTCCCTCCTTCCTGCCCGCCCTGTCTCCTTCATACTGCAGAGCACATGCTCTTCATGGGCAGCGTCAAGTTCCCTGACCAAAAGGATGATGTCTAGGTGTTTCACATGCCCTCTCCTCCCTCCCTTCCGCCGTCCCGCCCACCTTGTCTCCTTCATACTGCAGAGCACATGCTCTTCATGGGCAGTGTCAAGTTCCCTGACGAAAACGAGGTGAGCCCGGAAACCCTTAAACTTCAAGTCCTAAATCCAGCCTGAGAGCAAGCTTTTCATGGTAAACCTTAAATCCTTAATCATATCTTCCTCCGGGAGAGTCATGGGTTATGCTGGGCCACATGCCAGAGTGACGCTTCGTGAACCCTGAACCCTTTGATAACCCTGAACCCGGGCTCCTGACCGTTGAACCCTAAAGCCTCAAACCCTAAACCCTGAACCCTGTGAAACACTACTCCGTCGCTCACATAGAGCAAACCTCTCGCCCTCTTCCCCCGCTCATTCCCCCATCCCCCTTCCCCCTCTCCTTCCCCCACCCCACCCGTATAAACACTCCCTCCCTTGCAGTATGACGCGTTTCTGAGGCGGCACGGTGGTGGCTCCAATGCCTTCACAGACATGGAGATGCCGTGCTATCACTTTGATGTCGCACTCTCGCCACATAGAGCAACCCCACTTCCGTCCCTCACCCCTCTCGTACATATGCCACTCCTTGCAGTATGACGCGTTTCTGAGGCGGCACGGTGGGGGTTCCAATGCCTTTACAGACACGGAGATGACGTGCTATCACTTTGATGTCGCACACAAGTACCTGCACCCTGCCCTCGACAGGTGAGTGTGCCCCTGCCCCGAGGTGTCTGAGGTGAGAAGGTGAGCTGCTAGTCCGCACCTCCAGCTTCACTCAAATGCCTTCACGGACACGGAGATGACGTGTTATCACTTTGACGTCGCACACAAGTACCTGCACCCTGCCCTCGACAGGTGAGTGTGCCCCTGCCCCGAGGTGTCTGAGGTGAGAAGGTGAGCTTCTAGTCCGCACCTCCAGCTTCACTCCAATGCCTTCACGGACACGGAGATGACGTGTTATCACTTTGACGTCGCACACAAGTACCTGCACCCAGCCCTCGACAGGTGAGTGTGCCCCTGCCCCGAGGTGTCTGAGGTGAGAAGGTGAGCTTCTAGTCCGCACCTCCAGCTTCACTCCAATGCCTTCACGGACACGGAGATGACGTGTTATCACTTTGACGTCGCACACAAGTACCTGCACCCAGCCCTCGACAGGTGAGTGTGCCCCTGCCCCGAGGTGTCTGAGGTGAGAAGGTGAGCTTCTAGTCCGCACCTCCAGCTTCACTCCAATGCCTTCACAGACACGGAGATGACGTGTTATCACTTTGATGTCGCACACAAGTACCTGCACCCTGCCCTCGACAGGTGAGTGTGCCCCTGCCCCGAGGTGTCTGAGGTGAGAAGGTGAGCTTCTAGTCCGCACCTCCAGCTTCACTCCAATGCCTTCACAGACACGGAGATGACGTGTTATCACTTTGATGTCGCACACAAGTACCTGCACCCTGCCCTCGACAGGTGAGTGTGCCCCTGCCCCGAGGTGTCTGAGGTGAGAAGGTGAGCTTCTAGTCCGCACCTCCAGCTTCACTCCAATGCCTTCACAGACACGGAGATGACGTGTTATCACTTGGACGTCGCACACAAGTACCTGCACCCTGCCCTCGACAGGTGAGTGTGCCCCTGCCCCGAGGTGTCTGAGGTGAGAAGGTGAGCTGCTAGTCCGCACCTCCAGCTTCACTCCAATGCCTTCACAGACACGGAGATGACGTGCTATCACTTTGACGTCGCACACAAGTACCTGCACCCTGCCCTCGACAGGTGAGTGTGCCCCTGCCCCGAGGTGTCTGAGGTGAGAAGGTGAGCTGCTAGTCCGCACCTCCAGCTTCACTCCAATGCCTTCACGGACACGGAGATGACGTGTTATCACTTTGACGTCGCACACAAGTACCTGCACCCTGCCCTCGACAGGTGAGTGTGCCCCTGCCCCGAGGTGTCTGAGGTGAGAAGGTGAGCTTCTAGTCCGCACCTCCAGCTTCACTCCAATGCCTTCACGGACACGGAGATGACGTGTTATCACTTTGACGTCGCACACAAGTACCTGCACCCTGCCCTCGACAGGTGAGTGTGCCCCTGCCCCGAGGTGTCTGAGGTGAGAAGGTGAGCTTCTAGTCCGCACCTCCAGCTTCACTCCAATGCCTTCACGGACACGGAGATGACGTGTTATCACTTTGACGTCGCACACAAGTACCTGCACCCTGCCCTCGACAGGTGAGTGTGCCCCTGCCCCGAGGTGTCTGAGGTGAGAAGGTGAGCTGCTAGTCCGCACCTCCAGCTTCACTCCAATGCCTTCACAGACACGGAGATGACGTGTTATCACTTTGACGTCGCACACAAGTACCTGCATCCTGCCCTCGACAGGTGAGTGTGCCCCTGCCCCGAGGTGTCTGAGGTGAGAAGGTGAGCTTCTAGTCCGCACCTCCAGCTTCACTCCAATGCCTTCACGGACACGGAGATGACGTGTTATCACTTTGACGTCGCACACAAGTACCTGCACCCTGCCCTCGACAGGTGAGTGTGCCCCTGCCCCGAGGTGTCTGAGGTGAGAAGGTGAGCTTCTAGTCCGCACCTCCAGCTTCACTCCAATGCCTTCACAGACACGGAGATGACGTGTTATCACTTTGATGTCGCACACAAGTACCTGCACCCTGCCCTCGACAGGTGAGTGTGCCCCTGCCCCGAGGTGTCTGAGGTGAGAAGGTGAGCTTCTAGTCCGCACCTCCAGCTTCACTCCAATGCCTTCACAGACACGGAGATGACGTGTTATCACTTTGACGTCGCACACAAGTACCTGCACCCTGCCCTCGACAGGTGAGCAGCTCCTTCTGAAGTGCGCTCACAAGGTGAGCTTCAAGTCAAGTGTGCACCGCCATCTGCTATGCCTTCACAGAGACAGAATTCACTTGCTATCACTTTGACGTCGCGCACAATTACCTGCACCCTGCGTTAGATAGGTGAGCAACAAGGTGGTGCCTCACAACAAGGTGTGTCTGATTAAAATGCGCGCCTCCGACCGCAATGCGATCACATCACAGACACAGAGATGACCTGCTACCACTTCGACGCCGCGCACAAGTACCTGCACCCACCCTGTCCTTCATCTCTCTTGACTTCCATCTCTTACTTCCTTCCGTTCGACCGCTCGACCGTCCGTCCGTCCGTCCATCCATCTGTCCGCCCGTCCGCCCGTCCCCCCCCTTTCAGGTTTGCGCAGTTCTTTGTGGCGCCGTTAGTGAAGGCAGATGCCATGGAGAGGGAGGTGCAGGCAGTGGACTCCACTCCAGTGAGTTGACTCCCGTTGACTTCCATTGACTTGATTGAATTCCCTCCCTCTTTCCTTCCTCCTCCTCCCCCTTTCAGGTTTGCGCAGTTCTTTGTGGCGCCGCTAGTGAAGGCAGATGCCATGGAGAGGGAGGTGCAGGCTGTGGACTCGGGTGAGTTGACCGCCCTTGACTTGCATTGACCTGCTTTGATAAGTCGACTAGATTCTGTTGACTTGATGCAGTTCTTAGTGCTTCACACTCTTGAAAACCTTCGTTGTGTGCGTTTGAAACCAACAAACAACCTCCCTCTCTCCTCCCGACCCCTCTGCGAGTTGATTTTTGAGTCGACTCAAAAATCAACGCGTTTGAAACCAACCAACAACCTCCCTCTCTCCTCCCGACCCCTCTGCGAGTTGATTTTTGAGTCGACTCAAAAATCAACGCGTTTGAAACCAACCAACAACCTCCCTCTCTCCTCCCGACCCCTCTGCGAGTTGATTTTTGAGTCGACTCAAAAATCAACGCGTTTGAAACCAACCAACAACCTCCCTCTCTCCTCCCGACCCCTCTGCGAGTTGATTTTTGAGTCGACTCAAAAATCAACTCGTTTGAAACCAACCAACAACCTCCCTCTCTCCTCCCGACCCCTCTGCCCCAAACCCTCATTTCACCATCCTTTCCCACCCCCTCATCATCATCCCCCACCTCCCCGTCCTTTGAGGCGCCTCAAAAGACTTTTGAGGCGCCTCAAAAGCCCTCTGCCCCAAACCCTCATTTCACCGTCCTTTCCAACCCCCTCATCATCATCCCCCACCTCCCCGTCCTCTCTCTGTGTCTCCTCCTCCACGCCCAGAGTTCAACATTAGTCTGCAGAGCGACGCGTGTCGCGTGCAGCAGCTGCAGTGCTCCACGTGCGTGCACCCAGACCACCCCTTCCGCAAGTTCTCCTGGGGCAACTGCAGGAGCCTCATAGACGACCCTGCCAAGCTGGGAGTGGACATGCGGGAGCGGCTGCTGCAGCTCTACTCGCGGTTTTATACAGCGGGGGCTATGAGGCTGGTCGTGGTGGGCGGAGGTGAGTGCTGGTGTTTGGGGGTTGGGTGCGGTACGGTGCGTTGTGGTGTGGTCGTGCCGCGTGCAGCAGGTACAGGTGGTCGCAAGAGCCTCATAGACGACCCTGCCAAGCTCGGAGTGGACATGCGGGAGCGGCTGCTGCAGCTCTACTCGCGGTTCTACACAGCGGGGGCTATGAGGCTGGTCGTGGTGGGCGGAGGTGAGTGTAGGTGTGGGGGTGTGGGGTGTGGTGTGGGTACGGTGTCAGCATCAGCTCTACTTCTCCTGGGGCAACTGCAAGAGCCTTGTGGACGACCCGGCAAAGCTCAGAGTGGACATGCAGGAGCGGCTGCTGCAGCTCTACTCGCGATTCTATACAGCCGGGGCCATGAGGCTGGTGGTGGTGGGCGGAGGTGAGAGCTTGTGTGTGTGTGTGTGTGTGTGTGTGTGTGTGTGTGTTTAGGTGCATGTGGGGGTTGGGTGAGGTGTGGTGTGGTGTGGTGCAGTTGTGTGGCCTGCAGCAGGTGCAGGTGTGGACATGTGGGAGAGGCTGCTGCAGCTCTACTCGCGGTTTTACACCGCAGGGGCCATGAGGCTGGTCGTGGTGGGGGGAGGTGAGGGTTCGTGAGTGTGGGGTATTTGTGCTGGTAAATGGGAACATGTGTGCGTGAAAGAGGGGGAGTACGGTGTTTTGTTGCAGCTCTACTCATGGTTCTACCCAGGCCTCTAACTTCCCTCTCTCCCCTCTCTCCCCTCTCTCCCCCTCTCCCCTCTTTCCAGCCTTCCCTTTCTACCCACGCCACCAGAGCCCCTGGACACGCTAGAAGCGTGGGTGAGGGAGCTGTTCTCGCCCATCCCTCCAGGGGGCACACACAGGACTCTCACCTCCCTTCTCTTCCCATCTCCCCCTCTCTCTGTCTCTCGTTCTCTTCCTCACCACTCCATCAGAGCCTCTCGACACACTGGAAGCATGGGTGAGGGAGCTGTTCTCGCCCATCCCTCCGGGGGCACACACAGTGACTCTTACCTCCCTTCTCCTCCCGTCTTTCTTTCCCGCTCTTGCTATCCCACAGAGCCTCTCGACATGCTAGAAGCGTGGGTGAGGGAGCTCTTCTCGCCCATCCCCCCGGAGGGGACGGCATTCACCCGCTGCTGCACCAGCTGCCCCCACCTGCCACTTTCTCTGCACCCTCCCAGGACTCGGAAATGCTGGGGCCGGGTGCCGGTGGGTTGGAGCAGGAGGAACGGGGGACAGGGGAGGTGGTGGGAGGGGGCGGCGGTAGCAGTTGCTGCTGCTGCTGCTGCTGCTGGTGGTGCTGCTGCTGCTGCTGCTGGTGCTGGTGCTGCTGGTGCTGCTGGTGGTACTGGTGCTGTGGGTGCTGCTGCAGGGAAGAAGGGACCGTTGGCGGCGGTGATGGCAGGAAGCAGAGCAGCTTCTGAGGTATCCACTGCCGCTACAGCTGCTACAGCTGCTACAGCCGCTACAGCTGCAACAGCTGCTACTGCAGCTGCAGGGGAGGGCTTGGCAGCAAAAAGGGCGGGTGAAGGGACGGTGGACAAGGGTGGTGGTGCAGCGAATGGGGGAAAGGAGGGGGAGAAAGCGGGTGCAGAGGAGGAGGGAGGGGGTGACGGGGCGCAGTGGAAGGGGGTGTGGGAGGCGGGGCGGCTGTATGAGGTGGCGAGTGTGAAGGAACAGCAGCAGGTGTCCCTCATGTGGACCCTGCCGTGCCTGCATGCTGAGTATGCGAGCAAACCCCACGACTACCTCTCGCACCTCATTGGCCACGGTGAGTGTGTGACCCATCAGGCACGGTGAGGCACGGTGCGACCCATGAGGCACGGTGCGACCCATGAGGCACGGTGCGACCCATGAGGCACGGTGCGACCCATGAGGCACGGTGCGACCCATGAGGCACGGTGCGACCCATGAGGCACGGTGCAGTCCATGAGGCACGGTGCGACCCATGAGCCACGGTGCGACCCATGAGGCACGGTGCAGTCCATGAGGCACGGTGCAGTCCATGAGGCACGGTGCAGTCCATGAGGCACGGTGCAGTCCATGAGGCACGGTGCAGTCCATGAGGCACGGTGCAGTCCATGAGGCACGGTGCAGTCCATGAGGCACGGTGCAGTCCATGAGGCACGGTGCAGTCCATGAGGCACGGTGAGTCTCACAGCAGCTCAGTCAGCTCAGCAGGTGTCACTCATGTGGTCGCTGCGGTGCCTGCATGGGAAGAGAGTATGCGAGCAAACCTCAGGAGGCATTACACACATGAAGCCTGTATGCCTCAGGAGAGTAATGCCTCTCCTCATCACATACATGCACAATTTTTTAACGCACCTAAAAAATCACCTGTTCTCTTTCTCTTGTCACTCCCCACAGAGGGCAGTGGTAGCCTGCTATCGCTGCTCAAGGCCAAGGGGTGGGCGATGGAGCTGACTCTTTTTCCTCCCTCCCTCATCCCATCCCTCCCTCATCCCATCCCTCCCTCATCCCATCCCTCCCTCATCCCATCCCTCCCTCATCCCATCCCTCCCTCATCAATTCACTCTCTCCTCTCTCTCTCCTCCCAGAGGGCAGTGGCAGCCTGCTGTCGCTGCTCAAGGCCAAGGGCTGGGCCACGGAGCTGGCAGCAGGGGTGGGGGAGAGCGGCTATGAGAAGAGCTCCCTCGCTTTTGTCTTCACCGTTACAATCACACTCTCCGATGAGGGCCTCAAACACGTGAGTCCCTTACTTACCCTCCCCGCCCCCTTTCTTCCCCCTCCACACCCTGACCCCCGACCTTCCTTTCTCCACTACCCCCCCCAAGAGAAAGAAAGAAAAAAAAGGGTTCATTTCCTACACTGTTTTCCTTTTTTTTTCTTCCTACTTCTCTAATCCAGCCACCTTTTTTAGTCGATTTTTGAGTCGACTCAAAAATCTACTTCTCTAATCCATCCACCTTTTTGACCCGTCTTCCTTCCGCATCCCCCCGCCGCCTCCCTCCCATGCCAGGCACTAGACGTGGTAGGGACAGTGTTTCAGTACATCAACATGCTGCGTCAGGCGCCCCCCCAGCGGTGGGTGTTCGAGGAGCTGCAGGCCATCGCAGCCATGGACCTTCGGTTTGCCGAGGAGGACTCTCCTGATGAATACGCCGTTAGATTGGCAGGTGGGTCTATGTGCTAGCAGGTCAGTCGGTGCCCCCATGCGTGCATCCTTGCAGCCATCGAGGAGCTGCAGGCCATCGCTGCCATGGACTTGCGCTTTGCGGAGGAGGACTCTCCCGATGATTACGCCGGTCTATTGGCAGGTAGGTCTATTGGCAGGTAGGTCTATTGGCAGGTAGGTCTATTGGCAGGTAGGTCTATTGGCAGGTAGGTCTATTGGCAGGTAGGTCTATTGGCAGGTAGGTCTATTGGCAGGTAGGTCTATTGGCTGGTAGGTCTATTGGCAGGTAGGTCTATTGGCAGGTAGGTCTATTGGCAGGTAGGTCTATTGGCAGGTAGGTCTATTGGCAGGTAGGTCTATTGGCAGGTAGGTCTATTGGCAGGCATGTCAATAGGTGGCCTCTCATACAGCCTTGCAGCCTTGCCCTACCTCCCTCTTACCCCTTCACCCTCTCCTATCTCTCTCTCCCACCCCCAGGCAACATGTTCTACTATCCCAAGAGGCACGTGATAGCAGGGGACTACATCTTGCTCTGTCTGCTCCTCCTCCCCCGCCGTATCTCCCTCCCTTCCCTTCTCCCTCTCCCAGGCGACATGTTCTACCACCCCAAGAGGCATGTGATAGCAGGGGACTACATTCACGACAAGTGGGACCCCAACCGCATCGCCTACCTGCTCTCGCTGCTTTCACCACATGCATCCTCTTACTCTTTCTCTCCTCCCTTCCTCCCCCCTTTCACCCTCCTCCAGGCAACATGTTCTACTACCCAAAGAAGCACGTGATAGCAGGGGACTACATTCACGACAAGTGGGATCCTGATCGCATCGCCTACCTGCTCTCACTACTCTCACCACACACCGTGCGGCTTGACCTGCTCACTCACTCCTTCGACCACACCAGAGAAGGTGGGTGGGGTGCGATTCAGTGCGATTCAGTGGGATGCGTTACAGGGCAGTCATTAAGGGGCCTGCAGGCGTGCTGCTCTCTCTGCTCACTTCCATGATTCTATCCCTGCTCTCTCTGCTCTCACCACATACTGTGCGCCTGGACCTGCTCACTCACTCCTTCGACCACAGCAGGGAAGGTCAGTGCGGGTTCGGATGAAGCTGAACCTTCAGGCCTTGCTCCTCTCTCAATTCTCACTTCTCCCTGTGCTCTCTCCTACTCACACACCCCCCTTCCATTCAGTCAGCCCTCTCCGCATAGTTTCAACCCGCCCTGCCACAGGCATTCTCAAGGAGCCATGGTTCGATGTGCCCTACTACACCACGACCAAGCGTCAGTAAATGTGTATTGCGACATCGCAGAACACATTTCTTATCACGTCTACTCATCTCTGCCGCTCTGCCTCTGCAACCCATCCCTGCCAGGCATTCTCAAGGAGCCATGGTTCGATGTGCCCTACACCACAACCCTGCGTTAGCATGTTTGTCTTGAGATGTTCCACAGCAGATTCACTAACTTATGCCTCTCTGCCTCTCTGCCGCTCTGCCTTTGCAACCCGCCTCGCCAGGCATTCTCAAGGAGCCGTGGTTCGATGTGCCCTACACCACAACCCTGCTCTCCTCGGCCCTCCTGGACCAATGGGCGAGCGACACGTGGCTGCACCCGGACCTGCGCATGCCTCCCCCCAACGAGTTCATTCCCACCAACTTCTCCCTCCGCCCCTCCTCCTCCTCCGCTGCTGCTGCTCCTGCTGCTACCACCACCGCTGCCACAGCCACCACCGCTGGTGCCACCAACATCAGTGGATCTCCCAACGGGACCACTCCCAGTGTGCCGCGGGTGGTGAGGGAGGAGGCGGGGCGGTGCAAGGTGTGGCACAAGCAGGACGACGTTTTCCGCTCGCCGCGCCTCAATGCCCACTTCGCCCTCTCCTCTCCCCATGCCTGTGACTCACCCCGCTCCGCTGCGCTCACGGAATTGGCTGTGAAGCTTATCGAAGACTCTCTGAATGAGGCCCTCTACCTGGTGAGTCTTTTGAGGCGCCTCAAAAATCGTAAAAGCTCTCAAAACTCCGCTGCGCTCACGGAATTGGCTGTGAAGCTTCTCGAAGACTCTCTGAATGAGGCCCTCTACCTGGTGAGTCTTTTGAGGCGCCTCAAAAATCGTAAAAGCTCTCAAAACTCCGCTGCGCTCACGGAATTGGCTGTGAAGCTTCTCGAAGACTCTCTGAATGAGGCCCTCTACCTGGTGAGTCTTTTGAGGCGCCTCAAAAATCGTAAAAGCTCTCAAAACTCCGCTGCGCTCACGGAATTGGCTGTGAAGCTTCTCGAAGACTCTCTGAATGAGGCTCTCTACCTGGTGAGTCTTTTGAGGCGCCTCAAAAATCGTAAAAGCTCTCAAAACTCCGCTGCGCTCACGAAATTGGCTGTGAAGCTTCTCGAAGACTCTCTGAATGAGGCCCTCTACCTGGTGAGTCTTTGTCGTGCCTATGTCTGTGTGGGTACCTTAACATGTCAACGCATGCATACTCTGCAAATTGCCCTCCACCTTAACATGTCAACGCATGTAACATACCCTACCCCCCTCCTTCCACCTCCCCACCATGCAGGCGAGTGTAGCCAAATTAGACACGCACATGGCCGTCCAGGGCTTTAAGATCGAGATCCGCATCACGGGCTTCAGCCACAAGCTGCCGACGCTCGCCGCCCGCATCTTCCGCCACATCAGCACGTTCCGGGCGGCGGCCGACCGCTTCAGCGCGCTCAAGGAGGAGCGGTGCCGGGCGTACCGCAACGCGCTCTTAAAGCCCCTCAAGCACTCCGCCTACCTGCGCCTGCTGCTGCTGCGCACCCCCGCCTGGACCATTCCCGATAAGCTATCGGCTCTGACCGCGTGTGATGTGGACGACCTGAATGTGTTTCTGCAGACGCTCCTCTCCCGGGTGAGTTGTGTTTTGTCATGTTGCTTGCGCTATGCCGCCCGTGTCTGTGTTCCTGCGTGCAGCAAGCTGCTTCAGTGCACTCTTCTAAACCATTCCCTTCCATATCGCACTGAGCATCTGGCTGAGGCGGCAGCAAGCTGCTTCAGTGCACTCAAAGAGGAGCGGTGCTGCGCGTACCGCAACGAACGTGCTCTTAAAGCCCCTCAAGCACTCCGCCTATCTCCGCCTGCTGCTGCTGCTGCGCGTGCCCGCCTTGACCATCCCCGATAAGCTGCGGCGCTCACCGCACGCGACGTGGACGATTTGAATGCCTTTCTGCAGACTCTCCTCTCCCGGGTGAGTTTTGTTCGAGGCGGCATGGTAAGGATTGAGGCTTGGAACCCATTTGGTGACTTGAGGCTGCTGCGCATACCCGCCTGGACCATCCCTGATAAGCTGTCGGCGCTCAGCACGTGCGACGTGGACGATCTGAATGCCTTTCTGCAGGCTCTCCTCTCCTGGGTGAGTTGTAACTTGTAGAAGCAAGAGAGGAAGACATGAGGGATATGGGTTGTCCATCCCCGGTGGCCTCACCTCCATCCCCCCTTTTTCCACCCTCTCCCCAGTTTTCCCACCAGACATACATAGAAATGCTCATTCACGGGAATGCAACGGACGAAGACGCTTTAGCACTCGCTACTGCCGTCACTGACACCCTGCTGGTGCCCTCACTCCCCTCCTTCTCCCTTTCCCCCCCACTCCCCACCTCGCCCTACTCCCAGACATACATAGAAATGCTCATTCACGGGAATGCAACAGAGGAAGATGCTCTAAATCTCGCCACTGCCGTCACCGACACGCTGCCGGTGCCCTCGCCTCCGCTGCTGGACCTCCCTTCAGAGCGCTGCCTGCAACTGCCACGTGGCAAGTCCCTGTTGGTCGAGAGCCCTGTGGGGAACCCGGCAGAGGAGAACTCTGCAGTGGAGGTGAGTGGGGCAGGTGGGGAGTGGGGCAGGTGGGGAGTGGGGCAGGTGGGGAGTGGGGCAAGTGGGGAGTGGGGCAAGTGGGGAGTGGGGCAAGTGGGGAGTGGGGCAAGTGGGGAGTGGGGCAAGTGGGGAGTGGGGCAAGTGGGGAGTGGGGCAAGTGGGGAGTGGGGCAAGTGGGGAGTGGGGCAAGTGGGGAGTGGGGCAGGTGGGGAGTGGGGCAAGTGGGGAGTGGGGCAAGTGGGGAGTGGGGCAAGTGGGGAGTGGGGCAGGTGGGGAGTGGGGCAGGTGGGGAGTGGGGCAGGTGGGGAGTGGGGCAGGTGGGGAGTGGGGCAGGTGGGGAGTGGGGCAGGTGGGGAGTGGGGCAAGTGGGCGTGGGCAATGTGGGGAGTGATGTAGTTGCCATCTCAGGTGATAGACAGGACGGAATAGTGTAGGTGCGTGCAAGTGATCGCTCAGAGCAGAAATTCAGGTCTCACCTCAGTTTCTTCCTGCCGCATCGTTTCCTGTGTTACCCAAGAGGTCTCCCCACTTGCCCCACTCCCATTGTGGACCCAGTCGTTCCGTGCTGTGCTGTGCTGGTGATGATGCGTCACACCACACCTCCTCCTTCCATCCTTGCGAGTGATTTTTGAGAATTCTCAAAAATCACTCGCATCGTTTCCTGTGTTACCCAAGACTCCCATTGTGGACCCAGTCTTTCCTTGCTGTGCTAGCGATGATGCGTCACATCACACCTCCTTCTTCCATCCTCCATCCCCCGTCCATCAGGTGTATTACCAGGCCTGTCAGGACCAGGGCCGGGCGTCCATCCGAGACCGAGCGTTAGTGGACCTACTTGAGCAGGTGAGAGAGGTCTGGAGAGAGGTGGAAAGAGGTGGAGATCTCTGCTCTTGAAACGCCTCGCCTGTGGCAAATGCACGGCCAAGCCTCGGCTGGACGAAAGTACTACCAGGCCTGCCAGGACCAGGGCCGGGCGTCCATCAGAGATCGAGCGCTAGTGGACCTTCTTGAGCAGGTGAGAGATAGGAGAAGACAAGAAGAAGTTTTGCAAGAGATTGCTCAGAGAAGAAGTGAAAAGAAAGCAGTTGCTCTTAATCAACCGCCCCTTTCAACCGCCCCTTTCAACCGCCCCTTTCAACCGCCCCTTTCACCCGCCCCTTTCAACCGCCCCTTTCACCCACCCCCTCACGTCCATCTGTCATGCGTCTCTTATTTCTCTCCTGCCCGTCTCCGGCCCCTGTTTGACACGCTGCGCACCAAGGAGCAGCTGAAGTACTGCCTGTGGACTGTGGCACTCCTAAGCCACCCCTGTCACCCACCGACCACCCCCATCACTCCACTCTCCCACCGACCACCCCCATTTCTCCACTCACACCCACCTCCCGCCCATCCCTCATGTACCTCGCAGGTCATGTCAGAGCCATTGTTCGACACGCTGAGAACCAAGGAGCAGCTGGGGTACCGCGTGGACTGCGGAACCCGCCTCACCCACGGCGTCTTTGGCTTTTGCATCCGCGTGCAATCTGCGGACTATGGGCCCGAGTTCCTGCAGCAGCGAGTTGACTCGTTTCTCAGGACCTTTCGTGATAACCTGGTACGTTCAACGAGCTGATCTGTTTCATCACACCATGCTGTGGTGGTGTGGTTTTGAGGCGCCTCAAAACTAGACTATGGGCCCGAGTTCCTACAGCAGCGACTTGACTCCTTCCTCAAAACCTTTCGTGATAACCTGGTACGTTCAACGAGCTGATCTGTTTCATCACACCATGCTGTGGTGGTGTGGTTTTGAGGCGCCTCAAAACTAGACTATGGGCCCGAGTTCCTACAGCAGCGACTTGACTCCTTCCTCAAAACCTTTTGTGATAACCTGGTACGTTCAACGAGCTGATCTGTTTCATCACACCATGCTGTGGTGGTGTGGTTTTGAGGCGCCTCAAAACTAGACTATGGGCCCGAGTTCCTACAGCAGCGACTTGACTCCTTCCTCAAAACCTTTCGTGATAACCTGGTACGTTCAACGAGCTGATCTGTTTCATCACACCATGCTGTGGTGGTGTGGTTTTGAGACGCCTCAAAACTAGACTATGGGCCCGAGTTCCTACAGCAGCGACTTGACTCCTTCCTCAAAACCTTTCGCGATAACCTGGTACGTTCAACGAGCTGATCTGTTTCATCACACCATGCTGTGGTGGTGTGGTTTTGAGGCGCCTCAAAACTAGACAATGGGCTCGAGTTCCTGCAGCAGCAAGTTGACTCGTTTCTCAGGACCTTCCGCGATAACCTGGTGAGAACAACACTGCTGCTGTAGCGGTGCCTGCTGTGTTTGTGAAGGCATAACCTGGTAAGATAAGAACCTGCTGTGTGGTGGCGGTTGCGGCACTCGCCTCGCCTCACACACAGCGACTTTGGCTTCTGCATCCGCGTGCAGTCTGTTGATTACGGCCCGAAATACCTGCAGCAGCGCATGGCGTGGATTTGTTTCTCAAGACGACCTTCCGAGATGACCTGGTGAGAATAGCCTTAGCGATGAGGAAAAAAATTCCTCTCCCTTGTCTGCCCACGCTTCTCTAGATCTCCTTTCCTCCCTCCCTCGTTGGCACCAAGAGCCTGCTGCCAAAGGCGATTCTTGAGACGTCTCAAAAATCCCCAAGAGCCTGCTGCCAAAGGCGGATTTCGGGGCGCACAGGGCAGCGCTGCAGGTGCTGAAGATGTTCCCCCCCTTTCTCACCGTCTCCCCCTCTCAATCCCTCTATCTCGCTCCAGAGCGCCCTGCCTGAAACGGACTTCAGGGCGCACAGGGCAGCGCTGCAGGTGCTCAAGATGCGCAAGGACCACACTCTTGGGGATGAGACCCACCGCTACTGGGAGCAGATCTGGGAGGGCAGGTGAGCGTGCGAATGGGGATGGAAGGGCTGAGATGTGGGAGAGAAGGGAAGGGCCCAGGCAGGACGTGTGACAGTGGGAGTGACATGCTGATGAGGACCACACGCTGGGGGATGAGACCCACCGCTACTGGGAGCAGATCTGGGAGGGCAGGTGAGGAAGAGGGGGGAGGGGGGAGGGTGAGGGGGGGGGGGGGGGGGACTGGGGAGTGGGGAGTGGGGAGTGGAGAGGGGTGATGGGAGGGGAGAGTAGGGTGGGAGAAAAGAAGAGGTGATCTGGAAGGGTAGAAGAGGGATGTGTAGTGAGAGGAAATCACTTTTGAGAATTCTCAAAAGTTATTTCCATAAAGAGGTGATCTGGAAGGGTAGAAGAGGGATGTGTAGTGAGAGAGAGGCAGTGGGGATGCTGAAGATGATTGGAGGGTATGTTTGAGAGTTTTCAAAAACTTCCTGTATGATTGCATTTCACACCGTCCTCTTCCACGTGTAGTGAGGGTGTTTTTGAAGCTACACCGTCCTCAAAAACACCCTCACTACACGAAGCTTCCTGTATGATTGCATTTCACACCGTCCTCTTCCACGTGTAGTGAGGGTGTTTTTGAAGCTACACCGTCCTCAAAAACACCCTCACTACACGAAGCTTCCTGTATGATTGCATTTCACACCGTCCTCTTCCACGTGTAGTGAGGGTGTTTTTGAAGCTACACCGTCCTCAAAAACACCCTCACTACACGAAGCTTCCTGTATGATTGCATTTCACACCGTCCTCTTCCACGTGTAGTGAGGGTGTTTTTGAAGCTACACCGTCCTCAAAAACACCCTCACTACACGAAGCTTCCTGTATGATTGCATTTCACACCGTCCTCTTCCACGTGTAGTGAGGGTGTTTTTGAAGCTACACCGTCCTCAAAAACACCCTCACTACACGAAGCTTCCTGTATGATTGCGTTTCACACCGTCCTCTTCCCGAACGCGCCCCCCCCTTTTTCCCCCTCTCCCCCATCCTACATTCCCCCCAGTTCGCTCTTCAACTCGCGGCAGCTGGAGGCTGTGGCCCTCTGCAACATCACGCTCGCTGAGCTGAGCTGAGCTCCCCGTTTCAGCACTTTTACACCCTTTTCTCACCCACTTCCTCTCCCCCTCCACTCTTGTTGTGACATCCCAGTTCGCTCTTCAACTCGCGCCAGCTGGAGGCTGTGGCTCTCTGCAACATCACGCTCGCTGAGCTGTGCGCGTGGTTTGACCGCCACATCAGCATGACAGCTGGCGCCGACAGCGACGGAGGGGACGGCACTGACAAGGACAGCGACATGGCTGAGAACGGAGAGGCTGGCGCAGGGGAGGCGGGTAACGGGGAGGCTTATAAGGGAGATGGTGAGGGCGGAGGAAAGGTGCTTGCAAGGCGCATGCTGGTACACGTGTGGGGTGCAGGGAAGTGGAAGGAGAGGAGTGAGGGGAGCGGTGGGGAGGCAGGGGAGAAGGCAGCTGGAAGGGCTGGAAAGGCAGAAGAGGCTGGGAAGAATGGGAAGAGTGGTGGTGAGGGTGATGGGAAGGATGGGGGATGGAGGGAGGGGCAGGTGGTGGTGGAGGTAGGGGATATTGAGAAGGAGAAGGCTTCCCTTGAGCTCTTTCCGGTGCTTAAACCTGTGGTGGTAGCGGCGGCATGATCAGCACAACAACCTGTCAAACCTGCGATCTGCTCTATGTTGGATTTTCTCTAGGTTAATTTTGCCCACTCTGCTGTATTGACCTTAGGGTCTGGTCTAGATGCAGTTTTGCCCGACCCACCTAAAAGTATAATGCTTTCTGCAATAGGTATGATTCCCGGACTATACCATAATAGCTCATATCCCGTACACCAGATTATGACTGTATTTATCCGGAATGACTTTTCGTGATGCATTCCCTGTTAGCAATCAGGCCCACACTGGTCAACAACTGGACTCGTTTGTCCGCCATGTTTTCGCACATGTGGGATTCGGGGGAACAACGAAACGCGTTCATCCATCCACCTGCCATTGGTTGGCAGACATCACCCCAAAAGCTCTGCATCATACATCAGAAGAACTCATCCAATGAACTCGTTTCACCAACTCGTCATTCCCAGGAATTTTAGCCAGCTTCGGTTCTTTCCGACCTTACTAATCCGCGGGAAACGAATCAGCGGGTGGATTGAGTCGAGACCTGGAGGATCAAGGTGGAAGTAATGTAGAAATGACAGCTTGCTTCTTGCTGAGATCTTTTTCTTTCGTTCTCCGAAACGCGTAGAGAAGCGTTCACTTTCGTTCCCTGATACCTGTCATTTGCCGTCAGCGATAAGTCTTCCAGATCATACGAAATTAAAGGGAGTTACCCGATTAACTGGTGAAAGGATTCTGTTATTTTTCCTGGTGCAGCAGTTGAAAGAGAGCGATAAACCGCAACTAGGTTACAGCACTTCGCCATCCCTGCATTCCATGCGCTGATATTTCGCTCGTTCATGGTTACCATGTTACGCCGGCGGCGGAGCGTCGCGTTAGTCGCTGGGATCCGGCATTGGCTCCTTGTCGTGCTGTCGTGCGTCGCGTGCTTGTTCTCGCTCGACTCGTCCCTTGCCGCCACAGATCAGAACGAAGGTTCGGCGCCCTTTCCTACAGAACGATCTAATCTGAACGCTTCTTAGCTTCAAGATTTGTTTCAAGTTGGCACAACTCAACTTTTGAGGCGCCTCAAAAGTTGGCACGACAGAACTTTTCTTCTTGTGCTTTGAACCCCCACCTCCCCCGCGGGTATCTTCCATCTCCCTCCCTCCCCCTCTCCACAGCACCCCCCCTGCCCTCCTTCCCACTTCAAACTCCTCCTCCTCCCCAACCCCCCCTCCCCCGCCACCCTCCCCCCTATCTTCTCCCCACTCCACCCCCATTTCCCTCCACCCGTGTCCATCTTTGTCCCGGTTATCCGCGCTCCCCTCTCTTCTCCCCTCAGCCCTTTCCCCATCGCTCCCCTTTCTCCCCTGTCCCCTCTTCCCCCGTTCCCCCGTTCCCCCCTCAGTGGCGGCGCTGCTGCAGCAGAAGGCGGAGTGGGGGAATCCCCCCCAGCTGCGCTCGTGGGCGGTGGGGGGGGATCCGTGCGCGGATGGGTGGTGGGGCGTGGTGAGCTGCACAAAGGACGAGTTCAACGAAACAAGAGTCTCTGCACTGTAAGGGGTGTGCTGTTAATGAGTCTCTACACTACAATGTAAGGATTGTGCTGTTAATGAGTCTCTACACTACAATGTAAGGATTGTGCTGTTAATGAGTCTCTACACTACAATGTAAAGATTGTGCTGTTAATGAGTCTCTACACTACAATGTAAGGATTGTGCTGTTAATGAGTCTCTACACTACAATGTAAGGATTGTGCTGTTAATGAGTCACTGCACTGTAAGCAAGGGAGTGTGCTTTTCAAAGCACCATAACGAATGTGCTCTTACATTGCATCGCATCCCATCCCATTTCAGCCCATCCCGTCCTTCCCTCTCCTCTCCTTCCCCCTTCCCTCCCCACCCTCTCCCTCCGTGCATGCAGCATGCTGCCAGGGATGGGACTCGAAGGCTCGCTCTTACCCGACCTGGGAAGACTTACCTACCTTACCTTCCTGTACGCCCTTTCTCCCACACCCCTCGCTCTCCATTCCCTCCCACGCACCATTGTGTCGTGAACATCCTCCCTCCCACTATTTGGGAAGGCTTTCCTTCCTTACCTTCCTGTACGCCCTTTCTCCGCACACCCCTCTCCTTCATTCCCTCCCACACACCATTGTGTCGTGAACACCCTCCCTCCCACTATTTCAACATTCCCTTTCCCCCTCCCTCCCACTTCTTTCCTCTGTGGCCTGCCCTGGCACCCAGCTTCCTTTATCTCCTCTTGCAAACGAGACTCTTGCGCCCAGCGTCTAAATGTTGCGCTCTCCCGTATGCCTATCATGCGCTCTCCTGTATGCCTATCGTGCGCTCTCCTGTATGCCTATCGTGCGCTCTCCTGTATGCCTATCGTGCGCTCTCCTGTATGCCTATCCTGCGCTCTCCTGTATGCCTATCGTGCGCTCTCCTGTATGCCTATCGTGCGCTCTCCTGTATGCCTATCGTGCGCTCTCCTGTATGCCTATCGTGCGCTCTCCTGTATGCCTATCGTGCGCTCTCCTGTATGCCTGACACGCATCAGATCAGACTCCTTATTCCACTGCACAGACAGATGTTCGTTATAGGCATGTTCATTAAAGCCCGATCCCATGAGCGTCCTATTTGATCTCCTCTTTGTGTAGTTGCAATCCTTGTTACCTATCGGTGCCATCACTTCAGCACTCGAAGTGCCTCAAAAAGAGACTCCTATATGTCTTATTATCCTTATCCCCATTATCCTCGTTATTATCTGTTCCATTACCCCCAGGGACCTTATGAACAACAATGGAATCAGAGGCACCCTTCCCAGCGCTCTCTCTTCACTCTCGCAGCTCCAAGTGCTGTAAGTACATCACTTAACTAAGTTGTTCCCGGGTACTTGTCTCTGAACTGAACCGGACTATGCTCCCTCAAAGTGCCTTCTGATTTGTTCTCCCAGTTTCCACACCTCTCAACACCTCTCAACACCTCGCTCCTCCCCCCTTCCCTCTTCCCCCAAAGCAGCATCCTGCACAACTGCACCCTACCAGGCCGCATCCCTGCAGCGTTCGTTGCTCTCTCTCCATGCTCCTGCTTGCCTCCAACCGACTGCAATCCATGCGCTCCCCTCACTGCTCCCCTCAACACCTCTCTCCCCCTGTCTGTCTCCCCTCCCGTCCCCCCAAGGCAGTAGCCTGCGCAACTGCTCCCTACCAGGCCGCATCCCTGCAGCGTTCGTTCCTCCCTCTCCGTGCTCCTGCTTGCCTCCAACCGACTGCAATCCATGCGCTCCCCTCACTGCTCCCCTCAACAACTCTCTCCCCTCCCGTTCCCCCAAGGCAGTAGCCTGCGCAACTGCTCCTTAACTGGCCGCATCCCTGCTGTGTTTGGTGCTCTCTCCGCGCTGCAAGTGCTGCTGCTCGACTCCAACCACCTGTAAACCAAGCCCTTCCCTCACTGGCCCTTACTGCATCTCCCCCCCCCCACCCTCCCCCCAAGGCAGTAGCCTGCGCAACTGCTCCTTAACTGGCCGCATACCTGCTGTGTTTGGTGCTCTCTCCGCGCTGCAAGTGCTGCTTCTCGACTCCAACCGACTCCAAGGGCCGCTGCTGGGGGAGGAATCCCGAGGGCTGCTCAGCCTGCAGCGCTTCCATTCACACCTCGGTCTTCGACAGTCGTCTTCCCATGCCTCCTCCCTTCTCTCTCCCCTCCCGTTCCCCCAAAGCAGTAGCCTGCGCAACTGCTCCTTAACTGGCCGCATACCTGCTGTGTTTGGTGCTCTCTCCGCGCTGCAAGTGCTGCTGCTCGACTCCAACCGCCTGCAAGGGCCGCTGCTGGGGGAGGAGTCCCGAGGTCTGCTCAGCCTGCAGCACGTTGATTTGTCGGATAATGAACTGGAGGGAGGTGTCGTGTTCTTCCCTCAACTTACGTCGCTCAAGCACCTGTGAGTGTGGGGAGGGAAGAAAGGCTGAGAGGAATCCCGAGGGCTGCTCAGCCTGCAGCACGTTGATTTGTCGGATAATGAATTGGAGGGAGGTGTCGCATTCTTCCCTCAACTTACGTCGCTCAAGCACCTGTGAGTGTGTCGCTCAAGCACCTGTGAGTGTGTCGCTCAAGCACCTGTGAGTGTGTCCGGGGGATGGGTAGGGAAGAGCACTTAGCTCTCAGCTGAGCCTGCAGGGCCTGCTGCTTGGGAAGGAGTCCAATCGAGGCGCAAGTGCTGCTGCTGCTGCTTGATTCCAATCGTCTCCAAGGGGTCTGCTCAGCCTGAGCCTGCAGCAGACTTTTGAGTCGACTCAAAAGTCACCTCTGCTGGGGGCGGAATCTAGGGGTCTGCTGAGCCTGAGCCTGCAGCGCGTTGACGTGTTGGATAATTCCCTGGAGGGGGCTGTTTCCTTCTTCCCTCGACTACTTTTGAGGCGCCTCAAAATTCCCTGGAGGAGGGGGCTGTTTCGTACTTTCCCTCGAATTACGTCGCTCAAGCACCTGTGAGTGTGTGGAGGGAGGAAGGAGTAGGTGAAACGGAGGAAGAAGAGGGGGGATGGGAAAGGAGAGCATTGAGGTCTCAGCTGAGCCTGCAGCATGTTGACACACCCGATAATGCACTGCAGGGAATTACTTTTGAGAATTCATGAGAATTCATGGGAATCAAGTTCTCAAAAGTGATTCCCAAACTGCAGCATGTTGCCACACCACATAATGCACTGCAGGAGCTCTGAGAGTGTGGAGGGGAGAAATCGGATACGAGAGACCGAGGAACAAGATGGGGGATGGAAAGGGGGAATCTTTAGGGTTTTGGCTAAGCCTGAGGCATATTGACGAACAGATGCACTCACCACTCTCTCCCTCGTCTCATGCACACATGCGTATACCTCTACCCCTCATCTCATGCACACATGCGTATACCTCTACCCCTCGTCTCATGCACACATGCGTATACCTCTACCCCTCGTCTCATGCACACATGCGCATGCCTCTCCCCATCGTCTGTTGCACACACGCACACGCTCCTCTTTCTCCTCTCCCTCTCCCAATGCACCCGTGCAGGCTGCTTGGTTGGAACCGCTTTTCCCTGCTGCCAGCAAAGCTAGGCTTTCTTCCCAACCTCCGCACGCTGTATGTACACAGTACCCTTTGAGCTCTAGTGTATGTACACACACAGTACCCTTTGAGCTGTAGTGTATGTACACACACAGTACCCTCTGGGATGTCTTTTGAGCCGCCTCAAAAGTTGCTGTATGTACACAGTACCCTTTGGGCTGTCTTTTGAGCCGCCTCAAAACTTGCTGTATGTACACAGTACGCTTTGGGCTGTAGCGTGTTGCCTGTAACGTGTAGTTGCTCTCTCCAACTCGACCAACGCACCGTGAGTGTTAACGGGTGGATGCTTTTTTTTTTTTGGAAAGGGGGGTGAGGGGGGTGAGGGGGGGTGAGGGGGGTCTTTTTTTTTTTGGAAAGGGGGGTGAGGGGGGAGTGGGAGTTGTTTGTTTGTTTGCTTTTTCTTCTTCCTTTCTTACTTTTCGCTCTCCCTGCAGCGTAACATAATCCTGTATGTAACGTCCTACATCAGTGGCACAACATCGTGACATCATCACACCACAACATTATCACATCACGTCGTGATATCATCATCACACCACAACATTATCACATCACGTCGTGATATCATCATCACACCACAACATTATCACATCACGTCGTGCTATCATCATCACACCACAACATTATCACATATCACGTTGTGCTCTCATCATCACACCACAACATTATCACATCACGTCGTGCTATCATCATCACACCACAACATTATCACATCACGTCATGCTATCATCATCACACCACAACATTATCACATCACGTCATGCTATCATCATCACACCACAACATTATCACATCACGTCATGCTATCATCATCACACCACAACATCATCACATCACGTCGTGCTATCATCACACCTATCCTCTCTCCATGTCAACAGGGTGCTGGATCACAACCGGATCGGCAACACACTCTCCGAGCTCCTTTTCCCACCAACCTGCAAACCCGTTGAGGCTCCTCAAAACACAATATCATCACACATATCCCCTCTCCATGTCAACAGGGTGCTGGATCACAACCGAATCGGCAACACGCTTTCTGAGCGCCTCTCCTCCCTCTCCAACCTGCAAACACTGTACGCCATATTACTTCGAGAGTGTACATATTACTAAGACGTCGTGCATAGTGTATGTTGTATTTGAGTACATGAGCTTAAAAACACAAATATCAATAATAATAATAAAGCAAGGGGGTTACGCTTTATAAACAGTGCACTCATGGGTTAGACTGCATGTTTTTTGTGACTTTTGAGTCGACTCAAAAGTCGCTCATGGGTTAGATTGCATGTTTTTTTTTTTTTTTTTTTTTTTTTTTTTTTTTTTTTTTTTTTTTCACAACGGATGTACGTGACGTTGCATGCAGTTACCACGGATGCTCTTATAATCATAGCTCATGCATGTGGTTACACTTACGTGCATGCATGCGGTTACCATGTGCACAGGGTATTGGACAACAATCCCATCGGAGGGTCCCTCCCTGCTGGGTTCTCGGCTCTCACCAACCTTGTCACCATGTGAGTGTGTTGGTAACCTTGTCACCATGTGAGTGTGTTGGTAACCTTGTTGCCATGTGAGTGTTTGTGGTAACCTTGTAACATTGTTACCATCTGGGTGTGTGTGGTAACCTCGTGAGCATTGGGTGGGTGATAACCCAATCTCCTCTGCTGAAGCAGGGGTGCTAGTAGGGAATGTGCACTTATGAACATCTGAGGCGACTCCTTTCTTCCACATCTTCAACACTCCCCTCACTCCCCTCACTCCCCTCACTCCCCTCACTCCGTGGTTGCAGCTCTATGTCGCGTTGCCAGCTCGGGAACGCTCTTTTCAACACATCACTGCTCATCAACCTGCAAAAGATGTGAGCTCCTTTCCCTTCCCTCCCGTCCGACCGTCCCTTCCCCCCCGTCCGACCGTCCCTTCCCCCCCGTCCGACCGTCCCTTCCCCCCGTCCGACCGTCCCTTCCCCCCCGTCCGACCGTCCCTTCCCCCCGTCCGACCGTCCCTTCCCCCCCGTCCGACCGTCCCTTCCCCCCCGTCCGACCGTCCCTCTGTCCCTTCATCCCGTTGTGATTCTCGGCTTTTGATATCAATTCCTCTTGCTTCTTTCACCCCTGGCTGGCTGGCAGTGATGTGAATGACAATGAGTATGAGATCCTGTATAACGTGCAAGATGGGACGTGATTCTATAACTGTCCTTTCGTATTCTGTCTTGTCCCGCAGTGATGTGAGTGACAACGAGATCCTGTACAACGTGCAAGACGCCTTGGGAGCTTCACTGAGAAATCTGCGCCATGTGTGAGTGCATGTGTGAGTGCATGTGTGAGTGCATGCGTGTGTGCATGCGTGTGTGAGTGCATGTGTGAGTGCATGTGTGAGTGCATGTGTGAGTGCATGTGTGAGTGCATGTGTGAGTGCATGTGTGAGTGCATGTGTGAGTGCATGTGTGAGTGCATGTGTGAGTGCATGTGTGAGTGCATGTGTGAGTGCATGTGTGAGTGCATGTGTGAGTGCATGTGTGAGTGCATGTGTGAGTGCATGTGTGAGTGCATGTGTGAGTGCATGTGTGAGTGCATGTGTGAGTGCATGTGTGAGTGCATGTGTGAGTGCATGTGTGAGTGCATGCGTGTGTGCATGCGTGTGTGCATGCGTGTGTGCATGCGTGTGTGCATGCGTGTGTGCATGCGTGTGTGCATGCGTGTGTGCATGCGTGATTGCATGTGTGAGTGTACGTGCGAGTGCATGTCCACTTGTCATTTCACACACGTGCCTGCCACTTGCACATGCACTAATCAGACCAGGCCGCTAATCACAGTTACCCTAGAGTGTTTCACTGTGTGAGCAAGTGTTACCGTGCCTGCCATGTTACCACGTACGCCATGTTTGTGCAAACGCCAGATGAGCATAACTCGTTAGATGAGCATAACTCGTTAGATGAGCATAACTCGTTAGATGAGCATAACTCGTTAGATGAGCATAGGGATGAGCAAGGGGACGAGCACCTGTTCGGTTCGCCTCGAACGCGTTCGAGGCGAACCGAACAGGTTTATTTTTTTGGCTTAAATGGTTCGCCGAACAGTGTTCGAGGTTCGCCCGAACATGTTCGTGTTCGGGCCGCGGCTGCAATTTGCCCCGCAACGAACACGAACGTGTTCGAGGTTCGCCCGAACACGCCTTCATAGGCGAACGGCGAACACTTGTGTCGGCGGAAATCGTTCGCCGAACCGAACAGTGTTCGGTTCGGCTGTTCGAGCTGTTCGACAGAGGACGAACTCGAACCTGTTCGAGTTCGGCCTCTGCTCATCCCTAGATGAGCATACTCGTTAGTTGAGCATAACTCGTTAGATGAGCATAACTCGTTAGATGAGCATAACTTGTTAGATGAGCATAACTCGTTAGATGAGCATAACTCGTTAGATGAGCATAACTCGTTAGATGAGCATAACTCGTTAGATGAGCATAACTCCTCCCCCTGTAATGCCATGTTCTTTACCACTGTATCCCCCTTGCATGTTCCCCCCCCCCTGCATCCCCGTTAGTGACTTATCCAACAACTTGTTTCTTGGTTCCTTCCCAGAATCCATGTCTGATCTTCAAGCACTGGCTATCCTGTAAGTTGGTTACCAGGTAACACGCGAGCATGCTCCATATCAGGATGACCCACGAGCATACCCACATAAGAACACACGCGCGAATGAGAACTTCCCACATCAGCTAGCTATGTTGGAATCATTTTTAGACTACTGAAAAATAACTCCATTCCATATCAGCATGGCACATGAGCATGGCCACATAAGAGCACGCGCGTGAATGCGCATGTCCCATATCAGCAGCTCCCTGTTCCTCTCTTCTCTTCCCTTCCTGCCCTCGCCGTCCAGTAATGCTGGCAACAGCAACATCGACCTACAATACAACTCCCCCATCATCATCCTGCTGGTTGAAGGCGGATTCGAGCCGAATCCCCCTGTTCCTCTCTTCCCTTCCTGCCCTCGCCGTCCAGTAATTCTGGCAACAGCAACATAGACCTACACTACAATTCCCAGACCTCTCACCATACCACACCAGATATGAGCATCCCCCTTTCCGTCCCCTGCACATAGCTCACGCACGTAAGCATTTGCTTTTGAGTCGACTCAAAAGCATCCCCCTTTCCGTTCCCCTCATAGCACACGTGCGTAAGCATTTGCTTTTGAGTTGACTCAAAAGCATCCCCCTTCACGTCCCCCCCATAGCACACCCACACGTAAGCATCCCCCACATCATCATCCCCTCCCCCTTTCCCTCCTTCCTTCCCGCTTCCGCCCTCCAACAATGCAGACGAAAATAACAAGACCTTCAATCGACTTCCGGACGTCTCAGCCTCAGCATCCCCCCCCTCCCTCTGCGTCTACACTAGAGGGACGCTACATTACGTCTTTTGAGTCGACTCAAACATCTTCCGCTCCTGCACCTCCCTCCCTCTTCCCGCCAGCAATGCAGACAACAACAACATAGACCTTCAACTCCCGGACCTCTCAGGCTCGGCAGGCTCCGGCGCACTACACTACGTCTCCCTTATAAACAACCAGCTCGACGATACAGGCGGCAAGATCCGCCGAAAAATACCCCAGTACCTAATAGACCTCGTTTCCAACTCCTCCCTCCGCCTCTGGGAAAACCCCTTCTGCAATTTCACCCTTGTAATCCCCACCCTCGCTCCCGCTTGCGACCGCTATAACGAGAAGATCCAGCCTCCAGTCTTCCTTCCTTCCCCTGGCGCCTCCCTTGACGATATTGTCTTTACCTCGGACCCTTTCTGTCCCTCTCACACCTGTGATCCTACCGCTGCTGCCGCTTACCCCAGCTTTTATGCCTACCGGGTAGCAGCGGCTTGCGTCTGTGCCAAGGCGCTAAAAGTCTTGCTTAGGCTCGTGCACTCGCCGAATCTGTACTTCTCAAAGTCTTTAGCGAAGGACCTGCAAAGGGGGTTGGAAGCGCAGTTTGGGTGGGAAACCGGGCAGGCGTGGATTCGGCAGGTGCGGACGAAAAGGGATGCCTCTCAGCTGCTGGAGGTGCTGATTTTTCTGCCCGGCGGGCAGAAATGGACGGCTGCGATTGTCAATGCAGTGGTGATGCGGTTTGTGCGGCATAACGTCTCCATGGGAGTCAGCTTTGGACCGTACCGGTTTGAAGGATTTGTCTCGCCGATCCCACGTGAGTCCTACAGAACCACGCTTGTTAGAGCAAGGTGAAAGTGATGCAGTTTGTGCAGCATAACGTCTCAATGGGACTCATCTTTGGGCCGTACTGGTTTGAAGGATTCACCTCCCCGATTCCACACGAGCCTAGTTTTGAGACGCCTCAAAACTAGATTCACCTCCCCGATTCCACACGAGCCTAGTTTTGAGGCGCCTCAAAACTAGATTCACCTCCCCGATTCCACACGAGCCTAGTTTTGAGGCGCCTCAAAACTAGATTCACCTCCCCGATTCCACACGAGCCTAGTTTTGAGGCGCCTCAAAACTAGATTCACCTCCCCGATTCCACACGAGCCTAGTTTTGAGGCGCCTCAAAACTAGATTCACCTCCCCGATTCCACACGAGCCTAGTTTTGAGGCGCCTCAAAACTAGATTCACCTCCCCGATTCCACACGAGCCTAGTTTTGAGGCGCCTCAAAACTAGATTCACCTCCCCGATTCCACACGAGCCTAGTTCTGAGGCGCCTCAAAACTAGATTCACCTCCCCGATTCCACACGAGCCTTGCACAACCATGCACGCCTGCGCGTGCGCGCGCGCGCGTGTGTGTGTGTGTGTGTGTGTGTGTGTGTGTGTGTGTGTGTGTGTGTGTGTGCGTGCGTGCGTGCGCGCGCGCGCGCGCGTGTGCGTGTGCGTGTGCGTGTGCGTGTGTGTGTGTGTGTGTGTGTGTATGTGTGTGTGTGTGTGTGTGTGTGTGTGTGTGTGTGTGTGTGTGTGTGTGTGTGTGTGCGGGTTGGTTGGGTGTTTGGTGTGCTTGTTAAGACTAAGGGATGGTGACGTGAGGCTTGTGATGTCTTTTGAGACGTCTCAAAAATGAGGCATACGTAGTGTGTCCCATGGCATACGTAGTGTGTCCATGGCATACGTAGTGTGTCCATGGCATACGTAGTGTGTCCATGGCATACGTAGTGTGTCCATGGCATTCGTAGTGTGTCCATGGCATTCGTAGTGTGTCCATGGCATACGTAGTGTGTCCATGGCATACGTAGTGTGTCCATGGCATTTGTAGTGTGTCCATGGCATACGTAGTGTGTGTCCATGGCATTCGTAGTGTGTCCATGGCATACGTAGTGTGTCCATGGCATACGTAGTGTGTCCATGGCATACGTAGTGTGTCCATGGCATTCGTAGTGTGTCCATGGCACACGTAGTGTGTCCATGGCATACGGAGTGTGTCCATGGCATTCGTAGTGTGTCCATGGCATTCGTAGTGTGTCCATGGCATACGTAGTGTGTCCATGGCATACGTAGTGTGTCCATGGCATTCGTAGTGTGTCCATGGCATTCGTAGTGTGTCCATGGCATGGGAGTAGCCACGTGTAGAGAGGGTGTTTTTGAGACGTCTCAAAAACACCCTCTCTACACGTAGTTTCTCCATGGGATGGGAGTCAGCTTTGGGCCATACGCACTGATCTGAGGAATTCGATATTGACTGTTGCTTTCTATGTTAGGCTTCTAGAAATCTTTCACAAGTTATCTCAGTTAAATCTGCTCCACACTTGTTAATAAAGAGATTATCTTGTCTCTTCTAACAGACGACTTTTGAGACGTCTCAAATATCATCTTGTCTCCTCTAACAGCCAATCCCAATGTTTCCCCTCCTTCTGCTCGCCCTCGCCCTTACCTCGCCCTTCCGCTTGCCCTCTCTCCTTACCTCTCCCGTCCTCCCTTCCCCTTCCTCCCATCCCCACAGCGCCACCACTAACCGTCCCTCCTCCACCTCCTCCCACCCCTTCCAAAACCTCCTCCATCCTCTTCCCCATCCTCTTCACCTCGCTCCTCCTCGTCATCCTCCTCCTCCTCTTTATCTGTTGGCGATCCAACATCTGGGGAAGAACAAAGGGCTCTCCCCCCTCTACAGTCACACTCACAACCCTGAAGATCCCAGGGTTGATGAAGGGAGACGAGTGGGAGATCACGATCAGTCCGTCGGATTCGAAGAGAATCAACGGCCGACAGACGTACCTGGTGCACGGGGTTTGTTTCTTCCGATATGACGACTTGATTGCGGCTACCGACCATTTCTCGCACGTTATTGGCCACGGGTCCTTCGCTGACGTGTACCTCGGGCACCTGGACGAAAGCCTGCTCCCGGAATCAGCCGCTGCGTCGAAAGACAACGGGCAGGCGAACGGGCAGGTTGAAAAAAAGGGGGATGGTGCTCTAAGCAGTGGTGCTTCTGCTGATGCTGCTGCTGCTGAGATAGAATGTTCTCCTGCTGCTGCTGGTGCTGCTGCTGCTGGTATTGACAATGAAGGCTCCTCCACCACTCCTTCAACAGCGAAAGGAGCTTCGATTGACTCGTCCCAACCCCAAGGGACCCCAGTGGCAGTGAAGCGCGTGCGCGAAGCCGCCCTCCGTTCCGACTTCTCCGTTTCCACGTTCATAAACGAGATCAAAGTCCTCTCCTCCATAAGCCACCCCAACCTCGTACCCCTTATAGGCTTCTGCAGGGAAGCGCAGGAGCTCATGCTCGTCTACACCTACGCTCCAAACGGGTCCCTATTCGACAATCTCCACGGCGGGTTGAAGGAGCAAGGCGGGTTGAGGGACTGGGGGAGGAGGATCGATGTGCTGGTGGGCGCGGCGAGTGGGTTGGAGTATCTGCACGGGGAGTTGGAGGTCCCGATAGTGCATGGGGATGTGAAGCCCGAGAATATTCTCATTGCTGCGTCGGGGGAGGGACTGCTGTCGGATTTCGGGCTGAGTGAGTTCGTGCGGGAGGCCTCGGTGCATACACCTGCTTCGACGATCGTCAGAGTGAAGGGATCTGTGGTGAGTGGGGGGAGCTTCTTGACTCATATACGCTGTCCACCCAAGCTTGTATTGAGGCGCCTCAAAACTCAGCTTCTTAATCCATATATGTTGTCCACCCTAGTTTCACGTGTACAGCCTTGGGACTGTTTTGTCGAGCTTGGAACCGTCTTCCTTTGAACCCATTCCGTCCCTCACTCTCCTTTCCTTTCTCCCTCCCCATCCCACCATCAACTCCAACCCACCAGGGCTATGTGTGCCCTGAAGACTCATCAACTGGGGTGCTCAACTTCAAGTGTGACGTGTACAGCCTTGGGATCGCCGTGTTGCTCGTTGAACTATCTTTCGCTCTTCTCCCTCCTGATCTCCCCGCCCACCCCAACCCACCCCAACCCACCAGGGCTACGTGTGTCCGGAATATTCATCAACGGGAGTGCTCAACTCCAAGTGTGACGTGTACAGCCTCGGGATTGTCGTATTGGAGACGCTCACAGGCCTGCCACCTCAGATAGAGGACCAACACCTTGGGACCTCCACGCACATCCGAGACCTGGTAATGGGGAGGAGATTGGTTACTGATTACTGTAACTAACGGTGTGAGTATTAGGTAATGGGTAGTGTACTTTTCAGAATACACTGTGGTAACCAGGTAACGCACATCGGTGCTGAGCTCACGTCCCACCCCCATCCACCCACCCCCATGTGCCCATGGCCCTACTCCCTCCCCATCCGCCATTTAGGTGTCTGCGTTGCTGAGGAAGCATGACAGCCATCCTTCAGCAGACTATGAGTCGACTCAAAAGTCACCCCCACCTGCCCTCTCCCATGTTCCCATGGCCCTACCCCCCAACCCCCCCTGCAGGTCTCTGCGTTGCTGCGGAAGCATGACAGCGATCCCTCAGCAGTGCTCGACCCTGCACTGCCGTCCAATCTCCCCAAGGTGCCTGCCTGGCGCCTGCTGCAGCTGGCACTGCGCTGCACTGCTCCCACCGGCCGTGATCGGCCGCACATGGGGGAGGTGCTATCTGAGCTGCTCTTTGTGCAAAATGCCTTGAGGAAATCGTGAGATCGTGATTCTTAGTTGACGGTGCGTTATCCGCACAAGTGACGAGACGAATCACATTGATGATGGTGTGATCATTTTCCCACACCATGCTTACATTGTTAGTCATTGTGTGAATGTATGACTATTCACGTTTGATTTATCACAACAATTTACCCAGTGCGCCAGTCACTCTGGTCAAACAGACTCCACGCTGGTCCGGCTGCTGTCAGCGCGGACTCGGCAAGGAACTTCAGAGAAACTGAATGCTCACGAGTGTCGTGCGGGACACGTGTGCGTGGAAATTTTCGTCGCACTCTCTTCAGCCTCGAGAATCGTTCGCAAACGTGCACAGTTTCGCGATGCTCCTTTTCCAGGCCAATCGCTGCGCAGACCTCGTTGACCTGGCATGTTCGCAGCGACGGGGACTCCTTCCGCTGTCATTCCACGCAGCCGCTTTCCTCTGCAAAGGATCCGCTTCCCGCATTCCCCTCCGCTCATGACAGAGCAATCCAGCTGCAACCAGGCGCCCGCGCCAGCAAGAAGTCCCCGCGACAAATGGTTACCACCCTTCCCCCCCACCATTCCTTCCTTCCCCCCTCCCCTCGTCGTCCTCCCTCCCACCCTTTTCCTTCGACTGCAGCAGAGCCCCACTCAATCCAAAGGATCACCACCTGCTTTCCATTTTCCATTTTCTCTCCTTGCAGTCCGAATATCCGTTCTTCTTTCTGTTGTCCTGCTGAATGTGTCAAGTCTCCAAGCACGGTACACGCGTTCATAGCACGCTTGGTCTTTAGCTTGAATCTTAGAGCAAACAATAGCTAGTAATTAGCCCAATACTTTTATCATGAAGCCACTGCCGCCCTCTTTCGGGCGGGAGAAATCCGCCATGATGTTAGGGTTTCTATGCCTCGTTTTGCTGCTACCAGAGTCGCCAGCCAGGACAGCAGCAGCTGCTGGTGCGGGGGTTGTCCGCACCGTAGGTCCGTACGGACGTGCGAAATTTGTGAAGAGAGGTCGCTCTCTCCAGCGTTACCCTGTTCACGTGGCGAGAACTGGCGAGGAAAACGGCGCGGCAGGAGTCCAGAACGGGGCGAAACCTGGTTACAAAGATGTCGCTGATTCTGTCGCAGTGGAGAGGAGCCCTGTCGGAACGCCACGCAAGATTCGCGTGCTGACGTGGAACCACAAAAGAGGCAATTCTCGCGCAGCGACCCCGACGGCTCCCGTGTCGGCCTCGCGAACGAGGCGACAGATGCGACAGCGACAGATGCCGCACGCGGAAGCATACGACGAGCCAGCTGTCTTCGAACTCGGCGCACCGAGTTGGGCGACTGGCGGGCGACATCGCCGCGGCGACAGCTGGGCGACAACAACAAGTGCGCGACACCGTCGCAGCAGCCGTGTCGCAGGACCCTCCGACTATCCGTCGCGGAAGGGTCTTTCAGCCTCAGGACGAGGAAGACCGAATTATCAGACGCGGTTGTCTGCGCCTCAGCTGCGATACAGCGGACCTCGAAGTCACAATATCGCGTACACTTGGGATCCAAATGACGTCGTGGAGTGGCATGGGAGCGATGATGAATATTCCAAATCCAATTCGCACCCAGCCAGGCTCCGAGCAATAGGTCCGTCGGATGAGGATATGGTTTACGAGATTGAGCCAGCTTCGGCTTGGAACTTTCCCGAGCCTGCGAGCGAGCCTCGGTACGGGCAGCGTCAGCAGCGGCGGCACAGCGGAGTGCAGGTTCGTGTTGGTCCAGGCTTGGTGAAGGATGCAGCTGAAGCAGCTGATGGTGAATTTGAAGACGCGGGTTCGAATCCTGATATCCCCACTCTCAACGCATCTCCTTCAACCCTCCCCACGCGTCAATATCGAACAGTGGCTGCTCCAATCCATGCAGCCCCCTGGGCTGATATTGGTACTCAGGGTGTTTCAGGCGATGGAATCGAAGAGAGGGAGGGTAGTGAGGAGGGGGGTGGGAGTGAGGAGGGTGAAGGGAGTGAGGAGAGAGATGGGAGTGAGGAGAGGGAGGAGAGTGATGAGAGCGAGGAGAGAGACGGGACCGAGGAAGGGGATGGGAGTGAGGAGCAGGATGCATATGGGATAACGGCAAAGTCTCAAACTGTTTCTGACGCAGCAGAGGAGACTGCTCCTGTTCCGGTCTCTGCAGGTGATGCTGGCCCAATAGCCGGCCCAGCAGATGGCGTTAACTCGCTTTCAAATGGAACTATGGGGGTAGGCGCAGGGACAGGGGAAGATGCGGGATCAGGAGCAGGGGCAGCGGCAGGAGCAGGAGCAGGGGAAGGGGCAGAGGCAGGAACAGGGGCAGGAGCAGGAGCAGGAGAAGGGACAGGAGCAGGAGAAGGGGAAGAGGCAGAGCCGGAGAGGGCTAAGAAGGTGAGTGTGAACACGGTGGAAGAAGCGCGGGTCATACTCAAGGGAATTGATGGAGGGGAGGATGGAGCGAGGGCCCACATGAAACGTGCTGAGGCTGCTTCTGCTGCCATAAAAAACCAAGGCGATGGCACTGGCAATGGTGATGGTGCTGGCGATGGTGCTGCTGATGGTGCTGCTGATGGTGCTGCTGATGGTGCTGGTGCTGCCGATGGTGCTGGTGCTGGTGATGGTGCTGGTGCTGGCAAAGGTGGAGGTGTGGGAGAGGAGGGAGCGGTGGAGTGGGCCCATGGGTTGAAAGGCACGAGCATGTATGTGGTGAAACAAGGGGACACATGCGAGGGGCTCGCTTACCAGCTGTTCCGAGGGTCGCTTGAAATGATGCGGGAGCTCAACCATGGGTTTGTGTGCTCTGATGCCACTCTCAAACCCAACATGCAGCTGTTTGTTCCGTGAGGAGCGAGAGGGGCAGCTGAGGGGGAGTGGGGGGAGGGTCGCCTGCCATGATGCGTGAGCCCCACCACGGGTTTGTGTGTGAAGACTCTTCCGCGAATTGGCTGCCATGACATGGGGGGATGGGATTAGGAGAGTGCGTGAACGGGGGTTGCGGAGCAGGGGATGGGATTGCAAGGGGAGTGGAGAGGCAGGTTGGGGAGGGACCGAGTAGAGAGACATATAGGAGGGTTGGCATGTATGGGGGAGGGTGGAGACAGCTAGTGGAGGCGAGAGTGATGATTGCTTGGCGCTAGAAAAGTGTTAAGACATGTCGCTGCTTGGTTATATATGAGGTCCTCTTATTGTCTGCGCTGAGTGTACTTCTGGTTGTTGGTACCTATGCTGGTTTTTTTCCTGCCACGTTGCATTAAAGAGATTGAAATGGAAAAAGGTTGTGCTATAAATCACGCTAGAAGAGATCCACATGACTGAAGGTCTATCTATCAATCCACGAGAGGTAGTGGATAGCTTCTAAACCTACTATAACCCCCCAGGCGCGCTCACATACTGCATCACCCTCCATAATACTCTTTGAACATGTGCCCTCGCGCAGCACGTTGCTCGACAGCTGCAAGCAAATTCCTTCCAATGCCTCCAATTTTTCCTGCCTTCCGTCTCCTCTCGTTATCCGTTTCGTCCGTTACCTCACGGCTTAAAGTCCGTTTTGGCGGTTGTAGCCTTGGTTTTCGCCTGAGTGATAAGGTCCAACGCGTCTTTGTACGTCACTTTGTTAAGCATCACCGACACGCCGTTAAGTGTCGCGACGGAATTATCAACCTGCGTCGCCACTAGCGCGCGCTGTCCCTGGTTGATTAAGATCACCGCGTTCTTAAGAGCCTGCTCGGTGCTCTTCAGATTCGCATAGTACTGGTGTTTGGGCGTCAGCAAATCGGCCGCGTCCGCCGTTAACGTTGACGCTGCCTCGAGATTCGCGATGACGGACACGTCAGCAGGGTTGACGGAACCCTTTGATGGAGTCGACGGAGTTGACGGAGTAGTTGGCTTTGGCGTGGAAGGAGTTGGTGTTGTCGTCTTGACGGGAGATTTCGGAGGGGACGGTGACGGTGACTTCTTGGGCGGTACAGATGGAGATGGCGACTTCTTGGGAGGTGACTTGGGCGACTTGGGTGGTTTCGGTGGCGAAGAAGGCGACCCGGATTTCTTCGCTGCATCCCTCGCAGCTTTCGCCTCTTTGCGCTCTTCCTGCTCTTCCTTCTTCTTCTCCCTCGCTGCCTGCATGGCCGCATGCCGTTTCTGCTGCTCCTCTTTCTGCGCCTTCTTCGCAGCCATTCGCGCGGCTTTATGTTCAGGCGATTCCGTCGCCAAAGTCGTTGCGAGTTGTAACATTCGTCGCGGAACGACAAGGCCCTCCCATTCCGGCTCGTCGTCGCGATGGTGTGCGACTGGTTTCGCCGAACCTCTAAACATCGCGGACCAGTCGTGTCGCAGTTGAAGGCCTCGTGCCGAAGCTTGCGAGGCGAGGGTTGCGAGGAGGAGGGAGAGTAAGGGGAGCGGAGCAGCCAAGACGGCTACTTTACGAATTCCCATGATGCTCAGCTGTTGTCGTGGAAATTCGATAACGCACGGCAGGTGAACGAATAACAAAGGACTAGAGATTTTAAAGCGTTTGAACCGAAAGTCTGAAGTTGGACTCGATAACGTATTCGCTAACACACAGGCTTCCAGGAACAACACTTGCATGCTTCATTCCTATCGTTCCCCAGGGCTCGTCAATGATCTGGGCTGGGAGAGAGATGAAGGGGGGGTGGGGGAGGAAGAGAGAGCACTACCGCATTGGGAAATTTCTTGGCCATTGGGAAATCGAAGCGCACTAACACGGACCGCGCGAGGGATGTGTGCGAACAAATTCTCGCGCTGCCAACGATAAGCAGAATGGCGAGGGGCGACGTCGCACAAGCGTCGGTCTAGTCGGCGTTGCGACTCTACCAAAATTTGTACGACGATCTTTGGTGAAATTTCGGGTGGACCAATCGCAAACGCGGGCAGGGGCACTGGCACGAGTGAATTTGCTCGTTCCCCCGCTTTTGGAGGACGAAAACAGTTGTACAGCTGGTGCTGTCAAACAGAGCTTGGCGCGAGAGCGAAACATTTGATGAAATCTGCCGCAACCAAGACGACATTGTACGTACACCGCATTTGTGTGTCACATCACGCATCATTAGTATAAAATAGGAACAAGATTGAGATTTCATTACCTCCTGGTCCAATTACAAAGCCTCAATACTTCACCAACTGTGCTGTCACATTTCGTTATTCTACCTTGGCCCATAAGGTCCCGAAGTATAAAGGAGACAGGAATGACAGCTTTGTGCTTCATTTGGACCTCCAGCTTAGATTTTAACATTTCACCAAACCTGCTGCGCTGTAAACACCCAACGATCTCAGAACGCCCCTGAAGGAAAGAAAAGGGCTTTTTATTTGCACGGAAATTTATACCGTAAAGGGAAAAGCGGAAGACAGATTTGAACAAACTCAAATGAGTGCAACAAAAGCAGCATTCCTCACATTGGTAAGACGCTGAGTAAATGAGCCAATGTTTGGAAGTGAGAACCAGTATGAATCAACATGTGCCACCTGGCCAACCTGTTGGTAGGAGAACAAGAGGCAAGGCGACGATCCACACAACAGAGGGTAGAAAATTAGTAGAAACCAGCTTTTGAGAATCTTGATACAAGCGTACAACTAAGTTTGCGGCAGAAGCGAGCTGCGGTGTATTTTGAGCTTCTCTACTTGAGTGAATACCAAGACGGGTAGCAAGAGGGGAGGCGTGCAACACAGACAAATTAGTAAGGGAGGAGGAGCAGGTGCATACCAGCAGCCCTGTTTGCACAAGAATGCAAATGTGTCTGTCCGTGATGCTTGATTTGCCAGCATTCGATAAAAGGTGTTCCTGTGAATAGAGCAAAAACAAAAGCACAAGCATGATGAGCACATGCACAATTAAATATTGAATACCAACTAGAGTACCTGTTCCTTCTTTACGCACCAGCTGTTGCCGCGATATGCCATGCTCCGTACACTGTGGAAGCACCCGGCCTTTGAACCAATCAAACACTGTCACCTGACTGCTCTCAGTTCCACCTCTACCGCACTTGCGCCTGTGCTTGCCATTCTCCTGCCTGTTGTTGCCATTCTCCTGCCTGTCCTCTCTGCTGCTGGACTTGGTACTGTCACCGCTGTTACCCTCTCTACCGCTGCTAGCACCCTTTCGCGCTGGAAGAGGTGAGTCACCAGCACTGCTGCACGTGTGCCGAAGAAACTGTTGCTTGGCAGCCTCAACCTGCAAAGGATGAAGATGGTGGATGATGAAGACAATGATGATGACACACACACAAAGAAGAATTTCAAAGATAGTTGATCTCTTTTCTTTTTTTTTTTCACAGCAGCCAGCCAAGTGCTTTAATAGTGGCATCGAATTTTCAGGCAAGAAACAAAACAGCGATGCTCTCACCACTTGGTTATAGTCCTGAGGCAGCAGCACAGCAATGTCGGTTCGAGATGACATAAGGCGAATCACGCGCACCGACCCACTCCTCTGAAGCATCTGCGGTTGGGACCAAGCAACTATGGATTGTGAGGTACTGGTCTGTGCCAGCACGGCAGGGTTAACTTAAAATGACACATGTGGGAATCAACTACACTGGTATGTTACTCCGCAGCATCTGCAACCAGTCTTGGAATGAGACGAGTAGGAAATCCACGAGTCATTAATAGGGAGGAAAAAGGGAACGAGGGGAGGGGAATAGGGGAACAGGGGAAGACATCAGGGTAGGAGACCGGGGAGGAAAACAGCGAGGAGGAGAGGGGTAAAGAGATTAGCCTGGGGAAGTATAACAGGGTAGGGAATATGGGCTTCCTGACCTCGAGCTGTCGGTCCACAGTGGTGCGGTGCGGTACCACGGTGTAGATTTGAGAGAGCAGGGCGAAGGGAGGGAGAGAGGACGCGACCTGCAATGGGAGGGGTAAGGAGCAGAGGGAGACGGCCTGTCAGTCAGTCAAACAGGCTTACAGGTAGATGTGACCTGCAAGAGGGAGGAACGGGGCAGAAGGAGACGTACGGAAGGGATCAAGGGAAACTGGAAGCTGATGGTTTGCAAGAAAGGAGGAAATGTCGTTTCAGATCCAATCAAAACAATCTAGTCCCTGGGAGAGTGATGAGGGTAAAGAGGTATGTGGAGAGCGATGGGGTGAAGGCGGTACCTTGGAGAGTGATCGGGAGAAGGAGGGATTACGGAAAGTGTTGGGGGAAGGATACCTTGGAAAGTGTTGGGGGGAAGGATACCTTGGAAAGTGTTGGGGGGAAGGATACCTTGGAAAGTGTTGGGTGGAAGGATACCTTGCAAAGTGTTGGGGGGAAGGATACCTTGGAAAGGGATGTGGGGAAGGAGGCGCGGAGGAAATGAACGGCTGCAAGTGTGTCGCAAGGGAGGTCCGCTGCAGAGGAGAAGAGCGCAAAGCAAAGGCGAGAGGGCGAGAACGAGGGGGAGTTGACGAGGAGGAAAAGACGAGAAGGAGAGAACGCGTGAGCAACAGCCAGATCATAACATCGTGAGTTGACAGATCATGGTAAATCTTAAGATTACCGATGGTTCATGTTCACCATACACTACTATCGACTCGCACCAAGAGAACCCGAAACCCCTCACTCTTTCCAACACTCCAGGGTCGTCCCTCAAGGCGCCTCGCAAATCTTGGAGCTCTCCAACCCGCCATATGACGACCCCAAGGTCGACAGTGAGGCTCGTTACCCACTTACCCGCGATCGCATCCAGATCGTCCATTTCCGCCTGTGGCGGCGTGGCGTCTTCTCCTCCCGCCGACTGGACCGCCAGTACCTTCCTTCCTCCTACTTCAATTGGTTCAATCGCTTCACTCGCATTATTCGCTCTAATCGCTCCACTTCTCTTCGTCCTGTCGTTTGAGTCCTCGTTAGGCCTGGCGATGACGTTCGAACGATTGTCAATCTCCTGGAAACGGACATCCCTACATGCTTTCGCACATCCGTCAACTTCCCGCGAAACGTCAACTTCGCACTTCCGTTGTTGAGGCTCCTGCTGAAAAAGTAGCGAGATGACGTGCCGCCAGCCTCGTCACCGTCGCGTGAGCGAAAATCCCGGTCTGACGAGTCGCCGTGTACCGAATCCGAATCAGACCTACCGTCGGATAGATCCTCCGGGTCTATAACGAGCACAGCCCGCTTCCGCTTTAACATCGCTGCTGGTTTGGTGAGTAGAACAATCGAAACAATACGTGTGAAAGTGGCAAGCACTAACACTAGCAGCACACTAAGTATTAGGGCGTGTTACTGCTATTGTGTAAAAACTCCCTGAAAGGGCCGAGTTTACCAGCGTCCACTTATGATTGATCGGATGAAGGTGGAGTGAGCTGAAGCCGTCATGGACACGACAACTGGGAGGGGTGTGAGATTGGTGCTGGCGATCCCCGCGAAGTCTAAGCTGTGGAAACGAAACTGCGTAACCACACATCTTGGAAATGCAGACACCAGCGTTGACGAACCATGACACTGGTGGCGCGATAACAAAAAGAACTCTCAGAGTCTCCACCATGTCTGACTTCGCCGATTGTGGGGATCGAACCCACGGCCACGTGGTTAAAAGCCACGCGCTCTACCACTGAGCTAAATCGGCCTGCCCAGAATGTTAAAACAAAACAAAAACAAAACAATGAAACCTGCTTTTCAGAATTTGTTTTGCAGTTTCTCATTGACCATGGCGCGTTCAGACGTCGTTCCGGGGGGACGTGCGGGGAAGGCGATGGCGGCCGCTGCTGCCGCCGCGAGTGGCGGCGGTGGCTCGTCCGTCTCGTTGCAGGACGCGGATAAAAAGAGCCATCGCGCAGCGCGGTCAGGGCCGGCAGCGGAGCGCAAGAAGGCGAAGGATAAGAAGAAGCGCGGCGTGGACGACGACGCAGAGGAACGCGAGAACCCGCGAGTAAGCACCTAAGCTGTTAGCTGCGATAGAGATTTTGACAGCTCGATGAATCCAAGGGGCGCAGGATTGGTGAAAGTGGGGAGTAGGCACCGAAGACGAGGAGGAGAAACGCGAGAACACACGCGAGGGAGGCTTTAAGTTCTAGTGATGTACGGCCGGAGGTGTATCCGCTTAGTAGCCTTGTCGGGGTTTCCACTTATCCTGGTAGCATTTCCTACTCCGTGCAGGGACCATATTCGCGGTCAATGATGCCTGCCTCGCATCGTTTGTCCTTATACCCCTCGTGCTTAGGACGAAGTACCCTGGCTCGGTATCGGATCCATATCTTTGGATCTTTCATGGCTAATCTTTCTTAGCTTTCGAAGCTGCACTCTACTTTGCCTATGAACCCTGACAACCTTAAACCTCGGCATATATCCGCTCAAGAACCAGAAGATAGAACCCACGGTTCCTTCGTCTGATTTCATTCAGCAGCCGGTGTTTTTCACTGTACACCTGGGATCGTTTCAGGCTTGAACCCTGAACCCTGACCCCTGACCTCTGTCTTCCTGAAACCTCAAACTCCGCACTCGCTTCTTCTGTGTCCCCACCTGCACTCTCGCCCGATCCTGCCAGGCGTTTGCCTTCAGGTCGTCACGCCGAGCCAAGCTGCAGGTTGCGAGGCGGGTGGAGCTGCAGCAACGGCGGACTCACCTTCCCCTCCTTATGAGTGTGAACCCTAAAACTCCACACTCGCCTCCTCTGTGTCCCCACCCACATCCTCTGCCAGGCGTTTGCCTTCAGGTCGTCACGCCGAGCCAAGCTACAGGTTGCGAGACGGGTGGAGCTGCAGCAGCGCCGCATGCACGCGCCCAGCGCTGCTGCCACGCGCGCACAGAACCTGGAACCACCCCCCTTCGTTGTACTGGTGCAGGGGCCACCGAAGGTGAGTGGTTGCTTTGCTTCTGTGGTGTGTCTGTGTAATGAGGCACCCAGTCACATGCACGCGCCCAGCGCTGCTTCAACACGTGCACAGGCTCTGGAGCCACCCCCCCTGTGTGGTTCTGGTGCAGGGTCCGCCCAAGGTGAGTGGTTGCTGCGACGTTGTGCATTATGGGTGTGGCTGTAGGCAAGCGCAAGCATGCACGCGCCCAGTGCTGCTGCACTGCACACGCGCACAGGCTCTGGAACCTCCACCGTTCGTGCGTGGTGCTGGTGCAGGGGCCGCCCAAGGTGAGTGTGTGATGTGATGTGGTATGTGTCCGTATATGTGAGTGAGGTTGAAGCAGCGGCGCATGCATGTGTCCAGTGCTGCTGCCTGCCACCCATGCACAGGCGCTGGAGCCACCACCGTTTGTGGTGTGGTTCTGGTGCAGGGGCCGCCCAAGGTGAGTTGTTTGCTTTGAAACGTCTCAAAACAAATCTTCATCCACGTGGTTCTGGTGCAGGGGCCGCCCAATGTGAGTTGTTTGCTGTGACATCTGCTCGCTCGCACTGGCAGGTGGGTAAGACAACGCTCATCCGCTCGCTGATAAAGCACTACACCAAACACAACATTCCAGACGTCAAGGGACCCATCACTGTTGTCGCGCTGGGTTTGAGAGACGTGAAACCTCATCCATCTCCTTCCACTGTGTCTCCTCCCCCCCCCCCCCCCCCCCCCCCCCCCCCCCCCCCCTTCTCGCACCGGCAGGTGGGTAAGACAACGCTCATCCGCTCGCTGATAAAGCACTACACCAAACACAACATTCCAGACGTCAAGGGACCCATCACTGTTGTCTCAGGTGGGTTACCACCACCACACCACCGCCTCTGTTGTCTCAGGTGGGTTTCCACCTCCACACCACCGCCTCTGTTGTCTCAGGTGGGTTACCACCACCACACCACCGCCTCTGTTGTCTCAGGTGGGTTTCCACCACCACACCACCGCCTCTGTTGTCTCAGGTGGGTTACCACCACCACACCACCGCCTCTGTTGTCTCAGGTGGGTTACCACCACACCACCGCCTCTGTTGTCTCGGTGCTTTATTATCACACTGCCTCTGTTGTCTCAGGTGTGTTGCCTAAACCACCTCTGTTGTCTCGGCTCAGGTGGGTTTCCATCACCACCTCTGTTGTCTCAGGTGAGTTTTCACCACCGTCTCTGTTATCCCAGGTGAATCTTTGCTTTCATATCTGCTGTACCTTCTCCACACTCCCCTTCCTAATTCTTTCCATTTCCCCTATTTACCCTTCCTTATCCAGGCAAGAAGCGGCGTCTGCTGTTCATAGAGTGCAGCAACAACGTGCATGCCATGTTGGATGCCCTTACCCATCTTCACTCAACCCTCTTCTCTCCTCCGTTTATGCCCTTACCCCCTCTCAGGAAAGAAGCGGCGCCTGCTGTTCATAGAGTGCAGTGGCAGCGTGCACGCCATGCTGGATGCGGCCAAATTTGCAGACCTCGTGCTGCTGCTCATAGACGGCAGCTTCGGATTCGAAATGGTGGGTGTGCCTGTATGTCTATACATGTGTGTGTGTGTGTGTGTGTGTGTGTGTGTGTGTGTGTGTGTGTGTGTGTGTGTGTGTGTGTGTGTGTGTGTGTGCATGCTGCGTGGTGGGATGGGGAGGGTGTGTATGAGCGTGCATGCCATGTTGGATGCGGCCAAGTTCGCTGACCTCGTGCTGCTGCTCATCGACGGCAGCTTCGGCTTTGAGATGGTGGGTGCGTCTGCACGTCTGTATGTCTCTGTGTGTGTGTGTGTGTGTGTGTGTGTGTGTGTGTGTGTGTGTGTGTGCATGCTGTGTGGTAAGAGGGCGAGTGTGTGTGTGAGTGGGCACGCCATGCTGTGATGTGGCCAAGTTCACAGCTGACATCGTGCTGCTGTTGATCGATGGCAGCTTTGGCTTCGGGATGGTGTGTGCGTGCGTGCTCACCTCACATCACACACCTGCATGGCTTCAGAGACCCACGCAACCATTCTTGGTATGAAAACTAGGTTTTCATCCCTGCAATCTCTCCTCTCCTCTTCCCCCTCTCAACCACCCTCATTCTGCTCCTCTTCCTCGCACAGGAGACCTTTGAGTTCCTGAACATGCTGCAGGTGCACGGCTTCCCCAAGGTCATGGGCGTGTTGACTCACCTGGATGGATTCAGAGACCCGCGCAAGCTGAAGAAGACTAAGAAAATCCTCAAGCACCGCTTCTGGACTGAGATCTACGACGGGGCGAAGCTGTTTTACTTATCAGGGCTCATTCATGGCAGGTGAGTGAGGAGGGCTGCTTTTGGTTCGCTAGTTGCGCATGTGGTGTGTGTATGCTGAGTTGAGGGGATCACACCTCCAAGCTCAGGGAGACCAAGAAGACCCTCAAGCACCGCTTCTGGACCGAGATCTACGACGGGGCGAAGCTGTTCTATTTGTCAGATGAGGGTCTCAGTCGCTGGCTCATGCACGGCAGGTGAGACTTCCTGGTCGCTGGCTCACATGCTATGCTTACGGCTCTTTGTCCCTCAACCACAGCTTCGGGAGCAAGCAAGATCTACGACGGGGCCAAGCGGTTCTACGGTCTACCCCTCAGGGCTCTTTCATTCCATGCTTGGTTGGTTGGGGAGACGAGGCCTGCTTCTGGGTCCTGGGTGAGTGTGTGTGTGTGACGCGTCTGTAGATAGGTAAGTCTCATCATGCGTCTCATGCTCCCTTCTTGTCCCCCGTTCATTCATACAACCTCTCAGGTATCCGAAACGCGAGGTGCTGAATCTGGCTCGGTTTATCTCCTGGGGAACGGGTCACTTGCTATGTGGTGGCCGATTGTGTGGAGTGAATTGAATGGGTTCTGGAGTGAAGTGAATGGGTTCTGGCCTGCTGCTCTGGCCTGCTGCTCTGTCTGTGCCTGCTCTGCTCACTCCTTTCCCCTCGCCTCGCCCTCCCTGCATAACGCCCAGGTACCCCAAGCGCGAGGTGCTGAATCTGGCGCGCTTCATCTCAGTTGCCAAGTTCCGCCCTCTCTCCTGGCGAACAGCTCACGGCTATGTGGTGGCCGATCGTGTGGAAGATCTGACGGACACGGAGGAGGTTCGGAGAAACCCTAAATGCGATCGGACGGTCGCGATTTACGGGTACTTGCGCGGGTGCAATTTGAAGCAGGGCTTTAAGGTGCACATTGCTGGGGTGGGTGACGTGGCGGTGGAGAGTATTACGCAGCTGCCCGACCCCTGCCCACTGCCCGGGGAGAAAAAGAAGCGGAGTTTGAACGAGCGGGAGAAGCTGCTTTATGCGCCGATGGCTGATATAGGGGATATACTGTACGATAAAGATGCGGTATATATTAATATTCCGGATCACCAGGTGCAGTATTCTAAGGTTGAGGAGAAGGAAAGGGGAGGAGGGAAAGAGGAGGATGAGGAGTGGTCTGATGAGGGAGAGGGGGGTGAGGGGGGGAAGAGAGAGGAAGATGACGATGAGGAAGAGGAGGAGGAAGAGGAGGAGGGGGAGGGGAAAGGGAAGGGAGGGAAAGGGAAGGGAGGGAAAGGGAAGGTGGGGGGTGGAAAGCAGAAGGATGAGGGCGAGGAGATGGTGAAAACTCTGCAGGCTGCTGATGTGGCGGTCGATGATAAGCTGAAATCGAGCGCGATCTCGCTGTTCAAATGGACGGCCCCGATTCGAGATGTGAGCGAGGTGGAGGGAGGGATGGAGGAGGGAGGGAGGGAGGAGGAGATGGGTGGGGAGGAGGAGGATGGAGAGGGGAGTGATGAGAATGAGAGTGAGGGAGACGAGGAGGAGGAGGATGAGGATGGGGGGGAAGAGGGGGAGGAGCAAACTGGACTGAAGGAGGAGAGGAGGAGAGATGCAAAGGGAAGGATGAGGCGTGCTGTGGTGTTTGAAGGAGTTGATGATGATAATGAGGAGGATGAGGAAGATGAGGAGGAGGAGGAAGATGAGGAGGAGGATGATGATGATGGAGAGGAGGAGGAAGAGGGTTGGGAGCTAGAAGAGGAAGGAAAGGAGGGAGAGGATATGGAGGAGGAAGATGAGGAAATGGATGAGGAGGAAGGTGAAGAAATGGATGAGGAGGAAGAGGAAGAGGAGGAGGAGGAGGAGGAGGAGGAAGAGGAAGAAGAGGAGGAGGAGGAGGAGGAAGAGGAAGAAGAGGAGGAGGAGGAAGAGGAAGAAGAGGGGGAAGATCAAAAAGAGAAGGAAAAGGAGGAGGATGGTGTGAAAGAGCCAACGAGGGAGCAGCTTGAGAAGTGGGCTGATAGGGAGGCCATGGAGAATGACGGAACGGATTCTGAAGAAGATGAGGAGGAGGAGGATGGGGACGGGGAGGAGGAGGAGGAGGAGGAGGAGGAGGAGGAGGATGGAGGGAAGGTGGTTGGCTCGAGAAAAGATTTTGTGCAGGCTGAGACAGGGGCAGCTGCGGTCAAGTGGAAGGAAGGTTTGGCTGCCCGGGCAGCCAAAATGTTTTCGCGAAAGCTGAGCCTGATGGAGCTGGTTTACGGGCAGAAGGGCGGAGGCGGCACACACGGTAAAGGGAAGGGGTTTGGGAAAGGAGCTGGTGGTGAGGGAAGTGAGGAGGAGGAAGAGGAAGGGGATGAGGAAGAGGAAGAGGAGGAGGAGGAGGAGCTTTTTCGGCCAAGGAGGAAGCATCAAGACGGTTCATCCTCCTCTTCTCAAGCTGTACTCTCAGACGACATAGATGCGGAGGACTGTGTGCGAGTGCGTCCAGATGCAATGAACCTGGCGCAGTGGGATGATCCCGAGGTGGTTGAGTCCCTGAGGGACCGGTTTGTGACTGGGAACTGGTCCAAGGCTGGTGAGAGGCGGCGCAAGGGGGGGGCGAAGGCGAAGAAAGGCGGGGATGGGGAGGGGGGGAGTGATGGGGAGGAGGATGGGGATGGGGAGGAGGATGAGGAGGAAGATGTGTTTGGGGATTTTGAGGACTTGGAGACAGGGGAGAAGTTTGGACCTGGGAGGGAAGGGGAGGGGGAAGCAGGAGGGGGAGGAGGAGGGGGAGGAGGGGCAGGGGGAGGGAAGATGAGTGAGGAGGAGAGGGAGAAGGCGGAGGCAGAGGAGAGGCGGCTAAAGAAGCTTGCTCTTCGTGCCAACTTCGATTCCAAATATCCTCTCATATGACAGTTTTTTGCCTCATGAACCATGTTGTAACTCTGTGTTATTCTCTCTCCTGTTACTGAGATTGCCTTCAGAGGTCGAGGTTTTTTTTTTTTTTTTTTTTTTCACAAAACCGGTTTCCCTTAACCATCTCCTTCCACCCAATCCTCTCTCCCTCCATCTTCCTGCCCTTCATCTTCCCTCCCTCCATCTTCCTGCCCTTCATCTTCCCTCCCTCCATCTTCCTGCCCTTCATCTTCCCTCCCTCCATCTTCCCTGCACCCTGCTGTTACTTATTTTTCCATACTCTCTTCTTCCTTGGTTCCTTTGTCCTTCCCTCTCTTTCCTATCATCCCCTCTTGTGCTACCTTCCTGGACCCCCTCGCACCCCCCTTTCCCATTCTTCTCTCCCTCTCCCCTTTTTCCCTCCCTCTCTTAACTTTTCCCTTTCTTCTGTAAACTGGCGTGTTAATGTTTGATTGATATTGGATCACGTTGAGAGGGGAGGAGGACGAGGAGGAAGGAGGGGAGGATGGGGAAGGGAAGGAGGGTGAAGGCAAGAAGTTTCCCGGAAGGGATCCCGAGGAGAAGGACTACATCGATATCGTGAGTGACAATTGACAGGTCTTGTGTGACTATACATGTGTGTCTGTACGTGTGTGACTATACATGTATTAGTGCGAGTAATAACATAGGACAGGGAACAGGGGTGGGAGCTTCGGCTCCCACAAGGGGGTTAATGGTTTGCCGTCACCTCTTACCGCTGTTAACATCTTTCCCTCCCTCCTGTTGCTACTGCGGTTCACAACTCCTCCGCTTGCTGTTCCTTCCTCTGTCCCCCACAATCCCTCCAGTTGTAGGGGCAGCTGGAAGCAAGTAAGCAGCGGATGGAAGCTGCTCTAGCAGAGGTGGACGAGGCAACACGGGTAGCAATGGAGGGCTGCTGCTGCTGACAACTCTCCCTCCCCTTGCTGCCCCTCCCCTCCCTGTCCGCCCCTCCAGTTGAAGGAGCAGCTGGAGGCGAGGAAGCAGAGGACAGAAGCAGCACTGGCTGAAGTCGACGAGGCCACCCGCGTGGCAATGGAGGGCTTCCCAGTGGGGGCGTACCTGCGCCTGCTGTTCCGCGCACTGCCAGGAGAATTCATGCAGCATTTCGATCCAAGGGTCCCAGTCCTTGTGGGAGCCGTTCCTCCCACAGAAGAGACACTCGGATATCTCAGGGTGAGTGGGATGGGGAGAGTGTTTTTTGAGAATTCTCAAAAACTCCCTGCAACGTCAGGGTGAGTGGATGGGGAGGAGAGAGTGTGGGTGGCGGGGGGGGGGGGGGGGGGGCGTACCTGCGCCTGCTGTTCCGCACTCTACCTGGGGAGTTCGGGTTATGAGACGACTTTTGAGGCGCCTCAAAAGTCTACCTGGGGAGTTCAAAAGTGCTCCACTTTGCTTTTGAGAATTCTAAAAAATCATCAAAGGTGAGAATTTTCAAAAGCGGCTCAGATTTGGGGGCGTACCTGCGCTTGCTGTTCCGCTCTCTACCTGGGGAGTTCATGCTCCACTTTGACCCGCGGGTTCCTGGTCTCGTGTGTAGTGAGGGTGTTTTTGAGACGTCTCAAAAACACCCTCACTACACGTGGCTCTCTACCTGGGGAGCTCATGCTCCACTTTGACCCGCGGGTTCCTGTTCTCGTGGGGGCTGTGCCGCCCACTGAAGAGACATTGGGGTAACTCGGGGTGAGGGGATGGGGTGAGGGGATGGGGTGAGGGGATGGGGTGAGGGGATGGGGTGAGGGGATGGGGTGAGGGGATGGGGTGAGGGGATGGGGTGAGGGGATGGGGTGAGAGAATGGTGGCAGGCAGTTGAAGGTGTCTGCGCCTGCTGTTCCTGACCCTCCCTCCCCTTTTTCCGCACTTCCTCTCTCTTGTCCCCTCCTTCCTCTCACCAGGGTGGCGGCGCTTCCAGTCGCTGCCCGTGTTTGCCATGGAGGACAGACAACATTGGACAGACAACATGACAACAGTGGGCAGCACACGCCCTTTCCTCTCTTATCCCCTGCCTACCTCCGCCTCCATCTCACCCTGCAGGTGCGCCTCAAGAAGCACCGGTGGCACCGGAAAGTACTGAAAACGCGCGACCCTCTGGTGCTCTCAGTGGGGTGGCGGCGCTTCCAGTCCGTGCCCGTGTTTGCCATGGATGGAGGACAGCAACGACCGGCACACACCATCTCCCCTCCCCACTACCTCTCTTCCTCCCTCCCTCGCTTCCAGTCCGTGCCCATGTTTGCTATGGAGGACAGCAACGACCGGCACACACCGTCTCCCCTCCCCACCACCTCTGTTCCTCCCTCCCTCGCTTCCAGTCCATGCCCGTGTTTGCTGTGGAGGACAGCACCCCTCAACTGCCCCTCTCTCTCTCCCCCCCCCCTCACTCCAGGTGCGTCTGAAGAAGCACAGGTGGCACCGGAAAGTACTGAAGACCCGGGACCCTCTGGTCCTGTCAGCGGGGTGGCGGCGCTTCCAGTCTGTGCCCGTGTTTGCCATGGAGGACAGCAACGGGCGGCACCGGTTGATCAAATACACGCCCGAGCACATGCACTGCCTCGCTGTCATGTGGGCGCCGCTGCTGCCGCCCAACACTGGGCTGCTGGCGCTGTCCACTGGTGCAGCTAGTGGTAACAGCAAGCAGGTATGCGGCATGGCGTGAGGTGGCATGAACTGAGAGGCCCATAAAGTGCACCCTCGAGAGAGCACATGCACTGCCTGGCCGTCATGTGGCCGCCCCTGCTTCCACCCAACATGCATTCTACCTTATTCTACCGCATTGTACCACATGCTCTCCCAGGCATCTTTCCGCATCAGCGCCACAGGGGTGGTGTTGGAGCAGCAGCAGTCAACCCAGGTGGTGAAGAAGCTGAAGCTGGTGGGCACGCCCGTGAAGATCTCTCATGCTCTACCCATTCCACCCCATTCCACCGCATTCAACCCCATTCTACCCCATCCCACCGCCTTTTACCCAGGCATCTTTCCGCATCAGCGCCACAGGAGTGGTGTTGGAGCAGCAGCAGTCAGCCCAGGTGGTGAAGAAGCTGAAGCTGGTGGGCACGCCCGTGAAGATCTCTCATGCTTCACCCATTTCTACTGCATTCCACCCCATTCTACCTTGTTCTACCCCATCGTACCGCATTCTACCACATTCTACCCAGGCGTCCTTCCGCATCAGCGCCACAGGCGTGGTGTTGGAGCAGCAGCAGTCAGCGCAGGTGGTGAAGAAGCTGAAGCTGGTGGGCACGCCCGTGAAGATCTCTCATGCTCTACCCATTCCACCCCATTCCACCGCATTCAACCCCATTCTACCCCATCCCACCGCCTTTTACCCAGGCATCTTTCCGCATCAGCGCCACAGGAGTGGTGTTGGAGCAGCAGCAGTCAGCCCAGGTGGTGAAGAAGCTGAAGCTGGTGGGCACGCCCGTGAAGATCTCTCATGCTTCACCCATTTCTACTGCATTCCACCCCATTCTACCTTGTTCTACCCCATCGTACCGCATTCTACCACATTCTACCCAGGCGTCCTTCCGCATCAGCGCCACAGGCGTGGTGTTGGAGCAGCAGCAGTCAGCGCAGGTGGTGAAGAAGCTGAAGCTGGTGGGCACGCCCGTGAAGATCTCTCATGCTCTACCCATTCCACCCCATTCCACCGCATTCAACCCCATTCTACCCCATTCCACCGCCTTTTACCCAGGCATCCTTCCGCATCAGCGCTACAGGCGTGGTGTTGGAGCAGCAGCAGTCAGCCCAGGTGGTGAAGAAGCTGAAGCTGGTGGGCACGCCCGTGAAGATCTTCCGACACACAGCCTTCATCAAGGACATGTTCTCCTCCCAGCTTGAAGTCGCACGGTTTGAAGGGGCGGCTGTCCGTACGGTGTCAGGAATCCGCGGGCAAATCAAGAAGGTACGGCCCGGTCTGGATGGGTTCTTTTCGGTAATGAGGGGGAGGTGGGCACGCCAGTGAATTTCTTCCGCCACACCGCATTCATCAAGGGCATGTTCTCCTCTGCTCTTCCGCTATGAGTGAAGATCCTTGGGACTGATCTTGAAGTTGCACTGTCTGAAGGGCCGGCCGTGAGGACTGTTTCACGCATGCGAGGGCAGATAAAGAAGGTAGGTGCCTTCAAGTTCGAGAGGAGGTGACTTCTACCTCCCCCTCCCCTCTCCTCCTCCCTTCTGCTCTCTCCTTGTTCCCACTCCCCGCTCTCCACCTGTTTCCCTTCTCCCATCTGCGTCGCTTTTGAGAATTCTCAAAAGCACCTGTTTCCCTTCTTCTGTCTGCCCTCCTCTCCTCTCCATCTCCTCTCTCTCACCTTCCCCTCCCCCTCTCTCACCCCACCAGGCTCTAAAGGAAGCACGGGCAAGGCCCAGAGGGCAGCGTGAAGATGCGCCTGTGAGGACAAGATTCTGATGAGCGACATTGTGTCCCTGTGCGCCTGGGTCAAGGTGGCCGTGCCCAAGCTGGTGGTGGGAGGGGTTGGTCAACGTGACCCTGCTCCTCTCCTCCCTCGCTTGTCTACCTCCCCTCTCCCGTCTTCTGACCCGTCTCTCCTCCTCCTTCCCCCCACTCCCCCCTGCCTTGCACACACCAGGCTCTGAAGCACGGGCAAGGCCCAGAGGGCAGCGTGCGGTGCGCCTTTGAGGACAAGATTCTGATGAGCGACATTGTCTTGCTGTGCGCCTGGGTCAAGGTGGCCGTGCCCAAGCTGGTGGTGCAGGACCAATGTGACTGTGCCCCTCCCTCCCCTCCCTATTTCTTCCACCTATTCTGCCCCTCTCTCACCGTTTCTCCTCTCCTTTCCCCTCTCCCTATATCCCTCTGTTCCTCTCCCCCCATTTCCTTCATGATCTCCCCCAAACTAGGCTTTGAAGCATGCCCAGGGCCCAGAGGGCACCGTGCGATGCGCCTTTGAGGACAAGATTCTGATGAGCGACATTGTGTTCCTGCGCGCCTGGGTCAAGGTGGCCGTGCCCAAGCTCACAAGGTGCACCCCGTCTGCACGCCACGCTCTCAAGGTGGCTGGGGGTTAAAGGAGATAAGGGATCCACGCATGGCCCTGCCCGCCCTTCTCTCTCCTCATTCTTCTGAATCCCTCCCTCTCTCCCCTTCCTCTTTCCCCCACATCCCTCCTTTCCCTGCCTTCTTTCTTCCAGGCTCTGAAACACGGGCAGGGACCTGAAGGAAGTGTGCGTTGCGCCTTTGAGGATAAGATTCTGATGAGCGACATTGTGTTCCTGCGCGCCTGGGTCAAGGTCACTGTGCCCAAGCTCTACAACCCCGTCTGCACGCTGCTCCAATCGCCTGGCGCCACGTGGCAAGGCATGAAGACTGTGGCGGAGCTCAGGCGGGAGCAGCAGCTGCCCATCCCCGTTAACAAGGACTCCCTTTACAAGGTACTGTGCTGTTAACTAGGACTCCCTTTACAAGGTACTGTGCTGTTAACAAGGACTCCTGTTACAAGGTACTGTGCTGTTAACAAGGACTCCCGTTACAAGGTGCTGTGCTATTAACAAGGACTCCCTTTACAAGATTATGTGCTGTTAACAAGGACTCCCTTTACAAGGTACTGTGCTGTTAACAAGGACAACCTTTACAAGGTAATGTGCTGTTAACTAGGACTCCCTTTACAAGGTTATGTGCTCTTCAAGAAGGAGAATGTCATTTTGCTGTTCACATTGTCTCTTGTTTAGAACGAAACTATGCTGCTCATTCACGACAGTTTTCTACTCAGGTTTTGGGATGGATTGAAGAGTAAACCAGATACATTCTGCTCACATTCTGCTCCCCCACCCCCCTCAACACCCGCAATCCCCTCTTCCTCTTCCTGTCCTCTTCCTGTCTCCAAACCCCCTCTCATCTCTCTCAACCCCTCACAGCCCATCGAGAGGCGCCCACGCTCCTTCAACCCCCTCAAGATTCCCGCGAAGCTGCAGGCCGCTCTGCCCTTCTCCTCCAAGCCTAAGGATGAGGTTCGGCGCACAACACCGAGCCTGGAGCAGCAACGGCCGGCGGTGGTTATGGAGCCTCAGGAGAGGCGGCTGCACACTATGGTGCAGCAGCTCAACACCATCAAGAACCAAAAGGTACAGTAACACAGTGACATGATTGTATGATTATGTTATAGTATGTTGGTGATGGTACAGTGGTGGTGTATGAAGCATTGTGCGCCTAAGAAGCATTGTGATGGTTGTAGTACAATGGTGGTGAGCGGTGGTGTTGGAGTATGAAGTGGTGCGACAGCATTCTACGCTGTTGGTAGAGCTGGTTTCATAACAGCAAGCCACTCTGCGAAGAACTCCGTAAAAGCATGCTATGGTGAAGCAGCTCTACACAATCAACTATCTCAAGCTGCTGCTTCTATTCCCCTCACCAACCTATTCCCTTCATTATGCTGACTGTGTGTCCCCTGCCTTCCCTTCCATACTCTCGCTTGTGATGTGCCTCTCTTCTGCCGGTGATGCGCTCTCTTCATTCTTTGTGCAGGTGAAGAAGCGGAGAGAGACGACGCGCAAGAAGCGAGCGGAGTATGAGAAGCGAAAGGCAGCGGACGAGGAGGAGCAGAAGTACAGGAGGAGGGAAGAGAAGAGGGAGAAGTACAGGAAGGAGGCGAAGAGGAAGTTCGGCGGTGGTAGGGGTGGAGGTGATGATGCTGGGCCGCCTGGAAAGAGGGGTCGTGGTTTGCAAGCTGAGTAATGCTGTGTTTGACCTCTGGTGATGCGTGATTCAACCGCTGTTTTTTAGATTATACTGATAGATGATCTCTGATTCAAGGAACCGTTGAACACGGAGCAATTAATCATTGAAGAACTCAAATGATGATGCTTGTCACGATTGGACGAAAGGTGGATTATGTGCTGTAGCATTCGTCTCCAGTAACGAGGATGAGCGATTTTCTGCAGCAGCTGCGATGGCGCAGCCTTCTGCGCCCCTGTTGCGCTGGCTCACTCCGCTGGTTTGGCATCTGAGCGCTTGGCTCTGCTGGCTCGGAATTTTCCTGAACGGCCGCGATTCGCCGCACTTCTGCGCGAGTGTCACATCCAGCTCCTACTATTCGCTCAGCTTCGTCGAGTGTTTCTAATCTTGCCACGTATCCTGGTTACCCTGCTGAGCACAGCTGACTATCGTTATTTCATCCACGTGACGCTCAGCTGGCTGTTTTGTATTGGCGATTCCTCCTCAGTTGCGGCGAGCTTACGAAGCAAGGTTGGGCACATTTTCGCCCGCGATTGCCGCTCGCGTCAGCTAAAGCAAGATGGAACACAAAATGCGGACAGGTGGGACGCGTTTCGACGACAGCGCATTTTCGCGGAGGCAACGCAGCGAAGCGAAGCGCAATGTCGCCAAGGCAAGAAGCTGGGGGAGGCTACACCGTGGACGAGTGAACAAACGATCCGCATCCTCGAATTTCCCTCGCCACCGCAAACATGTGGCCCCCACCAAGGGGCGCCAGAACGCTTGCTTGTGATGGGATAAAAAGCGCTGGAACGCGTTCTAGGAACTTCACTACCTAGCTCACTCCCCAGAACCACCACTAAAAGCTCTACATTTTGTCAGCCAGCGCATTTTCCTTGCTGCTTCTCGCTCTCTTTCGCCAGCGCAAGCCGCTTGGTTGAGTGGGCTCCCTCTTTGTTTCATACGCCAAGGCTCAATTCGACCGTCGTCGGCCAGTCTATGGCCGTAGCCCGCGTGTACAGTCTGTTTGCTTCATCCCACGACAACAAGAACCAGCGAGCGAGTTCGCCTTTCTCCAAGCGATTCGACCACTCCGTGCGCCCCCTCTCCGAGCTTCGGTGCCGCTTAGAAGACCTCATACCGGACCAACGCGACCGTGTGCGCAACTTAAAGACCAATCATGGCTCCGTGTCGCTCGGCGAAACGACCATCGACATGGCTCTCGGCGGAATGCGCGGAATTAAAGGCCTAATCTGGGAGCCTTCCATCCTCGACGCAGACCTCGGAATTAAGTACCGCGGCCTGTCTATACCCGACTGCCAGCGCCTCCTCCCCTCCGCGATTCCCGGCGGCGAGCCGCTTCCCGAGGCGCTCTTATGGCTCCTAATCACGGGGGAGGTTCCGACGCCGCTTCAGGCAGCCTCTGTTACGGAGGAGCTGAGGCTGCGCGCGGCGAATGTGCCGGATCACGTGTTCACGGTGCTTCGCTCCCTCCCGAAGCACCTCCACCCCATGTCGCAGCTGTCTATTGGTGTAACGGCCCATCAGTCCACCAGCGAATTTGCCAAGGCTTATTCTTCCGGCTCCGTGCACAAGACTCATTACTGGGAGCCCGTGTACGAGGACGCGATGAACCTTATAGCGGGGATCCCGGTGATCGCGGCGTTTATCTACCGCCGGGTGTTCAAGGATGGGCGTATGATACCGGCTGATCCCACCCTCGATTACGCCGCGAATTTCGCGCACATGCTTGGATTCGACGACCCCGGGTTTTACGAGCTCATGCGGCTTTATTTGACGATTCACGCGGATCACGAGGGCGGGAATGTCAGCGCGCACACCACGCATCTCGTCGGCACGGCTCTTTCCGATCCCTACTTGGCGTATGCTGCTGGGCTGAATGGTCTGGCGGGTCCGCTTCACGGGCTGGCCAATCAGGAGGTGCTGAATTGGCTTCACGAAGTTCGCGAAGAGCTCGGCGAAGCCCCGACGAAGGAGCAGCTGGAGGGGTTCGTTTGGAAGACGCTCAAGGCGGGGAAAGTGGTGCCGGGTTTCGGACACGCGGTGTTACGGGTTACCGATCCGCGATACATTTCGCAGAGGGAGTTCGCACAGAAGCATCTGCCCGACGACCCGATGTTCCACCTCGTTTCTGACCTGTTCGACGTCGTTCCGGGTGTGCTGACGCAGACGGGGAAAGTCAGAAACCCGTGGCCCAACGTTGACGCGCACAGTGGAATTCTACTCGCGCATTATGGGCTTAACGAGTCAAACTCTTATACGGTGCTCTTCGGTGTTTCCCGCGCGATGGGCGTGCTGTCGCAGCTGATCTGGGACCGCGCCTTGGGATTGCCGATCGAGCGCCCCAAGAGCGTGACGATCAAGTGGCTGGAGGAGCACGGCGAAGCGGCGAAAGCTCGCGAGGCGGCGAAGGCTCGTGACCTGTCGGAGATGGTGGAAATGGTAGAGACTGCTTCAAGGCTGTAATGATGATATCGGGGCTTTGTTATCGGAGCTGTCATTGCACGGAAAGCAATCGTTATGGGCGGGCCTCAAGCTTTGCCACACCGGGTGCCACCTCTTCTTGCGCACAACCATTTTCGAGAACTTCCTCCGAACCTCTCGCGTTTTGTGTTAGCTTTCGGTTTCCTTGCTTTTCTTTTTCTTTTGCCTTCTTACCAGTTTCTTTGGACGCCCTGAATTGTGTTGTACAATAAAGTCAGGGTGGCTCCTGGTAGCGAGTCCCAGCAAGCACTGAAGCTGTGCTGCCAGAACCGCTTGCCCGGTTCGTTCTCCATTGTTGATTGCTCTCCATTGTAATGTCGTTTTGCTATAAAAAAAGGGAACGCATTTGCCGCTGATACAGGAGCACCAGTAGCTTACCTTCGTGAAGGGGAGATATGTGAATGGGAAATGTGCGTGCTGGTGATGGTGCGGGCGAAGGGAGGCGGGAGGGAGCCCCGGGAAGGGAGGAGGGAGGGGAGGATTGAAAGGTTTGCGAGGGATGCTGGAGATACGCGAAATGCTGAACGCACATTCCATTTCCGAGAGTGGAGACGAGGATGGTTGCGCGAAGGACCACATTGGGAGCGAAAAACGGGTCACACGATTCGCGCGGAAGAGCTCCCCCGCTACCTCTGCTTTGGCGAAGCAAAAGTTTTCGCTACGTGCCCCAGAAGGCAAAAGGATCCACATTTGGTCCCTCCCTGCATGTGTGGCGATGTGTGTTTTGTATCGGTTCTTACAGATTTCAGAGCGTTTGGGTCGGATGACCATTTTAAAAGTCCCACCCTAATATTTAGTTTGCGACACAATTGCTACCGAGCGGGCTTACATCGAGTAACTCTTACTGAGTGCCCTCTTTCATTACTCTGGTTACTAAATCATGGCAGACGCTATGGACATTGACGCGCCCGATTCGACCCGCAATGCAACGGCGACGTGTCCACCAGATCCCGCGGCGCCAAACGCGGGCGATTCGCCTCCGCAAACAGCGACGGCACACGAGCAACGAGAGCCACAGGAGGCGGACGACGCGGCAGATAAAGGATGCCCGGAGCGCGAGAGCTCGAGCCGCAGCAGCGAAGAAGACCTGGTCGTGTCGCTGACGCGGCGCGGGGAGGAAGGGACGCAGCGATTGGTCGAAGCCGCGGAAGGCGTGCTGTCCACGCTGAACCTCGTCATGTGCAACGGAGCTTTCTGGGAAGCTTCTTCTGAAACTGCAGGCGGTGGAAATGCAAGCTCCGAGCAACCACAGCAGCAGCAGCAGCAGCAGAGGCCAACCTTGGGATTGCCGCCGGATGCGGCAGCAGCAGCCATAGAGATGGCGCACCTTCGATACAAGAACATCTCATCAGAGCTCCGTTCCTTGCTTCTGCGGTTGCAGGAAGAGATGGAGAAAGGGACAAAGCAGGCCGGCCGGCCAGGGGACGACAGGGAAGGAACTCAACGAGCAGAGACCCAGAGGGTGGGCCAGGGCTCTGACCCAGGGTCTGCTGCTCCTGATGCAGCACCTGACCGTGCAGCACCTGAAGTAGCACCTGAAGTAGCACCTGAAGCAACACCCGAGTCGCCGTCTGTAGAGGAGTTGACTGCACGAGCAGCGATTCTGAGAAAGGTGCGAGTTCTGACTCAAACACTGAGGAGTAGACCAATAAGTAAGCCACTTCGGTATATTCAATCAAAATCGCAGGTTAGCCTTTAGAAAAGCCTGTGAGGGCATCTGACGAGGCAGCTGAATGCAGTCATGGGGCAATGGGGCATTGCTCTATGGATGCAGTCATGGGCAATGCAGTCAGCAGCTGAATGCAGTCATGGATGTTGGAAGATGGATGGTGGGTGGTGGGGGATGGATGATGAGTGATGCGTGATGGATGATGAGTGATGAGTGATGGATGATAAGTGATGCGTGATGGATGATGGGTGGTGGATGGCGGGCAATGGGTGATGTACAATGTATGATGCTATACTTCCTGTACATTCTCTCCTCCCCGCTCTCTCACTCTCTCCCATGCTGTAACAGCAAATTAGGAGGTGCAACGTGCGGCTGAGAGCAGCAATGGAGGCTCTGAGGGGGAAATCAGACAATGCCACTCTCACCCCCCTCTTCTGCTCCCCTCTGTGCACCTCCTGCATCGTATGAAATCCCAAATCGCTCTCCCCTTCCGTAACAGCAAATTAGGAGGTGCAATGTGCGGCTGAGAGCAGCAATGGAGGCGCTGAGGGGGATTCTGGATGACGTCACTCTCTTTCAGGCACCCCAACTGCTGCTGCTCTCGCAATCCTGATTGTCGAGCATGTACCGTACCTACCAGTATCATGCCACAAGTTCAGCCCTCTATGAATCACCCGCCTGCTTCTTAGGAACTACTGGCGGTGGTATGGTGTACATGTGGTGTACAATGATCAGTGAACTATGATCTTATTGGTAAACAAAGACATGCTGGTTACATAAAGCTGCAGAGTAGTTGAACCTTCTTTCTTGATATTACATGAATGTTTATCGTATATCATGAATGTTTATCATATATCATGAATGTCAAGTGACTCCCTCTCATTTTCCACCATGAAGCCACGACCCTTGCATCCATCACCTACCGTACTCTTCTTCCGCTCCCCATTTCCCATCAACGCCTCCTTCTCTTCCCCTCTCCCTTCCCCTGCAGCCTCCTTTCGCGCAGCCGCCGCGCCCAAATCCGACCCTGCCCGCTTCTTCTTGCTCTTAGATTTCCGCCACTTGAGATAAATCTGATAGCTCAACCCGGCAAACACCATCCCCACGCCAGAGCCCCTCAAACCCATCACCTACTCTTCTTCCTCTCTCCGTTTCCCATCAACGCCTCTTTCTCCTCCCCTGCAGCCTCCTTTCGCGCAGCCGCCGCGCCCAAATCCGACCCTGCCCGCTTCTTCTTGCTCTTAGATTTCCGCCATTTCAGATAAATCTGATAGCTCAACCCGGCAAACACCATCCCCACACCCGCCCACTGCTGCCCTGTGAGCGGGTTTCCGTTCCACACCGCCGAGATCAGAATACTCATGAATTTCCGGGTCGTCGTGATGGTGGTGTTCACCAGCGCGCCGAATTTGTTGATGGTCAGGAAAATAAAATTCTGCCCGACAGCGCCGCAGAGGCAGAAGAGGAGCACGTCCAGGGCAGCTTCGGGGTGCGTGCGGCAAAAGTTGATGGCTGCCGTGCCGCGGCCGCCCGGCCAGGCGAACATGTAGAGAGCCATGTAGAGTGCGCCCCATATGTTCATGCCCAGCATCAGATGGTACGTGGCTGTGAAGGGATACCTGCAAGGGGTTTGGGGCAATAGGGGAATGGGGCAATGGAGGGGCGATGCAGGAATAGGGGAATGGGGCAATGGAGGGGCGATGCAGGAATAGGGGAATGGGGCAATGGAGGGGCGATGCAGGAATAGGGGAATGGGGCAATGGAGGGGCGATGCAGGAATAGGGGAATGGGGCAATGGAGGGGCGATGCAGGAATAGGGGAATGGGGCAATGGAGGGGCGATGCAGGAATAGGGGAATGGGGCAATGGAGGGGCGATGCAGGAATAGGGGAATGGGGCAATGGAGGGGCGATGCAGGAATAGGGGAATGGGGCAATGGAGGGGCGATGCAGGAATAGGGTAATGGGGCAACGGAGGGGCGATGCAGGAATAGAGGAATGGGGCAACGGAGGGGCGATGCAGGAATAGGGGAATGGGGCAACGGAGGGGCGATGCAGGAATAGAGGAATGGGGCAACGGAGGGGCGATGCAGGAATAGGGGAATGGGGCAATGGAGGGGCGATGCAGGAATAGGGGAATGGGGCAATGGAGGGGCGATGCAGGAATAGGGGAATGGGGCAATGGAGGGGCGATGCAGGAATAGGGGAATGGGGCAATGGAGGGGCGATGCAGGAATAGGGGAATGGGGCAATGGAGGGGCGATGCAGGAATAGGGGAATGGGGCAATGGAGGGGCGATGCAGGAATAGGGGAATGGGGCAATGGAGGGGCGATGCAGGAATAGGGGAATGGGGCAATGGAGGGGCGATGCAGGAATAGGGGAATGGGGCAATGGAGGGGCGATGCAGGAATAGGGTAATGGGGCAACGGAGGGGCGATGCAGGAATAGAGGAATGGGGCAACGGAGGGGCGATGCAGGAATAGGGGAATGGGGCAACGGAGGGGCGATGCAGGAATAGAGGAATGGGGCAACGGAGGGGCGATGCAGGAATAGGGGAATGGGGCAACGGAGGGGCGATGCAGGAATAGGGGAATGGGGCAACGGAGGGGCGATGCAGGAATAGGGGAATGGGGCAATGGAGGGGCGATGCAGGAATAGGGGAACGGGGCAATGCGAACATGTAGAGAGCCATGTAGAGTGTGCCCCATATGTTCATGCCCAGCATCAGATGGAATGTGGCTGTGCACAGATACCTGCCAGGGCAATCGGGCAATGGGGCAATGGAGGGGTAATGTGGACAGATAGAGTGCTATACAGATTGTGAGGCGTTCTGAGTGGTATCAAGAACTCATCAAGCCCAGCTCACTCACTTGGCAGTGATGGAATCCCGAGTGCCTCACTTAATGGACGTTGTTGGATCCACCCATCCAGCCCCAGCCCAGCGCAATTGTGAGACATTCAGACGGGCCTTGGCTTTGGAGAACGTATTGAGACCAACTCACTCAACTGGTGGTGGGCCTCGGAAATCGACTCACTTGGCGGTGATAGAGTCTTGAGTGGCGTTGGTGAATCCGTCCAGCCCCAGGTTAAGGAAGCAGAGCGTGTATCCCAGGGGCGCGTTGGGGCTGGCCAGCTTGCTCATCGCCTTGCTGGAGCTCTACGGGAGGGTGGGGAAGAAGGGCAGTGGGAAGGGAAATGAGTAGGGACAGAAGTTGTTATTAGTAAACAGGTGGGCTGCGGAGGGAAATGAGTAGGGACAGAAGAGGAAGCAAGAAGAGCGAGTAGCCAAGAGGTGCGTTGGGGCTGGCGAGCTTGCTCATCACCTTGCTGGAGCTCTGTGGGCGAGTGGGGAGGGAGGGGATGTGTGCGGGCGTTTTGGGAAGATAAGGAAAAGAGGAGGGGTGGGGAGTGGGAAGTGGAGGAGGAGATGAGCAGGGGAGGAGTTTAAGGAAGAGAAGGGTGGACAGGGTGTGCTGCTTGTGGGGTGTGCTGCTTGTGAGGTGTGCTGCTTGTGAGGTGTGCTGCTTGTGGGGTGTGCTGCTTGTGGGGTGTGCTGCTTGTGAGGTGTGCTGCTTGTGGGGTGTGCTGCTTGTGGGGTGTGCTGCTTGTGGGGTGTGCTGCTTGTGGGGTGTGCTGCTTGTGAGGTGTGCTGCTTGTGGGGTGTGCTGCTTGTGAGGTGTGCTGCTTGTGAGGTGTGCTGCTTGTGGGGTGTGCTGCTTGTGAGGTGTGCTGCTTGTGGGGTGTGCTGCTTGTGGGGTGTGCTGCTTGTGGGGTGTGCTGCTTGTGGGGTGTGCTGCTTGTGAGGTGTGCTGCTTGTGGGGTGTGCTGCTTGTGAGGTGTGCTGCTTGTGAGGTGTGCTGCTTGTGAGGTGTGCTGCTTGTGAGGTGTGCTGCTTGTGAGGTGTGCTGCTTGTGAGGTGTGCTGCTTGTGAGGTGTGCTGCTTGTGGGGTGTGCTGCTTGTGAGGTGTGCTGCTTGTGAGGTGTGCTGCTTGTGAGGTGTGCTGCTTGTGGGGTGTGCTGCTTGTGAGATGTGCTGCTTGTGAGATGTGCTGCTTGTGGGGTGTGCTGCTTGTGAGGTGTGCTGCTTGTGGGGTGTGCTGCTTGTGAGGTGTGCTGCTTGTGGGGTGTGCTGCTTGTGGGGTGTGCTGCTTGTGGGGTGTGCTGCTTGTGGGGTGTGCTGCTTGTGAGGTGTGCTGCTTGTGAGGTGTGCTGCTTGTGGGGTGTGCTGCTTGTGAGGTGTGCTGCTTGTGAGGTGTGCTGCTTGTGAGGTGTGCTGCTTGTGGGGTGTGCTGCTTGTGAGGTGTGCTGCTTGTGGGATGTGCTGCTTGTGAGGTGTGCTGCTTGTGAGGTGTGCTGCTTGTGAGGTGTGCTGCTTGTGGGGTGTGCTGCTTGTGAGGTGTGCTGCTTGTGGGGTGTGCTGCTTGTGAGGTGTGCTGCTTGTGAGGTGTGCTGCTTGTGGGGTGTGCTGCTTGTGAGGTGTGCTGCTTGTGGGGTGTGCTGCTTGAGAGGTGTGCTGCATGTGAGGTGTGCTGCTTGTGAGGTGTGCTGCTTGTGGGGTGTGCTGCTTGTGAGGTGTGCTGCTTGTGAGGTGTGCTGCTTGTGAGGTGTGCTGCTTGTGAGGTGTGCTGCTTGTGGGGTGTGCTGCTTGAGAGGTGTGCTGCATGTGAGGTGTGCTGCTTGTGAGGTGTGCTGCTTGTGGGGTGTGCTGCTTGAGAGGTGTGCTGCATGTGAGGTGTGCTGCTTGTGGGGTGTGCTGCTTGTGGGGTGTGCTGCTTGTGGGGTGTGTTGCTTGTGGGGTGCGTGTGGTTTGTGTGGTGTGTGTGGTTTGTGTGGTGTGTGTGGTTTGTGTGGTGTGTGAAAGCCTTAACGTTGCCAAGCATTACCGCATGCTAAAGCGACAAGATGAAGCACGAGTGTTGAACAGGAAACTACCCACCTTAAAGAGGGCGAACATGGAAACTCCCCCGGCGACAAGCAGGGTGCAGATGTACTCTGGAATGGTGTAGCGCACCCCATAGATGATGGCCCCTGCTAGCATCACTGGGAGTATGCGAGAGTGTGGGTGGGAGTGTGGTGGGAGTGTGGTGTGAGTGTGGCGTGAGTGTGGTGTGAGTGTGGTGTGAGTGTGGTGTGAGTGTGGTGGGAGTGTGAGTAAACAGGAGGGGCAGCGGGAGGGAAGCAGATGTGTAGCGAATCAGATGTACTCTGGAATGGTGTAGCGTACCCCATAAATGATGGACCCCGCTAGCATCATGGGAGTGTGCGAGAGAGTGTGTGGGAGTACATGGAATGGAAGTGCATAGGAGTCTTAGGGGGTGCATGGGAGTGTAAAGGAGTGTAAAGGAGTGTAAAGGAGTGTATGCGAGTGGCACACACTCAGATCTTTCCCCAAAAGTGGGGAGGCAGAAGCACATCTTGCATAAAATTGATTTTTTCACAAACATCCACATATGGGTGGTGGTGAACACATACCTGGAATCATCTTGGATAACTTGACCAGGAGCTGATAGAAAGGACGATAGATTGTTTGGGTGCCTCAAGGATCGTCTCAGCATACAAGGTGGTGTGGCGGAGCCTAAAAAATGTCTCACATACCTGGAATAGTTTTGAGGGGCCTCAAAACTAGGTGGTGGTGTGGTGCGCCTCAAAAGTGTCTCACATACCTGGAATCATCTTGGATGACTTGGCCAGGACATGATAGAAAGGACAACAGATTGTTTGGGTGCCACAAAAATCGTCTCAGCTTACAAAATGGTGCGGTGGGCACATACCTGGAATCATCTTGGATGACTTGGCCAGGACCTGAAAGAAAGGACGATAAAGGGTGACAAATAGAGTTACAGGACGAATGCAATGAATAATTCATTCAAAAGAGATCCATGCAGGGTGCACAAGGGTGGGAGCAGCAAGATAAGCTTTGAAGAGGATAGGAGTTGTCTTAGGAACGAATCAGACATTGGCAAGGAATTTGAGCAGGATATGACAATTTTTTAGTCGACTCAAAATTCGAATTCGAGCAGGATATAAGACGTATTCGAGGGGAAACAGCCAATAAGTGGTAGCGCACCTGTGCGGGGTAGGAGATATATTTAAGAGCGATGAGACCGCACGCCGGGCCGATGGTGTTGGTAACACCGGGCAGCCAGTAGGACAGCAGTGGCGGCTGTACTGTCATGTTGGTCCCCAGGATGTTGAGCACTGGAAGGGAAGGGAGAGGAGCGCGAGAGACGAGAGAGAGGTGAAGATGCGGAGGAGAGTGAGACGAGAGTGAGAAGGTGAGATGGCAGCCAGTAGGACAGCAGTGGTGGCTGCACTGTCATGTTGGTCCCCAGGATGTTGAGCACTGGAGGAGGGGGAGGAGAGGGGAGGGAGACAAGAGAGGAGAGCGAGAAGCGAGTGAGGGGTTGGGATCTCATACCAGCAGGCCGATAGGAGAATAGTGGTGGTTGGCTCTATTGTCATGCTACCAAGCCATTAGAAAAGGAAGCTGCATACTGGAAGAAGAGAGACAGGGAGGAGTGTACGCACTGAGGAAAGCGACGATGGAGCAGCAGACGAGGCTCTGCGCGAGGTTGAGGAAAGCCAAGTTGAGAGAGAGGGAGGTAGAGAGGGAGGGGGGGAGTGAGGTAGAGCGGTAGTGAGGGAGGTGGGTAGGTAGGTATGCGACGCACTGAGGAAGGCGACGACGGAGCAGACGAGGCTCTGCGCGAGGTTGAGGAACGCCAGGTGCTCGAACCGCCGGTTGTCCGGCGCGAACCGCTTCGTAGAGCTGAATAGAGTGAGGGATGAGGGAAGAGCGAAGAGGGGGGGAGGGAGAGAGAGAGCGGGATAAGGGGAGAGCACAACAGGTGCTCGAACCGCCTGTCGTCTGGCGCGAATCGCTTCGTGGAGCTGAAAGGAGTGAGGGAAAAGGGGAGGGAGCGAAGGAGAGGGAAGGAGACACTGCAAATCGCGAACGGCAAACTCCGTAGGAAAACTGGTTATTCATTCGGTTCTTTAAATATCAACCATGGACGCCTCCTAATTGAAGCGAGTAAGCCTTGGACTGAACACATCGCGCTCGAAGTTCACGAGGATTTCGAATCGCTGTGCGCAATTGCTCTCGTGCAGAATTCAACACTCGCTGTGCGAAACTACTGTCTTCTTCACGAAAGGGGGTAACGACGAACTCTCGGGAACCTCGACGGTGATGACAGCCATGCGTGATGAATTCACGGGATTAGCGATCATTGTGCGATTATGCAACATCCAGCGGCTAATTTTTTCAGAATCAACCGTCCTGTGGTATCCAACGGCTAGAAACTACCAGAATCAGCCGTCTGTCAATATCGAACGGCTAAGGAGTTCCAGGTTTTGCGATAGTAATTACAGATTCTCCTGGACGACGCCTTGCGTGAGGTACGCCGCCCAGATGCCGCTGACGCAGACGGCGAGAAGCAGAGCTCGTTTCCACGCGGCGGTCGACCCATGGCCCAGATGGCTGGCAGCAGCCATTGCTGATCAGTGAATGATCTTTGGGTCGCTCGGATCGCACGGAAAAGTGAATGCTTCTCCACTTCAATATTTTCTATACATGTACAGAGCTAACGGTAAATGTCTGGATGGTGTAGTCGGTTATCACGCCAGTCTCACACACTGGAGGTCTCCGGTTCGATTCCGGGTTCAGACAGATTTTTTGCCTTTCTCTATGGCTGACTGATTGGTCGTTGGTAGCTTCACACTTGGATTGAATGAGAATTTCTGAACTTCAAATCTTTCTAGCAGCTTCCAGACTTTGTTCCACATAATGACTGCTGCATGTGAAGCTTTTCCCTTCATTGCAAATGGATTCTGCACACAGCCTTCCGCATCTCTATAGCTTTATGACATAAAGAAGACTCCACTCATATTTGTACGCATGCACAGTATGAACAATTAAAACAATCCTTCGTTGCTTTGGAATTAGGCGGCAGCAGAGGCCACATAATCGATTGCTTCCTTGCAAATGCAGGTCATGCTGGCTTCAGGACCATACACCTGTGAACATGCTCCAGCACAGCAGTGGGGAAAATGGAGTGAGAAGGGTTGCATGCACAATTAGTGTCTTCGGGAAATTGCAAGCACATTCACAAATCATGCCATCCTTGGTTCACACGCACCTGGATGGGAATGCCAATCTCAGTGCCCAGTTCACGCATCTTCTCAAGCCCCTTGAGGTAATTGGGCCCTCCACGACGCACAAAGATGCGCACCTTGGCATCCTTGATCTGCCGCTCCTGGTGGAGGGATGATGGAGAGTGGAGTGTGCGATGGAGTGAGAGACACGCACACATGAAGATGCGCACCTTGGCATACTTGATCTGCCACTCCTTGTGGAATGATGATCGATGGGAGGGATATGGGGCATGGGCATGTCGAGCGAGTGAGGGAGAGACACAAAGATGCGCATCTTGGCATCCTTGATCTACCGCTCCTAGTGGAAAGACAAGGGAGGTTGGGATATGAGGTATGAGCATGTCATGGACAGAAAGGCATGGAGCAATGGCGAACTTAAACACAATTCATCCATGACGCCTCACGCTTACCTTCTCTCGGAGCGCCCGGATGATGCCAGAAAATGTCTTGGCCACGTCTGTGAAGTTCGCAATGCCTCCACCAATCAGCAGCGCGCGTGGACGGCCATCGGGATTGGCTGTGGCGCACTGAAGATGGATAAGGGCGCGGGGTGGGGTGCGGGGAGGCGAGAGGAGGGGCGCATGGGAAGCAGCAGTGTTACGCACAAATGGAGTTGCTGACATGCCCTGTTTAAAGGCAGGCAGCGGTGTTAAGAAGAGGCAGGGGAATAACTTCTGAGGAACAAGAAACATGAACCATGATGGCATGCTAATTCACGTTACATGAACTGTGAACCCCAAAGCGCCTTTGTTTGCAAAACGATTCTCTGCAAGACTCACGTCAATCAAAATGCGAGCATACTGCAGCGTCTCCTCCTCGTTGGGCGCTCCACTGTACTCTGCATAGTTGCCCAACTCCTGTGCATAGCCCAAGTCCCCAACCTGCACGCCCCACAGAAAGTCACAGCGCATATGAACCGAACCAGGGGACAGAGCAAAGGCGATATTCAAGTGCAAGCTGTGCAGGAGTGGACGAGAAGAGGATGGAAACACACACGCTACCGGCACAAATTTTCAGGTGCTAAGAAAAAAATGACAGTGGGACAGTGGCGTACAGTGTCGGCATAAATGACGGACGCCCCTCCTCCTGCCACCATGGTCCAGATGCGGCCCTTGGGGTTCAGAATGGTGAGCTTGAGAGATGCTCCTGTCTGATGGAGGAGAGGGGAGTGAAGATGCACGAGAGAGAGAGGGAGAGGGAGGGAGAGGGAGGGAGAGGGAGATGGCGACGGCTGAGTTTAAAGACAGATGAGATGGGGGAAGGGAGAAAGGGGGAGAACAGAGGAGCCGCAAAAAGGAGGGATGTTGAGCAGGCTCGGAACTTTTGAAAGACACTATAGGGCATTGACTGGCCCACCCACGGTCACACTGACGCCCCCACCCACGGTCACACTGACAGGCCCACCCACGGTCACACTGACAGGCCCACCCACGGTCACACTGACAGCCCCACCCACAGTCATACTGACAATGACAAGTGGAATAGTCACATATACTAGAAGACCCCCCACGCTCACCTTCTCATCCATCTCGTGAATCCTCTCCTCCGAAGGTGTCATGGTGCGGCCAAAGGGAAGAGGGAACTCCACATCGCCCCACCTGCACCAGTGGGCAGTGCAGGGGGTTTGGGGAGACAGGGATCACTACTTAGAGTCAACTAGAAAAGCACTTCTGGGTCATTTCAGAACTTCACATTGGCCCAACCGCACTCATGCGCAGTGCAAGCGGGGGTGTGGGTTTGAGTTGCAAGTCAGAGCGTGATAACGTGAACGTACTTCTGGAAGTGCTTGAACTGTGCTGTGTCATCGAGCTCGCCACGCATGTCAAGGGGAAAGGGCTCCCCGTTGACCACAATGAAGGGGTTCATCTCTATCAGTGTGAAGTCCAGGTCTGAAATGGGAAAGGAGAGGAAAGGAGGGGGTGTGGGAAAAGGGTGGGGGGGAGGGAAGGAAGAGGAAGGAAATGGATGGGGGGGGGGGGGGGAGAGTGTGGGGTGGGGAAGGGGGGAGAGCTGTAAGGGACGATTGGGGTGGTGAAGTCCAGGTCCGGTGGAGGGGTTGGGGAATATTGACAGGGTGAGGAATAATAGAAGGAAAGAAGCATGGGAGGATGGTATTACCTTTGAAGACAGCAAACACGCCCTTGATGAACTTCTCCATGTTCTCCCTGACCTGCAGAGAGGCCAGGAGACACAGAGCGGAGGCATGGGGCGTGGAGAAGGGGTTGGATAGAGCGCTAAGAAGCGGAGTAGTTTCGTTCCTGCTATGGAGTCATAGATGGGGAGCGAGGGCGGGCGTGATGCAGAGATGGAAGGAGAGAGCAACAGCATCTACTTCAAGGGAATAAGGAGGGTGTGATTAAAGAGGGAGCGGCAGGAAGGGAAGGAGGGAGAAACGCTTGACGCACCTCGAGGGGCAGAGTGGCAATGAGCGGCGCACAGAGCTCTGATGTGAGTTCCGACTCTGTTGGCACGAAGATGGTCTTCACCTGTCAGTCAGCAACGGACAGTCATGGCACAAACAACGCATAGCATGGCACACACCACGCAGCACAATAACACACACACACCACGGAGATGCACCCCATAACACCAAACGCCATAGAATAGAATCACCACCCATGACAGAATACGGCACAGCACACGCCATAACAGCACCAGAAAACAGCACACGTTATATAAGCACGGGCCATAGAAGCACAAGGTGAATTCAGAGAGAACTCCACAATGCTACTTCACTCCTATTCTAGTTTCTCCCATCATCCTTCTCAAGCTCCACACCTTGTTGCAGTTATCCTCCTTTTCAACCCCCATTCCTCACTGCTCCCCCCCTCATCTCACCTCATCCCATTTCTACCCCCATCCACCACCCCTTTTCCCCCTGCTCGCCCCCTCCTCACCTTGTCCCAGTTCTCCTCGATATTGACGCCTCCGCATTCGGAGAAGCATACGTCACAACCCAGGCGCTTGGAGGTGATGGAGAGGTAGTACTCCTCCTTGTGTGGGATGAACGGCTCGACGATGAACGTCGTGATGGGGCCCTTGGACTGCCCCATCTCCACCTGCAAACGACTCGTGAATCAGAAGGGAATAGGAATAACAACAGAAGTACCATTTCCGTCTGTGAAATGCGAGACGTGACGGAGCCATAAGATGGACTATTTTCAACCGCCGGGCAGGGAATCGACTCGTTAAGGCGATGCCATTCAACTAGCCATCCATTACAACTGCCTTGCACGAGCGGCGCAAGCTCAATGTCGCTAAAACGCACGGAGGACAGGCGCTTACCTCCTTGCCGAGCTTGCTCTTAACGAATGCCTCCACTCCTGCAAAGTCCAGGTCGAGAGCCACCTGCACGAGAAGGTAAGAGAAAGAAATGGGCAGTTGATACCTTGGGAGTGTTTTTTGAGTCAACCCAAAAAACAGTTCTGCGAAAGTCCACGTCAAAAAGCACCCGCGAGAGAAAACGACGACAGCTTCTGTGTAGCCTCAAAACTGTTTCATTTGACAGCAACAAGGCTCACGAACAGTAAATGGCTCACCAGGCCGCTCTTGCCTCGCTTGCCGAACAGCATGTCCGGCTTCACCACCATGCGGGTGCTGTTCATCCATGGCTGCTCGTTCGCGAGCTTCGCAAAATCCGTCTCCGATGTGATCTGTTGAGAAAAAGTAGGTTGTACATGGCAAAAAATGCTTAAGATAATCGGTTTCAGCTGGTTTGAAGTCTGTTTCTTTGGAAGTTTTCGGAGTGAAAACAAAAGTGGTGTGCTTCGCTGGCAGCTTCGGTTCACGCCGAAGGTACCCAATGAAGAGAACACGTACGAGGAAAATGGTGCTCCCACCTGGACAGAGTTGATAGTCAGATCGATTCCCGCTAGGCGCTTCAAGTGCTCCTTCAGCAGTCGCTTGGAGTCGTATTCTCGGATCTTTTTCCGGGCCATATTTGGTTCTGTGTACAAAAAAGCGAGACGAAACAAACGGCCAACGGATGGCGATGATTACAGCGTGGACAAGACAACTACATCTTTTCAAATGGAGTGGTTGAAGAGAGAAATCAGTCTGACAGATGCAGTCGCTGAATATACTTGACGGCATCCATTTCCTACCTCAACGAATGACAGCAAAGCAGCACCTGCTCTGACGTGAAAAAAAAGGTGTCAGGAAGAGAAAGCTACTGGCGAATCAGGTGCTCCAGACTACTCCTTCCTGATCCAAATGAGGCTGATGTGATGGGCTGAACTGAATGCTGGTGAGGCTGAGCTCTCCAATCAACCCTGCTGAAATCCAAATTCGTTACTCTACCTCCACCTCTCAGAAATCTCAACGAACTTCGGAAGGGGAAAACCTGCCTCAGCGAATGTCATCACATGTGGCGGGATTCCCGAGGGCGACAGTGGCGGACGTAAAAAATTGCAGAACGGATATCCCAAGAATTGCCACTGGCTTTCAGTGAATTCCCAAGAAAATCGCCAGGCAGTTCTGGGCTTCTCCCCAAACTCCCGCCTATAGGCGCGGATTCACCGCGAAACTGTCTCCGCGCAAAGGTGTGGGGGAGTGAGGTGGGGCAGTTCGAGTTGTTGCTGACGTTGCCAGGGCGCAGATCAACAGCACCACACCTGTCACGTCGTCCCGTGGCAGCACGCAGTTGGTGCTGGGCCCTCACACTCACACAAGTGGTCCCACCACCAGCCAACAGTCAACTCGTTGCAAAACACTCACATTATACAGATCTACATTTTCATTTTGTTCAACAAAACACTAGCATTTTGTATACCGGTAACTCAACACAAAGCGCATTGCATGCTATAGGTTACTTAAAATCGCCTGCCAGCCGCTTAATGTCCTCTATATTGTACACCCCTGCAATCGAGTCATCGACGACGGCTCGCACCGCTACAGCCGCAAGATCGGCAACATCTACTGGTGGCGCTAAAAGTAGGTCAGAGGCTGGCAGAGGGGATAGCAGCTTTGTGATATCCTTAGTGGCTGACAGCAGCTTCTCCAATGGCTGGCCAATCAAATCAAGCGGAACCTCCACACCAGCGGTTACCCGCCTTTTTCCATAGATAAATCCTGGACGTAGCACAACCCCTGGCATGTTGGGTAGGGAGAGAGGTTTGACGAACAGGAAAGATGGGAGATAAAACATCGGGAAGCCTTATAAGAGGGAGGAAAGAGAGCGCAAGTGAAGGCTGTCAGGGTTGAGTGAACACGCGGAAAAGAGGGAGCAGCGATGGCCTTGCCGAGATGCACAGGAAAGCGCGAAGAGAGCAAGAACCACACCTGTGTTGGGAAAAGCGTCAAGCACTGCAGTCTCGGCTCGTTTCTTGCCATTGAAGTATCCATTCTCCTTAGCAAAATCGGGCAGGTTGTAATCATGCACCGATACAAACACAAACTTGCGCACGCCAGAGTCTTTAGCCGCGTCCACTGCAACCACTGTAGCATCTCCGTTTATCCTCTCCATCTGCTCGTCTGTGCCGAATCCTCCAATGCAGGACACCACTACAGTCACATCCTTTAGAAGCACGGGCCAGTTGGCAGAGAACACGTCACCAGTCTCCCATGTGACACTTTTCGCCCACGTTTCGTTGGAGACGGAGGGTCGGCCAGACCTGAGGGAGGTTCAGTTGGCAAAACAATGGGTTAAGCGAAGTGGTGGAGAGTGGTAGGGAACGAACCAGAATAAGTTAGATGGAATTGACAGAATGTATGACAATGCTGGCCAGAGAACGGCTGACTTCCACAAATTGTCACAGCCATGTGAGTTGAGCACCGCAATATATAGACGTTTATAGCAACAGTTGCACCTGATGGTTGTCTCCACTGCAGATACAATCACCAGAGACACGCGCCTGCTCAGGCTGACCACGTGTATGCCTCTGTCAGCGGCTGCCCATGCCTAAGCACATCAAAAAGCTTTCAGATTCGGATATGCTCACCTGCTCAGGCTGACCACGTCTATGCCTCTGTCAGCTGCTGCTTTTGCCACAGCAGACCCTACAAACCCACTCCCACCGAGCACCAGCACCTGGGGGAATTTGAAGGGGAAAATGTGGAGAGGGTGGATGGATAGCACAGCACATACACGAGTTGGCCCAAAGGGGGTGGAGGGAGAGTGGGAGAGAATGTGAAAGATTATACCTTTTTCTCACTGGGTGGCATTGCATTGCCCAGCCCTCACCACTTGTGACATTCCCCCCAACCGCTCTCAGCATTGCCCGCCCTGCCGCTACTGGCACTGCGCGCCCTACCGCTCTTGGCATTGGCCGGAACTCACCATTCAACCGCCTGCTCCCCTCGCCTTTTCGTTCCCTTCATCTTTTCATTCGCTCACCTTCTCGTTCTTAATCTCGGCCTCCACGTCGATCGCCGCATCTCCCGCCTCCGCCGCCGCTGTAGCGATTGCCCGTCGTGACGTCCGTTTGTGCGACTTCGATATAGTCACGGATGACCTGCAGCAGATTTGAGCGGGAAGAAAGTGGATGTCTTGAAGAAATGCACGAACGAGCATAAAATAACCGAAAGAAATGCAATTTTCCTACTGGTGCGTACTGTAGATGCGTTCAATACGGTGAAAAGTACCCACAATGGTGAGTTGCGAGTCGTCTCGACGGCGTGCCTCGAAGAAGGACCGTGGCTGGTAACCCGCACGAAACCATTGCGACGGTTAGATACGTTAGTCGGATGACAGTGCTTCGAAACGGAAGCGAACGTCGCGAAAGCTGACGCGGGCTGAACCAACAGTGTGGCAGAAGGCGCCATGGGAAAAGGATACTGAGAAGTAGTGCGAAATTCCCGGAGTAGGGAAATGCCAAAAAGAAATCACGCAACGACTGATGAATGGGTGAACGGAACGGGGAGGGCCTTGCTTGGGCAACTTGTGGTAAGATTGTACTCGTTATTGGCGCAAGGTGCTACTAGAAGCTTTTTCAATGGTCTTGGGCGGGTTCTATAGTAATAACTTGCTCCACAGATACAAATCCTTCACTCCATAAATCTGACCTAAAATTTCCCCCTAAAAACAAAACAAACAATCAGCAGCAGAGCCTAGAATCAAATTGACATCTCCTACTTGGCCGAACAACAATATTGATAACCTTTTGCAAAACAAACGGGTGTGCGAGATGAAGCATTTGTGGGGTCAAATCAGATCCTAGGCATATGGCTTGTCCTGCATGGCCCACTCGAAGATCTGCTCGTATTGCTGCGCAGCCCGGTTCCACGACATGTCCTGGGTCATGCCCCTCTGAATCAGGCCTTGCCACGAGTCCTTGTACTCGCGGAATGTCTGGATGGCAGTCCATAACGCCTGTGCGCATGACATAGGGGGGGGAATAAATAGGTCAACGGAACGGTGCAGAGAAAGATCGGACAGGAACGGAACAAAGAAACAGAATAGCACATTGTTAGGGGTAATGAAGAGAACGATCCGCAAGGCCGGTCCACACTTGAGTACAGGTAGGAAGAGTGTGGGGAGAAAAAGCAGAAAGAACCGTTTTTCTAATCGATGATCCAAACTGCCTATCCCTTTTGTCATCCCAGCTATCCATCCCAACCGTCCACCCCAACCGTCCTCTCCAACCGCCCACCCCAACCGTACCACCCACCCCAACCGTCCATCCCAACCACACAGACAAACATTAAAGCGTACCCCCATCATGGCTTCCTTGGTGAGCGGGGAGAAGGACCATCCCGTGCCGGCGCCCGCACCCCCGTTGGCAAACGGGTTGAAATCCTCGACTGTGTCCCTCAGCCCGCCCGTTGCGTGCACCACTGGCACCGTTCCGTACCGCATTGCATACAGCTGGTTCAGCCCGCACGGCTCAAAGCGCGACGGCATGAGGAGGATGTCACAGCTGGCATGGCAAGCAGGCAAAGGGACGCAGGGGAGAGGGCGGGAGAAGGAAGAAGGGGGAAAAGGGAGAGAGAGAGAGAGAGAGAGAGAGAGAGAGAGAGAGAGAGAGAGAGAGAGAGAGAGAGTGAGAGAGAGAGAGAGAGAGAGTGAGAGAGAGAGAGAGAGAGAGAGAGAGAGGTTAGGGAATGATTAGAAGAAGATGAAGGGTGTGTTTCCACATGGCTTAAAGCGCGACGGCATGAGGAGGATGTCCCAGCTGGCATAGAAAGAAGGTTAAGGGTGGTGGGACAGGAGAATAGGGTGGAGGGATGGAGGGGGTGGGGGAATGGAAAAGGGGGGGATCGGAGAGGAAAAGGTGAGGGGATGAATAGAGGAAGATGGTGTGTGTCTTCGCGGTTCAAAGCACAACGGCATGAGAAAGATGTCACAGCTGGCATGGCAAGCAGGCAGGGAGCGGGAGGAGAGTGGAAGGGGGGGAGGAGAAGGGAGGGAGGGGATGAGAGAAGGAAAGGCTGAGAGTGGTAGGGCACAGAGAAGCCCACCCAACCCAACCCCACAACTTGTCTGTGCACTGACAAAGCAACCCCACACTCATCCCAGTCTCACCCGGCAGTGATGCAGTGCGCCATGGGCACGGAGAAGCCCACCCACCCTCTGAGCGTCCTCTAAGCCACCCAACCTGTGAGCCCAGAATTCCACTACATAACAGCCCTGCTCGCATCCCAACCTCACCCGGCAGTGATGCGGTGCGCCATGGGCACAGAGAAGCCCACCCAGCCTCGGAACTTGTCAGGGTAAGCGCTCTCAGCCCACTTCATCCAGGCCTCTAGGTCCGGATCCCCACTGCCCAGCATCACCTGGCGTTTCACAAGGGAGAAGGAGAAGAGGAGAAGTCAGAGTGAAGAGGCCGAGAATGCAGGGAGGAGTTGAGGGATTGAGGGGTGGAGAAAGCACCCTCCTCCCACTTTATCCATGCTTAGAGTTCCAGATCCCCACTGCCCAGCATCACCCGGAAGAGGAAGGAGGAGCAGGGAGGGGAAGCCCGAGCAGTGAGGGTGGAAGGAAAGGATGAGGGGGGGAACGAGATACTTCATTCCCCGCAATTCTAGCTCCTCACTCCCCCACAGCTCTCCAAGCAGCCGCACCAGCAGATGCACTTACAAACTGCACGTTGTCAGTCATCAGCTCAGGCAGTGCCGCTTCAATTTCCCATTGCGAGGCCCCTCACATTCCTACCCCTCACTCCCCCCAGTCCCCTATGTGCCAGCACCAGCACGAGCCTATTGCACTTACAAACTGCACGTTGTCAGTCATAAGCTCTGGCAGTGCCGTTTGAATTACGTCTGCCCCTTGTGTGTCATTACAAGCCCGCAATCCCCCCGCTCCCATCACCATACAACGTCCCATCAGCCTATTACACTTACAAACTGCACGTTGTCTGTCATCAGCTCCGGCAGTGCCGTTTAAATCACGTCTGCCCCTTGTGTGTCATTACAAGCCCGCAATCCCCCCGCTCCCATCACCATACAACGCCCCATCAGCCTATTACACTTACAAACTGCACGTTGTCTGTCATAAGCTCCGGCAGTGCCGCTTGAATCACGTCAGGCCCCTTCTGCCAGTCCAAACGCCCGATGAAACCAATCTGTGAAGGGGAGGAACAGGAGAGACAGAGACACAGAGATTGTAACGGCGAGGGATGGGCAAGCAATAGCTGAGTCAGGTGGCGGCTGCTTGCTTGAATCACGTCTGGCCCCTTCTGCCAGCCCAAACGCCCGATGGAACCAATCTGACCATGGAACGCAGGAGGAGCAGAGACAGAAGGAGGAGAAAAGGGGAAAAGGTCAAGCAAGGGTTGACCAAGAAGCAGCATTGACTGATCACAGGCGCAGTGCTGCCCCATGCACACAGTGCCTTACCTACAAGGCCCAGCTCACCAAAACAGAGCATTGTTTGCATAGCCCCACCAGGGGCACCAGGGCACCTCAGGGCGCACAGCGAGCCCCAGCTCCTTCTGCAGCGCCAGAGTAACCGAGTGGACACACATAGAACTGTACAGCGCTTTACAAGGCAGGACCCAACTCACCAGGGGCACCTCAGGGCGCACGGCGAGACCCAGCTCCTTCTGCAGCGCTGCCTTGCACTCCGCCTTGCCCTCCAGGTCCTCTGCTGTGAACTGCGAGGGGATGTGCTTGTCCGTGGCAGGGTTCCAGTCCACCGTGTCAATGCCGTTGGTCACTCCTGCAGGGAAGAGCACGGGGTATGGGCGGTGGTGTGAGGATTAGCCACGTGTGATGAGGTTGTTTTTGAGACGTCTCAAGAGCACGGGGTATGGGCGGTGGTGTGAGGGTTAGCCATGTGTGATGAGGTTGTTTTTGAGACGTCTCAAGAGCACGGGGTATGGGCGGTGGTGTGAGGGTTAGCCACGTGTGATGAGGTTGTTTTTGAGACGTCTCAAGAGCACGGGGTATGGGCGGTGGTGTGAGGGTTGTGAGTGACCCTTAACTCTGCTGTGAACTGCGAGAGCATGAGGTAACAGTGTGAGGGAGAAGTGTGAGGGAGCAGTGCGAGGGAGCAGTGCGATGGAGCAGTGTGAGGGAGCAGTGTGAGGGAGCAGTGTGAGGGGGATGTACGCACCATTGAGCACAATGCTTCTCCCTCGCAGCAGTCCATCCAATCCCCATCCGCCCTCCCCTGTTGTGATCTCCCATGCATAGCCCTGCAGCACGAAAGGAACGGAAAGCATGAGAACCAAGTGATAACCAAGTTGGCAGGAGGGGCAGGAGGGGCAGGAGGGGCTCGGAGGGGCAGGAGGGGCAGGAGGGGCAGGAGGGGCTCGGAGGGGCAGGAGGGGCAGGAGGGGCAGGAGGGGCAGGAAGGGCAGGAGAGCAGGAGGGGCAGGAGGGGCAGGAGGGGCAGGAGGGGCAGGAGGGGCAGGAGGGGCAGGAGGGGCAGGAAGGGCTCGGAGGAGGGAAAGGCGGGGAGGGAGGCGCAGGGCATGGTGGGGGCTGGAGCTGGGGAGGAGAGAAAGAATGTGAGTAGTGTGGGAGAGAAGAATGGGGCCCACTCACCCACCCACCCACCCACCCACCCACCCACGCACGCAAGCAACCAACGCACCTGGCTGACAGTGAGAACGCGGTCAGATGTCACTATAGCCCCCTTGAGAATGCTGACTGCCTCGCCCTTGTCAAGAGCGTGCTTCCTCGCCCTCTCACCCATGCACCCACCCACACACCCATCCATCCATCTAACCAACGCACCTGACTGACGGTGAGCACGCGGTCAGCAGTCACAATGGCCCCCTAAAGAATGTTCACTGCCTCGCCCTTGTCCAGAGCGTGCTTCCTCGCCCACTTCGGTCGCCCAACCCACCCACCCACGCACCCACCCACCCACCCACCCACACATCCACCCACCCACTCATGCACGCACCTGGCTGACAGTGAGAACGCGGTCAGATGTCACTATAGCCCCCTTGAGGATGTTGACTGCCTCGCCCTTGTCCAGAGCGTGCTTCCTCGCCCACTCGGGGAACACCCACTCCAGCGCCCCGTACCACTCCCCCGGCACGCCCAGGCTGCCGAACGTGTATGCGGGCTCGACGCCCTGGTGGGCCAGGTTGTGAATGGCGATGATGGTGCGCGCGTCCTTGTAGACACCGTAGCGGCGGTACTTAGAGGCCACGAGGCTGTGGGATAAAGGAAAAGGATGAAACAAAGGCACTTTGAGACGTCTCAAAAACACCCTCGCTACACGTGGGATAAAGGAAAAGGATGAAACAAAGGCAGGCACTACAGCCTCGTGGCCTCTAAGGCAGGCTGTGAAACAAAGGCAGGCACTACAGCCTCGTGGCCTCTAAGGCAGGCTGTGAAACAAAGGCAGGCACTAAGAACGTTGGTTCGCACTACACGTAGTGTGCGCTATGGGCGCTTAATATGCACTAACAGCGTTGCCATTGCGTTACTGCCTCCACCACTAGTCACTCACACAGGCACAAGTCCGGCATGCCAGTCGTTGGCCACAAACACCACCTTCTCCCCGTACGTGAATTTTTTTCAGGCAATGAGACCACTCAGCATGCACTACTCCCACTCACACAGGCACAAGTCCGGCATGCCAGTCGTTGGCCACAAACACCACCTTCTCCCCGTACGTGAATCCTCCAAACGGCAACTGCAGCGGCGCCTCACATGCAGCATGGCACAGCAGAGCGAACCGGAACTGTAGCAGGGTGGGGAATGGGGGAAGGGAGGAAAGGTCGGGGAAGGTGGAAGTGGGTGAAAAGTGAGGAGCGGAATGAGGAGTGGAGTGTGGAGTGAGGTGTGGAGTGAGGTGTGGAGTGGAGTGGAGTGAGGTTCGGGATGAGAGTTAAGATAGGGTAAACGATGTTTGGGTAAGGGTGAGGGGAGTTTTGATTTTTGAGGCGCCTCCATTTTTTTTTGGGGTAAGGGTGAGGGGAGTTTAGAGGAGAAAAACATGATAGCTTGTGCGCCGCCTACCCTGAGATTCTCCCATCCCACTTCACCGCACCCAAAACACTCCCAGTCCAACCCAACGCAACCAACCACACCCATCCCACCTCACTGCGCCAAAACATTAAAACCACCTCACTGCTCTCTCCACCGCACACCACACCTCGGCCTCACCTGGTTATCGCCGAACGCCCCCCTGGAGTCGCCGTATGGCGTGCCTGGGCGGTGATACGACGGGTGGTCCACAAACACCTGCAGTGTTGCCACGTGGCACAAGGGGAGTCGAAAATAGGGGACAATTTCTCGTCATTCAGGTTGCTCAGGCGCGAGAGAGCGTAAGAACGTCCAGATAACACGAGTCTTGAGACCTGTCAAGGCCAGCTTTACTGTGCTAGTCTGAATAATTCTAGAACTCTATCCTGCTAGTTTCAAAACCAATAAAAGACAGCACCACAACGGCACCTCAAGAATGCCCACCCAAAAAACAACCCACCTGAAAAACGCCCCACCTAACCGCCCAACCCCAAATCGCCCAACCCCCAGAGACGCCCACTTCGGTCACCCAGCCATAAAAAAGCAACCCCCATCCAGAGACTCACGAAGTCAACTCCATCGCGGAACTCGTGGAAGAAGGCCACCTCGTGCTCGCCCTCGAAGAGGAAGCACTTGATGCGGCACTGATGGTAAGCATGGGTGTGCAAAGGGGTGGAAATGGGTGGAGACGGGTGGAGATGGGTGGAGACGGGTGAATAAGGGAACCTCGAAGATTAAACACTTGATACAGCACTCATGGCACAAACACGGGCTAATGAACGGGTGTAGAGGGGTGGAGAGGGATAAAGAAGGGTGAAGCGAGGAGCTTGTTGTTGGTGACGCCATTTATTTACAGTAAAGCCATTCATACATTCGTTCAAACTAATGCTCGCTGTGCATACAATCGAATGCGCCAGCATAAAGCTTGTCCGTGACGCCATTCATGTACAATGACGCCATTCATTAAATTAATTTAATTGTCCAGTCATGCAAATACTAGCTGTTCATAAAGCTGGTTACACGTTACCTGACAATCGAACGCGCCAGCATAAAGCTTGTCCGTGACGCCGTTCATGTACCGAGGCGCCACCACCATCACACGGTGGCCACGTGCCGCCAGAGCCAATGGGAGAGAGCCTGTGACGTCGGCAAGGCCTCCCGTCTTGGAGTAGGGCGCCACCTCGGATGCCACGAAGACAATGCTGATTGTTTGAACGGGGAGAGGGGAGGAGGGACGATGCGGGAGGTGAAGGGGGAAAAGGGGGGTTGGGGGGGGTAAGCGGAGGATACGGGAGAGAGAAGAAGTGTGTGTGTGTTGGAGCAGGGGGGAGGGGGAAGTGGGGTGATGGTGTGCGGAAAGAATTGCAGCTGAACATAACGAAACGGAGACTGGCTGCCAAGGAACTTTCCTTATATTACCACGAAAGAAATACGATGTATATATATATAAAAAATACGATAAGATGTACGGATGCTACTGTTTGTACGGTTAACGATTAAAAGGCCCGTGCATTGATATTACCCTGATGTGCTCATTCATGGTGTAAAGTTAAGTCTTTTTTTTTTCCAAGCTCCAATCGTATTACTCAACTCAGATAATAAATTTGACCGTACGAACCCGCACACCTTCTGCATTTCGCCATAAGCCTTTCCGCTCACCTCATGGGGTTCTCGGTCTTCTTGATTGGTGCATCGCTCCCCTCCGCCGCGTTCTTGGCGCTCTCCCTGTCCCTCTCCAGCTCCGCGTTCCGCTGCGACGCCGTCGCTAAGTCGCCCGGCGATTCTGCGGCGGCGACGGAAAGGAGAAAGGACGGCAATGCGAGGAAAGATGGAGAGTAACACGAAGGAGCAAGGAAGGCAGCGGAAGGGATTAACGCCGGTAATGAGAGGGAAGAGTATGCAAGGGATGACAATGCGAGGAAGGACGGCAATACGAGTGAGCAAGGACGACACGCGAGGAGCCTAAGGATCCATGCAGACTTAGGAAATCATTACGATCTTGATTGTCGCTTCAGTCGTAAGCGTCATGACGCGCGAACCTACCGGCGGAAGCGACGGCTGACGTGGTCTTCACTTCAGCAGGAGCAGCAGGCGACGGCGACGACGGAGGAGGCGCCACAGCAGGAGCAGCGGCCGTCGCAGGCGTCGTTGATGTCGCAGCGATCACCGCTGCAACGTCTGGCGGCGGAGCAGACGGAGCCACAGCACCTGCTCTTGGCCGGGTGACGTCAACCCCCGCCTTCCGCTCCCCAGCAGCTTGCGCCGCTTGCGCCGTCGCCAACGCCGTCGCCTCCTCGACCCTCCTCTTGAGCTCCTCATTCTCCTCTGCGATTCGCTTCAGCGTCGCCTCGAGATCTTCCGGATCAGTCGACACGAGTACGTAATCTTCAGGGTAGTCGTTCGCTACGGTCCACGGGCCCGCATCCTCGTTTTGACCGGCTGACGCGGGAGGCTGCGCTGATGATTTTACGGAGAAGGGTCTCGAGTTCTGACGGTTGGTTCTGGAGCTGGAGGCGAAGGATGCGAAGCGAGAGTAGTTGCGTGCGACGTGCGCCGGCTTGGCGACGACCGAACGAAGTTGTGACGAGATAGAAACGCTCGCAGCGTTCGCTAATGACGCCATGCTTAACAGTTTCACGGTCGGCTATTCGCTGATGGAGGACGAAAGCTTGTTCCTTTTTATCTCAAAAGAAGAAAAATCAGCGGATAAAACTCGTCGCCAAATAAGTGCTAATGCAGCTGCGTAGTGCTGTTCCAAAAAAGCCTAACCAACTGACAGCACACTGGCTATGAAACACAAAACGATGCAAGGGAGATATTCTGACGAGGGAAATGCCGGGACAGGGGGAGGGACAGAAATTCGTGAGGTCAGGGAACTTCCCTAGAGATTTGCGAGGCGCTCTGACTCAGCGCGTAAGAAACTGCACTGCAGACAGAAGCTCGAGCTTATCACCTGGCGTTTCATTGGCTACTTGCTGTGTGGAGTGGAGTTGAAGGAACTCTCGGGATATTTCGTGCGGTGCGCGACGGGAACTTGTGGTCTCCGGGCGTTAGCCATCGAATCCTGGAGATCAATCATGCGACGGCTGACACGTAGGAAGAAACAGCCCACCTGGCAACTTCAAAGGTCCACATCAGCCGGGCTGGCCACCATCTTGAAGGCAAAGTCGCCTGTGGGTCCACCAAATGTTGCTGAGCTGAAATTCAGGGTGAAACCTGTGGCGAAAACACGGCCACATCGACATTTATAAAATAGCTATGGTAACCATGAGTTACCAGTAGAAGACAATGATCACTAGAAAGTTAGCATGCGATCTACGATCTGGCTCAGGAAATCAGAGCATTCAAAACTAGCACAATAAAATTTACAGGACCACGTTCTGTACATGTGATAACCTACAGCTGCAGTCTAAGCTCTGGCTCAGAAGCAACGGGCCTAGATTGAAACTGCCCAGGCTGGTCAACTTGCTGCTGCTTCTGCTGCTGCTCCCAAACTGGCATTTGTTTATTAGCTTGAAGCTCTGCAAGCTCTTTGTTTTTCTGGGCCTGAGCCAGAAGTTGAAATGCCTGTTGGTGGTCCTGTGTTGCAAGCCAGCCCTGTGGATAACGGTGCTCTGAAGTGCTCTGCTGTGCTGGAGTACGGTGTTGCTGCTGGTCCTCTTGCTGCTGCTGAGCACCATTTTGAGCAGACTGCTTCTGCAAAAGAGATGCTTGATGTTGCCGGAGTAGCAGTTGCTGCCGCTGCTGCTGCAAACGTTGCTGCTGCTGCTGTTGCTGTTGATGCAGCAGTTGCTGCTGCTGTTCCTGCCTCTGCTGTTGCAATCTCTGCTGCTGCTGCAAAAGCAACAGTTGCTTTTGCCTCTGCTGCTGATGCTGCTGCTCAGCTAGCTTCAGTTGCTGCTGCTGTTGTCGCTGCTGTTGAAGACTCGGTGGAGACCGTGGATCTAGCGGCTTCGCCATGGCACTCATCATGCTTGCCATGTTGGCAAATGAACCAGTTGTGGCAGACATGATACCAGCAGGTAAACCAGCAGACGCGGAGGCAGAGGCATGGTTGGATGCAGCTGCAGCTGCTGCGCTGAATGCAGCAGATGAGAACGACGCCCCGGTCGAATTGCTGAGAAGACCATGGTGAGCCTTCAGTTTATCCAGAGCAGCCATCATGCTCCGAGCAGCTGACGAGGAACCAGGTCTGAATGAGGATGCCAATGGGTTAGTCCCCTGTTGCTGCTGCTGCAGAACGTCAGCCAGGGCTGAAGGTGTAACAGTGCCAGTGGTGGTTGCAGGATTACGGGCATTAAGAGATCCATATGAAGACACATTCGCTGCTTGCTGCTGCTGGGACGAAAAATCAGCAAGCCATGCATTGCCTGGAAGACCACCTGGCCATGTTCCTTGTGACACAGAGGCAGCGAGGGCTTGTGCAGCTTGGCTAGAGGTTGCTAAAGCTTGAGCTCCGCTGCCATCTCCCACAGGAGCAGCCTTGCTTGAGTTGAGCGGGCTCCCCAAAAGACCATCAATCTTTCCGGCCTCAAGAGCGGCCCAGAGGGGGCTATTCTTGAAGCCATTCTGAGAAAATGCTGCATGATTTCCCTCCACCATTTTGGTTAGATGGTCAGCAGCGTTCTTGTCTCCAAGGTCAGAAGATGAGGTTGAACCAGCTCTTGCTGGGGATGACAACCCACCAAGCTGTTGCAGCGAACTCAAACCTTGCTTTCCAAAAGCAGCTGCAGCGATTGCAGGAGCACCAGGTGATGAGGTGGACGCATTCTCAGACCACAAGGCATTCAACGCTCCCATAAGGGCAGAACCAAGGGGCTTTGTTGGAGTTTCGACATCAGCAGAGCCTTGGATGAGAGACTGCAGAGCCTGAGCAGAAAGGACTGACTGGCCCTGTCTGGCAGAGTTCGCAGCCTGCAGAGCAGCAACAGCTGAAGCACGCATTGCCAGAACGCTGCTGCGATCAATGTGATCAGAAGCACCTGTGCATGAATTCAGTAGCGTCTGGATTGCCGCATTACTAAGACTAAGAGACCCAGCTTCAGAGGGGCTTCCTGCAGAAACTCCAGCCAGCCCACTTAAAGCCTCCTGTGCAGATATCGGTGAAACTACAGCTGCTGCAGGTGGAGGCGAAGCAAATCCTGCTCCAGGTCTGCTTGCACCGTTAAACCAGTGTGGGATGTGGAGCATGCTTGACGACCGCCCAACATCTTTGGGCCCATGGACAGACTCTGATGTTGAAGACACAGGAGCTACATCACTAACGGATTTTGAATGATCAGTCTCAATGGGAGCTGTTGCAGCTGCTTCAGAACAAACCTGCAACTTGGTCAGTGATCCAGGATGTGGAGAGGCAGACTTCCTCTGACCTTTGGCGGGCCTTGCAGAAGTCTTAGCTGCTGTCCTCACAGGTTGCTTTGAGGCCTGCTTTACATCATCCACGGAAACGTCAAGAACCCCCCCTTTCTGGCCTCTCAACAAACTCCTCGCCGACTCGCCCTCCGGATTCAATGACTGCAATGACTGCAAGGGGTTATCCTGGCCAATCCATCCTCTACCAAAAGGAACTTCCGGAGGGAGGGTCTGCTTGACTTTCTCTGCAGCGACTTCCCAAATCAACGTGCCAAGGGGCGACGCAAATCGGGCTAAGCTGTGGGCGTAAGCGAGAGGGTCCTGATCCGCCTGCAAATTAGGAAACAATTATCTATTAGTTTCAACATGCTACGAGTGAAAACGACAAGTGAGAACGACATCAGAGTGCTTACAGAATAGCACAGGGCGAAGCTATCGGGCAATAAACATCTGCTTGTCTGACAAGACCTTGACTGACACCAGGAACGGAAGGACAGGTGCTTCCCGCCACTTGGGGATGTTGCTCTGCGGCAGACCTTGTAGTTCTTTAACCGGGACACTGAAAAAGCAAGTGCAGAAAGCGTTAGCAGCATGAAATGAACAGCCCCAGAATTCAACAGGAAATAGCAACTCCAACTTACCTTTGTTACCAGAATCATCGCCTCCTAGGTAACTTGATCTCGGCTGGCTCTGGCTAGGTTCCCCTTTCTCTGTGCTTTTCCCCAATATCCCCTGTGCAGGCTTTGACTGCGGAATATCCTCTGACAGTGATACTTCCGATCTCTCGTCCATCCCAAACACCAAACGATCTTGCTTGTCATCCACCAACGGAACGGACTCCTTTCTCTGGCCCAGAATTCTTCGACCTTCAAAGGAAAACAAACAGACGTCAGCAGGCAGCCTCGAAGGAAGAGGAAGCTGTAAATTGCAGAAAGCATACCGGACTGAGTGTCCTTCTGTGCAGGATCAGATAGAGGGATCCTTTTTGGACGACCGGGTTGACCTCTTCCCCTTCCACGACCTCGAAATCCCCTTCCGAATCCAGATCTTGGGTAAAGCTCGTTGGAACCTGCTGCTGGGAAAATCTTCTGAGCAATTCCTTGCATAGCCTTAGCCTGCTTGTAATAAATGGTCCCCTCGGCGTTATAGATCATGGCATTCTTCCAGATCAAGGACACGTCATCCTGAAAGAAGGAAACACGAGACGGTGAATACAAGCATACAACCTCACCTAAAAGTCGCCTATCCAACAACAACGAAACGACGGGACCTCTACACAAGTACCTCGAATTGGTCCCACGACGTATAAAGTTTCTTCGCGACCCTTCCCCTCACTGTGCTGAAATCCATGGGGTGAGAAATTACGTCAAAATAGTCCGGGACCTGTTTGGGAGGAAAATGTTCCGTCGTATAGAAACAGTCTGAGATTTCACTCAAACAAAGAACGAAAAAAATAATAATAAAAAAACAGACAAATTTATACTGTACCTCAGCAGGATTCACTGGAACAGAGAACACGCCATACAAGTCCTTCCTGCAACAAAAAAGCGATGTGGGGTTCCTTGAGACACATGAAAACAGAGGACCTCGTAGTTCCAAATGAAGCAGAACCGTAAACTGGACTGTCGCAAACCACTCACTTTTGCAGTTTGTCCAGAATCTCACAGAGCGCTTTCTCTGGCAGCGGTTTTTTCCCGTCTGTTTCACAAGTGAAAACTCCAAAAGTCAGCAAAAAAAACTTCAAAGAAAACGCAGAAGCATGCTGCAACTGAACATGGAATACCTTTAAGTGGTACAGAAGATTTATTTTCATTGCCTGAAAATGTCTGGTCCGACGGTCTGGAGTCCGTTATTCCGCTGTCCGAGAACTGCATTTATCACGAAAATCCATCAACACCCGAACACGCACAAGGAAGAAGGCTCAGAATCTAATGAAGTGAAGCTGACCTGTCGCTTTCGCTTTGATGAAAAAACTGGATGCGCTACCGTTTCATCAGCAGGTGGTGATGCCCCTTGTGAATCAGGTTTTGGCGGCGACGGGATGACTAGACTATGCTCTTCGCTTATAGCCTTCGTTCGTTGTCTCTTGGGATTGGGGACTGAGGGGTCTGTGGAAATCTCCTGCGCCTTCCAAGTCCGAGACGGAGAGGCCTCCAAGGAAGATCGCTTGTGTATTTTCAAAACAACTCGAAGATGGTTGTCATCCATGGTCGATTAAGATGTCGCATATACGACGCCGATGTACTGCCCAAAAACACCACATGCGTGCATGTAACCCAAACATAGGATCAACGGGAGTTGTTGACACGATAAACATCGTTTCCATGGCGACCAGCTAGCATGAGCAACCCTAGAAACGCGTATATCTGGCTGAAAAGTCAGATGCGCCCTTGGAAGTGGAGGACAATGCACGGATCACCGAAACGCCCAGAACTCGGTTTCTTATAAGAACGGAAACAAGCTGCACGTTCAAACGACTTCCGACGGCTCCCTATCCAGAACGACCCACAAGAGACCAGACAAGGAAGACAGACTGCATGGCATAGTCAAAAGGTACAGCGGATAGGGCTATGGTGCGGTGGTGGTGTGCGTACCAGGCGTGATTCGCGCCAACGCTGGGGAGGGGAGATGGGGAGGAACGGACGGACGGAGGGACGCTGGTTGAGGGTAAAGGGACGCTGCTGGCTCGTAAGGCCCCACTTGGGTGGGTTTCGGAGTTCCGTGCTTGGTGAGGTCGAAACCCTAGCTGGTTTGTTTTCCCTGCCCGCGATTCGTTACAGTGTTTTGACGTCCGTGGAGGGATGAGGAAACAGTTTATCGGACGTCAGCTTGGCTGGTTGGCGTGTGAGGTGTCTTGTGAATCCTCCCACATGCAGCCACCCAGTGTCAGGACGAGTGGATGCGTAATCAGAACGTCCAATCGGAAGCGAAGACACCACGTCCCGCTGGGCAGGCATCGCTGGACAGTGGGAAACCCGAGACAGCTACAGCAACCCAGAACGTCATAGTACCCAGAACTCCTAGGGCCCCGTTGGCCCGTCTCTGTTTGGCTCGGCTGCTGGTATAACATTTTTTGCCCTGCCCAGCCAGCTTTACCATATCCACCGCCCGTTTCAAGAGTCTCTCCCGTCAGGTGCTCTGTCTGCTGCCCCCTCAACCAACCTCGTTCACCTCCACCCGTCCCTTCACCGTGGTCAGCCAGTTCCGTTTTCCGTTCTGACCTGAACGGTAACGCTCCAGCAGTGACTGACGGACGGGAAGCGACTGACTGACTGGTTGTGTTCTGCTGCTCTCACCAGTCGCTGTCTTCGAACAAGCCAGCCAATCGGGACAACTCTCTTTGGGTTCGGGTCGCCTGGCTGCAGCCCCGAGCCGCTCCTTTTCAGAACCAGCACCCTTTCCGAAAATGTGGAACACGTGCATAAATGTTTTTCTCGCCACTATCTACGTTGTATTTGTGGTTAGCAATTGCTCAAGCTTGCTCTTGCTGTGTTTCACGATTTCGAGGGACCAGACCATAGAATCAACTTCTAGGTAGCTATTTCACGCTTGTGTTGATTCTCCCAGGTTGTTCGAGCTTACAACGTTACTGATAATAGGTTGTAGTTAGCTGCCATGGGTTGCTCGTTCTCAAAGCCCGCAGTGAAAGGCGATTCGAGCACGAAACACGTCACACAGTCTACGTCGTCGAAAAAACCGAAGCCGCTCTCAATTGCAATACCTTCCGACACGCCTGGCTGCTTGAATCTCCCAATTCACCTGGCACCAAAAGTGCAACCTAAGCCAGGTGAACAGCCACGAATAAGAGCGGACATATTTTCTCAGTGCTTGTGCTCAGGCGCAGGGGCTTTGAAAGTAGACGAAAGCGATGTCACTGAGGAGCAGGAGGCCAATGATAAGGCGAATAATGAGGTTAGGGAGAAGGAGAATGAGAAGCCGTCGCCAGCCGGAGTGAAGACAGCTGTAAACGATTCAGCCGTCGCATCAGCAGCCGACCGTTCAACTGAAGCAGATGCGTGCAACGCCGTTGTCTCCGTGACAATGCCATCCACTGCGCAGGAGTGCGAACACAGTACAGCCAAAGCAGCGGACTCAGAAGCTAACGATTGTGCACTCTCTGCTGCTGAAGGGCGAGCTCCATCAGCTCTGTGTCCCGATCACGATAATGTGGGAAACTCAGTTGCAGTGGCGATTGCTCACGACATCAATGGTGAATCTGAGCCTATTGAAGGCCCTCGATGCCAAACGAGCGAGGCGGTCACTGAGGGAAGTGGGGTGACGAGTTTAGAGTCACGCGGTGAGGCAAATTTGGCCACACGTGAAGCAGAAACGGCTGCACCTGACGCAGGTTCAGCCGCACCTGAAGTAGATTCATCTGGACGAGAGGTAGATTCGGCTGGAGGTGAGGCAGATTCAGCTGCACGTGAGCCGTTTAAGAAGCATCGGAAGCTGAGCGTTGAGCTGCCTCCTCTGGTGACGGACGAGGATGTGCTGCCGGACAGCAGTGACGTGGCGGAGCTGATTGACGTGCAGACGATCATGATGGACCTAGAGGATGACGACGAGGAGGAAGAGGAGGAGGACAAAGAGGGGGAGGATGAAGAGGAGGAGGAAGAGGAGGAAAAACACCAGCAGCCGCAGTCACAGCAGCAGCAGGAGGAGGCGCAGAAGCTGCTGCACCAGCACGAGGAGCGGGAGGACCAGCAGCAGCACAGTCCGCCGCAGCAGGAAGAACAGGGGCAGCAAAGTCGTCAACACGAAGACAGGGTTGACGGTCCGTTGGAGACTGAGCAGGGTAAGGCTGAACAGAGAAAAGCTTCAGATTGTCTCAGCAGGACAAATGCTCCTCATGCTGGGGACCATCCTTCACGGACTGCGACTAACCCCCATGCTGGCACGTTTGAAGTAGATGCTACGAGTATGTCCACATCTGCTAACCGTGGTGCTTCTAGTGTGGCCGAGAAGACAATGACGGGTGTACATTCTGGGAGAATTGACGATGAGGAGGTGGAGGACCTGCTGAGAATGCTGGAGGGAGATGCAGGAGTCATAGCAGCAGCAGATGCGCCGGCTGGTGGTGGGCTTGACAATGCTGACAGGGTTGAAGGAACTGAACGAACTGACAGGCCTGACAGGGCAGTGGAAACTGACGCTTGTAAAACAGTTCCGGTTGACACTGTGAGTACGGACTTGGCCGTCCAACCAGACCACATGGGACTAACGGAGAGCAAAATGGGGGAGCTGGGGAGCAGTGGGCAGGCAGCAGAGGAGGGGAGAGACAGCAGCAAGGAGCTGGCAGGGGCGGGGGAATGGGGAGGGCTCGACTCGATGTTTGACCCGGATGTGCTGGCGAGCTTTGAAGAGGACCTGGGGAGGGAGTGGGAGTACAGGGTCTCGTTGGCAGAGCTGGTGGAGCAGGAGGAGGAGCAGCTGGACAGAGAGGTGCGGCAGCAGCAGGCGGGTGCAGGTGAGGAGCAGAATGAGCAGCCTGACCAGGAGCCACGGTCACGGCAGTGTGAGGGGGAGGAGGAGGAGGAGGAGGAGGACGAGAAAAATCAAGTGCAGCAGCAGCAGGAGAAGGAGCAGCAGGAGGAGGAGCGACAGCTGGAGTCAGCAAGAACAAATCCTGCAGTTCGGGTTCCAAAGAGATCAATATCAGGCGTGAGCGTGAATTCAGATGGAGGTTTCATTATTGATGGGTTTGAGGACTTTCTCATGGAAGCAGAGGAAGAAGAGGCGGCTTTCCTGCAGCAGCAGCAGCAGCAGCAGCAGGGTTGTAAACCGGACAACGATCAAGCGCAAGCACAGGTCCATCAATCTCCCAGGGTGCGAATTGAAGCAGATGATGAGTTGGGTGATGCGCAGGAAGCGGGATTTGAGGATGATTCTTTGTTCGACCCGGAGCTCCTTGCCACCATGGAGGCAGTTTTCCACAGGCATGATCCTGCTGACTGGCGCCGCCTCACCCCCTTGTCCAGCCCCATGCCCCACGGACCCAACTCCCCCGCACCCAACTCCCCCGCACCCAACTCGCCGGGAGCTTCCCTCTTCGCTCCTGGCTCGCCTGCCGCTGCAGTCGACGCCATGGCTGCTGCTGTGGGCAGGATGAGAATTCCGGCTCGGGCAGGGCAGAGTCCTCGGCGGGGCAAGCCGCCCCTGCAGAGTCCGAGGGCTCGGCTGACCAGCCCGCGGCCCCAGGCTCCTAGTCCACGCAGGTCCTTCAGCAGTATGAGTCCCCGCAGGGGGGGAACGGGTGAGACTTCTCGGAGGGTATCAACGGGTGAGATTCCTCACGGTGCTACTGGGAGGGATGGGCAACGGGCGGGGTATCTTGGAGGTTCGGGTCGGGGCTGGTTGACTCCAGGGTTGGTGATGTCCGGGATTGGAGGGGTGGTGGGCTTGGCCAGTATGGTGACTGCTGAAGAGAGGAAAACGGAAGTATCTGAGCGCGGTTTGGAACAGTCAGGAGAAAAAGATACAGGCGGCTCAAGAAGGGTTATGGATGGTCAGACGGCGGCCCCATCTGAGATGCTTGGATCAGGAGATTCAGGCTTCCTTGAGAGAGTCGATCCGAGCCAAGGAAGCGTTTCTAGGGCCCATAAGCCAAGTGCTGTGTGCTCTGCTGAGGCTGGCTCAAGGGCTGAGGGAGCCGGAGCTGAAGGAGGTGATGTGGCAAGAACTGGTAGTGGAGAGGTGGTATCTTCTCCGGTCGAAGGGGTGCGCTTGAGACAGTCTGGGGGCTCTGAGTTGGTGGCTGAAGCTGAGACTATGTGTGCGGTTATGAAAGCGCCTAACGGGAGTGGGAGGATGTTGCTGGAAAGCTTTCCAGTAAACTGTCCACCAGGAGGGGATGGGAAGGTTGTTTTGTACATGACAACGCTTCGAGCAGCGAGCCAAACTTTTGAAGATTGTATGCAAGTGCGACTTGTTCTCAGGGTGAGTAACAACTTATCCGTTTTTATTTTCTCCTCGTTCGCCCTTTCTGTTTAGTACCATACTCATTCTCCACCTTTTTTTTCCTCATTGTTCCAGGCGCTAGGAGTATTGTTCGAGGAACGTGATGTGTCCATGCGCGTTCACTTTCGTCAAGAGTTAAAAACCCTAATGGGAATCGCATCTTTGTCAGTGCCGCACCTCTTTGTCCGTGGCCGCTATATTGGAGGAGCTGATGATGTTCAACAGCTTCATGAACAAGGCCTCCTTGCCTCAATCTTAGAAGGTCTTCCAGTCAACATGTCACCGAGAGGCAGGTCTGCAAGTAGATACTAAGTTGTGTTCATGTCCTGTTAACAAAATAATGACTGGTTGCATCCACTAATTGTGCATAATATTCACTATTTTTTGTGGGAGCACAATTGTTTCTTCAGATGACAAAAACCCAAACAGAAGCCTCTGCACTGCTCACCCGCCAATAGTTGTCAGGAATTCAGCTTCAAAGGTTTTGCCGCCATTCCGGTTCAGCCGACGCGACCTTCCATCCCAGTTTCCCCCTCTCTGCCACTGATCTTCGCGCTGCAACCAATTAGCGCTCTGCCCCTGGCAATTCCAAAGCCGACGGAGGAATCCGTCTTTCCCTGCCTGGCCGTTGAAGAATCCTTCCAGACAAACCTATGACGATGAATGAGGAGAGATATGACTACCAGTCAGTCGTGACCTGGTATTGTGAAATGGTCGCTTGCGCCTCGGCCAAGCATCCGCTTTTATTTTTCCCTGGTTCTATCAGCTCCGAGAGTTGCAGATGTAATTGTACGTCAAGAGAGGACAGCCCTTCAGCTCTTAGGCGAACTGAGACCCATACACGGCAGATTGCAATCTTTTTTTTGTTCCTTCGAGCATGGTTCCTGCAATATCCGCTGTCACGCAGACAAAAGCATAGTTTTATATATCACGGCAAGCTGGATTCTCCCGACATGAACGCGCGAGATGGTGTTGGCTCGCTCAATCATAGAGCAGTTGGCACCACAGAGCGCGACCTTGGAACTGACGCTTACGACGATAGTCCGACCTCGTTATTATATATCCTAAGTTTGCGGTGGCGAATGTTCCTTATGTTCCCTGGTAGCTGGCTGGGTATTAGTGAGACTCCTTTCCTGCATCTTAAGAAACAGCTGTCGGAGATGTCAGAGCACTCACCGCTGTATCCAAAGCGGCTGTCGTTCACTCATGATATGTCACAGAGCCCGCGAAGCATCAGTCAATGGATGAGCTCGCCGTCGAATCAGTCGCTTTTGTGGGCTATTCTCGTTAGCTTCCTTCTCTTCTCCATCGCCTTCATTGTATTCCATCCCCACCCTGATGCTGACAAGATGTCTCGCGAGCCGAGAACCATCGAAATCATGGTATGGATAGCATCTTGTCGTGTGATATCGTCTCTTCCCGACGCCACGTCGTTGATGGATATGATTGCTAACTTGGATCGTCTGTTTTCATCACAGAATGTGGACCTTTCATCGAACAGAAAATTCCGTGCCGCTCGCATAAGCTATGACGCTTCTCAGGTGAGAGAAATCAGTGTACCAATGTGCACTTTTCGTTGATCGATGGTTCGTGGTTCCAGGTCTGTCCTCCTTCTCAATGTACACCGTCTCATGCCGCATGTACAGGCATGGACTATTGTAGAAGGTCAGCTAACGGCCATACTTGAAGAACACTCCCCTGACGATGACCCGGTGGCCTTAGAGGCCCAACAGTTTCAAGCAATCGCCAGTATGACGGAGGACTGAAGATGGAAGGAGAAAGTAAAAGAACGGACACTGATTTTGTGGCCTTGACTGTGCGAGGCAGAAACTAATTAGCTGTCAATGCTCCTGACATGCGCTGTCTGACACCTTAAAAAGACTGAATGGTCACACTATGAATGACCATCCGGGGGTGTTGTGTTCACTTCATGTGTTGTGCTCCTCTTGTATGCACTGTGATGTCCATCGTCAAAAACACCTGACCATGCTGGCCATGGCTCCCTTTAGACTTGATGTGCTTATGTTTGAGGCGAACCTCCCTGACTTCGGTTCCTGCCAGTTTATGGCCACTCTTATAATAGATTCGACTAACCTTCAATGGCGCCTGACACTTAGCCTCCCCGTTATGCAGCTTGGCATCAGTATAATTGCTGAAGTGGTGGAGGAAGAGGTGCCCATCTATGGTATCACCATGCTGGGAGCCTCTACGCTACAGACCAGCCCTAAACGGAAGCTTTGGACTCCTCGACCCAGTTACAGGGTGGACCCAGTTGCAACAAACAGGCATGGCGTAGTGGAACCTGGAGACATAACAGTACCCAAACCAGGAAATAGTGAAGTCTGCATTCATGGAAGTTGTGTTGTGGGATAGTCAAGTTGATAGTAGATACGGTAGTAGTGTCTGCATCTTACTACGTTACTAGTTTGATAGGTTCATCCCTATAGTATTCCCCAGGACTTCACTAGAATGATCTCGCCGTCCAGCCTAAGTCACGTTGTGAATGCCTTGCTATCTCATTTAGAACTCTCAACCATTGTTGTGCATTTATTTGCACAAAGCTTCACTCCAGCACACAAACTTGTTACAATTATTAACACACAGCTTCACTCCATAACACAAACAAGGGACAGACCAATGGCTGGGGAGGCTCATGCTTTAGAGATTAGTGTCGCGGACCCGCTATCACTGTCTCCATCTCTGCTAGGGCAGTGCGGGCGGTCTATAGGCGTGGCGGCAAAGGAGTGGGAGCGTCGCAAAACGGGGGATTACGCGCCTCTTCTTGCACGGAACCGAGGCGTGCAGTTCACCCCTTTGATAGTGGAGACGTGGGGGTGTCTCGGCGGTCGCTTCCGGCGGTGGCTTCGACAGCAGGGGGACGCGCACGTGGGGCTAGCTGTGTCACGGGGGACAGCAGGGGGACGCGCACGTGGGGCTAGCTGTGTCACGGGGGGCTTGTCGGGAGGATGACACTTCGTTCTCGGCTTACCTTTTGGGGTCTCTGAAGGCGCTCATCGGAGTGGCGTTACAACGGGCGCAAGCTCGTGTCATCCTGCTTCGGGCGGCGTCTTTTATGGGGGGGTTGAATGTGGACTTGGTGGATCGGGAGAGGGACGATGTCGAGGTGGAGGGCGGGCCTCTTTGGGTGGAGGCCCCCTACATGGTGGATGTGCAGATGTGACTTGGGGGGGAGGGGGGGGGGGGGGGGGGGGCGAGGGGGAATGGGGTGCGAGATGGGACGTCTGGTAGGGGATCCTGGTTGGGTTTTTTCTTTATAGAGTATTTTTATGGGGCTTTTTATGGGTGTTGCGTTTGAGTTGTTTCTGGTGTCTTTCTTTCCCGTTCCTCTCCTCTTGTGCGATGCTTTTCTTTGTAAAGATTATGTGTCTGTTGTCTTTCCACAACAAGGGACAGACCATCTGTATTCCTTGGGACTGTCACCAGCCAATCACCATCACCGCCACGTACCCTGAGACACCCACCCATGGTCCCACATGTCACCATTGGTCGTCGTGTGGGATGTAGATGGTTGCTGGGAACGTAGTGGTTCGGGAAGAATGGTCTGGTTCGGTTGGTCTCTTTTGCGAAGGGTTTTACATGGGTGAAGAGGCTTCTCAAAGTCGCACCACAAGAGAAAGTGCATGTCGGGCGGGTGACGATGGTATGAGCATGAGGTGAGGCGGCACATAAACAGCATTCATTCAGGGATGCTTGTGAAGCAGGCAAGGATGATTGGGGAAGCACCCTGAAAAATGTTGGTGCGGTGGCGCGTCATTCCCTGAATCCCTGAGCACGGGAAGCTCACTACACTAACCAGCCAGACCTTTTAAATCCTTGTCTGATGCAAGGAAAATCTTTTCACCGCACTCAAACGAACGTTCAGGCCACACCCTCGGGAACTTTTTTATCAGCTCACAAATGCACACTGCGGTGCACCAGTCATGACAGGCCACGCACCTATGGCACTTGCTCCAGCTATGGCAACCGAAAGAGGGTTCAATTCTTACCTGCTAGCTGCCTCACTGATAAGCTTCTAACAAGCTCCGTACAATCTCAAGGCTAGTAGGGTTAGCAAAAAGCGACCGAAAAAAGGCATTAGACGTCCATTGCGGCCACATCATTGACCTAATAGGACCTTAATCTTATTGTACCATAATGACCTTATCTTAGGTCATCAATCTTATTGGATAGCAGGACAGGCATACAGCTCAATGACTACGTCGTCGTTGTCTACTTATATGTCTTCGTTTTTTAAGCCTATCACGTACATAGAGAGGTGAACGAAATCCTCGTGGCATGATTTCAGTCGCACCGAAACTATCGTGCTGTTAACACGCCTAATCCGACGAAGCCGGTGTCGAGCGCGTTCGTTTTCGTCGGTGCGCGATACCGTGTTTATGCCATTGTTAATCATCTGGTTATGCCGGTGTCCTTCGGCGTATCTATGACTTTATCCTTCGGCGTTTACTCTTTTCGGCTCGCCTTTTCCTTTGCATCAATACGAGTGCATTCGTTTTCTCACACCAAGATTTTGGTTTTTCAGGGAGAATGAGAAGCACACCAGTCGCACATTGAAGGAAGACCGTGTTAGTAAAAAAAATTCATCAACCCAGAGCCTTCCAATTGGCTGGTGCGAGCAGATCAAGAAGATCAAGAAGATTCAAAATGAGGCGAGAGCCTGGCGACGGCAAGTCCAAGGAGAAGTCGAAACCCAAGGAGAAATCATCCCTTAAGTCCCAATTGTCCGGCAACTTCCTCCGCAGCATCACGGACCTCGTCATCCGGCACAAGGGGGATGAACCCAGCCAAGCCTCCACTTCAGGCTCGGCAGCAAGTTCGGAAGAGCAGGTCGGTGGTGAGAGCTTGGAGGGAGAAGTAAAAGATCAGCAGCAGGAGCAGCAGCAGGAGCAGCAGCAGGAGCAGCAGCAGGAGCAGCAGCAGGAGCAGCCGCAGGAGCAGCCGCAGGAGCCGAGGGAGATGAGCGAGGAGGAGAAGAAGCGTGAGAGGCGGAAGCAGGCGGTTGAACGGATTATGAACAGACTAAGCAGCGAACCACCTCCTGCACAGGGTATTCCAGGTCCCTTAGCGAACCCGGCCGCTCTAGGCGGGAGAATGTCTTTGCCTTCGAAACTAGCGGGCAGGGTACGGAATGGAGCCGCGGCTGTTGGTTCGGCTGGTGGTTCTGCTGCTGGTAGGAGTCGGAGGCAGCCCCCCCCACCTGCTAGGCGAGCTCCAAGCGAGCGTGCGAAGAGGGGAGGTGTTGAGAGTGGTGCAGATAGCGGGAATGATGTTGGTGGTGGGGATGGTGCCAGTGTCGGCGGCAAGTGTGCTGAGAGTGTAGAAGGTCCTTCTGTTAATTCGGGGGCCGCTGCTGCTACCGATGGTTCTGAGAATGCGAGTGGCGTTGCTGGTGGTGCTGCGGATGGTGGTGTGGGAGGAAATGCGATGGCCAGTAGCAGCAATACGGCTCAACAAGACCAGCACCCAGAGCAGGTTCAGGAGGAGCAGCAGCAGCAGAAGCAGGATCAGGCCCAACAACTTGATCCCGCCTCCTCCGCCTCAGCTCCAGTCGCCAATGCGCGCACGGAGCCCCCGTCCCCGTCCCCCGCGTCCTCCGCTTTCACCCCCGTCTTCGCCCGCTGCCCCGCCAAGATCTGGAGCAACCCGGACGAGGAGGACAGCGGGGGGGAGCAGAGCGACGGCGGAGGGGGATTTGAAGGCGAGGGGGGTGCAGGAGCGACCACTGGCGGAGGAGGAGGCGGAGGAGCAGGCGGAGGCGGAGGCAGTGGGAATGGGGAGGAAGGAATGAGGGGTACGGGAGATCCGTTGACGGATGGCGAGGGGGGAGCGGGAGAGGAGGAGGAGGAGGAAGAGGACGAGCAGCCGACAGGGTTCCCGAAGCTGCTTCCAGGGAAAGCGGACGTGCTTGTTCTGACAGACGAAGGGGATGCGCTGCATGGGGAGATTGACACAGGCGAGCACCAAGGCACGAACCCGCTGGATATGACCAAGTTCAAGCGGCTTCTGTCGCAGGTGTATGGGCTGGATGAGGCGGATTTCCGGCCCAAGAACTGGGGGAAGGTGCTGGAAAATGAGGGGGGGTTTGGGGGTAGTGGGGAGGACGAGGATGATGATGATGATGATTTGAAGAGGAGGGATCCGAGGTTGGAGGATCCGCAGTTGCAGGAGATTTTGACGCAAGAGTTGATGAAATTTCTGCGAAGGAATATGCGCGGAGGGAAGGAGGAGGAAGAGGAGGAGGAGGGAAGAGGGGGAGGAGGAGGGGGATGAGGGGGAGGGTTCGAGCTCAAGAGGGGGGGATAGCGGGAGCAGCGGGTTTCACAAGGGACGGAGACGAGGGAGGGATAGTAGTGATAGTGATGATGACGAAGAGGAGGATGAGGATGACGAGACGGTTGATAATGGCTGGGGGGATGATGCATTGGGACTCGCTTCACCAGCGAGGGATGATGATGATGATGATGACGATGATGGGTCTGATGATGATCGATCAGATCGCCGGCGCTCGAGAAGGAGACATGGGTCTGATAGCGAGCAGGAGGAGGAGGACGAGGAGGAGGAAGACGGAGGAGGAGGAGGGAGGAGGGGCCGGATGAGGCGAGACGGGGTTTCCCGCAGGGAGTTGAGTGGGGAGCGGCGCAGAGAGGGGAGAGGGGGAGAGTCGAGGAGGAGGGAGCAGAGGAGGAGTGAGCGGAGGAGGAGTAGGAGTGTTTCTGATAGTAGAAGCAGGAGCAGAAGCAGGAGCCGGGGGTCATTGGAGTCGTCTGATCATGGGAGTGGAAGGAGAGGGAGGAGAGGGGGGAGGCGAAGAGGACGGGCAGACGACCGTTGGGAAGAGAGGGACGCTGAGGAGGAGGAGGAGGAGGATGAGGAGGAGGAGGAGGAGGAGGAGGAAGAGTTGAGGGGAAACCAGAGCAGGCGTGGGAGGAAGGGGGAAAGAATGGGGGAGCGGTCGGATGGGGATGAGGGGGGCAGGAGGAGAGAGAGGTGGCGGGGAGCTGAAGCGGTTAGCGAGAGTGGGAGGGAGGATTATAGCGAGGACGGGAGGGATGCTTATAGCGAGGACGGGAGGGAGGAGCTTAGTGAGGATGGGAGGCGGGAAAGTGATTACGAGGGGAGGAGAAGGGATAGTGTGCGAAGGCACAGCCGTGGGGAGAGGAGTGGCAGTGATCGAGATGTGGGGCGTTACAGTGACCTGGATAGTGATGGGCATGTGAGTAGCGACCACGAGCGTAGAGAACGAACAAGGCATGAGTGTAGTGAACACGAGCAAGGTCAGGGTAGATCGAGGGAGAGGGTGAAGGGTAGGGACCTGGAGGGTGAGAAGGTTAGAGATAGAGCACGGGGTAAGGGCGGGAATAGGGGTGAGGGTGGAGGTGTGTCCAGAGATAGGGGCAGAAGGGACGGGGAGAAGACGAGGGGTGAGGAGGAGCGGCGAGGGAGGAAAGGGAGGAGGGGGATTAAAGAGGAGGAAGAAGACAGCACTGATGGTAGCCATGTCAGCAGCGCCAGCAATGACAGTGGTGGCAGCGGTGGTAGCAACGGGAGCCGTCGGCCTCGCAGGAGAGAGGATCGGGGTCACAGGAGTCAGAGCAGGGAGAGGGTTGGAAAAGATGGGAGCAAGGGCAGAACGGAAAGACAGCAGGGTGGAGATGACGAGGTGAAACAGCACAGGGGACGGGGAGAGGAGCCCAAGAGGGAGGGGGGAAAGAAGGGGGAGGAAAAGAAGAGGAGGGGCAAGAGTGGGGAGGCTGAGAGGGAAGAGGTTAAGAGAGAGGAGGCCAAGGAAGGAAGAAGCAGGGCGAGGGTGGAGGAGGAGTTGGAGGGTGATGCAGCGAAGCAAAAGGAGCTCAGGAAAAAGCATCAGAAGGGTGATACCAAGGGAGTAGCCACCATGAAACCTAAACAAGATAGCGAATCTACGAAAGATTCCAAGTCGAAACAGGAAATCAAATCTGAACAGGAGAGTAAGTTCCTGTCCTCTCTGGACATTCGGGAGGAGATTCGGAAGCTTTCGGGCGACGATGCTCTGCGCATTCTGCTCAGCGCCCGCAACTCGTTCAAGCGCGTTTCAGCAGCAGCAGCAGCAGCAGCTGAGGCAGAGACAGGCAGCCGGGGGCGGGGAAGGAACTGCAGCTGCTGGTGATGGTGGTGGTGATGTAGGAGTAGGAATGGAAGGGGAGAGGCTGCTAGAAGCGAAGCTGCTGCGTTGCCTGACTAAGGTACACCAGCAGGTGGCTGCTGGCGTGCCTGAGACGATTGTGGAGGGGGATGAGGAGGAGGAGAGTGAGGAGGATGGAGAGGTAAGTAGGCAGAAGGACGGAGCGAGAAACTTGGAGCCTGGCCTTGTAGATGAAGGGGAAGAAGAGGAGGAGGTTAGTGAGGAGGACAGTGGTGGGGAGGAGGGTGAGGGGGGAAGAGAGCACAAAGAGCTGGGGGCTGAGGAGATGGATGAGGAAGAAGAGGGAGGCGAGGAAGCGGAGGAAGATGGAGAAGAGGGCGAGGGGGAAATGGGCGATGAGGGGGATATGGAAGAGGCGGAACCTGAGGATGGGGCAGGTGAAAAGGATCAGATATCCCGCTTGGCGTCTGATGTGGCGAGGTACATGGAGAGAAGTAGGCACTCGGGAAGCAAAGCTGGTCAACCGAGTCAACCTAGCAACTCAGTTAGTGGTGGTGGTGGTGGTGGTGTTGCTGCTGCGGATGGTGCTTTCAGCACTGTTACTACTGAAAGTGTTGGCGAAGGGATTGGTTCAGGAACAACAGTGGAAGGGGAGAAGGAGGAAGACCTGTATGACGTGGGGGGGGAGGAAGAAGGGCAGGATGAGGGACTGTGGGGGGAGGCGGTTGAGGGAGTAAAGGCGCCCGAGGGGGAGGAGTTGGAATTTTCTTCAGCTGAGAGCGAGAGTGAGAGTGAGGAAGGAGAGGAGGTGCAAACAGAGGGTGGTGGTGGTGGTGGCTTGAGGGACGCGAGTGTTGGTGATGATGAGGATGACGATGGGGCGTATGGAGACGAGGAGGGCGAGGACGGGGAGCCGAGGCCACATAGAGATCGGAGAGGCAGAGCATATGGCCATGGCCATAGTAGGTCGCATATTGCAGGTGCTGCAGCTGCCACTGCTGCTGCTGGTGCTACTCCTGCTGCTGCTTCTGCCAGTGCTACTGCTGCTGCAGTGGATTCTGCTGCTGCCTTGTCTCCTCACCGTCATCCTCCTGCCAGGGCGAGGCGGCAAAAGAGCAAGAAGAGAAGCAGCGGAACCAGCATGCCTTTGCCTCCGCCAATCATGCCCGTGCCCATGCCCATGCCTTCCTCCCCCATGCCTCCTACCATGCCCCAAGCACCATTAGCAGCAGGGGGGGCAGCAGGAGCAGGGGCAGTAGTAGGGCATATGCCAGGAAGCATGCAGTCGCCTGCAGCTGCAGGGGTGCAGTGGGGTTCTGAGGCGTCGTATAGCGGCACTCCCACTATCTCCAGGCACGCACCAACTCCCACGTGGGGTAGTAGTGCTTCCCCGGCTGCTGCAGCAGCAGGCATGGGCGGTGGTGGCCTGGGCGGTGGTGGCATGGGTGGTGGGAACCAGCAGATTTTGCGGCAGAGATCCTCAAGCCATGCTGACATGCTGAGGGGAGGGCATGCCAATATGCCTTCCCCTGCATCTAGAGCGGGAACAGCTGCACCTCCTGCATGTTATTCACCGCTAGGAGCAGCAGGCATGGCAGCAGGAGCAGGCGTGGCAGGAGCAGCAGGTGTGTCAGCAGCAGGAGCAGCAGCAGCAGCAGCAGCAGGGGGCACAGGGTTTGGGCTTCAAGCGTCTACCTTGGGATCTCCACTCCCCATGCCCGCCTCTCACTCCAGGCTGCAGAAAACCTCCTCAGACGCGCCCAGGAGGCTGCAGGAGCTGCTGCAGTTCAAGATGGTGCAGAGCGGTGCAGCGGGCGGAGGCAGGGGTGCTGGAGGATTAGGAGGCGGTACCGGGTCTGCTGTGGCAGCCAGTATGGTTCAGGGAAGTGTGGACTTTTCTCGGGGGATGATGGGGGGAGGGGGTGCGCTGGGAGGGGTTGCGCCGAATTTTGAGACGTCTCTAAACTTGGTTCAAGGAAGTATGGACTTTGCCCGGGGGGCAATGGGGGGAGGGGGTGTGGTGGCAGGAGGTGTGGCGGGCAGGGGTGCTGGGGTGGCAAGCGGTGGGGGAAAAGGAGGGGGAGCGGGAAGAGGAGGTGGGATTGGCGGGATTGGAGTAGGAGGGTCTCCCAAAAGGGGGATCGAGGTGAGGGGGCGAGGTGGAGAGATGTGTGGGGATAGCAGGTACATGGTGTCTGTAGGGATGGATGATGCTGCTGCTGCTTCGTACCAAGATGATGGCGGGTATGGCGCTGGATGTGAAGGCGGTTATGATAGAACTGGTTACGGTGACGGTTACGTGGATGCTTATCATGGCGGTTGCGAAGATGCAGGTTACAATGAAGGTGGTTACAACGGTGCAGGTTACAATGCTGGTCGTTACGATGATGCCGGTTACCAAAATGATGGTTACGAAGACAATTACAACGGTAGCGGCATGGGGAGTGAAGAAGCCATGGGGATTCAGAGGTCCTTCACAGCAGATGGGCGAAATGCCCAGCTGCACTCACAGCTGCACACACGTCCCGAGGAGTCTACACCCGTGACAGTGCAGCGGGCCTATACAGTAGACGGCCGCTCGTCGAGACTTGTAGCAGAGCAGGCTGTAGTGAGGAAATCTGTTCCAGTGGGCGTACCCAGTGGTGTGGGTATTGTAGGTACATTGGGTGCAGTAGATGAAGGTTTGAGAAGCAAGGGGAGGAAGAAGAAGCCGAAGCGCAGTGCGGGAAAATCAGTAGAAAAGATGGGTCCGAACGAGAATGAGCTTCGGGCTTGGGAGGAGGAGAGGATGGAGGAGGGAGCAGTGGGGGAAGGAGGAAGAGGGAATATGGCAGGGGTTGGAGGAGGAGGAGAGGGTATGGCAGTGGACGAAGATATGTATGGTGATGTGGGGGAGGAGGTGGTAGATGACCTATACGGTCCAGGGCCGAGTGATGATGTTTTTGGGGCGCATGGTGTGGAGGAGGAGGTGGTATTGGAGGAGGCAGAGGGTGAAGAAGAGGACTTATATGGTTCAAGAGACGAGGAGGAGGAAGAGGAGGAAGAGGAGGAAGAGGAGGAGAGAGGTCAGTTGAATTCGACGGTGGCAGGAGGATTCCCAGCAGGGGGGTTTGAAAGGGGTGGTCAGGGTTACAAGGGTGGAGCCGCAGGGTTTATAAGAGACAAGCAGAAGCGCCGTGCCTCAGCTGGTGGCTCCCTCTCTGCTGCTGCTGCTGCTGCCGCCGCCGCCGCCGCTGCTGGTGCTGCTGGTGGTAGTGCCAGTGCCAGCGCTGGTGTTGCTGGTGGAGGGGCTGGGAGCAGTGGCACCGAAGGGTCTCTTTCCCGCGCGCACAGCCAGCCAGCAGAGGCGTTCCATGCAGCCATGCTCTCCCCCTCCAACTCCATCGCCTCTGCTCCCTGCTCCTCTCCGCCCTCCTCTGTCTCACGGTTCAAGCCCAAGGCAGCCAAGAGCCGGGCCAGCAGAGGGCAGAGTTCACTGGGGGATTGCCTGGGGCCGGGGGCTAGGGTTAGCATGAGCAGCGGTTTGAGGGACAGCATGAGCACAGGCTTTAAGGATAATGCAAGCATGGGCTTTAACAGGAGTGCACATACAGGCCTTAAGGACAGCATGAGTATGGGGTACGGCGAAGGTGGCAGTCCTGGTTGTTACGATAGCATGAGCTCGGGCTTTAAGGACAGCATGAGCATGGGATTTACTGACAGTATGAGCACCGGGTACAGTGAAAGCACGGGCTTCAAGGACAGCATGAGTGCGGGGTATAACGAGCAGGCAGAAAGATGGCACGGGGCGGTTGCGGGCGGGGAGGGTATTTACCCTGGAAAAGCAGGAAGCAGGAGCACCAGGCGCAGTGCAAGTGGGAGGAACATAAGCTCTTTTGCTGCTTCTCCTGCAGCTGTTGGGGTGGGGAGTGCTGTAGCCAGCCGGATCGTGAGTGATAGTGTCGGGATGCGGGATGTGGGCTCTGGAGCTGGGATTGGGGGGAAACGCGGTGGTAAGAAAAAGGTAGTTCAGTATGAGGAGGTGGAGGAGGATTTGTTTCCTGTGGAGCCGGAAGACAACGGTAGTGATAACAGTTATGTTTATGATGAGTATGCTGGTCATGGTACCAGTACGAGTGGGGATAGTGGTGGCCCCTATGTCGGTTTTAGGTAACCTGTTGGGGGGCATGTGTGTCATCCGACAAGGGTGCTAAGTTATGGCGAATATTTTAGTTCACGTGGCATTTATTTCGTCAATCTCACTCAACGGTGCCACCGATGAGAAAGAAGTGCATTGCCTTTTGCTTGTGGCAACCAACCAACCTGTGAAGCTCCAAGGTTGATGTATGGAAACTGAGGAGCTTTGTCTATTACCCTAACTTTGTGATCTTCCTCTAACCCACTTCTAGAAAATGTGGAAATTGTGAATGCTTGTGGTATTTGCGTGAAGGAACTTCCCCCCTTTTTATGGTGCTTCGTGAAGACTTGCCCCTGCTATGAACATGAGAGCATTTTTGCTCAAATTGTGTTATGTCTGACGTGACGTTGCTGGATCTGTCGTGTCAGGGGCCTATCCACCTTGGCGCTTGTGTGGTCCGCAGGGGATTGCGAGCGTACGATAGGCGCAGAAAGCACTTCGTCCAGCGCAGCGTAAGAACCATGTGACTAGGGGGCAAATCTCTTGGTGTAGGGACCACCACACATCATCCATGAAAATTCCCTCGTAAGAAACTCGGGGCTCCCCTTCATCCCATTCGCGTGGAAATCACGCACTTGCCTCGTGACGTGGCATATTCGAGTCCCCCCTAAAAAATCCCGGAACGACAAGCTCCTCGCACACAGATGCGATTGGTGTTACTACTGTACACAAAGAAAAGCTTTTTAAATTCACCTTATATAAACTACAGCACTGTATTTGTCCTACTTTTCAGCTTGATTCGGACGGTCAGAATGCAGCTTCCATTTTACGGAATTGCGGGAAATGAGCGGCTGGCGGCCAGTGCTCTTTGGGCGGTCCAAGAATCTGCCCTTTCGCGGACGGAGCATTTCGGTCCTCGGGCACATGCGATGAATATTTGCGGTTGAAAGACTGGCAGCGCCTCTCGCATTCATTTTGGCTCGGCGCGACGAGGTGGCTGTGGCCCGACCAAGTTCCTGGTACTCCTTGCTTCACGGAACTCCCTATGGCTCTTTTCCACTGATATCTGATTGAACCGAACGGAACCGATTCGTACCAGAAGAATCATCGTTATCCTTGCTGAAATCTCCCGTTTGCTCCACACACCCGAAATTGTCGGAACTGTTGATCACCTTCGCAAGCTCTGCTAGCTTGTTGTGTTCAGTCTCATGTACAGCGCAAGTAGATACTCGTTTCCCTACATGTGTGTGCTTTTGATCAGCGACTGACAAGCCTGAGTGAAGTGAACTGCACTGGAGTTTCCCGTCCGGCAAGCACCCGTCTCTACCAGCGATTTTGGTGAACGCAGTTACAGTTGACTAGCATGAGTTGGATACAAAGCCAGCATCATCCGTTAGGGACATGTCGTAGCGTTTAGTAGCAGTTCTCGAAGATAAACTAGGGGATTTTCGAATTTCCGGTTGTAAAGAACTCGTCCCTCCAAGTTAGTGTCTCAGTAATTTCTCAGTCCAAGCTTTCTTCCAGTGTTTGGAGGCGGCCTTGACAACAGATTGGTAACATCAGAGACGTCGTGATGACGACAGCGGCAGCCAAGTCACCTGTTCGAAAGCTGTCGCACACGCTGTGCTCCAGTGTTCTAGCCGATGTACGTCCTTGGCCCTCCTCTTGAAACAATCTTCGTACTGTCATGTCTTCACGACGTTGCCTCGTATTCGCGTTCACGTTCTCCCTCTCGTTTTGTTTCGTTGTATTTTTTTCTCGTTTGTGATACAACGTTATATTTCTTCTGCAAATTCCGACTATTCGTGTATATGATGCTTGCAGATACACAAATGCGCGTCGAAAAAGCAAACAGGAGTCAGCCTAAAGTACATGATGGCACACGGCTCGTATCCCACGGAGCGTAATCTGATCACAGCCGCTCAGTTCCTGCACCACGAGCTCCCCGTGCGACTGGCTCATCGCGTCACGGAACTCGAGAATCTCCCATACGGCCTGTCGGATAAAGCTCCCATTCTGAAGGTAAGGGGTTCCACAAATGCGTGCTGGACGTGTTAGAGGAAGTGTCGAGACGACTCGTAAGCGCGTGTAGAACACGCTACAGGAAGTGTCGAGACAACTCGTAAGCGCGTGTAGAACATGCTACAGGAAGTGTCGAGACGACTCGTAAGCGCGTGTAGAACATGCTACAGGAAGTGTCGAGACGACTCGTAAACGCGTAAACCTCTGCGTTTTCCTTCATGGACACGTTCAAGGACAACCACCAGTTGTCTTTCTCACTTCCTTCCTCATGCCTTGCTCATTCACCTCGTGCCGTGTGGCTCTTCTCGTGCTTGGTGGTCTTCTCTTCTCGTGCACCACTCCTTGTCCCTGTTTCCCCTTGTCCCTTGCACACATTTACCTCGCCCTTTTCCAGGTGCGAGACTGGTACGTGGACTCGTTCAAGGACATCCACCAGTTCCCGCCCATTGAGAACGCCAGGGAAGAGATGCGCTTCACGGAGCTGCTAGACCAGGTGAGCAAGAGGAGCTGAAAACGCGTGCTCTGACGAGGCGAGGAGTGGCTAGAATGATGAAGCAGGCGAGCAGGAGGTGTTAGCACAAAGCATGGGATGGCAGGGACTGGTGGAGCAGAAGAACCATGGCGCCGTTTCCAGTGTCATGGCTTGCTAGGCTGGACTGGACACGCTTGTTCTTTTAGTCTGGACGTGAGAATTCCTGAAATGAGTTTCTTACTGCCATTCATTTGAATTAATTTGCATCGACCTGGTTGACTAGAGCTGACTTGGTCTTGCGTTGACCCGGTTGGTTGACTGGCGTTGACCAGGTGAGGATGCGGCACAACAACGTGATGCCGACAGTGGCGATGGGGGTGAGCGAGCTCAAGAGGGACATGGTGACCGGGAGCACGAGGCAGGGGCTCGACAGCATGCCCGAAATCCACCAGTTCTTGGTCAGTTGCCTGCTGTTGCTGCTGCTGCCGCTGTGCTGCTGCTGCTGCTGCTGCTGCTACTGCTTCTTCACATGGCGTTTCTTTTGTTCTGGACCGGCACGGTACTATCTATCTGGCTTGTGCCTTTCATCAATCTGCGCCTCCGTGTTTGTGTGTTCAGGATCGCTTCTACATGTCGCGGATAGGCATCCGTATGCTCATTGGTCAACACGTCGCTCTCCATAAACCATCGCCGCCGCCCCACTATATCGGGTATGCTGCCCCACTCTATTGGTTATACCGCCGGGCACGTCAATAACAAGTACTTCAATGGAAGCACAGCACTGCCTTTTCCCACCCCCTTCTCCTTTTCGCCTCATTCTAAGCCTTTTCTCCATTACCTCGTTCCCTTGTGCCTTAGTGTCGCCGGTGGTGGTGGCACGTGATGTTAACAGAGAGAACCCCTCTCCCCACCCCCCCCCCTCCCCTTCTTCCCCATCCCCCATTCTCCCCAACCCTTTCGCATGCCCCATTCCAGGCTGATCTGCACCAAGGTATCGCCAGTGGAGGTGGCACGGAACGCAGTGGATGATGCACGGTCAGCATGCATGCGCACGTATGGCTCTGCCCCTGATGTGCACATCTATGGCGACCCCGACCTCAGATTCGCGTACGTTACTCTGCTGCGCCCGTGCTGTGCTGTGCCGTCCCGTAACGTGCCATGGCATGCCCTACCGTGACGTACGTATGGCTCTGCCCCCGACGTACAGATCTATGGCCACCCTGACCTCAGATTCGCTCTCGTTACTCTGCCTTCAGTGCTTTGCCCGTGCCGGCCCATCCACGCAAGATAGTGTTTCAGCTCGTGAATAGCCTCTTCAATCCACTGATCTCACATATCCACCTGTAACCCATTCTCACCTCTCTCCCTGCCACCTCTCTCCCTGCCACCTCTCTCCCTGCCACCTCTCTCCCTGCCACCTCTCTCCCTGCCACCTCTCTCCCTGCCACCCTACAGGTACGTGCCGGCCCATCTGCATCAGATGCTGTTTGAGCTCGTGAAGAACTCGCTGCGTGCCGTGCAGGAGCGGTTCGCCGATGCCGACCATGACCCGCCGCCCATCCGCCTGATTGTGGCCGATGGCATGGAGGATGTCACCATTAAGGTGCGTAAAATGTAGATGCATCATTCAATGCTCTGATGGGGGAGCGTGTGAGCATGATTTAGGTGTGTGGATGCTGTAAGCATCAAAACGTTTGCTGGTAATGGAGGAGTTGGAGTGATAACCCCTCCAACCCCCTCTCCTCTCTCTTCCCCCCCTGCCATGGCAGATTTCGGATGAGGGTGGTGGCATTCCGCGCAGTGGTCTACCAAAGATCTGGACGTACCTCTACACCACGGCCCACTCGCCCATCGCTGCTGCCAACCAGCTGCACGAGATGCCCACTGTCATGTAAGCCACCCCTTGCCACCGCTTGCCACACCCCTCACCACACCTCGCCACCCCTTACCACCCCTTATCACCCCTTGCCACCCCTTTCCACCTGTTGTCACCGCCGATTGGACGTCTGCCTGCATTCACTTCAACTCAGTTCGGTTGCCCCCTTGTGCACCCCTTGTATTGTAACCATCGTTAATATGTGTGGAGCAGGGCGGGGTATGGCTATGGCCTGCCAATCAGTCGGCTGTATGCGCGCTACTTTGGGGGCGACCTGCAGGTGGTGTCCATGGAGGGCTATGGCACTGACGTCTATCTGCACCTCAACCGCCTTAGGAATGTGCAGGAGCCTCTGCCTTAGTGGAGCCTCTGCCTTTGTGACGCCACTGCCTTAATGCTGCCACTCCATGCCTCCCCCCATGCCTCTTCATGGTAGCTCATGCCTTTCCACGAATATTGCCGCCCACATCTACCACCTGCACCGCCCACCTGACCGCGCCACCCACCTGACCGCGCCGCCCACCTGACCGCGCCGCCCACCTGACCGCGCCGCCCACCTGACCGCGCCGCCCACCTGACCGCGCCGCCCACCTGACCGCGCCGCCCACCTGACCGCGCCGCCCACCTGACCGCGCCGCCCACCTGACCGCGCCGCCCACCTGACCGCGCCGCCCACCTGACCGCGCCGCCCACCTGACCGCGCCGCCCACCTGACCGCGCCGCCCACCTGACCGTGCCACCCACCTGGACCACCACCTCCGCCCACCCGGACCTCCATTACAGCCCACCCGGACCTCCATTACAGCCCACCCGGACCTCCATTACAGCCCACCCGGACCGCCATTACAGCCCACGTAGACCATGATCGCCGCCCACAGCTACGCCACAAACTACGTTTGCAATCCAGGCGCATGTGTGAGTGCACAGCTCCCAACGCCCATTCCAGCAGCCCCACCCCCACCCATGAATTGAAGCATCAGCCCATTGCACCAGCTTGATGCAGCAATGTCATCTCGATGCCATCGCTCGTGCCCCACCCCACCCATCCACAACGGCCTCTTTTGAAGCAGCAGCATAGCCACCGTCCCCACACCCCACCCTTCAATGGAGCAGCCATTGTTGATAGTAAATAAGGCTGCTCAACTAGCGCCACCTGCACGCCCACCCACTCAACCCCTTACCTTTCCAATTTTGATGCTGTGGGGTTATGCTTCCTATGCAATGTTCTCCACTCCACTCCACCGTGCCTCCATGGTTCCCGAATGGGCCACCTCCTCTCATCCTAAGGTTTTCCTAGCAAGGTTTTCGGAGGAACCTTGATCGTAGTTGACTTCATGCCTAGATCCTGTATCCCTTCATTTCTCATGCCGTTCTCATCCTGCCAGCTGCCTGAGGCCCCGTTTACTACAATGCAGCTCCTGTTGTGCATGCTGGTAAAGGCGTTTTCTTGTACAGAACGGACGATCGTACAAGGCTAGACTCATCATGCTTGTACAGATCGAGATGTACATTTATGTTCCCACCTGACAAGTAAGGGATCTGTCTACACACCAGGTTTACTGGCATGGTGCGGATCTTTCATGGCAATAGCATAGCCCGCCCAGAGTCGAAGTACCAAATACGGTATACAATACCCTTGCTGAAGTGACAATTTCAAGCCTGGATAACCTCAACTTGACTAAGGTTTCATTGAATCAACCTCTCAATTTCCTTAAGCCGGGATGGTTCTCAATTGTGGTTTTCAGTTATACCGATGGCGGAAGAGGCACCAATGGCAGAAGAGCCTGGAAACAGCAGTGAGAAGCTAAGCCTCATCGATGGGGGTGGTGAGCAACCCATCCATGCCCACCTCGCGCCACTGCGCCACCGTCTCAGGGTGCATGTCCGACACCAGGCCCAGGATCGGCACGGACGGATCCTCCCTAGGTTGCTTGCACGCACCACCATGTTGCAACTTCAGTGGTGCTCTGCTGGCTTGAAGAGTCTGGACGCCACAGTGAGCAGCTGAGCTTCATCAGTAGGAGTGGTGAGCAGCCCATCCATGCCCACCTCGCGCCACCGCGCCACCATCTCAGGGTGCATGTCCGACACCAGCGGGGATTGGGGTTGGACATGCCTTAGTGCTCTGCTGGCTTGAAGAGTCTGGACGCCACCGTCAACAACTGGGCCTCGTCGATGGGGGTAGTCAAGAGTCCATCCATGCCCACCTCGCGCCACCGCGCCACCATCTCAGGGTGCATGTCCGACACCAGGCCCAGGATCGGCACGCGGATTCTCTGCGCTGACGTGGCGCCCCACCGTTGGACCTCCGCCTTGTTGTGCTCGGCCTCCCTACGCCGCACCTCCTCCGTGAACTCAAAGCTGTGGTGGGTGGGGAGGGAAGGTTTGATTCGAGTGGAGGTAAAGAAGAGATGTGAGAAAGTTATGTTTGTCAGGTGGACCTCCGCCTTGTTGTGCTCGGCCTCTCGGCGCTGCACCTCCTCCGTGAACTCAAAGCTGGGGGAGGATCAAAGGAGGGTTTGGAGTTTGGAAGGTTGAAGGGGAGTTTTGAGTTTGCACATGCATTCGCGCTGCCTTGTTGCGCTCGGCCTCGCACCGCCTCAGCGAAGCAAACGTCACATTCCACCGCAACTGATCCCACCCCACCCCCGCTTGACTCCCACGGACCCCACCTCATCCCACCCCACCCCACCCTACCACACCCCACCGCACCCAACCAGTCACCCCTTCTCCCCCGTTCCCCGCACCACCACCCACCCCTCGATCAACCATCACTCACCCCGGCATGTCAGCGAGTCGGATGTTAACGAGGATGAGCTGGAAGGAGTGCGGTAATGATGGGTGTGCATGTGTGCACTTGCAGCCTCGCCCAACCCTTACCCCTCCCCTCTTCCTAGCACCCCAACACTCACCCTGGCATGTCAGCGAGTCGGATGTTAACGAGGATGAGCTGGAAGGAGTGTGGCAGAGGAGCGAGGCGCGAGAGGGCTTCTGCTGAGCTGTCAACGGCCACGACCACGTCAGCAAAGTGCGAAACCAGCTCAGCAGCAGCCTTGCGCGTGATGTAGTGGTGGTCGACCAACAGGACTCGCTTCCCCTTGAGGCACAGCCGCAGCAGCAGCTGCCTCCGTCTGGTGGCCAACGCTGTTGTCTCGCGGGGATTCAACCCGAGCGCCTGTGGTGTTGGGTGTTGGAGAGGGAGGGTGTAGGACAGAGGGAGGAAGAGGGTAGCGATGGGGAGGAAGGAAAAGCGCGACGGGCAGCGGGAAGGGAAAGGTCGGAGGGAAGAGGGATGTCAAGGGGGGTGGAGGGATGTAGTGGTCGTCGACCACCAGGACTCGCTAGCCCTTGAGGCACAGCCGCTGCAGCAGCTGCCTTTGCCTGGTGGCCAGCGCTGTTGTCTCCCGCAGGTTCAGCCTGAGCGCCTTTGGGGGAGAGGAAGGGAGGAGACGGTAGGAGAGAGGAGGGAGAGGGTAGGTAGGAGAGAGGAGGGAGAGGGTAGGTAGGAGAGAGGAGGGAGAGGGCAGGTAGGAGAGAGGAGGGAGAGGGCAGGTAGGAGAGAGGAGGGAGAGGGCATGTAGGAGAGAGGAGGGAGAGGGCATGTAGGAGAGAGGAGGGAGAGGGCAGGTAGGAGAGAGGAGGGAGAGGGCATGTAGGAGAGAGGAGGGAGAGGGTAGGTAGGAGAGAGGAGGGAGAGGGTAGGTAGGAGAGAGGAGGGAGAGGGCAGGTAGGAGAGAGGAGGGAGAGGGCAGGTAGGAGAGAGGAGGGAGAGGGCATGTAGGAGAGAGGAGGGAGAGGGCATGTAGGAGAGAGGAGGGAGAGGGCAGGTAGGAGAGAGGAGGGAGAGGGCATGTAGGAGAGAGGAGGGAGAGGGCAGGTAGGAGGAGAAAGATGGAGGATGAGGGGTGTGTGGGAGACAGGAAATGCAGGAGCAGCCATGTGCCATGTACCATGTACCATGTGCCATGTGCCATGTGCCATGTGCCATGTGCCATGTGCCATGTGCCATGTGCCATGTGCCATGTGCCATGTGCCATGTGCCATGTGCCATGTGCCATGTGCCATGTGCCATGTGCCATGTGCCATGTGCCATGTGCCATGTGCCATGTGCCATGTGCCATGTGCCATGTGCCATGTGCCATGTGCCATGTGCCATGTGCCATGTGCCATGTGCCATGTGCCATGTGCCATGTGCCATGTGCCATGTGCCATGTGCCATGTGCCATGTGCCATGTGCCATGTGCCATGTGCCATGTGCCATGTGCCATGTGCCATGTGCCATGTGCCATGTGCCATGTGCCATGTGCCATGTGCCATGTGCCATGTGCCATGTGCCATGTGCCATGTGCCATGTGCCATGTGCCATGTGCCATGTGCCATGTGCCATGTGCCATGTGCCATGTGCCATGCGCCATGTGCCATGTCCCATGTCCCAGATATACCTGCACCAGATATACCTGCACCAGATATACCTGCAGGAGAGCCGTGGCCATGGTGGCAGCCCTGAGAGGCTTGAGCATGATGCATGAAAATCCGTGCCTCGCTGCCTCTGCCTCCAGATCGTCGTTTGTGGTCTGGTTCAGTGCGGTGCAGAGTGGTGTTCAGGATGGGGAAGAGGAGAGAGGAGGACGATAGGTACATGGGTATGAGAATGAATGAGCGCCTGGATATGAGGGTCAATGGGTAATTAAGTTCACAAGGTTAAGTGACGAATAGGTAACTTTACCTATTCCCCACCACATTCATAAGGAATAGATTACCTGCATTCTACACATGGATGGGATGGACAGGTGGGTAAAATGCAGCACCTGCAGCAGCAGCAGCAGCAGCAGCTTCGGCACAATGGGGGTTTTGAGGTGTCGCAACCCCCATCCCGCCCCGCTTTCCCCTTCCCCCCTCCCTCCCCCTTCCTGACCTGGGTCAAAAGCAGCAGCTTGGGCTCGATAGGAGTAGCTTCCCACGCCTCTCTCAATTCCTTGAGTTGCTGCACCATGCGCCCCAGCTCTATCCCTGTGCCTGGACCATTGAGCTCAGATTTCTTGAAAGCAAGTGATTGAACCCCCCTCCTCCCTCCCCCTTACCTGAGTGAGCAGCAGCAGTTTGGGAACGATAGGGGTGGCCTCCCAGGCCTCCCTCAGCTCCTTGAGTTGCTGCACCATGCGTCCCAGCTCTATCCCCGTGCCTGGCCCGTCTGCATCTGCATCCACCACAACCATATCCCACCGGCTCTTTCTGTTCACCAAACCCTGGCCTGTGTATGGGGAGTGCGTGAGACCAAATGGGGGGCGGGGGGATAAGGTGAGTGAGTGATTGCCTTGGCTCGGCCCGTCTGCATCTGCATCCACCACCACCATATCCCAC